CGGCTTTTTTTTTTGCGCTGACGTCTGTCTGGGAACGGTCTGCTGCCCGGCGATTACGTATGAATAAATTAGTTTTTTCATATTTTTGGCCTGAAAGGACCGCAATGCAATATCTCTCACCATGATGTATTGCCTTTTGAACTGATTTAAGAATCAGCTAATTATTTTCTAGTTGAAAATAGCCATTTCTGCCCAAACTTTTGAAGCTTTCGAAATGAAATCATTGTGTCCGGAATTCCTGGAATTAAAACCGTCTCCATTAATTATATTCAATCAAAAATGCAGTCCTGTGCCGCATCCATTCGAACCACATTTCACGGATGACGCGAAACAAAGATAATAATTTGCAAAAATTAACTTTTACAGCGTGTCGACGGCAAAGGGCAGATTTAACTTGGACACGTTGGAGCGCCGTGAATTTTACAGGAATTCCGGATTATAACCGGCGAATTAGCGCACCGCATCCATCATTCACTGTGGCGTTGCACTCTCAACTCCGAGGGAATTTAAAGCGCTGCGTAAATCCGAAATTCCGCGCGCGCGCGCGCGCGAGCTAGCAATCTCAGCCTCTCTCGCCAATAATCATCAGCTTATCGAGCAAAGAAGCAAGATAAAGTCCGTGGCTGGACGAGGAAGGGCTAAAAACTGACCGCGGCGAGATAACGCGCGTTAGAGCCTGGCTCTCTCCCTCTCTCTTCGGGCCTGCGGAGAGAAAAGAAAAAGGGAAGAAGAGGCTCGCAACGTTGCCTGTTGGGAGAAGGCTGCAGCAGCTGCACGCCCAGGGCTGCAGCAACGGTCGTGTATTTACGGGTTACTCGCGGATAGGAGGTAATGGGTCGCCACGCCGCGCCGCTGCTGTCGAGGATATAGCTGGGGCTGTAACTCAGCATCAGCCTTCTCTAATCCCAGCCGATAGATCTCCTACTCTACGATCTTCGCGCGCGGCACCGAGCTTTGACGTCTCTCTCTCTCTCTCATCTTTGCTCCGCTATTGTTTCTGGTCAGAGAGCTTCGCGACCAATTTTTCAATCTGCCGTCAACGTCGACGCGGAGCGAAAATATTCTCCCTCGAGGGAGAGGAACACAATTCTTTGTCTCCCTAGCTCTCCGCGCTTGAATTGACTCGCTATGCTGTGCGAGAGAGAGAGAGAGAGAGAGAGAGAGAGAGAGAGAGAGAGAGAGACTCGACTCGGAAGAATAACGCGGCTTCTTGGCGAGGTAATAGAAACGTCGAGGCAAGGATTTCGGCGTCGCACGAACGGCTGCATGGCTTGCTGCTGCCGCCGCTGCTGTGGTAAAACGCCAGAAACACTGACGTCGGCCCGAATTAAGTTTTCTCCTTCTCGCGTTCGCTCTCTTCTGTATATCGCTAAAGCCCTCCGGTATAACCTCTACCGGGGATGCTCCCGAGTAATTCTCCAAGGAGATTCTCCGAGAGAGAGCTAACTGTTCGGCCGAGTACGCCGAATCGGTCGAATTTTGCAGTGGGTAAACAAACTTTTTCGGCTTCTTATTCACTTCTGGAATCGGCGAAACTCCGGCCTAAATGACTCGTGCAGCTCACGCTTGGCGCGGTCTCGCGGCGGGGACTTCGGCGCGATACTTGACGGAGCCGTGCACTGCGGCTGGAATAAGTATTTTGCTCGCGCGCTCCGAACGTGCAATTGCGAGCTTGCGAGGGCTAGAAACAAAAACAGTCGGCAGCACGGGCGCGGAATCAGGAATTCCCGAGCCGCCGAGACAAACCCTCCTCCCCTTCGGAGATTATAATCTCGTGGCGCGCGTGCAGTCGACGGCTAATTCGCACGCTCCAGAACTTTCGCCGCGTTTTACGCTACGGCGGCACGCCAGCCAATGACAATGCCACCGCGTGCGAAAGAGAGTTTGCGCGTACATAACTGCATCACCGATGTAATTCTCGTTCGGCTCGGTTCGCGTTCGTTTCTTCAGCGGCGGCGCAACTGTGTACTAATGCGCGCGCGAGCGGATAGCCGAAGCGGCGCTGTTTGATTGCCGCTTCCGCCGAGCCGCGAATATTTCGCCACGGGGAAAGTTTGTCAGCGCAGTGCGCGTGAGCGCACCGGACTTTTTGGCTATATTTATCACGATCGAGCCGATAAGCGCGCGATCCGCGAATCCTCGGGCGATCTGATAAGCGCGCGTGATGTATATATTTGCGCAAGCGAAGCGAACGCAGCGCGTGTTTATCAACGGGCGATAGCGAGAGAAATGCACTCGAGCAAACATCCGATCGTGTGAGACGCATTAAAATCGAAGCGGTGTACACGGGGATCCTTCTCTTTCTGCTGTCGATCTACGGGAGTTTTATGAGCAGAACTTATGAGAATTGCTCGGCCGATGGAATGGAGCGCTGGCTGGAGCATGTTGGTACGCGCTCGCGAGGATTAATAGCCAAAGGACGACGATTGCTCGGGAATATTATGAAATATAGTCTCCGCGGAGTCGGGCGGCGTCCGCGAGATGCCCGGCTGATAGGAGAAACGTGTTAGGCGAGCTCGAGGCCGCGCATACAAAGTGTTCGCTTTTCGCGCGCGCCGCGAGCTACTGTCACCTTTGCCGCCGCCGGCTGCGGCTTAAATCAAAGCGCACGACAAATTTTCCATCTCGAGCGAGCGATATGCCGAACGTGCCGGGCTTCGCCGAGTGACTTGTGTTGCCGCGGCCCCGAGGACTTTTCTTGGCTCGTCGGCCTTTCGCCTCCACCACTGAAAACGAAAATGAACTAATAGCCGAGAATTAAGCCGAGTCACCGATTATCTCGAGCTCGGCGATTCCCGAGCTAGCCGATGCTATCATCGCGGCTGGCTGAGTCGCCGTGTACGGCACAACAACAGAGGCAATAATCCCCGGTTGAGCTTGCGAGGGCAATTCTTCTTGCGTTCGCCCGCCGCGACGTGGTAATTTTCGCGTGAAAAATGCACGCCGGAATATGCATTTTTCGCGCGTCATCTCGCAGCTTGACGCACGCGCACGCACACACACACACAAACTTGGCGAGGCCGCTCGGCCGTGCGCAGCGCGCTTTAGCGATAAATGCTCGCGGTGGCGCGCGGCGCATTTTACGGTTTGCGCACTTTGCAATTTATTCGCCAACTATCATACAAAACAGCCGCAATAAAGGAGAGTTAATAAAGTCCACGAGCAAGACAAATCTTCCCTTCTCTCTTTCTCTCCCTCCCGCTCGCCCCCTGAAATATGGCTGTTTGGTCTCGCTCGCGCATTCCTCCTTGCGCGCGCGCTTTTCCCTGGGCCCGGGTAAACTCGCTCGGCGTTTCTCGATCTTGATCGATATGCGGACCGCCGGCAGCGTCACTCAGTCATAAATCAATGTACGCGCGATCAAAACTGAATTTGCGAGAGTGAAAAGTCTCGAGGCGCCGGCCAAATTGAAAGGAATCGCGTGGATCGCGCGCGATTACGAAAAGACCGTGGAGCCTGGGGGGAGTGGAGAGGAGGGTTGGGAGCGCGATCAAATGGAACGCCGCGCGCCTGGACTCCGTGAAAAGTCTGTCTTTCGCTGCGAGAGCTCGACTGCGGGCTCCTTATCGGCCGCGCAGCGTCCAATGCATAAAGCATAAAGTTCGTATCTCATGCATAAATTCATACGGCGCCAGTCATAACTTACGCTCACTCGCTCTTGTTCGCCCATAGTATCGAAATCACCGCTTGACTGAGGCACGTATGACGCCCTGGCGTGCGCGCGCTCGAGCCCCCCCCCCCCCCCGCTTTCCCTTCCGATGGCAGACGAATGTGGGAAATTCCATTTTCAGCCAAATCCATTTTCGGCCCTGCCCGCGCACTCGCTGAAAAATCACTCAATTATACGAGAGAAGCCGGCTCTCCCGGTAATTCATCTATTTTTCAACGATACAGTTGCATACGCGCGCTGACGTTTATCGAGAGAGAGAGAGAGAGAGAGAGAGAGAGAGAGAGAGAAAGCGCGCACCCGATCGATCGCGAGCGCTCGACTTGATTAACGACCGGCGCCTATTCCTGAGCAATCTTTAACGAGCGCCTATGCTTTATTCATTATGATTTCATTTTTCTCGCCCGTTCATCGCCACCGCGGTTTCGCGTAATGCGCTTTTTTGTCTCCGCGGGTGCGATCGCTGACGCTCGATGATACGCGCGCGCGCCATCGGCTCGCGACTGCTCGACCTGATGGAAATTCAATTGACGTGGGCACGCGCGGACGACGACGGCGAAAACATTAATTTGATTTCCCGGGCATGGCGGACGATCAATTATACGTCCAAATGAGCGATCACTTTTTCCCGCGGGCTGCTACATTTGCTCGAATGATTGTGGATTCCGATTGATGTCGCGCGCTCGACCTTCTCGCGCCGCGATCGCCGGTCTCGTTTTTCAACGCGTTCCGCCGTCCTCGAATAGCCACACGCCTGTTGACGTCAATGCTTGTAATTGACAATTTGTTTGATCGAATAAAGACAATCGTCGATTGAATTATCGAAGAGTACGGGCCAGTCGTGCAACAACAAATATGCAGATGCCGGAATCGAGACGAGGTTTAAATAAATGATGAAACGCTCCGCGGCAATAACCTTTTATTGAACAGTTGAATTGCGCTAGCAAAGGGGGGAAAAAAGAGTCTCTCAGAAAGACGAACCATTTCTCTGAGCTTTCTATCGCGCGTGCAAAGCGTGGCCGAGCGAGGGAGCGCGTCAAAGAGACAAACTCTGTTGGTGAGCACCAAAGACGCTACTTCTCCGCACCCCCCCCCCCCCCCCCCCAATAACAATTAGGGAGGCGTGCGTCCTCGACGCAAGTCACTCAATAAATTCGCATCCCCCTAGTTCTTCTCCAGAAGCCAAGCTTCCGAGTCAAGCGCCCGTCTCGTCGTCGTGATTTACTTAAGGTTGAGAGAGAGAGAGAGAGAGAGAGAGAGAGAGATTGTATATACCATAGTCTGTTGAGACATGGCTTTGGCGAGACGTGTTTAGCCAAGATTTCTGTTTCAGATTGCCATCGCCTGCTTCACGATGCGTGAGCTTGGCCTCTTCCTCCTCGGGCCTCTACTTCTCCTCCAGCTGTGTCTCTGTGAGTATTTACACACACCTACAGCTACATACAGCCGCGTTTGCCCATCGTAACCAATGTTATGAATTGTGCTGCTAGCATCGTCGTTGTCGTCGTCGCACCTATCAAGTCGTGTCGCGCAACTCTCTCTCCCTCTCTCCCTCCCTTTCTCGCTGCGAAACTCTGTACGCGTCAAAGCTCGGAGAGCGAGAACCTGTTGCGGCTATGGCGCACGAGTAGCGCGCGTACGCGAGATTTTTGCTAGTTAGACACACTGTTTTATGAATACATATATTCTACGAGCAAATGCAGAATCTTACATATATACACGTACGTCAGTTTATCAGGGTGATTTGATTTTTTAACAAAGCCAATAAACATTTCCTTTCATTCGAACCATCTCAACGCCAAATAGAGCTGAATACATATATTTTAATTAAATCCGTTTTGATACCATTACAGATGGTCTCCCGCGTGAATTATCGTTATTACCTCCCTCCCTCTCCCTTCCTCCAGACTCAGTTAATGCAAGCGCGAAATATCACCTGCAAAAATGTCATCCAATATGCAATTGTGTGCTTATCGTTATGCGCTTGTCGACAAACGCACATGTTTACCCATGTGATTTTCGTACACGTCTCTACCTTTTTTTTCTCGGTCACCTCGATAAATCGTCGAAAAAAAAAAGAGGACAGGGATTAATTTCTTTTTACGCGAGCCACGAAGTTATCAATTTTTTAATCGCGCTGACGAGATTTTTTGTGTCTGTGATATTTTTTTTAATTAAAATGGTCTCGTTTTGCCGTGCGGGAATTACGGTTATCGAGGCTACTAAAATGAATGTTCATTAAAGGCGGTTAGTTTTTTTTCCGCTCGACGACGACGATGACGACGACGCCGCTACACCGCTCGTTAAATTTCATGAGCGGCTTGTTCGTGCAATTTAAATTTAACATCGCGCAATGTTTACACGAGTCGTCTCTCGAAAAAATATGTATGTATTCGAGTCGCTGCCGACTGCGAGCGAACGGGAAAGAGAAGGGTAGGGGAATGAATCAAGCCATATCCGAGGACTGAAAATTGATCGCGCGGCGGAAAAAACACGACAAGGCAGAAGGGAGGAAGAAGGGGAGGAGGGAAGGAAGAGCTATTTCTAAGTGAAAAGTAAAACCTTTGATGAATTTGGCTTCTTTCGTGGCTGCGGGTCACTTTGTTGTTGTCGCTGAGCTTGGCTTTGTGCGAGCCAAAACTTCGTCCTGAGCCAGACGGAATGACTGATATCTCGCTACGATTGGATAGTCTCTTTCTTTTCAGCCGACCTCACCGCTAGTTTTCCTTTTTCAGCTGGGTCTGGTGCTATATCCGCGACGCTGAAAGGAGGAAATAAAGGAAAATAATCCGCGTACTTTTTGATCGTCAAAAAGTGCGAACGCTCGGGATAGTGCGAGTGATATATGCGTGAAAGGTGCGCTGGCTGGATTATCTGTTAATAATTGGCCGTGCTACGTTCGATCGGAGGCATAATAAAACGGGAAAAGAGCCGCGCCTCGGCGGTCCGACTGGGACAAAGGAAGATTTACCGAGGGGGACGCGTGGAATTGATGGCTCTTTTAAAGGAGCATTAAACAAACGAGAGTCGCCATCTATGTTAATACGAGCCTCTAGCCAACGTGTAAGTGCGCTTTCTTCGCTGTAGACCGCACGCGTGCGGAAGCGAGAGCACCGAGTGAGATTTATACGCGAGGCGAAGAGCGCGCGCCGCGAGCCAGAAGAATCTCACTTGGTGGGGGGCGTGCATATGGACTCGGCGGCGATGCGAGCAGCCTCTTGCGCAACCGACTAGCGAGCGTTGCGGGCAACGACGAGGCGAGTAAGCCGTGCACGATTAACTCGGTGTGGCCAAGGGAAGAGAAACGTTTTGGGGAGGCTGCGTCCTGCCCACCGATACCGTACTGCCTATTGTTTATTTCCTCGTCCATTATCACTCGGAAGCGTCTGATTCCGCAGAGCAGAGCTGATGCCACCGGCACCAAATCCATTCGATATTCATACTTGGAATTTCAAAGGAGCGCAAGGGATAAAGGATAACTTTTCGGAAAAATGGAAAATTCTGTGACGCGCCAGTTTGCCCGTACGCGTGAAATTCCGCGCGGCGCACGAGACAGGATGAATCTGCAAAAATCTAAGACGTATATCTCAGCCGAAGACATCTTTAATTCCGTGCGCGCAGCAATATGATCCAGACAGTCGGAGCATAAGTTTAAAAGGAAGCCGAGCGCTGAAAAAGTGGCGTGCATAAAACACGAAAAAAGATAAGAAATGTCAATTGAAAAATGGCGCGCTGGCTGGAATCGAAAAATGGGCTCCGAGCGAGCGAGCGATATAACCCGCGAGAGTACGACGGATCATCTGCTCGCGACGTGATGTTCATACACCGTTTCGAGATTATGCTAACGAGACAAACGTTCATTCCCCTTTTCATATACCTACATATCGATTCGTCGTTCGGTCGTTCCATCATTTTTTTTCTTTCACTTTCCGATCTGACTCACTTTTTTTTTCGACACCAAAGTTTACGGTAAGCGTTTGTCCCGTATGTGTACTCGATTTTACACTCGAACGAAGTCAGTCGATTACGCGGAAGTTTTTTTCTTTTATTTTTTTTTTTTTTCTTTTCGTTTTTTTCGTTTTTTCCCCCGAGCGAACTTGTCGGGGAGAAAGACCAACGGGATTATGCTATTTTTCTTCGGAGAGAGCTCGCCGATTAGGTACACCCGCGTAGGCAGGATTTCGCGTCCGATATGCGGGGGGACGCTTGGAAATTAGTGATGCGTAATTTCATTTGCTCTTTTCGCTACATTTGTCGAATTATTAGTTTCTTTTGGCCTTTGGTCGAGCAGTTAGATATGGATTTTTTTCTTCTCTTGCGCTACATAATAGGGATTACGAATGCCGCTCGGGATGAAAACTCATCGCACGGGGAAAATGTAGGAATACCAACGAGCGAAATCCGTCATTTTACGTTTGCGCGAAAGAAACCACTCGCACGCAAGTGAGGATTAGCTTCTTGCGCGCGAGAAATCAGCTTTAAACTCATGTTAAACTCGAGATCAGCATTTGAGAACTCACGTAGAAAAGGCGCCTGCAGTAAAAAATCTCAATCTCAGAGCGGCGCTCTCGCGAGCATAATACTGCGAGCTTTCTTTGGCAAAAGAAAAAGCAAAAAGGACGCATCAAGACGTGGGATTGACGAGGAGCTCTTCATCAGCGCAGGATGAAAATAAAACGAGATGGAGCGCGCGAGCTTTTAGCAGCTCAAAGTGGCTTACGCCCTGTTCGCGGTAGTCGAATAAAGAATTAAATGCAAAATTAGAATTCCAGCGCTGCGCTGCTCGAGCGATGCCGAGCGGGGGCAGGGAAGCGGTGATATAAAAGGCGAGCGGGTGGCCGGCCGGCTGGGTGGTGGCGGCGACTCCTCGCGCCGGATTACGACTGCAGAATTTTTCCATTTATCGCTTTCTCGCGCGCGTGCGCTCACCGGAGTGCCGAATATCGAGCGCGATTTGTTTGCCGTCCGTCCGATTGCTCACGCGTACGATTTTTCACGAGACCGAGAGAAAGAGAATAATGGCTAATGGCATGTACGTGATGTAGGTCAAATAACGCCGGAGATTATGCCGGAATTCTTGGCTCCGCTGGAGAACCACACGGTCATACTGGGACGCGACGTGTCCTTCACCTGCGTCGTCAATCATCTCCAGTCCTTCAGGGTAAGATTAATCGATTCTCATCATGACTCTCTCTGTCTCTCTGTAGCTGTGTACGTATGCTTATCGCCACCCTCATCCCGTTATTGTTTCTGTAGATTAAATATATGTTGGCAAAAACGGAAATGAGCTACGCGCCAAAAAGAGAACTCACGCGTCAACATTTTTTTAGAGCTGTTTTTATCGGCGCCTATGAGTGATTAGTTTTCTCAAGTTTGATACTCTCGAGAAAAGTTGTTGCGGATTTTTTCGACAGTTCCAAACTAATTTTTATGTCGGACTGAGCTTGGATCCGAATTTCAATTTGTTCCTTTTCTCGTTACGTTCGCTTAGTTTCGCTTCAATTTTTTTAAAGCTTTTAAAGCTTAAATAAATATACGGATCGTGCAAGTAAATCATTTTTCAACAGTTCAAACAGTTAGATATTTCGAAAAGTTGTAAATTTTATACAGCAATAACTTTGTTTATTTACGACCAATTTATTGAACTGATATTTGAACTAAACAACGGAAAAACGTCGAGAGCGCGAAATCACGAAGAACGGAAAGAAAACAGGAACGTGGTAAAGATTAGTTCATTGACGTATGTATGATCGAAGGTGGCATGGATAAAGTCGGATTCACGTGCGATCCTGGCGATTCACACCCACATGGTGGCGCACAACCCGCGACTGTCAGTCACGCACAACGGCCATAACACCTGGAAGCTTCACATCTCGAACGTGCAGAAAAATGATTCGGGCATCTACATGTGTCAGGTCAACACGGAGCCGATGCTGTACCAGGTGAGTGAAAAGCGTCGATACGCACGGCTCGAATTCCGCTGCACGTTGATAGAATACTCGAATATTCCAAGTTGAACGTGCCGATAAACATGATTTTGCGAATGAACTAAACGAAAGATTAACGCATGGCGACAATGGCGTGTGTTGAAGATGGGCAACATGACAGTGGTGGTGCCGCCAGATATCATAGACGAGGCGTCGGACGAAGGCGGCCTGGTGGCGCACGAGGGTGGCAACATCAAGTTACGCTGCGTGGCGACTGGCATCCCCGAGCCGAACGTCACTTGGAAACGCGAAGACGGGCGCGCCATCGTGCTGCGAGAGAACCAACAGAGGAAGCGTAATGTCACATTTTAGCTCGGCGCCCTTTCAATTTGGGCACGCGCCGGCTGCGCCGCACTTCCATTTGCGCGCCGATTCTGGCCTGCTTTATCGAACCCCCGAAAGAGGCGACGTTCGCTCGCGCGCTTCGGGCGCAGTTCAACCGATCGGTTCCCTAAATAGCCGCCTAAATAGTCGCGGCGCAGCTAGCCTAGTCCGCAAGCATTAATACGCCCCGCGAATGTTGCAGAGCTTGCCAAGTACGAGGGTGAAACGCTGGAGCTGAGCGGCGTGCAGCGACAAGAAATGGGCAATTACCTGTGCATCGCCAGCAACGGCATACCGCCGACTGTCAGCAAGCGCTACTCCGTGCAAGTCCAGTGTAAGTTAGAGCTGTCGTCGACCTTGCCTCGCGCAATCTAGCGGCGTTCGTTTGTCTTGATAAACGTCGACTCAGCCCTTCCCCCAGCTTTTTACGACGACTCCAAGTCTCCCCAAGCACTGCCGCGCAAAGTGCTATCGCGCCCCTCCCGTTCGTCCGGCCGCCGAGCCGGCGAATCGCCAATTGATCGTCATTTCAATTTGCAGTCCAGCCGTCGATAAAGGTGACGAACCATGTAGTCGGAGCGCCCGTTAACAAGGACGTGGTGCTGCAGTGCACCGTGGAAGCCTCGCCTCAGGCCATGAACACCTGGTACACCGACAAAAGTACGTACAGTCTGGCCGCGTGCGTGCGCCTATCGTCCCTCTCTCTCGCTGCGCCCGCGCAGTCGACAACTCAGTTAATACGTTTCGCAGTCGAGGCAAACGCTCGGACTCGCTGCGGCGCTTCGCACACGTCTGCGCGCAATTACCGCGCCCCACGGCGCCGACAGAAATCAATTGTCGAACGTCGCCGTGCCGACGGGCGCTCGCGCTCCCTTTGTCGCGCCTGCGGACAGGTGCGAAAAATCGCCCAACGAGGCGCGCCAAATTAGTTTAGCGAGCGCCGCGAATTCCAGTCCGCGGGCTCGAATTAATTGATTTCACTAATGGAGTAACAATGAAGTTATACGTATACACGGCTCCGAGACAACTCGCGCGGTCGTATTAGTTGGCGAATGGCGCGGGTTCCAAGTTGGAAGATTGAATAAACGGATTCCGCGATGCGAGCGCTGTTCCGCAACAGCGACATTAAGCAAATCACACGAGTGCACTTGATTTTCAAATTTTGTTCGTTTGTCGGGCAGATAACAAGCTGCTACCGAGCGACAAATACGCAATGTCGGAGCGCCAGACCAACGACTACTCCTGGGAGATGAACTTGACGATACGATCGCTGACCAAGGACGATTTTGTGGGATATGTCTGCACTTCGGAGAACGCATTAGGCAAAGCCGAAGGTGCCGTCAGATTGCAAGGTGAGTAGCGAGCAATTGGCTGACTATAATTGGTTCGTTCTACTTGTGGAAAATGTACACGTGTTGCTGCGGAATAATTGTCAGTTGAGCCTGCGCGAAGTTGAGAAAAGTGCACGGCGGTTAATTTCTACTGGAAATTTCTACTGGGTGAACGTTACGGGTGATCTTTACGTGCAAAATATTTACTCGAAGTCATCCGTCGCGTGAAATATTGTCCGCGCGGCGTGGCCCAGAAAGCGCTCGTGCATAAGCAGCGCTCGAGGCGCAATGCGTCGCAAAAGCCGTCACTCTGGACTCGGACAAAGCAAGCAATTGTCGATCGTTGCAGAGTTGCGAGATCTGTTCCCGACGACGACGCCGGGCACGCAGTCTCGGCCAAACGACCTGCGCCCAGGACGCAAGAAGCCATCGAAATTCGGTCGGTCGCGCAACAAGCACGAGCAGCAGCGTCACCACGCCGAGGAGAACTCGAGCGCGGACGAGCTGGAGCCGGCGCACGCCTACGGCTCGGACGAGAACAGCGTCATCACCACGCAGACGATGAACGGCAACCAGGCGTCGCGGGGTCAGCAGCAGCGCACCGAGAGGCCGCACGCCCAGCCGTCCTCGCCGCCGCTGTGGCCCCTCGCCAACTTGTCAAGCGAGCGTTTCGCTCTGGCCGAGCTGGTCGTCGCCGGCCTCTGCCTGTGCGCACTGCTCGCCAGGCGAGGCGTCTAATGACGGATGACAATCCCCCGCTGTACATACTACTTGTCGCGAGCGGCTCTCCCCTTGCACTCGTGAGATTCGGCGCCGAATCGCGGAGCAAGCGCGGACAAGGACGACAGTACTGTGCGCCCGTATCATATACATACCGCATAGGCTAACCAACAATTGTTATTGATCAAGCGCGACTGTAAATATAGATTTATCGACGATTCGTGCGCGCCGCTTTCTCGATCTCACTATCTATCTCACTCGCTCTCTGAGTTATGGTAATGCCAACGCAAGTACGTGCTCCGAAGCAAAGAAAGGTGCACCGCTCTTCTCGCGATTATTCGCTGAATTCATTTTTTCAGTTAGTTTTTCTTTCTCTAGTCTGGTCAAGCGCGCCGCTCCGTATATCTGGTTCCGGAACCAACTGATACGCAAAGCAAGCTTGCAACGACGCACATCGGTGCTTTTACGACAATGCGTTCTTTCACTGATTATCTCGACGTATACGTTCGTTGCTTGGCAATCGTGTATATAAAAATTTACATGTAATTCATCGACGACATTAAGGATATATATATATAAATATATATATACATATATATGTACGTGTGTAATGAAGTGTGCTATTCTAAATTTTATTCCACTGTAAATACTATAAAAAGAAACAAAGTTAATGAAGAGAGATCGTTGGAAAAAGATTTAGTCGATCGCGTTGACACAAAATAATTTAGCGTTGTTGCAGGGACAAACATTGCGGTTCCAGAGTATATCGAACGAGTACCATTGATGGAGTATCGGTTTAGCGGTTGTGTCGCGCTTATAATCAAACGGTGTATAGATAAGCGAGGAGCCACGACAACGTGGTCGATTTTTTTTTAACCGAAACACGTGTGTGCCTGCTACACGTGACGCAAACGCACAACGTCTGGTTAAAATGAAAGCTATTGTAAGCAAAAACAGCGGCGAAGCCTCATCGATAAATGAGATTTTCATTGAACATCTAGCATTAACACCCGTGTAAAATTGAAGAGAAACATATCATTTTGATTTGAAAGAGAAATTCGCGTCGGGCGCAAAACGTTAGCCTCGTTAAAAACGTTGCAGCCCATTCGCCACGACGGCTCGTTATAACTCAGTAGCTCGCACGCGCTAGCCATTAGTTTCGGCGCATCTCGCGGTTAGATTTTTCACTCGGCTTATAAGAAACTCCCTTACCGCCCGTCGACTCTACGCATTGCGCATGGATTAGCGCGCTAATTAACCGAGAGAGCGTTACATGGATGTGCGGCTCGGTCAGCGGCTATCGACCGAGATGCGGCAAGCGTTTTCACGCTGACTGCGCCAAGACGTCCCGCAGTTTTATTCTTGATTCGCACGGCTAAGAGGCTTAGCTTTTGTTGCTGTAGCTGGACATTCGCGCTCGTACGGAAGATACCTTTACCCTGTAAGTAGGAGCGTGGAAAAATAAAAAAAAAGAAGTCGGTGAGTACAGCCGATGGAAGGATTATAAATGGAGTTAGGGTGTTATAAATATATCAGTACCGTGCGGAAATAAAGGTGCTTAACTTATACTGATTCAACGTGTCGTAAGGACACATTTCGCTTGGGGGAGCGATCAATCATGACAATAATTGAATTGCGCACGTGTGATTTAGCGAAATGGATTGCTTTTGAGATCGCATGAGTGCATCTTACCTTGAACCCGTTGCTTCGTTGTAGGGCGAATGTGGTAGTTTTCGTCGCGGAACTTTTAGCATCCGTCATCATCGGAGAGATCATGGTTTTTATCATTAGATCGCAATAAAGCTGAAACGAAGCAATAGACGAATTATGTATATTGGTGAATGTCCGACATAAGCTTTCGATATAAATAAAAATAGAGCTCACGCTGAAATTTAATTAAATTTAAGGGAAAATTTTGTTTTTCTTCCAAAAGTAGGTAAATTGCGCATTTAATATTACGTTCCAATTTAGAGGATATATTGATGCTAGAGTTGTTGATGAATTTATTATTTACTAATTATCGAATGTTATATTGACTTCCAGTTTGAATGAATAATATAATATAGCTTACGTTGGTGACTTTCATGATCGACATTAATTAATTTTGTGGTTAATCTAATACAACATAATCAGCGTGCATGATATAAGTATGGGTGTACCATTTAAAACGTTCGATAAACGCGAGGTATTATGCGCGTTATGATGAGTACCTACGAATTTTTATTTTTAATATTAAATTCATCAAAATAAAAAAAATTGTAAAGAAACTACGCGAATAAAAGTTAGATAGTAACAAGTATAATCAGCTGAAGTAATCTAAAGGAGGAAAATTACCTTCAAGTTGAATAGTTTGGAATGCTTATTAAAATCTAACGCGTATCTCTAATATTTCATTTTGCCTATATTCAATACCGAATCGTCGACGTCAAATAAAAAAAGTAACGCAGGTCCATTCACATTCGTCAACGAAAATAAAATGTCAAGTATTTACCATGTACAAGTATTTCACAAATGATACAGTTGTTCGCATTAATTTTTATTTGGATGAAATAAAGCAGCTTTTCTGATATGCGCGAGAATTTAATAGCTTCGCCACAGCGCATGAAAGCCATAATGTTGATCAAAGTACTGCCCGGTACTACCTGTAGTTAGAATTTGTAAATAAATCACAATATATTATACATAAGCAGTTAATATTACTAATTCAGTAATATATATTTTGATGATTGTAAGAATCATTCTTTGAGAAAAAGTGTCTGATGAACAAATGTTAAGATATCTATAATGAATGTAACTTGAAAATACTATACGATAATGGGTATAAAAAATAGACAGAAAAATTATTGTAATCAATGCAGTGGTATGTTATTGTTTTTATAAAATTAGTTAAATCTACATATTTAGTGATGAATTTGGACTGAAAAATCAAACATATTTAGTCAAATTATTTCGAAATGCGATTGACTGATGCGCTATATATATATAAATATATATATTGCATTTCCTAACACGAAATGCCTGCAATTCCTTTATAATGCTTCTACTTATAATAGAGCATTACTGCCAAAGCATCGTAGAATTCGTAATTTCATATGTAATAAAATCCGAATAACGTTCTAGCAAATTATCTTTCGCTAAGTTAATTTGTTTTAGTAAGTACTACTGTCACATTATTTAAAAAAATGCTAAATACAACGAACAATAAAAAAATGTAGCTTTACGTAGAAAAGGATATAGTCAAACAAAATGATTTTCTTTCGATTATTAAAAATTTTATAAACTGCGTATATAAAAGTTGCAGAAATTGCTAGCAGCAATAAAAAAGAGGAATATTATTGTGGATGATCTCACCAAGTCATTATGTGATGTTTATTTTTTGTATATTAATTAAATTGCGAAAAATATTGCCTTGGTCGGGATTTGTGTGATTGATGATACAAACGTTATAAATCAAAACTGCTAAATTGAATTTGAAAAAAATTATCTATAGGATGATAAGGTACATATTTGTAAAAGAAGAATGTACTATGTATGATACTATTAACTTCAGACAATAAAATGTTATTATCGATGTTATTCAACGAAACCGTATACATTTTTATGTTTATTTTTCTATATTTTGTACATGAATAATGCCATCATATCGTTTTTCGACGTTTATGAGGTTTTTATTGATTAAAATCAATTCCTTTTGTAATTTCTTGGAGTTGTTCTGATTATTACAATAAAAAAAATTTTTATTTTGAATTTTCTATAATTTTAGATCTTCTTTGCTTAATGTTTTACGTTTACGAGATTTTATTCTTTTCAAATGATTTTCTTGCTCGTTTGACAGCTTGTTTTGCAAAATTTTCAAGTGATTTTCGTACTTTAGAGTCTCTGCTACGTTGTCTAACTCCAGCTTTTCAATCTCCGGTACGGTTTTACCGACTTTGGCTAACATTGCAGTAAATTGCGCTGTCTGATTTGCCTGCAATAACGAGACAGCTGTTCCTGAATTTCCACCTCTGCATGTTCTGCCAGCTCTGTGAATGTAACCTTTTACGAATTTCGGCAAATCGTAAGATACAACGAGTTTAATTCCTGGAACGTCGATACCTCTGGCTAAGGCATCTGAGCTTACGAGTCTTAAATTATAAAAAATCATTAAAACTTAATTAAGCATTCAATTAATCAATGGATTATTAGCTTATTGATAAACTTACACTTGTAATGTGCCTTGAATGAATTTTTCAAGTGTATCTTCTCGTTGTTTTGAACCCAATTGCCCAGAAAGCTCTCCCACAGTTACATTTTTATTTTGCAGTAATGATTGTAAAAGTATAGCCAATCTGTGAGCAGCTTCACTTGAGTTAGTAAATACTAAAGACTTCTGTACTTGCTCATTATTTGTAAGTAGTTGATATAGAGCAAGTGGTTTATGTTGCAATGTACACTCTATAATTCTTTCTGTTAGCTGACTAGGATTTCCATAACGACTCACAAACTGGTTTAAGTCTTTATCAAGATTAATGTCTTTGTCAATGTTTTTTAAATTAACTTTAGCTGATGTAAATAAAATTGGTCTAAATAAACCTAATCTACTAAGTTTTTCAGGATCTTGAGATAGTGTGGCACTTAAAAGAATTTTCTGAGCAGGTATATTCCAGCTAGAAAAATCATTATCATTAGTATTGATATTAAATGTGTAAAATTTAACTTCTAAAATTTAAATAAAATTTTATTTTTAAAATGTTACTTCTACAATTTACATCTAAAAAATTACCTTTTACGAATATTTTCTACGATCAATGGAGGAGGTTTCGCATGAGGAAAAGGAATATACTGCAACCAATCTGTGGAACGATCAGCTTCATCAATGACCAAAAATCTCAATGCGAATAGTGAGAAACCATCAGTTTTTTTTACATGATCAATTAAACGACCAGGAGTAGCTATGACTATGTCTACACGACTTAAATATTGTCCATTTTCACCTAAGAAAAAATTATCCAAATTAAATCAACAGTAGTAATAAAAGAAGTATTATGATAAACATAATATGGTATACATTTTTGTACAAGCCTTTCTTGTTCATCTTTAAATGACGAGGCTCCAGAAATTAAAGCTACCCTCAATGATGTACCATGACAGTATTTTACCATCACATCATGAACTTGTGTAGCTAATTCTTGAACCGGTAAAACCACAAGACATCTAACCAAACGTACAAAATTGTTTTGAAGTAACTGTACTATTGGTAAAACATAAGCTAGAGTTTTCCCTATAAAACAATTTTATAATTAAAAACACTTCAGTGAATTTTAGTGGATAAATCAAATAGAATTACAACCAACCACTTCCTGTCGGCATAGATATACAAGTATCTCTGGTCCACCTGCCAGCTTTATAATCTTTGTCACATTTTAAAAGCCAAGACAGTACATGAACTTGTACAGGAAACAGCTTGTTAAATCCATCTGTTTTTAGCTTTTCAATCAACTTAGAACCTAAGATATTTTCAACTTCATCTAGATTAGAGCCACTACTTAAATCTGCATTTACTATTTCTGGATGGGTAAGCCAATGTGGTAACACTCTTTTAGCTAATTGTTTTTTTGTATGTGTTTTACTTCCCAAAATAGTAAAGTCTGCTTTATTTATGACACTTGGATGACATTCCTTTGCATTATTTTCTTGAAAACCTAATTTCTCTGCATTTTTCAGACTTATCTCATGTCTATTTAAATCACCAGTCGTGTTGACACCCTCTGAGATGTCATGTGTTCTTTTCTTTCCCTTTTTCTTTTTGCCTTTTTTATTTGTATCAACTGTAGGTGCAACTGTGTTTGTTGCACTAAGTTCTGCAGAAGTAGTTTCTTGTGCAGCCTTTGCTGCTGCTTCCTTTTCACGTTTTCTCCGTTCGATTTTCTTAAATAACTCCGATAAATGGTCTTGTGGCTCATTAGATTGTTTTTTCCACTCTTCATCTTCATATCTAAAATATTAAAAATCTTATTAATATTTCTAATTTGAATCTTTCGTTAACCACAAATTCACCTGTTAACGACGAATAAATTCATGATTTTTAGTAAACGTTTTCTAAGAGATATCGCATGATAACTTATTAATTAGTATTTTTTTAATAAAATATTATTTACACAGCATTTTAGATTATCAGGCGTTAATACTGTTCAACGGATCTAACCAACAAAATATCACTGTAAACAGCACGTGTATACTACCAGATACTACCATGGAAACTGCAGCTTCAGGAGACTGTGCTGTTGCTGTACCACGTGACAAAACAAAATGAAAAGTGGTACCCTCTAGTATCAAAACTTCAAACTCCGAGTGAAGTATTTCATTTGAATTGAAAAATGAATTTTTAAGCAATTCCTTATTATCAGCGCTTAAGCTTTTCATAAACGTTAATATTTATATTAAAATATAAAATTATACGTTAGTAATTGTAATTTTGATTCTATTTTGAGTGACTATTAATCAATAAAAGTTATCCATTTAAACACTATTATCAGCACCGTATGGTTTTTGAGTAAGCAATCAAAAAATTAATGGATAGAAAATTCGACCACAATTTGCACCTTTATATTAGAAGTTTGATGAATAAACAATAGAGTATGAATGAGGTCACGGAACAGCTCAGTCAAATATCATTATAGTAAGGAGAACGGATCGACTGGTTCATAGTGGTATTGAACTTTAATAAAGTATCCAATACAGCATCGTCGGTATACTCTACTCGTTTATCACTATCTGAGCATTTTGTCGTTTTATCAAAGGATACATTGTAAAAAATGATTCATTTACGAAGCTTCAAAAGGCTTTGTATTAAATTCAGAAGGCCATATATATAGTAATTTTTATTGAATAAAAATTCACAAATAATGGAAGAAAAGTACACGCAACGGTGAGAAAACTTGATGAATGTTTTTCAAAGCTTCAATTAAGGACTGTTATTACATTGTCCCTTTAATAACGGCAACCCAGAAAGCCAGGATTCCAGCTCACGCGCGCGCGCTTTCCTCGTGACGAGGCATTCACTGCCGACGTTATACTGTGAAACTCAATTTATTAAAGTGTATGGCGTGCGTGCGCGCGCGCGAGAGAGAAAGAGAGAGATATATATAGAGAGAAGGATAGCACACTTGCTCATCGTTATTAACTGGCCTTCTCACTACAGCGAGTGGCCGTCCTCTACGCTCCTTAATTTTTTACTACTTTTTGGCATTTTTATTGCGATGAAACGCAATACGAAATCAGTCGACAACTAGGTGACTATGACTAAACAACGCATAACGCTCGGAAATAGATACCCTGCAACATTCTTTCCGCAACAATAAGTCATCAACGCGCACTTCTAATTATACAAATGAGCTCGCGGCGACACGTCACGCGATTCATCAATTAAAAATTCTGTAGGCGCCTTCTCTTCTTCCTGCAGTGGGATTCCGTACAGAAAAAAAAATGAGAAGGCAGGTATCGTAATACGAATGCGTCATCCTTCGAGAGAACGTTTTGCTCTCGTCGCCGGCGCCCAACTCCCACCTTTTACTTTGCCACGTACGACTCCCAAGTACGACTCCTTCCATGCTCGAATCGCTTTCTTCATTGCCAGCTCGCCGGCATTGTAAGAGATGCGGGAATATTCTAGCTCTAATCGAATTTCGCGACTAAAAATAGTCGACTCGTCGAATGATTGATTGACTGATTGAATCATTCCCTGTATTTTACAACTGCAATATGCGATGTTCCGCAGACCTTTATATCTTTAACTCGAAAATCGTCGATTTAAATTACAGTCACACGTCGAAAGGGATTCGGACGTCGTTCGAGCGCATCCTTGAAACGGGAACTGCGCGATTTCGAGATAAATGCTGGATAGTTTTCATTCGTAAATCAATTGTTATTCGCACACGGAGAAATGCATTTTGATTTTCAAATATTTCGACTGGGCATCGTCGTACAATAAAATCAATCGCAAACATTGGATACGCCAAATCAGGTGGATGATGTGCTTTCGAGTCAGGCGACGCATGTAAAAACCCTTCGCCTCTCACACCGCGTGCGGACAATACAATACCATTTCGATAAAAGCCGAGGAATCTGCCTTACCATCATCTAGGCGAATCGTTATTTTATTATATTATTAAAAAAACTACGTATTATTGTACGAAAGCAAGTCTTGTTACGCGCTCAAAAAAAAAAGATACATATTTATTTAATATATGTGTATATATATATACGAATCACATGAACATAGAAAATATGTAACTCCAAATGTAACAAAGTCAAATAACGGACACCGCGAAATGAAATTTTTCCAGTTGCATGCCATTTTACGCCATTTTCTAAAATCGCGGGTGCCGTCCACCTCAAATTGTGGATTTAGTCATTTTTACTTTGCCCATTTGTTTCTCTCGGAGGATTCCCCTATATCGTTTAGAAAAGCGACACAACTCTCATTTGGCCGTATGAATGCTCGGATTTTTAATTATTAATCAAAAACTTGATAGCCGCTAATCTGGGATTTCTCGTTGTGCCCGTTTTGCTATGTTAAACGACAACCACGAGAAAACAAGTGTCATCCGAGCTGTCAGCCGCTGAAATGAAACCCACACAGGAAAACCCCTGGTAGAAACAGAAAACTGGTAACAGAAACAAGGTAGGCGCACGCCGACTCCCACAGGCTCTATCGTCATTCTCGTCGTCTCACCATGTCAGCAGTATAGACGTACAAGAGAAAGGGACCGGCTCTTTGCTTTTCTGCCGCGAGTCGTTTTGCCGGCACTTCTGTCTTTCTCTCCGACTCTCTGGTGTTTCTATCGCCACACCCAGTATATATATATATACATATTTCCTGGCGGCGAGCCAAGTGGAAACGGCGGCGATACGCTCGCTACTCAGTTGCACGTCGACTCTTCAGGCAGGCGGACGCATCGCTTTTCCTCCACCTCCTCCTCCCGGCATCTACGAATACACTCGCAGTGGTAATTCGTTTGTTCGCTTACCGTAGACAAGGTGTTTGTGCGCCATTCATTTCCGGCTCTTCGGCAACATTCGAGTTGCTGATTCCGCTGATGCGGAGAAAAATCCATCTACCGGCGGAGCTTTCTCAGAAAGTAGACCTTGCCGATGCCGTGGCAGTAACGTGACGCCACACTACGTGCCAGCACACTAGTTCCGCGTTTTGGAGGCCGTTTTTATCTCTGTCGATGTAGAATTCCCTTCGGGATTATTGATTTGCTCCAGAAGACCTACGTAACCCACTTAGAAGATCTCAATTTATGTCTTTGGAAATGCGATCCTTTGCTCTCGACTCAATTTAATTTTCGTTTTAATTTTCACTCACCGTCAGAATGTTGTTTCGAGTGATCGACTGAGATTATTGTTTTCACCCAAGGCCGTCCTTAGTGGCATTGCAAAAGTAACATTGGCATTAATATTGTTACAGAAACCATCAATCGGAATCATGTCGGCTTCCCAGTACTACCATATACAGGTCAGTAAAAGAAAAGTTTCACGGATGACTTCTCGGTAGCAACGAGTGTCGTTCTCCTCGATCGTCGCGCGCGATTTCACTAGATCCACGCACATTCTCACGCTTGTTATGTATCAATGCTGAATTACATAGACAACGACCTCGAATGTACTGTGTAAATTGAACGACACTCTTTGACAAACTGTGATGACTTTAAGAGCAATCAGCCGCGTAAATGGTGTTTACAACGTTAGCGCGACGCGCGAAGGAAACGGAAAACCATAGCGAATCTTGTTTTCTCGGGGGTCCAGCTTGTCGTGGAAAGAAAAATCGTCCTCCACCGGCTGACTCAGCCAAGGCCGAGGCTGATTAATTCAAAGGCGATGCCACGCGCTATCTATTCGCGCATTAGTGCCGACAGGCGTAATCGCACGCGAGAGACATTACCGCGCGCTGCAGATATTGAAAGATAGTCTTTCGTAACGCAACATAAGTGCGCTCTGTATCTCGCGCGTCAATCGATATGGCGGGAAATAGCGATGTGGAAAAAGAGAGAAAGCCGAGACGAATAACGAATTTCACCACTTTGTTTTCGAATGATTTTCCATCGGTCGGCCTTGAAAGATTCCAACAGTAGATTCGAGCAACGACGATGCGTCGCGCGTGCTGGCGCCATAGATAACGGCGGGACATCATTTATCAGCCATTAACTGTTCTGCCTGCGCTCGCGAACGGAATTCCGAATCGCCGACTGTGGTGCAGACGGCCGAAGTTGGCTCCGCCAAGTCACGAGTAATTAGTGCTCGCGCGATAAAAATTCGTTGCGCTCATCTCGCAATCGTCTGTATACGACGAGCCACGATCGTAGCTCTTATAGCTTAACGAGCTCGAGTAAACGTCGATACGCACTTGCCGTTGGAGCGCGCAATCGAACCCGAAATATTGTCGCACTGTAGAACTCGACTAAAGCGACCTAAATGCAGCCGCGTTTTCCCCGAATCACAGAAATAATTGTTTCATTGCAGCAAAACGCGCTCCCATGAGCTGTGAGCAGCTGCAGTGGCGTGACCTCGACCTTATTCGTCGTCGCACGAGCGCCAAGTGCACTGTGTTGCGAGCTTTCGCGCCATTCGTCTTACTTCTTATAAATTTCGGTCGAAGCACAAACTTAATCGATTGTTCGCGCTTTTCTACCGGTTTCCCGGTCTCAATTGTTTCTCTATAAAACTATATTTTACGACGAGATGACTAGCGCAAAATGTTTCGAATGTTTTGGCGTCCGGAATTTAGCGTACAACGAATACCGGCGAATTAGAGACAAATCAGACCCGATAGATCGAATCCAGAAATTAAATCGCTCAGCCGACTCAAACTGATCGTTGAATATATGACAGTGTACACCAACGATCTACCCAGCTGATCCGTTCGAGCCAGAGCTTGACGCGGAGATGCTGCGCAAGGCGATGAAGGGCCTTGGAACTGACGAGCAAACCATCATCGACGTGCTTGCCCATCGCGGAGTGGTGCAACGCCTCGCCATTGCCGATAAGTTCAAGACCATGTACGGCAAGGACCTCCTGGATGAGCTTAAGTCCGAGCTGGGCGGTAACTTCGAGGACGCAATTGTTGCTCTGATGACGCCGCTTCCCGAGTATTACGCCAAGGAGCTACATCATGCCATTAGCGGTACCGGCACCGACGAGGAGACCATCATCGAGATACTCGCTTCGCTCAGCAACTACGGCATCAAGACCATCTCCGAAGTCTACAAGGACAGTGAGTGGAGCTTTGCTGGTTTTATTTGTCACAGATATGCGGGATGACGGACTGATGAATACTTCTGATTAGATGATTCATTCGAGCTGCGCGATTCCAAATGACGACTTACTGATACTTCGTTGTTCCTTGGAATGTATAGATTGAGCGCTTTATTTGATGGTCTACTATATCGCAAGCTTGCGAAGTTAATGACAATAATGCCAACCAAGGCCGTCGAATAATAACGTTTTCTCATAATAACTTTAGTTAGTTAACTTTTTAGAACTTGTAAAATATGTCAACTGAAATAGAGCTGTAAACTTAATATCTTACTAAATTACAATGACTCACGTTTGAAAATGTCGGATTGGCGTGGAATTAAAGGAAATCGAGGTACATTTTAACGATGCTTCAGCTTAGTTTTATATGTTGCGTACGCGAGTTGTCTGAAAAATAAAATCTACAAACTAAAATCAAAATCAAGCACATTTGATTAGAATGAAAATCTCGCCACGTGTTTTCACGGAACTATAAAGAGCAAAAACGATGAACTTTCGATCGTCTTTCAAATCAGCAAGTTATTTTTAAACTCTATTACTCCACCTAAAAGCACTAAATGTGAGAGGCTTGTCGCATCACGCGATTAGATCTGCGATTTTAATCAACGAAGTGTCTTGCATAATCTCTTAATTGAACCAACAACCGCCTAATTCATTATATCGTAGAGTACGGCAACGATCTCGAGAGCGACCTGAAGGGTGACACTTCCGGCCACTTCCAAAGGCTGCTCGTCTCTCTGTGCTGCGTAAGTAGTCTACCGAAATTTTCGCTAACAGGCCCGCATAAATCAAATCATTATCAGACATAACCGGTCAAATGGAATTATAGGCCAGCAGAGACGAGGACCCCGACGTCAACGAGTCGGAAGCTGCGGTCGATGCCCAGAGACTTGTCGATGCGGGGGAGGGTCAGTGGGGTACCGACGAGAGCACTTTTAATGCCATTCTTATCACCAAGAGCTATCCTCAGCTGCGCAAGATCTTTGACGAGTACGAGCGCATCACCGGCAACAGCATCGAAGATGCAGTCAAGAGCGAATTCGGTGGCAACCTCGAGACTGGTTATCTGGCCGTCGGTCGGTTCGGCAAATCATTGCTTTCTTTTTCGTTCTCTCTCCCGTGGCGTGAAACACGCGCAATCAACTAACCAGGATTTAATGCCCTCGACAGTGAGGTGCGCCCGCGACAAGACCATGTACTTCGCTAAGCGGCTGAAGGCGGCCATGAAGGGAGCAGGCACGGACGACAGAACTCTTATCCGAATCGTCGTCGCTCGTTCCGAAATCGATTTGGGTGACATTAAGGCGGCCTACGAGCAGATGTACGGCACTCAACTTGCCGCCGACATTGACGTGAGTATTTTGGAGCCCGTATCCACCTCGCCCCTTCCTCTTCTGTATGTTTTTGAAGTACCCCTTTCTCCTCCCTCGTGGAATCATTATATGCTCCTATTCGTCATACTTTTTTCTCGTTATTGCACTCGACTAATGAGTAATTAATAATATGCTACTTCTCACCTGTTGCGCCTTTAATCAGTACTATTCGTGGTTTAATTTCGATCGATTTCAGGACGACTGCTCGGGAGACTACAAGAGACTCTTACTTACTCTGGTCGGCTGAATTTACGACACACGCACACTCTCTCTCTCTCTCCTCTCACCCGTCGATTGAAAACATGCAAAGTCAACAATATATATCTGCTCTCGTGTGCTTCTTTCTTAGTTCACCATTGTCATCACGATCTTTTCTCTGTTTTTTTATTTATTTAGATGTTCTGGTGTAATCTTCATTGTTATCATAAATTAATAATAGCTTTCTAAACGTTTGGGGCATGGAGTTTGTTTTTTTTATTTTTTTTCTTCCATGCATAAATATAAATTCAGATTATAACTTATCTTAATAGTTCATCATAAAAATCAGTAATTATTTGTCCGTAAATAAAAAAAAGACTTATTGAGTTCCTTTACTTGAGACACCGAGCCATGAGATGCTATGCAGCTGGTGCGTTTCAAGGAATAGAGGTTTAATAATAAACGTGACGCTGACTTTGACTACGCGCACCGAAAGCGAATGCTGTCGTAAGTATGGGCGCATGATATACTGTATTGAACGAAAAAAATTACATTTAAAATGGAGCCTGAATCACATTGGCCTAATTTTATAGTATAAATCTTCAAACTTTTATTTTGTAAAAGATTTCACGTATTTATGGAAATGTTGATAATAAGAAAAGTACATATTTTAGAAGTGGTATGTTATGTGTATTGAACAGTGTTAGAATTAAACATTTGAAGTCTAAATAATAGAGTATTTTTTCACAAAATCCCTGTCAATCAGTCTTTTTTTCATTTTAAAATGAAGCTTAGCAATAATTATTAAACTATTTTAATTATAAAATTATTTATTTGATAGGATACAGTACGGTATAAGAGAGCTCATAAAATATTATGAAAAACAACATTATCAATATTGGTTTATTATAAAAATACATTGTAATATGTTGTATAAGCTAATCTCCGACTGAATACTTTGAACATCTGAACTCATATGTCATAATCTCAATGGGAATAATGCTTACTAAACAAATTTTATCAGTAACTAAAGAAATTAATTTTTTCTTATCATACAAGTCATGTTGCTTTCGATAACCTTTGTTAGTAGTACAAAAAGAGATAAAATTGAAAAGCAAAAGTTCACACTATATTTAAACTAACAAAGTTAATCAAAATTATTTTCGAAATATTTTACAGAGCGATTGCGGTGGCGATGTCAAAAGGCTCCTGATTTCGGTGTTGAATTAATCCCTTATCTGTCTTCAAGATTAACGAGCATCGACTTATCGCATCCATATAATATAATTTATACAGACGAACGTTCAAAACAAAAAAAGTGTCTGCACGATCATTCTTTTTTTACGTTTCTTTTTTTCTCTTCCATTAATAAATGCACTGTTACTTCAAAATAAGAAACGTATTATCTCAATCCCCCGCATCTTTTTCGTTGAATTAGCGCATTTTTATTACTACGGAAAGGGTACTTTTAATTCTAACGAAAAAATTCTAATTTGTATTCATGAGATTTATAAATTCACTATTAAGGGATTATTTCTTAGAAAAAAGTTATTGAACACTATTTTGAACATCAACCGTCGAATGTTTACAGAGCGAGTTCAGTGGACCACGGAGACACATGTTGATCGGAATGCTGAATTAGAAATCAAGATTTTATCTACTTCCGATGGATGCGCGTGTATACTCATACAGATAATACTATTTATCACAACGAGTCAATGTTGGCATTATTACAAAACGCATTTGTGCTTATTCTATACATTATGAAAATAGAGTTTATCGTCCAGCAATTTTGCATTTTGTCGCAGGACTAATATTCCGATAGAACTACTCGATGATGATCGTATTATTAACAACGTTTGCAAACAAAGTTTGAAATCTCAATGTTTGTAAATAGTTAATCATAACTAATTAACGGTAAAACTACAGAAATGAAATATTATCAACGAAAAGTGTATCAAAATTAAGAGAAACGCTTATGATTAAATTAACGCAATATTTATATCAATACGACTTCAGGCTGAGGTTCGTCTTGTTTGTCATTTTTATCTGTCGTGCCGTAAAAAGTATTCAAAATTTTTGTAAGTAAAGTTGGCGATATTTTACAGTTTTTCCCGAAACAGCCTAAACTGAATTTCTGGAGAGGCACGACCTTGTAGAAGTTTATCTCCAATTCACCACAGCCAGAGAAACATTTGTTTTTAATATCAAGGTCATAGAATCTTAAGCAGAATTCCATCTTTATTTTATCAATGTGAACAATGCAAAAAGGTGGTGGATTCTTAACTGTAAAGTAAATATTAAATTTTTTTTAGTTATTTACACAAGTAAAGAACAAAGCTTTAATGATTTTTCTTGAAAGTATATGATTGTTCTAAGAATTTGAAAACCAAAATGCAGTACTATACACACTCACCTGAATCTGTTTCATTGAATATTATTTTATCATTGTAAGTTATTGTAACAGAAATTCCATACTGGTCAGGCAAATAAGAGATATTTGCGCACACTGCAATTATAAATTGTTTTTGTTGACATAAGTTTATGCTTTTATATTTTATACCTTGTTCATTAGATATTATCAATAAAAAATACCTTTTGCGTTTAACAGGAATTCAACGTTGATTTTACTGCAGCAACCGCAACTATAACCAACGCATTTACAGTAGTTTTCAGGATCGTCTCTACTGGCTGTAACGATAATTTATTTAAAATATTATAGAATAAGTGAAATAACTCGTTCAGTTTCGGCCATAAAATAAAATGCTTACCTGTTTGATCGGCAACTATGCAATAAACGAAAAAAGTAAGCACACATGTTAACGACAACAATAACACGATCCTCAACATAATTTGACTTATACTAGTTACTGAATTATAACAAAACAAAACTATTGTTAAGACGAATTCAAAAATATACAGTATCTAACTAACTAAATCGATCTGTTGAGCCTAACCAGAGATGAATAGAGCCAAACTGAATACCGGGCCGCGAGCGATTGCGGTGTATTTATTTTTAGAAACCTATAAACATCTGATGGTTTACCCCCACTTTTTCTACACATGTAGGTAAGATAATTTTATAAATACGATCGATATTACCATTAGTCGAAAATAAAGAGCTCTGTTCAACTTATTCAAACTTTTCAAATACTAGATAATGTAAAAAGCGCTTCGCACGCTCTTTATCGTCTTTTTCATTTCTATTTATATTGATTAACATGTTTAACACCAAAACTTTTTTAAAGATAAGTTTTCAATTTTTTACCAAACACACATCACAGTGATGAAATATATATATTAGTAAAACATTTTCACGTTTCCAAATTCATGAATTATCAAATCCTAAACTGCAATAAATAATCTTTTAATTCTTTTTAAATACACGGGTCAAATTATTATTAACAATCTTACACATTCAAAAACCACGTTATCGATTAGTAATAAAAAATAATTAGAAAAAATTCAAGAAATAACCTTTTGTTTTTACTAAATAATTTACTCAATGACAGTAGTTTCAGAAAACGAGTCGAAATAATACATACACGCTTATTTGCCGCCACATAACAATATATCTCGTGACCATATCTCAGTCAATCAGATCATCACGCATAAAGTGCTTCAATATGGCATCCATCAATTTTTTATAAAGGGACTTTTTGTAAGTATGAGAAAAACAAACACAATATCACTTCATTAACAACATAATTTTATTACAATATATATAATTAAAAAACATGACTTAGATACATGGTAACTATAATTTAGCTTGCAAATTTGGTATATCTGCTAATACAAATGAGGAGGAAATATCAAAATAAGATCCATTAGAGTGTCTTTTCATAATATCATAGAGATCTACGATCAGTTCCTCCAAACTCATTCGATTTGGTTTACATAACTTATTCTGATCTCGGTTAACATTTCCGACTAAAATAAGACTAGATAATATGGATCCACACGTATCTAACGACAATGAGTACGGATTTTTAATAAATCCTAATGGTTGGTAAAACGATGCTTCAATGCCTCTTTGACATTCAGTTATAATATTTTTTTCTACACATTCAATAGAGCTCGGCCACTGTAAATTGAAAAAATTACATACACCAACGAAGATGCTTAAAATAGCATTATGTATGAAAATGCTGCATAGGCGCAAGCGAATTTACCTGTAATAGAGTATTGCACATTACGAATAAAGATCCGATGTATGGAATCAATAAATTTGTCAAAATGGAATGTAATTTGTTATTATTATCGAACTGGCTTTCGTTAGAGTCATTTATATAACTATTATTTAAAAGTTCAGTCGTTTCTTGAAATTCCTTAATTAATTCAATTTCGCTAACGTCAGTAGGTAAAGCAAATTCTGCGCTAAGTAGTAATCTCAACATTGAGTAACGTTTCAGTGCTACGTCTGCAAACAGAAAGTTCTGTGACAACCATCCAACTAAAAATATTAAGTAAGTATGAATAATGTAATACCATCTGAAGAGGTGTTCGTACATAATGCTGCAATACACAATTTCGAAAGATATGCAAAAACAGGATTCACGTAAATCATTAAATTGATCGATGGCACGGCAATCTTCAAAGTTTCTTCACTCAATAGGTGTCCTTTGACACTTTTAATTTGAGAAACGCCTATGTGTCTTTTCCTCAATCTTAAATTTTGTAGTGAATCAATTTCGATCAAATTTCTGTGCGTTTTCAACGATTCTAGTATTTCTTGTTTGACATCTTCTTTGTCAGTAGTTGAAATAATACTGCAATAAGATTTGTTATTTGAATTAGCATATTAGGAAAATATTATCACTTGGTGAAAAAATAATTGAGTAGATTACTTTGATGCCGCAGGATGTACGATGGCGTTAAATGTTCCAATAAAAATGCTCTTAATCCAACGATAATCGTCAAACAGTTTGTCTAATGTGTAAGATTTTCTCTCTTGAGAATGAATGTTCTCATTGAAGAGTAGAGCAATGAGATTGAATGGCGTGAGAACGGTATTTTTCTTGTGGCAATCGATAATGTCGTATGCGCATTTTTTGGCGATATGAACGGGTAGTTTAGAATGAAGCGTTAAGGCACTCGCTTGGCGTATTGACATATCCACATAGTCACGAGCCGATATTGGCGGTGCAATTTTCACATACACATGTCCGTGTGCAAAAGGCTCACGTAATATTGAAAGAGAGCGAAACAAGCCGGTCGTGCTCTCTGCTGGCTTTGGCACTCCTAGCAATTCATAAACGAATAGAAGCTCTTCCAGAGGTTTGTCATACGAAATACTAATTGGTATAAACTGAATGTCAGGTACTTCGCTCCGAAGTAGACTTTCCAATACAGTTGCAAGTAAACCTGCAATGTATGAATCGTATTTATTAAAAGGTAACCATCCATTTTATAATCTACATTTTTCTGCTGAAAAAATCTTGGACGCAATGGATCGGATAAGTTATCACCAGATTGTAAATTGTTTAAAAAGTTAGTTTATAAGAAACAGATTGCTGTTATTTTAAATTATATAAAGCCATTATTGTTTACTTTTAGCTGGTGTTTTCTCAGCGTAAAATAATAATTACAATCCGATTTTCGATGGTCGAATATCGGACATTTTTTGTTAATTTAAACATTATTAACTTTTTACTTGATGAATTACATACGACCAAAGATCGTGCTTAATGAATTATTCTACATATCTATATGTTCAAATATTCTCTTTGAATACAAATTTTGTTTACTCATACTACGAGGATTTACTCAGTAATAACGGAACAATCTTTTATTTCAAAGCTCTAAACCAATTAAATTTGAAATCATTATTTTACAAAAGTATGATATATATCTTCTAATCACTATCAATAGAGCTTTCACTTTTTTCATTCAAAGAATTAAGATATTTTTATTAAATTCCCTACATTCTACACTAATGATGATAATAATAAAAGAAAAATAATGGAAAATATTTTATCTCAAAGCTATTGCTAGATTAAACTTGCTAATCAGATGATAATTGTATCTGGAGTACACAATGGGCAATGTCTTTTCAAAGAGCTTTTAATTTTGTGAAATCATTATTTATAGTTAATTTGTACATTCAGAAACTTTTTATACTGAAATGACAGTACAATTACATAAGAAGAAAAGTTTAACTTACCAAACTTTGGTGGTAAAGTCTTTTGACTTCTGCTTCTAGTACCTTCAATGAAAAATTCTAAGGCTCTATCACTGTGTTCTACTAAAGAACTAACATAAGCTCTAAATATTTCTTTATAAAGAGGATCCAAAGCAAAGCTCCTTCTCATGTAAAATGCTCCTGTTTGTCTCAACAATTCTCCAACAATTTTCATTTTATAAAAATCCATTCCACTAGCAATATTTGGTAAAGCCATATCATATGAAAAAAGGATATAAGAAAGTAATATAAAATCTAGGTAACTTCTGTGAGTTGGTGCATAAATGTATTGCACCTGGGAAAGACACATTTGATCTTTAATTCTAAAAAGAAGACTTTCATTTATTCTAATACTCATTAAAATTCTCTTTATGACTTTGGTTATTAGTAGACCTGAAAAATGAAAGAACAAGCCAATAGATGAATTCCTATTCAATATATAAAATATCTTCAAGCTTTTAAGCTTAACAAATCAATTACCCATCCATCTGACAGTAGGCAAGTGTGACTTGCTTGCCATTTCTTGAAGGATATCCTGTGCTTCAGCAACAACTGCGGATGCAGGAACATTTCGAGCATCAGCCAGCTTCTGAATAGCATAAACAACTCTGGGATTGACAAGAACGGCTTCGATTGCTTGTTTTCTGGTATAAACGAGTTCCGTCGGGCATTGATGAGGAGGCAAGATTTTCATTGAACGAGAAACCCACAAGATATCCCAATCTTTTCGTCTCTCCTCTAGAAGATCGACGAAATCTTCCTTCGCTGTCGGCATTTTGCACTTTGCGACAAGTATATTCTAAATATATAAAAAAAGTAATGATATTCTAAAAGACGCAATTTACGAAATTCGCAAGCTCTCGACAATAGTTTCTTTTAGCAATTCTTAGAACTTGAAAAATAATCTGGCGTGTGCAAGAGACGACGGCGCATCTGGCCTAGTGGGAACTTCAGCTCCCTGACACAGATTGAACATTAACATTAAAATACAATTGAATACTAAGCGTCGAAAGCAGCTTGGTGTGCGTGCTCTGGCTGTCTTTCCTTCATCCTTCGCCGATCGACTGGACGTGAGTATAAGCCTCACTTGTGATTTTCATTTCAAGCATGAATGAGCCGAGAGGCGCGAGGAAAAAGGTGTGAAAAAATTAAGCAATGAACCTTTGGTCATAAGCTCCTTGAAAGCTAGGCGGTAAAGATAAAAGAGCACTAATACACAAGGGAAACGACAGCAATGATATGCTGCCGTTGCCGGCAACTTGAACACTAAACTCACAGCCTTTTTTTTACTTATATATCACCGCCCTTCCCCTTGCAGGCATATGCACCAAGTGCAAATGCCCCCTGTAGCACATATTGACTTATTTAAAGCAGATAAGATTGCGCACGTCCAGATCTGGGCAATAGCTTTAACAACCAGCCAGCAGCAGCCGACTCGCTAGCCACTACCTCTCGCACTCCCCTTTCTATTTGTTTATGACGACATGCAGACGAAACTTAGATGGCGCACGCCTTAAAAACGTTTGCATTGTATGCTAGGATGTGTGCGTTGTGCTTCCCACGCCGCATGCGCGAGGCTCGCCAATTCAACTATCTCTCTCTTACTCGGGAGTACCATGCTCGCCTACTACGCAACCTTGCAGTCTATCTCTTTTTGTTGCACGTAGTCAATATACTGTGCGCGTACTACAGGCACTATACATACAAAGATCTAAGCGATCGTTACCCTGTTGGCTGTTGGCACGCATCAACGAACCTTTGCTCGCATCGTTCATGCTTGATGCTGATTCTTTAATTCTAACCTCTGTTTCGATCAAGTAAAACTTGCACGATACACAATATCTTAACAAAATGCCTTTCAAACTTGTTGTTAATGCTGCTGATCCTCCTGTTGGTATGCAATTTGCCATTTTTTGTGATAGTTACAATTTATTTTTATTAAGTAACCTTTACTGCATATATCATTATACTGTGAAACTCGTTATAATTTATGTGATGATGGTACCCGGCTTTTTAATCATGTACATAAGAGAACTGCTATTATAATTATTACTACTGTACTTCTTTTGTTTAGTATAATTTAATATCTAATGTTTATGACTTTTTCAAAGAATTCTGATTGTATGTTTATTTTTAACACATGTGCTCATTCACAGGAGCTTTGATCATTGCTGAGATTCTTCGCCCCAAGTTGAATTCAGATTTAGAAGTTGTGTGGTCTAATAATTTTAGTAGATATAATCCAGTCAGTCTTCAATTTCTTGTCAATGATGAAGATGTTTGGGCAGATACAACAAGTGATGTGGCTCGTTATTTATCAAGACTTGAAAAAACTAAACTGTATGGTAAGCTATGAATGACTAAGTTAATTATTTGAAGTATAGTTGTTTTTTTATAAGCACTTTTTAACAACTCCTTTTTTTATAGGCAGTGAAGATCCTTTCGAAAAAACAGAGGTTGATCATTGGTTGACATTTTCTGAAAAAACATTTAATACTCCTGATAAAGTTACAAATGCCTTATATTATTTAGACCACAGATTAATGCCTAGAACATGGCTAGTAGCAAAACATTTAACAATTGCAGATATTTGTGTATTTTCAAAACTAAATTCATTGGTTGATATTAGTAGTGTTAAAAGCAAATATCCAAACTTATTTAGATGGTACAAGCAAATGCTTGGATTACCGGAAGTTGAAAAGGTTTTATCAGTTATTTCCAAAAATGAAATTAATAAATTTAATAAATCTAAGGAAATTGGTAAGAGAAAACAAGAAGGAAAATTTATTGAATTACCAGGTGCTGAAATGGGAAAGGTCATTGTACGTTTTCCTCCCGAGGCTAGTGGATATTTACATATTGGTCATGCCAAAGCTGCACTGTTAAATCAATACTATGCTGAAAATTTCAAAGGTCAACTCATTATGAGATTTGATGATACAAACCCTGCCAAAGAGAATGTAGAATTTGAAAAAGCCATCTTAGAAGATCTTGAAATGCTTCAAATCAAACCAGATCGTTTTACTCACTCATCTGATTATTTTGATTTAATGTTACAGTATTGTGAGAAGTTACTAAAAGATGGTAAAGCATATGCAGATAATACTCCAGCACCACAAATGAAAGAACAGAGAGATAAAAAATTACCATCCAGTAATAGAAGCAATTGTAAGTATATTTTCTGTTCAATTTTTAAACTTAATTTTTTTTTCACAATTGTTACCCTTGCAGCTTTAGAAGAGAATTTATATTTTTGGAAAGAAATGCAACTAGGTACACCTATTGGTCAAACATATTGTATAAGAGCTAAAATTGATTACCAGTCAGCAAATGGCTGTATGAGAGATCCTACCATCTATAGGTGTAAACTTGAGCATCATCCACGTACTGGAACCAAATATAAGTAAGATTTAAGAAAAAAAATTAATTCAATCAAATTTAACTAGTTAAATTAATTTAACAAACATTAACCTATAGATAATCAATATTTCGTTATTTTTATTTGCAGGGTCTATCCGACATATGATTTTGCATGTCCTATTGTGGATGCACTAGAGAATGTTACACATACTCTGCGTACCACTGAATACCATGACAGAGATGAGCAATTTTATTGGTTCATTGAACAGCTGAATCTTAACAGACCTTACATTTGGGAATACTCACGCCTTAATATGACGAATACAGTATTGTCTAAGCGTAAATTGGCTTGGTTTGTTGATGAAGGTCTAGTTGATGGATGGGACGATCCTCGATTCCCAACAGTAAGAGGTATTTTACGCAGAGGAATGACAGTGGAAGGCTTGAAACAGTTCATAATTGCTCAAGGTAGTTCTCGATCAGTTGTATTTATGGAATGGGATAAGATATGGGCTTTCAATAAGAAAGTTATTGATCCCGTGGCTATTCGGTAAATAAATATAAATCTAAAGTAATCTTTGAAAAATAGAAAAAATTTTTAATTTGAATTTACTTTTTTAGATACACGGCTTTAACCGTTGGAGACACTGTCCCGGTTGAAGTTAGAGGTGCGATAGAAGGCTTCCTTACAGTTGCAAATCATCCAAAAGATCCATCGATTGGCACGAAACAGGTACGGGTTAGCTCAAGAGTTCTAATTGAGCAAGAAGACGCGCAAAGTTTGATTGAGGGACAGAATGCTACATTTATTAATTGGGGCAATATCATGATTGAAAAAATGTATCGCCAATGTGGAAAAATCATTAAAATCGATGCTTCTCTCAATTTGAACGATACAAATTTCAAATATACACAGAAATTAACATGGCTGGCTGATAGTAGTACAGAAATTGCTAATAAAACACCTAAAATTATCAAGATTCCATGCTTTGCTGTTTATTTTGGCCACATCATTATAAAACCAGTATTAGGAAAAGATGAAGATTTCAAAAACTTCGTTGCAAACGATACAAGGGTAATCTTAAGTTTTTAAATCATTAACAACTGTTACTCTATAAGTTGAAAAAGGACTATGCAATATTAAACTTTGTTGATTTGAAAATGGCAATTTAAAATATTTATTGTTTGTTATTTCACAGAGAGAAATAGAAATGCTTGGTGAAGCTGAGCTCTGCAAAGTGAAAAAGGGAGATATTATTCAACTTCAAAGAAAAGGTTTCTTCCGTTGCGATGTCCCATATGCAGAAGCTACCGTTCATTCATTCCGCGAACAGCCATTAATTCTTTTCCACATCCCAGATGGTCACAGCACAATCACGCTACCGGGTGCTCCGGACAAACCTACTCTTTATAATACCAGACCAGTAAGCTTCTGATTAATAACATATCACATTTTTTTTTAAACAGCCGTATTAAAAAATAATGCATAATTCTGTTTTAAAAAGTATTATTAACGACCTTTAATAAGAATTGAAATCCAAAAAATTATATCATTTTACTTCATGGTTGTATGAACATAGAAATAACAATTAAATTCGGAAGTAATACTTACATTAATAGCATAAATAGCATAAATGTTTAGGAATAAAATTCAACAGTTTAAAAAAAAAGGAAATGAATAAAAAATATTCAAAAAATTAAGTGATAGTAAAAACTACAACGGAAAAATTTTTTAATTAGGTTAAACTGAATTTCAAGGTAGAGAAAGGGGGTATAAATTTGAGAGTTAAATCTTCAATTTACTTTCGTACGATACCTACGACATCCGAATATCCTTCCCGTCTCTTATAGCGACGATGAAAGAACTATACAGCACTTTGCTTGCGTCACTTATTCAATGTTCTTTTGACTGCGTTTGTAGACAGCACATCAAATATCACCATATGCTCTCTTGACCTGATGCTTATTTACTAAAACCTATTTTTTAAATAATTTTACTATTTAATATTTTTAAACTTGTGAAAAAAATTAATATTGTTGTTTACGGATGGATTGCATTTATAATAATTATTAATTGCGTAAGAGTGTACATAAGCTAGAATATTGTATTTTTTAGGAAAAACACTCACCAGAATCGATACTCAAAATCATAGAAGATATAATAGTTCAACAAAATAAAGTAAAAGCTTTACAAGATGCTAAAGCTGACAAAACAGTTATTGATGAAGAATATTGTATACTTACTCTTCTCAGAGAGAAGTATAGAGCGATGACAGGTGAATTTTGGCTTTTAAGATCAATACCGCCTCCAGTTTCAAGTCCACGTAATGTAAATATTATTCATTTTTTCAAAATACTATTTAATTTTTCTACCTGTGTGCAGTATTAAAACTAATTCGTTTCAGGAATTGGACGATCAGGTGTGTCCTACGAAAGTAAATGATGCAATAATCGCTCAAGGAAATAAAATTCGAAATTTGAAAGCTGATAAAGCTGATAAAGCAACTATTGACTGTGAAGTTAAAGATCTGTTGAGTTTGAAGGAAAAATATAAGAGCATCACAGGTCAAGATTGGAAGCCCGGTGTAGTTCCGCCAGCAAAAAGCACTGCTTCAATGGCAATTGTTTTTCCAATCACTTCATCCTTGAAGTCTTTTTCCATGCAATTAAAATTATGTCATATTTATTTATAGGAATTACAACGCATCCGAGAAACAGCCGATAAAATTAATGAAGAAATAATAGCACAAGGTTACATTGTACGAGAATTAAAAATTTTTGGAGCAGACGAAGCCAGTATTGATGAAGAAGAGAAGATTTTGTTAAATTTGAAAGAAAAGTACAAGACAATCGCAAATAAAGACTGGAAGCAAGGTTTAATTTCTCCTGATCCTAGTACTTCAGAGGTCTGTACAACTGAAATAACTTTCGATGTGTTCGGTTTAAAAATTCTAAATCAATGATCGGGTTATATACAATTGTTCATACAATACATATACTATAGATACTGGAATTGGATACGCTTATACATTTTTCAGTACATGCGATCGGTCATATCACATTCAGTGGTGACAGTTTTTATTTTTCTATACTTATAATATTAGTCTAAAATAACAAATTTGATTCCATCTACGTACATGTTAAATTGTCATCGATTTTTTGAATAGTTTCATTTTTTTCATTGGATACTTATTCACTGTTTAGGAAAAAATAAATGACGAAATCTTAGCTCAGATGACAAAACTAACGAAACTCGATGAGTCTGTAATGGATACAGCGGCTGTTGATGCCGAACGCAAAACCCTTTTGCGTTTAAGAGCTAAGTTTAGATCATTCACGGGTACCGAATGGCCTAGAATGACGATGACGGTGTCTAGATCAATTTCTACAGTATCAGTTGAACTAGAAAAACAGAACAGGGCAATCAAGTATCTGCTGACTAAAAAGACCAGTCTTGAATTAATAGCTCAAGAAGTGGCTAAATTGGTTACACTCAAAAATGAATTCAAACAATTAACTGGTAATGACTGGAAACCAGTAGGGTTAAGTTCTAAAAAATCTATTGAAAATAACGCCAATTTCAATATACAAAAACTAAGCAAGCCGCAGGATAATAAAGTGAGACACTGCAACTTTTTTAAACCAGATATCCATGCAAATAAAAAATTATACTCAGTTCACTTTCCTTTAAAGTATGAATGCAAAGACCTTGTGAGTAAAGAAGTCTTTCATTTCGACGATAACTTAACTCTACCCGATGCTAAACCAAAAGTTCCCAAGCAAGAATCAGCTATAGCTCTCAAGCAACAATCGGCTAAAGCTCCTAAGAAGGCTGCTAAGAAATCTGAAACTAGTAAGGTTGCTGCAGTTCAGGACGAGAATACAAAGACAGGAACGAGATTAGGTTTGGAAGCAAAGAAGAATGAAAATTTATCTGATTGGTATTCGCAAGTCATTACTAAAGGAGAAATGATTGAGTACTACGATGTATCAGGATGCTACATTCTTCGTCCCTGGAGTTACGGTATCTGGGATATTATTAAAGACTTTTTCGACAAAGAAATCAAGAAGTTAGGTGTGCGCAATTGCTATTTCCCCATTTTCGTTAGTAAATCCGCTCTTGAAAGAGAAAAGGATCATATTACCGACTTCGCTCCCGAGGTAGCATGGGTAACCAAGAGTGGCGAATCAGATTTGGCTGAGCACATTGCTATTCGACCAACTTCGGAAACTGTCATGTACCCAGCTTATGCTAAATGGCTCAAATCTTACCGTGATCTCCCGCTAAAACTCAATCAATGGAACAATGTCGTTGTGAGTATTTAAAAAAATTGAAACGTTAAAGTATTCGGTTCTCTTACAGAAACTGCTAACAATATAATTTTTTAGAGGTGGGAATTCAAACATCCTCAACCGTTCTTGCGTACTCGAGAGTTTCTATGGCAAGAGGGTCACACAGCTTTTGCAACAAAAACAGAGGCCGATGAAGAAGTATTGATAATATTAGATTTGTACGCCAGGATATATGAGGAATATTTAGCAATACCAGTCGTAAAAGGTCGTAAGACTGAAAAGGAAAAGTTCGCTGGTGGCGACTACACTACGACCGTAGAAGCTTATATTTCTGCAAGTGGACGAGCCATTCAAGGTGGTACAAGTCATCACTTGGGTCAAAATTTTTCAAAAATGTTTGATATTCAAGTTGAAAGCAATCTAGAGGGAAACGAAAAAATTTTCGTTTATCAAAATTCGTGGGGAATCACCACACGAACAATTGGAGTTATGATAATGGTACGTTATCTAGTTTTATGAGATACGTTTACGTAATTATGAAATTATTTATATTCATCATTACATGTGTCTCTCTAGATCCACGGAGACGACAAAGGTCTTGTTATTCCTCCTAAAGTTGCCACAGTTCAAGCAGTTATTGTACCGTGTGGAATTACTGCGTCTACTACCACGGAGAAAAGAGATAAACTACTGGATGAATGCAAGAAATTAGAAAACGAATTGGCGGCCGGTAACAGCATAAGAGTTGAAGGAGATTATAGAGATAACTACAGTCCAGGATGGAAATTCAACCATTGGGAGTTGAAAGGTGTACCAGTACGCGTTGAATTGGGACCGAAAGATTTGGAAAAAGGTCAAATTACTCTAGTTAGAAGAGATACTGCTCAGAGAATAACTGCAAAACGTTCTGAAGCTAACTCGTCCGTACGGAAATTACTTGATCAAATTCAATGTAACTTATTTGAAAAGTTCGTATTACTGTTTGCGATTTACCTATAGTTAGTGACCGGTTTAGTTTATTTTTATAGTTTTATTTTTATAAATATTTTTACAGAGCAACATTTGAATTGAATGAGCACATCAAACAATCACATCAGTGGAGTGAATTCTGCTCACTTTTGGATGAAAAGAATTTGATTCTTGCTCCATTCTGTGGTAAAATTGAATGCGAAGACAAAATAAAAGCAGACAGCGCGAGGTAATAATACTTTCTAAAAATCTTTTATGTTTATTTATTAATATGTAATCATTATAACATTGTCATTTTTCAGAGATGAAGCTACTGATGATGGGTCACCTTCTATGGGAGCTAAAAGCTTGTGCATACCATTTAAACAACCAGATGGAAGTGTTGAAAACATAAACACATTGAAATGCATTTATAAAAACTGCGAAGAAAAAGCCAAATTCTATACATTGTTTGGCAGGAGTTATTAGATGATTGTTGGTTTGATTGATAAGTCATGTACACAAAATTTGGTTACAAATAAGATGAAACTGTTTGTACATTTGGCAAATAAATAAAATTATCCACTTTTTCAAAAGTCTAAACTTTCAAATTACGAATAATAAATTATTTATTTTATAACTTATGACAAGATTGGATTCAATTCAATGTTCTTTTTGTCTCCCCAAAATAGCAAATACTAACTATATGCATATAAAAATGATAAAAGAATAGTCGTGAAAATCATTAAATAAATAACATCCAATAATATCTTTACCCCAGCAAACAATTTCTTTTAAGCAATTATATATTGTGGATGTGCCTAATTGCATGCATTATATCGTCTGCTACTTGCGTAGGACGCGTGCTACAATAATGGTGTATATCCATCAGGGGGCCTATTCTGAAAAAAAATTTTAGCACGGGGCCTATTCTGAAAAAAAATTTTAGCACATGTCATAAGCATTTATCACATCTAAAGTGATTAATTCTGTGGTAAACTGAAGTGACAAACTGATTTACCACAAAATTTTTTTTCAGAATAGGCCCCCTGTAACCAACGAACAAGCGTTTATCTATCGAAACGACCCTGGCAGAAAAATGATTTATTAAAAAAAATATATACCATTAGCTTCGTGTTAATATGTACCGCCCGAAAAATGCTTTTTTGGAATTTGTTGAAAGAACGATATTTCGGAAAACTCATACTTCTGGCAAAAAAGTGATTAATATCTTAAAAAAAAATACCACTAGTTTCATTTTAATTTGTACCATCAGAAAAATATTTTTTTGGAATTTGTACCCTCTCTAAAAATAGAGAAAAAAAAATTTTCGTATGGTAGATTAGCAATTCAAATTAACGTATTACTGCGCATGCGCGGTGGAAAATCTATCTTCCAGCAGAAAAATATGCGATTTTGAAAAAAAAAAATATGAATATGCCTTCTTCTTAATTTGCATCATCTAAAAAATATATAATACTAATTTGTACCCCTGTAGAATTTGAATAATACAATGTTTTTTGCGCAGTTGTAATACTGATAAATTTTACAGGAAAATCTTTTATTTCTTAAGAAAAAAATTGATTTCTTGGTTTTCCTTAAATTTTACCAACTGAAAATAGTTTTATTGTAATTTTTACATTCTAAAATTTAATTAGACATGTTAATATACAAAGTCCTAAGGTGACGTGTGTTCTTAAACTCCTACATCCACAGAAACAGCTGTTTACTCGGATGATAAAGTAGAAAACTCTGATAAAAAAAATATTTATTTCCTAAAACAAAATACACCACCAGCCTTGCCTTAATCAGCACCAGTCGAAAAATAGTTATTTTAGAATTTGAACCTCTCGAAAATATTGAGAAAAAAATTAATTCGTAGTCTAATTCGACGATTCAAATTTTGTGTCTTCCACGCTACGGAAAATTTCTTTTCTCGGCGGAAAAATCGTGAAATTTTAATGTAAAAGATTATGAATGTCTTCTTCTTAATATGTACCATCTACGAAATTCAAAAACGTAATTTGTACCCCTGTAGAATTTGAATTATACAGCGTTTTTCATAGAAACACAGTAAAATGCAAAAGTTAACGAAAATCGACCGAAAAAAATTATAGAAAAACTTAACAAAGATAGCAAAAGTTATTTATAACTCCGCATTGGATGTTATTTATGTAATAATTTTCACGGCTATTCTTTTATCATTTTTATATGCTTAATGGTATTTTTTTTTAAGATATAAATCATTTTTCTGCTAAGAGTATGAGTTTTCCGAAATGTCGTTCTTTTCGTTTTTTTTTTAATTTTAGGGGGAGGGTACAAATTTCAAAAAAGCAATTTTCAGGTGGTACAAATTAAGACGAAGCTAATGGTATATTTTTTTTTAAATCAATCATTTTTCTGTTAGGGTCGTTTCGATGCTATAATATGCTATTTTGCGCGGTCGGGGCTGACCAGCTGATCGGTGGCGTAAAGCAGCTATTTTCGCCGCGTGCGCTATCTATAGATATACATATACACTCCTTCGAAGCGCGCGCGCGCACACACACACTCATACAAATATATTTCCGCGTATACGGCATTGGGCTTGTGCAAGAACGAGACGTAAAGAGGGAGAAAGAGTGAGAGAGGTGGCTGGCACACCCCTCTCTCCTCCGCGCCGCCGCGGTTGCTGCTGCCGCTGCCTACTCGCAGTTGCACCTTCGATCGGCTATACTACTAGCCCTTCGAGTGTGTCGCTCTCACTCGACGAGTATAATAAGTCCTGTTTTCTCTCTCTCTCTCACTCTCTCGTGTTTTCGTTTCATTTGCTTTTTAGTCTGCTTGTGAGACATTGTTCTGGCATACTTTATCTTGCACCACCGCCGCCGCTGCGCCCAGTATACGAGCCGGCGGCAGATCCGGAGTCGCCGGTCTTTTGCCCTTACGTGTGCGCGCATACACGGCTCTTTGAGGACAACCGGCGAAGAGCAAGGCTGCTCTTCTCTTCGCTTCTTATACATTACAAAGGAGTGCAACTGCCACCGAAAATTTCAGAGGTAGGTTAGGCTCGACTACTTTTTTCTTTCTTTTTCTTACAATTTTGAAGGAATTTTGATCCGCTTTACTTTTTTCTTTTCGATGTATCTTAGTTGTTTTTTTTTGCGTTAAAGAAAGAGAATCCGTGCATCTTCTCTTTGTTTGCAAAGTTTTCTGAATGTTTTCGTTTATAACGATTAGTTTAATATGCCATATATTTTGAAGCAGAGGATATTTTCTTTTATTATCACTCTGTTTCATAATCATCTGAATAATACATAGGGTATTAGCGTAAGTTAATATATTTATATTCATTCTGGGAGTTGCTGCTGGTGCTGCTGCTACGGTATTGATCGCGCCGCGGTATATTATTTTAAAACTAACACATGTCATTTATCTAAGCGAGCTTCGAAATGTTAGTAGAGCTACAGAGTAGCTGCAAAGCGTATAATTGTTACAGTATCGCAAGAACATCGGAGTGCGCGCGCCAGTAAAGTCACAAAGTATAAGCGTATATATGTCGACAAAGGGAGCACTGGGTCTCGGTTGCACCTGACGGTGACAATCACGCGCGCTAGCTGGCTGCAGCTTGGTTCGTACGTTGCAACGCGCGTATATAGCGCTGCAGTGCAAGAGCGAGGTAGTGAGAGAGAGAGAGAGAGAGAGAGAGAGAGATGGAAACGAAGAAGCCGAGCAGAGAGTGAGAGGGAGGGAGAGCAAGAGCTGCGCGCGCGAGACAAAGGAGGCCTTTATGAAAGAGCGATATATACGCGTGCTGCTTGCTTGTCCGCTTGCTTTGCGAGGAGGGTACGTACGCTCGGCATACAGCATAGGTGCGCTGGCACGGCGGCGCCGGCTACACTACTCCACCGTGGACATATACATGTATACCTCAGAAAACCGACTATGTAGTCTGTCGGCTCGCCCCGCGCCCGAGATTTCGTTTTTTGTCGAGTCTCAATTCTCATCCGCCGTCTCGATGTGTCTGGTTGGAGTTTTATTCGTTACTCGACAGCCACGATCGATGCGTTCAACGTGCCTCTGACATCCGACGTGTATGGATTTGTGGAGGCTGTGGGCTTTAGACCTCGCCAAATTACGGTAAGCTCCAGGTTACCTCGTGCTCGGATTCGTCGTTATTTGATTTGCCTTGCGAGATTCCTTTTCTCTGCTCCGATATGTCTGCTGCATGCGTTTGTATATTTGTAGACAGCGAATGGAGTAGGCGAAGGACGTGTGTGTCACCGAGAGGGAATGCACGAATAGGTATGCCTTATAAAGGCATCTTGTGGGCTTTACCCTTGACAACAATTGCAGCACTTGACTTTCTCCGAACGCATGCATGTGATTCCTTTTTTTTATTCGGGTACGTCATATTTTCCCTTATCAAATTTTCTGAGATGACCGCATTGGTTGGTGCAATTATTTCGCTTTATTGATTATTGCAACGCACAAAGAGCATGATTCAAACACGATATGAGTCAAGGTCGTTTTTGCTAAACGAATTGCGTGCGAATTGTACTGTACAGTGACAATATACTGCTGATTGACGTTTAAATTTAGCATTTGTCACGAAAATTAGCATGACTTGTTACTAAGCGTTCGTTTTAAAAACGAAAAGAAAAACATTTCACTTGTGATAGATAACAAACGGGTAAAAACGATTATTTTTAATATGCTTAAATTACACTGAAAAATAAGCTTGCTCTATTTTTTCTTGCATGGAGCAAGTTTTTTGAAGTAAAAACTCTCTATCAGCATATGATTGTTAATTACAGTTAAACAAGGTTTAATTTACTTTTAATCGTCACTTATTTACATTTTATGCTTGTAAAAACTCTACTGTATGAGTTTCGAGATTTTAGAATACGATAATTTCTTAGTATAGTTTGTGAATCGATAAATTTACTAAAAAATTATTTTACAGAATTAATGGTTTTTCTGACTAAGTATGGAACTAATTATTAAAAAAAGCATTATTGAACATAAGCAATGTGATAAATGTAGATGTAGTTTAAGTCGTGCTTCGTGTTATAATAATATGATTAATGTCTCAGAGCAAAACGTGTAATAAATCTGCTATGTAAGAGAACAAAAATCTAGAAGTTAAAAATACGAAAACACGTGAAAAATACACGCATGGGATCGATGTGAAACAGAGATGATCCTTGCATTGTATTGATAGACGCAAGAGTAAACAAAACAAAAAGCATTACGACGAAACTGTTACAGTGTCTGTGACGGTCACTACTGCTTACGCACGCAAATGTGCGCATTCAGATATGTATTCTCTCTATTCCATGGCTCGTCTATTTTCGATATCACGCTCTCACACTCGCACGTACACGAAAATAAAGTGTAGCGCGTAATCACTGATAATACACATGTACATCTGAAACTAAAGGTGAGCAGACTGCCGCAGCGGTAGCAGCTGCGATCAAAGAGCAACTTGGAGCAGGCGGTAGTGGTAAAAAAAGTGCGAGAGAGTGAGAGAGAGAGAAAGAGATGGCACGCGATCACGCAAGAGAGAGACAGTGATTCGCGCGTATACGCGGCGTTTATGACGTCGTCAATGGCCGTCGCGTTGCATGCTGCTGGTTGCTACTCGCCACGCGCGATAGTAATCACGGCACGCACGGGAAATATAGGCTAAAATCAAAAGGTGTGCTAAAAGAGAGAGGCGAACGAGGATATCGCGCGCTGTGTGAAAGTTGAGCCTGGTGAAAATACCGTACTCTTAAAGAGAGCCTGCTCGCTCGCCAAGTGCATTGTGTCTGTGTATAGCTTCTCGCTACTGGACAACTGCGCGTTGTATCACGTTCAACCACAACAAATCAATCCAAAATCTCGAACGTGTGCAGTCTGTACATTTGCTTCGTGCAGCATAATAGCTGGAGCAGTGACGTCTGGACGCCCGTATTATGGGCTCCGAAAAGCACAAGAAACACAAGAAGCACAAGCGAGGGAGACACGAAGGTGAGAGAAAGAGAGAGATCCGTGCGCCACAACGCATAGGGAAACGCGCTCAGTTGCGTCTGAATGCCGCGCAGCCGTCTGCCAGGGCGCAAACCCGACGTTCAGCGTTAAGCGGAGTTTTTTTATATCTCTTTCCTCCTTTTGCCGTTCGTTCGTCCGGCCGAGCGACCCTCCCTACCTCCCTCTCTTCCTTCCTTCCGCCACTCGCGTGCTGTCCAAGCCGCGGCTGCAACAACTGACGCCACTCCAACCGTCTCCCTTTTTTTCCCTCGTTTCCTTCCCCTCTTACTTTTTTTCCGGGGGCGCCGCTACCACACTCAAATCTATCAGTTATCCCTCGTTATTTCGATAGCTCGCTTTTTAATTAGCTAATATCGCTCCGCCTGACGGGATGAGTGCAAATTTTTATTTATGAGGTAGAAATACTACGCTATATTTGAAAGCTGAACTGCTGAAATTTGTTAGGCTTGACTATTTTCGTGATTAAGATCAATGTCATTTCACTTCCAAATTCGGACTCCACATTGAAGCAAATATAAGTACTCAATCTGATTTCTTTCTGTTTCAGGTGAAGCTCTCTATCTTACTCCAGAAAAACCACCGGCCTTGAAATTAATATTAAAAGTAGGAGGGAGTTACCCAACACCGGAACACGCAGGCAGTGATTCTCCTCATCAATCAGCAATGTTATCTCAGTATTACCAGCAGCAGCTGGTCAATTATTCAGTGACTCCAGGAGAACAAGAGTATGACAGGTATCTAGGTCACAAAAAATTAAAGAAAAAGAAGAAAAAGAAGGATAAGAGGCATAAGCATCATCACAAAGATAAAAAAAGGAAAAGAGAGGAATCCAGTCAAGAGTCAGTTGGTGATGGCGACGACAGTATTGCAGAAATACCTAAAAAAATACATGCCACTCATCAAATTCTATCCTCGAAGCCTATACTATCATCAAATAATGAAATAAGGACCTTAAGCCAGCCTATTGCAAGTAGTGGATTGTCTCCGCATAGAGAACCACGAACATGTGTTCTCAAAAAAATTGCAGAAAGAACTCCACTTCAGAGACTATTAGAGCATTTACTTAGGTAACAATTCAATATTGATTTTTTGTTTACTTCATCAAATACTATATGTAATATTAGAACTCTGTGAAATAAAATATTAAACTACTTTCTGTACACAGGTCAATGGAAAAACGTGATCCACAACAATTTTTTGCATGGCCGGTTACAGATAGCATTGCTCCTGGGTATTCTCAGATCATTTTAAATCCTATGGATTTTAGTACAATTAAACAGAAAATAGATGATAATAATTATCAAACTCTCAATGATTTCGTAGAAGATTTCAAACTTATGTGTGATAATGCTATGACCTACAATCATCCTGATACCATTTATTACAAAGCTGCTAAAAAGTTGCTACATGTTGGTCTTAAAATGACTATACCTGACAAGCTTAAACAATTAAGATCAGTTTTGGTATATATGCAAGATCTAACTAAGGATGAACTTGGTTTTGAATTAGGTATTGAAGATCCAGATGTTCACATTACTGAAGAACAAATTGAGAAAGAGAGAGAACAGGAAGAACAAATAGAGGAAGCTGAGGAATTGAGGAAAGAAAATCAGAGAAAAATGAGATTAGCAAACCTCACTAAATTTGAAGCAATTCCAGATGATTTGACCCCAGACGAAATTCTGAAACAAGCGCGTGGTGCTGCTAAATCTGCAGCTGAAAAGTTGAGCCTCAAACGAGTTAGTTCAAAAATGGGATTTTTAAGGCAAAAGAAAGATGGTACAACAAGTCTACAAATTATAGTACCTGGAGATGGAGTGATTCCAGGTACAAATCAGAGACCTGTTTCTTTAGGACAATTAATAGGGAAATTAAGTCATGGTACAGGAGCTTTAGCTGGATTTAGAGAAGATAGAAGAAACTTGTCCAAACCAGTTAAACCTTTGTATTATGGAGCATTTGGTTCATATGCTCCAAGTTATGACTCAACATTTTCAAATCTCACAAAAGAAGAATCAGATATAGTATATCAAACATATGGTGATGAGACTGCTGTTCAGTACGCTGAATCCATTCTTGACTTTGCTAAAGACTGCGATTACACATTGACTATGGTAGATGATTTATTGGACATTTTAACAAATGGTGAACACAGAAAAACTAAAAAAGTTTTGGAAGAAAAACGAAGGCTTAGAGAAGAAGAAGAAAAGATTAAACATTTACTTGAAAAGCCAACTCAAGATGTTAATCGTAACATTCCTCAAGTAGAAAAAGTCAAAGTTGATCTAGATCAACTGAAAACATTATCAGAAATCGGCATTGACATTAACTTCCTGGAAAATTTAGGTAGAGTTTTTTTGTATAATTTAATTAATAATTTTGTGACATTAATAAAACACGTTTTTAATACTTTGTTTTCGTTTTGTTTGCAGAAGAAGAACTAAAAGCCAGTGATGAGCGTTCTACACTGCAAAGTAATCTTGAAGAAACTTCAAACATGCTTAATAATCTTAGACAGACGCAACACGAGCGATTATCTGCCCCTCCTCCTCAACATTTAGCAAACATACAAAAACCATCGGAATCAGAAGTAATACTAGCTGACAAAATTACTGAAAATTTGACGAATATTGCGAAGAAATTGCCGCCATCTGCTATTGCGCCAGTTGATGGATTAAGGAAAGCAATGGGAATTGCTGGACCTCTAGGCGGACCAGAACCAATGGAAGTAGAACCAATTACACATAATCCATCGATTGTAACGGAAAACTCAATAATCCAAGAAAATAGTTCAAATCAAGAGGCTAACAATATGATGCCAATGTCAATGTCTTTGGATATGAATAGTGTAAGGCAAGGGCAATTACCAATGCAAATTGTGTTGGGACAAAGTCAAACTTCATCTATGCTAAGTACAACAGAAGCATCTGGAGTTAATGACTTAGAATCTGAACTTCGAGAGTTCCTGGAGAGCGATCCTACATTAGGTCACTCTCCTCTTCATGATGACAAAACGTTAGAAGATATTTTATCAGAATCTTAGCACGTAATATAAATTCACAGGTACCGTATAGGAATATTTTAAACGTAAAAGTGTACATTTGTTTTATAAATAAGTGTAATAAATATAAGACTAATTTACATTTTAAAAATGAAAATATACAAACGCTTTTGATAATTTACATTGTTATTTCATTATTTACCCGATAAATAATAAGCTATTATAAAGTTTTTGCATAAACGAATAGTTTTTTTAATAGAATCGCTGCATCGGGCACCTTAAAAACGTGACTTGATTAAGAGAGAGCGCCGGAATACGTGCATGCAAAACGATCAGAGGGCCATTCTACTCCGAATAATGCAATTATTGCAAATGCCTATTGGCTAAATGGCTTTGGCTATTTCGTAAAGATATCGTTACTAGTAACGTTTGTAATGTGTATTTTTTAAGGACTCCATTAAACACGTTTTTTGGGAATGTATGTTAAATAATAAGGCTATTCAAATTCTTCTCAAAGAAGTTAAACATTCATATGTATGGTCCGTACTCCGTTGATATTCTATTAGATTCGAATAATTTAAGTATTATATTTATAATATCGTAAAATTTATTCAAAGTATAAATTGTAAGATTTTAATTAAAAAAAAAAGTAAATTAAATTCAAATTTCGTATCTGACTTGAAGGCAAATTCATATGTAATCTGGAAATGTATTTTTTTATGAGCCAATAAAATCACTATAAGCTGTCTATCGCATCTAATGACTGCGCCGCTGGTAATTTAGTCTGTTTTGTACGTTTCGGATTGTTGTCAAACAATCTAGTATTCTAGAGTATTAAATTTCCTCGATATTTCAAGTTGCAGGATATACTTTTAAAAGTTTTCTCAAATAGTGACTTATAAATCATTAGTTTAAATCACATTCAGTTTAATAGCTTACGTTTTTAAGACAAGACTGCAACTATGTCCGTCCCGATGGTATTGTGTCAATTATGGATGGGAGGGGTAAGAATATATTTTTATTATCTATTTTTTTATGTGTGCATTTAATTTTCACTCTTCTTCAGTTTACCTTTTGAAAAAAAGAGTTATATTTTAGTCATAACATACTTTGTCATTTCTAACCTCTATTAAGTCAATAAAATTTATTCAGAAAATATCAACCATTCAAAATGAAATGTATTATTAAGACAATTGCTTTGCTGGAGAATGTTTAATTTCACCTGATTACAAACTTGAATTGACAATGTAATGTTTGATGAAAACCTGAAAGTTGTAATTATTATACTTTCAGCTTGAACCATACATGACAGAAAGTTTTATCATGAATGCATTTCATAAAATGGGCGAACAGCCCCAAATAGTTAAAGTTATGAGAAATAGGTATACTGGAGAACCTGCTGGTTATTGTTTTGTTCATTTTCCAACTGATGAAATGGCTCTTGATGCAATGCATAAATTAAATGGGAAACCCGTTCCAGGATCTAGTCCAGTAAGTCTTATACAAAGCGAAAGTGAATGTGTTGATGTACAAGTATATTGACTTAGGATTTGCTTTGACATGATATTATTCTTCTTAATTTGGGGTAGTAAAATGAATTATAAAGTTTTTGTAAGAATTTATTTATTATTAAAACTCCCATTATATCTTTAAATAATAATCTTTATGATTTATAGAATTGTAGCTTCATTTTATTTATAAATTAATTATGCCTGTCAGTGTTATAACAGTTAATAGTATTATTTTGAAATCACATTAGTGATATTTTATGATATAGAACAACAGTATATAATATTGTGATATATCTAAATTTTTGCTATTTTTTTCTTTCTACAGCAAGTGCGATTTCGTCTAAACCATGCCAGTACAACTGGGAAGCCCGCTGCAGAAAGGGAGTACAGCATTTGGGTAGGAGATCTCTCAACAGATGTTGATGACTACTCATTGTACAGACTATTCGCGGCAAAGTACAATTCTATCAGAACAGCTAAGGTAATATTGGACAGTTCAGGCTTTAGCAAAGGTTATGGTTTTGTCAGATTTGCCAGTGAGGAGGAACAGAAAGACAGTTTGATCACAATGAATGGATACAGAGGTCTTGGAACAAAATCTCTGAAGATTTGCAATGCTGTACCTCGTCCTTGGAATAAAGTATCAGAGTAAGTTGAAAATTTTTGTTATTATGGATTCCAATTCACTTTAAAAGTCAAGTTGCAAGTGAAAAGTTAAATTTTAGTATTAAAAATTTGAAGCCACAACAGTTTTCTCAGTAATTCAATTTTTTTTTACATATATTTTTTTATATACAATCAAATTAATTTTACAGCTCAAATTCTGCTCCATCTGACTACTCATCAGGCATGTCTTCAGAATCTTATAATTATTATGACCCATCTTCATACTGGAATAGTTATAGTGCTTGGCAGCAAGGTTATTATGAAAGCGAACCAACTTCTGATGGATACAGCAACTATGTGTCTGATCGTAAGCCCGAAGAAGATGAACTAGAGCTGATCGGTATGTACTGAAGATTTATTATTAAACTGTACAGTTTTATTTGCGACAATGACATTTCAGACATTAATGCAATACTTAAAGTATAATACATTTGCATTACATTAGATAAAAGTAATGTAAATCATATAATGGCGCTGCATTACATTACACTTATAATTCATGAAATAATCACTATCCCTGGTAGACGTAAATCTTGTTTTATTCCAAATTCTTACTCACTAACTAAATTTTACCATTACAGAAATAAGATCAATTATAAATTCATTATAAATTAAATTTTTTTTCCAGAACATTCAATTCCATTCGACGGCGATAAATCAAACAGAGAAATTATCGAACAAGATTACAACTTATGGGATGCTTTGGAAAGTTCAAAGTGGATTCCATGTGATACTCTAGAATTATGCTATTGATATTCCGACGCTGTGTGAACGTTAAGTTACATTAATTTACGTCAACTTAGCTTTTAAATTGGAAGGGAAAATACTTTCAGACGGAAAAAGTAAGGACGAAAACTAGACATTCTTATTAACTTCGTATTTATGTGAATTTCTTGTCTTTTTTTAAAAGTATAATTACTGCTGTACAAAAAAATTTATACTGAATTCTACTACTTATTTCATTATTGTTATCGTCAGTCTCTACGTGTTGTAATATACAATTCCCTGATGATTGATATATTCTTCAACCTTCTCGCCCGCTCTGCCGCGTTTTATTTTTGACAAAATATTCACATTTCAACTCTACATTAACGTGAAAAATTGTATAATAAATATATAGAGTAATATTACAAACAACGTAAAAATTTATAATTAGATAAGAAGTTGTTTGTTGGAGTCGCAATCAATCTTCAAGAATTAAACATCAAGGACCAAAATGTATATAATATATTTGTAATTTTGGATAAACAGTTTACTGTAACAACATGTTTTTGCCTTATATTTTGTTACAAATTCACCTATCTCTTGTACATACATTCTTATTCACATGGTTAGGTGATAAATAAATGGAAAAAATGCTGTTTCTGGAAATGGAATTTGATGGAGTCTTTGGCTCAGATTATTCTAAGCTCATCAGGTAATTGTAAGAACACAGCTTCTTTGTACATATATGATAATTCTTTCAAACTTTATAATGTAAGGCTTCTACTTAGTTAGCAGCAAAACTGCAGCAGTAAAAAAGTTTTAAATAACATTTTTTTTAGGAATAGTCATTCCAGTTTTACGTTAAGAAAAGCATTACACCATCTAAAATCAATGTAAATCGAAAAGCAGACATAATTTCTAAAAAAACTTAGATAAATCGAATGATTTTTAACAATAGTTTTATTACGATAACCTATCCATGCCGCAATATATCTGTTGTAGTTTAATTGCCTTGATCAAGGAAACTTCCAGGCTTAAACTACGTGAGATTTCAGCAGAGCTGTCTTTGTTTTATGGCAGGTATAGTTTGACAGTAGCTTTCGTAAAAAATAATCGATCAGCAGATGCTAGTTTAAAAAAAGGATTATTCGCTTGAAAAATTTGTGGCACTCTACGCAACTGTATAGTTTGAAAAACCTATTTCAATAATTTACGCATGATAAGGCTCTATCGTTACCGTGACTAACGAAAAGTTTAGTCAGGGTAAAAAAATTAATGACTTCTGTACAGAGCTTTCTCACAAGCTTACGGCACGTTGAAAACTTTAATCTACGTGATCTTGAAATATAAGCTTAACATAGCCCGGTGATCCTTCTAGTGGTACTGCACAGAAAGGACAAATTGCAATGTAACCATTCGTGCCATGTGGTATTGCAACTTTTTCCCAATATCTGAAACATTCCAGTCAATATATACTTATTATCAATATTTTCTATTATTTTTGAATATCCTTAAATATCAGTCAGGAGAAATACACACTTTACAGTTTTTTCAGTAGCCATGTGCCCGCACGGACTAAATGCATACGTTGGTGGACCACTGTCAACGTAAAAAGCTGGTTCAATCCCCATGCACAATTTGACAATTGGACCAGCAACTAAACACATTGGACATCTTCTTGTAGCCTTATCTTTCTCTTGACCCCAATCGTGATGGCCCTGTACATGTCCACACTTAAGGTATACGTATGGTTGCTGCTGAGCTGAATCCGAGGCAGCCTTTCGTGGTATCACGAGAGTGTTGAGACCAACAGGGCACTGAGGTCTGCCGGCATTTATTGCATCGACCAGCTCTTCTAAGTCATGCTTCGTCTGAACACAGTATTATAATCAACTTTGATCGTGTCCAAAGATCCGATATTTATTTGTTCAGTTTAGCAGGTAAGCTATAATAGTTGAATTCAGAGTAGCTATATGTTAGCCACAACTTACAGGTGATTTGGCAAGGCCCTCAGCTGACCTCCACAATAATGTAGCTCCGCAAAGATCGATAAGGGTACCATCTTGAAGTATGTTATTTTCATCTTCGACGACATTGCCTTTCTGTTGGGCGCTTCGGCTTTCTCGAAGCGAAAAAACACCACCACCCACGCTAACTTCACGCCAGTAACCGCACTGTGCTTCGCCGCCACAAAATTGCCCCCGAGGGTGCATAATCAGAACGCCATTAGTCGTCAGTCCATCTATTTCTCGATTTTCCTGCCATTTGGTTGCTTTTTCCTACAATAGCGTATTGTAACATCTACCATTCTCTCCGCACTGACAATTCTTTATTTACAAATGAACAGAGGTTGATAATTACCCCCAAGAAAATGTTTCTGGAGCCGTCAAAGCCAGCTGCGTAGATCCTAGCCACTTTGGGATCGGAACGATCGGCTAATATTCGACAAGCAAACCTACTAATGGTACTCTGAGCTACTCGTCCTTCGTTCGAGGCAGATGCTTCTCCACCTCCGGGATAAGTATCCATTACAACGAAATCGATAGGTGACTCCGACGATCTTCCAATCTATCCATCATAAATCGACAATCATTCAAATAATTAAGCTGCTCTAGAAAAATAATGATAATAAAAATAATGTACCTGAAACATGTCTGTATTCTCGTCCTCAGTGTATTCTACGATCACAGCTTGTGTTCTGGATAGTGTATACGAGATTGAGTGTTGTTTTGTGTTTAAAATGGCTTGAGAGCAATGAGGCGTTTTCACGACGTAATGTTTGCTACGCTTGACACCATTAGCCACAGGTCTTTTGTACAAGACAAATTTACTTCTTCTTCTGCCGCGATCACTAGGTGGTAAAAAACCGTTGTATCTGTACGTGCAAAACAATTTTCATTTTAAGTTAAATAACTCATAATATTAGTTATTTATCTAATTATTATTTTTTTTATATTTCTTTGCTTTTGAGGTGCAGTGTTCGGTAAATTATTCCTTTGTATGTTTATTCTTTGCCATTGAAAAACTAATGAAAGTGCTATTAGACTTTTTCTCTTAGAAATCGTCATTTTTATTTATTTATCTAATCGAAACTTGAATGCTACTTACCACCCTCGTCATTTTACGCAAAAAATGTTAAAAAAGGAATATTTTTTATCTAAAAAAAGATGATGGAAGAACGTTTTTCTTGAGTAACTTATTGACAAAGAGTATTAAATATTTTTGAAAAATACCTAAGGAATATTAAAGATATTTGAAAAATAAATCTATTCGGAACGCTATAGACGAAACCACTATACCGCAACGCTATAGAGAAAAGACATCAATATAGTAAGTGGAACTAAGAACAGTAGAATACGGCGTGAACTCGTTTTGAATAAATCAGAAATAAGCGCCCTCAATATAATTAGCAAATAAAAGTGAAAATGAAAATTCATCTGAATATTAAACGAAAATAGTTTGGCTTCTCACTAGATATATGCTACATATTTTGCAAAATTCTTGGTAATAGTTTTACAGCTCTATAAATTGGATTTGTGATCCAATTACTAGCTTGTCGGTCACTCAGCTTTGTTGAGCGAATTTTCTTTAAGAAGCCATTGACCACAATCACAGTTACGAAAAGTAGGCGTTGATTTATGTAATTGAGCGTGGTTGCGGAAATTGAGCTTAAGTTCTTAAAAATGCAATAAAAAAAGTGAAATTCAATCCTCAAATATAAGTTAGAACACTGTAGAGATTGATATAAATAATCTCGTAAAATATTTTTAAATAATCAACTTTTTTTAATAACAATTATTTTTTGTAATAATATATTGTATATAATATATTTTCTTTGTCATTATTTCCATGAAAGTGTCGAAAGCTGGTTGAAATTGAGCAAGCTTTGTTTTAGATGTAATTCAATTGTTACTGATAACAAAGCCTTGACTATCAGGATTTCCTGAGATAAGAAATCACTGACCTTTGGAAATATATTTTGTCTTTCTAATACAGTTATGTCTCCAGTTTTAAAAGACTTACCCAAGAATGACTAGTTCTCCATATTTTACTGCTTGTTTAGGCTTATCATGGTGATGACTCTGGGCACCGCGAGGATGTACGTTACTGTTACTATGACTATTTTTGTTGTGAGGACTGTGAGGTTGGCCAACAGCCTCACCCTCTTCTACAAGAAGTGGGCTTTCGCTGCTGCCACCATCCGACCTGCAAATTAAAAAAAATAAATCAATTATAAAACATGATCTATAACTACATTAGTTATGTAAACTAATATTCCAGTTTAGATAATTAACTCTTTACATTTTGTACAAATATTAGGTAAAGTAATTTTAAGTCTTTGATTTCTCAACGTTAACAATTCCATTAAAATTGTATAAGTTAACTATATTTTCATTAATACTTGAAAATCTTTCAATTTACGGGTTACTATTAATGGTTAGTTGTCACAAAATATATACTTAATTACAAATTAATTAGAAATTACTTTATTACAGGATTAAGTCATTTCTAATCATTTGAGAACATAAGCTATTCAAATTAATTGTATTATCTAATAAATGTTTTGTATCTAATTCATAAGTATAAATACATATGTTATTATGGTAAGCTGAAAATGCCAGAGAGCTTAAACTGCTTCGTTAGAATTAGACAATAATTTAAAGACCCACATCCAACTGTGATAGAATGTACATAGCTTCTGTTATTTATGACAATGGCACATGGTCATGCACTAATAGACATAGAGAACATTATTACATTCATAGCAAAAAGAAACTTATTTATAGTTAAAAAAAATTGAATTTTATTTGGAGCACAACACAACAGTAAATATTATACTTTCTATTTACATGTTTATCAGTGAATTGTATGTATTCAATGAGGCTTATTTATAAAATACACTGTAAGAAAAAAACAGTGAATTTTCAATGCTAAAACAATAAGCTTGCAGCACATCTTTAATTTAGTTGATTAAAATTGGAGAAAGTCGAGATCTTAGAGGAAAAGAAATACATTATTTTAGTCGTGTGAAATCAGCCATAGAACTGAGAAGAATGGGAATGGCGACGAAAAAGGCGGAAGGGTCGAAAATAGAAGCGACGAACGAGAGCAAAACAGATCGAGTGAGGAGAGAGAAAGGAGAAAGAGAGGATAGGTAAGCAATTGTTATTCTGTACCGTATGACCATTGCGGGATCCGTGTTAGAGCCAATTTTGCCTCGACGATCAACGCACTCCGTGGGAGCCACTTTGACCGGCGCTGTCGCCAGCGAGCAGCGAGGTCCTCGGCACTCGGCGATGGTGACGACTGGGTTGCCCTCGCGTCAGTAGCAGAGCAGTAACAAATCTTTTGTTGTCGGCGTGTACAAGCTTTTGTTGCAAGGTGCGCAGACAAGAGAGAAAGAGGAAGCGCTCTCTCTTTCTTTCTCTCTGCAGTAGCTGTATATTGTCGTTGCGGGGCCAAAGTCCTTTCCAGCTCTCTCGTAACTACTCACACAACGCAACAGCAACACAACTCTTCGTCGTTGTTGTTGACGCACTATTTTTTTTCTCATAAATACGGCCGGTAGGGTCGGAGCGGCCGAAAAATGCAGCTCGAATAATCCATCCTCTGTCACTACAACGTGTGTGAAAACACGAAAACGCAGCACATCGGATTGGAGAGTGATAGGTCTTCGCGCAGTCCTAGCGTCGAGCCCAGCTTGACCGCACACAGCTTGTTACTTTTCTTCCTCTTCTTCGTCTTCTTCTCTATAGCTACTCCTTCGCTGCTCTGAACGGTCAACGCTGCCACTACCGCCGCGTCCTCCTTTTTTTACTCCTCTCTGCACTAGCGCGCGTTATTTCGCTGTATGCCGCCCGAAACTCACTCAGAGATAAACGTATACACAGCGGGGGAGTGTGTGACGGAAAGAGATATATCGAAGAGACAGAGACAGTGCGGGAGAGAGAAAGACGTTGCTGTGGGGTAGCGACAGTAACTCCAAGAGGCCAAGAACTCCAACTTAACGCCACAGACAAGAAACTTTAGACTATTTCTTTCTCTTTTCCTCTCTTGCTCTTCGTGGATTCACTATTGTACTTGTACCAACACCTGCGTCACTAGACTTTCACCAAGTCTTGACGGCTGACGAGGGAACACGAAAAACAATTGTTTTCACGACGCAACCAGAATCGCGCACCCACATAAACAGACTCGCGCAGCGCAAAGTAGCAGAGACACACGCACGATTAGCGAAGAGAGTGTGCAGTGACGGTGGCGGCAACGACAAGAGAGCGTAGTGAGTGGGAAAAGGAGAGAGAGAGAGAGAGAGAGAGAGAGACGGTGCAACGGACAAAATACAATATACGTGACGATGCACGCGAAGCAGACAAGGATAAACTGAATGTATTATGTGGCGCAAAACGTGACGAGACTGGGAGCAGTACTTGAGCCTTGAAACACTTTGAGTAGAAGAGGATAGAGATTCGAAGGGAGAAACATACGAGTGTGCAATAGCGCAAACCTTGACATCGCGTGGGAAACACCAGGCGTCGTCCGTATCGTCTCGCGGGTCTTTTACAAAACGTTCCAAACACTTTACTACTTTTTCTTTTCTTTTTTTTTCGACTTACCTCACCTAAATCAAACTGAAATAACAAAGAAAACCATGAAAGGCCTATACTCTCCTTGACAGAAATATCTTGACATGAGAAATACTTGCTAAATGTCGTGCGACTTATTGCTGACAGACGTGTCTTTACATAAGTATGATAATTATGGAGTTAGGTTTATTACATGCTCTGACTATGAAAAGTATTTGAAATCACTTGGAGTAATATTTTCATTTTTTTAATAATGTATTTACAAAATCTTACATCTTTTAGATTTTTCAAATTTTATCACCCTTTCATTTATTATAAAATATAATTTCTTACTGCTATAATTTTAAAAGTTCTGGAAGTCGTTTTTATTAAAAAAAATAATTTTTATATGCTTGATGACATATAAATTGTTGAAAATTGACAGTTTCCAATTGTGCTTTGCATTGCACCTACATTAGCAGCTTAAAAAATATTTTTATTTACAGAATGCATGGAAAATCATTAGTTAGACCTTCTATTTTGCCATGCCATCAACAGATTATATGAAAAGTATAAGGTAAAGCCATGGACTTGAGATGCAGCAAGAATAAAACCATACCATAAAACACCATATGGGTAGCCCTGAAAAATGTAATTGCAAAATGAATGTTATAGAACAAAAATGAATAATTTTTCTTGAAAAATATGACTATTAATAAATTTTACCTGCCACACTTGAATATTTGCTTTGTCACCATCCATTAAATATTCATAAACATCCTTAAAGTAGTATATAGTTGCGTATAAAATAGGTCCAACCCCAAGTATTACAATACCAATCATGTATTGCTTGAGAGATTTTATTTTGTTTGTTTTGATAGCTGGTAGTCCAAGGAATGATAAAAACAAACTTATGCACCATATATACTCCCACCACAAGGGCTGAAAAATAAGAAATTAAAATTAGAATAGTGAGCAACTAAGAAACAATCTCATGTCTGTTAAACAATGAATTACCTGAGGTATTTGAAGCTCTTCTATCTCTAAAATAAATATATTCAAACGGTCTAAAATATCAGCTGACAATTTGGCCAGCATAACAGAAAATAATACATAATGAAAAACCATACAATATTTCAGTCTTGACTTGTTCATGGCACTGAAAACAAATAAATCATAGTTATGATAATTAAAAAGAGCAATGAGGCGGACGGTTGTGGCGAAAATCGTGAGTTTTCTGTAACAATATGTTCGAAAACACGACAAAACAGGCAGCATTTGGCTTGCATGAATATTGGAAGTGTGTGATCAATGAGTAGTCATATTTGGCAAGGCTAAAATTGTAGAGAGCGAGGGTAAACGGACGGTCGGGGATATTTTTTTTTTATTTATTGTCGACGGGCCCACCTGATTTGATAATGTGTGGCGACTTTCTGTCTGTGCTGGAAATCGCTGCCATCGGTACCTAGGGCCTGTTGCAAGGTGACTCTCGAAGCCATTCTATTATCTGTAATTGTTCCAATCTATCTCTCAATGATTGGCGTCGAATCGATACACTTGTCAGATGCAAATATTCTTCCTAGAGACCGGACAGCTTTCGAAAGAATACGAAAATCCAAGGTAACGCATCCCACTGACTAGCTGTCCGTATACCTTGTAGTACTCAACTATTTTTAAACGAGTAACGAGCGGTCTCTGTGTACTGCTAGTGTCGTGTGCTGCTCGCTCGCGGACCTTCTGTTCAGCACAGACTATAAACACCTGCTAGATTGCCAGAGCAGAATTGCTGTGTGTGTTGCTCGCGCATTTCACGCTAAATTGCTTGAGTTATTGCCATTGTAAAGGATGTTCTCCGGTAAAATAAAAAACAAGCGATTGTCTTGAAATTTAAACATGTGTAGAGAAAATAAACACAAATATTTGAATGAAATCCTAGCAGGGAAATCCAAGCAATTTTTAGAGAAATTAATTTATTAAAATGAAAGCGTACCTACACTACTTAAAATTATGAAAATCACATGCAAAATTTTTCGGTTAATAAACGTATTTTAGATTAATTATAATCGGAGTATTTATAATTCGTTTCAAAAATAGTACATATCCAGGCATTTTTAAGAGAAAATGGATAGTTAGGTAGAAAAAATTACTCATGTTTTGACTGAAATGGCAAACGTCCTGAACTTGGCAACGTTGCTCGGTTATGTCGAGCGAGCGCGAAATTTTTGAACATTATATAGGTAACTTAGATATAATATAATTTTATAATTATAGTTTTAGAAACTGATTTAACAATTTATTAATTTGTAAATTATTATACTTGTAAATACGCATTTAATAGAATGAATATTTGATATTGATTATTTCATAGACAAATATGAAGAATTCAAAAACAATTCTCTCTTATAAAATAAAAAATAAAAAAAACTAATAAATGCTATGTTGAAGCATTTTGTTCGTGATCTGATTGGCTGAGATCTGATCATCTGATATACTGTTATGTGACTTCAATAGATTTGTTTAATTTTTTATATGTGCAGTAACTGACTTTTCTTAAAACAATTATTGCAACTTTTGTTATCCTAAATATACCAGAAAACTACATTTACAGTAATTATGATTTTATATTTGTCCAAATTATAACTCAAATCAAAATTGTGTATAACCAGAAAAATGGGTTTTAATACTGATACTAATGTTGTAAAGCGCGCTTCGCATGTTCATCTTTTGTTTGTATTGGTATTGATGAATTTTATACTTGAATCAAATCAAAAGTATTATAAAATACACCGTATACATAGAACAATTTGATGTTTTAACATGCTTAATATACATCGAAAATAATTGACAAATAAAAATTCAATTACGTACCCCAGCCAGCAAGATCTGTTTCCAAAATGTTACTGAAACCAGTTTTCTGCATGTCATCACAATATTGTTACAACATATGTTTGAAAATCTTTTGACAACATTTTAGCAACCCAACCCTTCATAAACATTACAAAAAATTTATTTTAGCTAACGAAAATGTTGCGGAAACATTTTGACATTTTTGAAAACGTTGATGGAACGTCATTAAAACATTGATAAAATAAATTTTCTCTGGTGAGTATTTAAAATTTTTGATATAGAGCAGACGTATTTATTTTATCAATATTTTAATGACTCTCCAGAAACAATTCCAAAAATGTTGCCAAAATGTTACAGAAATCTTTCCACAACAATTTTGTTGACTGAATTTAATTCTTTGTAATGTTTTAGAAACGTTGCCTAAATGTTGCCAAAAAATTTTCAAATATATGTTATATGAACATCGTAACAACATTTGGTAAAATGGTTTCAGTAACATTTTGGCAACATTTGGACATTTCGGAAACATTGCTGCAATATTTTTAACGGTTATTGGAAAATTTGCAATATTTCTAAAAAAATATTTTGGTAACATTTTAGAAACAATTTTTCCTGGCTGAGGTTGTTATTCAGAGTTTAGTTATAATTTCAAACCTAATAATACACATATACATACTGCCACATTATAGTAACCCATGTAACTATCTTTCAGCCAATCAGATCATAAATAAAATGACAGCTGGCAAACCATCACTTTTTTATTTAGGAAAAAAAATGTATGTATTAAATAAAAAAAGGATTTTATTAATATTAAAAAAAATCTTATTTTGTAAATTAAAAATTAATGTTTTATTAACGTGTAATTAAAAAATCAATTTAATCGAATGATCAAAATAATTACGAACCATTCAATGAAAATATTTTGCGAGTTATCATATTTTTTATATAATGCCGTCAAGAGCTAAGTATTTCTTGTTTTACTATGACCTCTTCATTCTTCCTTGCCAGCTCTTCCATTTTAGTAGTCACGGTTCTTTCATGTTTTCAATGTACTTTGAAATACAGCAGGGATATTGAGCTCTGATAATATAGTATTTATTTGCGTTTCGCCAGCTTCTACATCGATCTTACCTAAAATATGAATTATAAAACGATCTTGTTCACTAACACAGAATTCAGCCTTACCATATAAAAAATTGTAATCATCGAATTACTGATTTGTTCTCGAATTACTCTTTGTTCACCGTGTGTTTATTGATAGATACAATAGAAAATTGTAAACATTCTAGACATTGCACCTTGAATGAACTAGCAAGTCTATATCTTTTTTTGCTACTTATGTTTCCTAAGCACAGTGACTTATTACATTTATACTGCACCAAAGTTCACGATCCAGAGTTTCCAATCCTATGATTCTTCGATCATCATATGGAATGTTGAGCTTAACATTAGACTGCAAGATTCAATTTACGAAGTAATTATTGGCACTAAGATTCATGTAATTACGCGATTCAATGATTAGTTTTTCTAAAAATTCTTAGTCACGTAAATTTCCGGGCTTATTGGAGCTACGTAAATTTTTCAGGGCCAACTGAAGTCCCGTAATTTTGGAGACGTATTTTTACGGATCTGGAAATACGCATCCTTGCATAACCCAGTAACCCTATGATCTATTACTGCCATACACACCGCGAGTGGAAAGGCGTTGACCCTTACTGTACCGTCCCTTTTTCTGTTATAAGCGCGATTTTATCGAATCTGTTTTAAAGGGATATAATCATACGAGTGACGTAAATGCGTATCTTCTAGGATAATTATTACCAGTTACGGAAATAAATTACTAAAATACGTTGCTCCAAAATTACGAGACTGCAGTTAGGCCGTCTAAAAAATTTACGTGACTCTAGTTATATAAATTATATGAATATTAGTACCAATAATTACATCGTTGAATTTATACTGTTAAATAAGCACTAGGTATATTTCAAAACGATGTCGATTATGTTTACTTTTGAGAAAAAAATAGCCGCTACGACTCACTTTATTTGTAACTCTTTTTTTCTGATCAGTTTTCTTTTTTAGATTTAAGTGAACTTTATCTCTGTGAATTTGTGCTTTTTTTTCGCTAAATGATTCTTTTTGGATTCATTTAGTGAAATTCATTTTCAATAATATAAAAAAATAATAGTGTCAAGCTATAAATTGATATCAGAAAGGTTATTTTCTATCTTCTTGCTATATAGCGACTCTCGCGATCTGTGAAACGCCAGCGCTTCGATGAATCTATGTATACGATACTTTTAACGTCATTTACAGTATTAATTTGCACACTGAGTGCAACGTTTCAAAAAGTTTGAAAAAGATGATGATTCTGTGATGGCGTTCGGTTTCATGCGGCGCAGTTGTGAACGAGCGCAAAAGAAAAGCACGAAGTTAAGGTGGCTTCACTAGATTTCGATATATATATATAGGTACATAATGAAAGAAATACGCGTTTATAGTTTTTTATTCAAGCTTTCAAAATCCACCGAAAAAATACTTCTTAACATCATTTTTGCGAACAAAATGATCAAAGATAAACTTGTATATATAATGACAGATACATATAGTAGTAGTGTCATTTATAAATACTTCTAATTTTTTAAAGAAACTTATCATTATTCCATTTAACTACATTTAGATTTTAAATCAGTAAATTTAATAATACTTGAAAAAATAGAAGTTTAACACATTTTTTAAAAGATATTTAATTGATAACTTGGTGAAAAATGATTTTCAAAAACTTACTTCAATATAAACTATCCAGTAAACAACATGATAACAGTGTAGCAAATTTGGACGTCACGTATACAAGGAATCTATCCGTTATAATTATATACAGTGATTAACTATAATAATATCAACAAATGAATAAAATTCCTTTTGAATTAAAAAAAAATTTTTTGAATAAAAAGTATGAACGGAAGTATTTATATGCATTTACAAATAGTGAAAAGGGACACTGAACGTAAAAATAAAAAGCATTATTACAAGAGAAATATATATATAAATATATATGTGTGTGTGTGTGTGTAGGTGTCTTCAAACATAACATTACGTTGTGTAATTTTATATATTTTTATTGAACTATAAATTTATTCTGTATTGTAAAAGTAAATAAGACTATATTTCTTTTAAAAGCAGATCTTATTTGACATATTTCAGATTATATTTAGATAAAAAAATTGTAAGCATGTTTACAAATGAAGTCACGCACATATGCATGTTATATCTATAGAATGGGCGTGATATGTTATACATTATCACGATGATCGTCAGTAGGTAAAAAAAGAGATAGATATAGAAGTTATATATATATATTTACACACACACAAATGCAAACTTGAACCTTGGACTTTTACGTTACCGAACACCTTTTTTATTTTGACTCGTCCTTCTTTGTAGGAGCGCTCGTTCGTAAGCGTGACTTGGAAGTTCCAATTGCAGTTGAAGAGCTAAAGTTTCGTCCTCTTCTTTTTTCATGTTCAGTCACGCTTCAGTGTCCTGACATGCTACTTGTTACAAATAATGTTTATTTAAATCGAGAAAAGAAAATAATTATTTGGACACGCACTCCCAACGGATGACGCTTTAAGAGGTAAAGTAAATTATTGCTTACATTTTTTTATCACGTGTATTTTCAACTCATAGGCAAAGTTTTCTTCCCTACATTATTACCTCCCTTCAATGAAAAAACTAGTTTCCAATTCGACTGCTACTTTTTCATTCACTACATAACCTATAGATTCTGCATAAAACATAATCGAAGTTAAATTTTTCTAATGATCAGCATGAGGACATTATGTTATTAAAATTACTAAACCAGTTTTTTGAATAAGAATGGAATAGACTAATATTTTTATAAACTCTTATGAATAAACTTTTTTTTGATTGAAAGTAAATTTACAGAAATAGGTTGAAAGTTCAAGCACTATCATGAGATGGATGTAAAATTTCATTCATGCTAGTTATAAACCGTATTATTTACTACAAGAGCTGATTTAGGTAGTTACACACTTAATTAATACACACTTATTACACTTAATAGGTAGAAGATGTTATTTTATTTTAAATAATTTTTCATTTACATTTTTTATTTGAAATAAAATTTATCTCATATGAAAAAAGTTTTTAGATAAATATAGTAAATTATACTTTTAGAAGAATTTTTTTTTCACCTGAAGATTTATAATTCTGATACTAGTCGATATTGCAAGAGATTATTAAATTATAGAAACTTATTAAGGATTGTAGATTTAATTTTAATTATGTTTGAATAATTAAAATTTTATATCTTTGAAATGGATGCCATAAACTTAATCCTATTTTATAAACATTGGATTCTACAATTAACTGTAATAAACGGTTCACAACAAATATCATAAAAGAACAATTAAGCAATTAGAATTATTAATTAGTTAAATAAGTTTCCTTTAATTTCATATCTAATAATTATTTTTTTTTTCTATTTCAGATAAAAACCTCACAAATATATTGTTTTCATCATTACCATAAGAAAAAGTCCAAACAAAAAATGGAACTACTGGTAGTTCTTTTGAAGCGTTCACGTATAGTACATCTTATGTTTGCCATTACATTCTTCACATCTGGATTAATAATAAATTTCTTCCAATGCATTCTATATTTTGGATTGAGGCCTTTTTCTAAATATTTGTATCGCAAGATTAATTATTATCTTTGTTATTCATTTTATAGTCGTAAGTAATCTTAATTTAAAATAGTTTTGTATACTCAAAACATTGCAATATTTTATTTATGATTATAATTTTATTCCAGAATTAGTATTCGTAGCAGAGTGGTGGGCAGCAGCTGATGTTATTTTGTACATTGACAAAGATGATTTTGAAAAATATTATGGGCGAGAACATGGTTACCTTTTAATGAATCATAGTTATGAGATTGACTGGTTAGTCGGATGGGTATTCTGTGATCGTGTTCAATTGCTTGGAGTAAGTTTCTAAAATTATTGATAGTAGAAAGCTTAAGTAATATTGATTTGCTAAATGTTTTTTCAGAATTGTAAAGCTTATGCTAAAAAATCAATTCAATACATCCCAACGCTTGGGTGGGCATGGAAATTTGCTGAAAGCATTTTTCTAGAAAGAAGATGGGATAAAGACAGAGAAACTATTGGTGCTCAAATAAGAGAATTAGCTGATTATCCTGATTTTATGTGGGTGAGTATTTAGATTTATATTTTTTTTACTGACATGTTTAACATTTTGCAACCATATACGTGAAAAAAATTAAATCATTTATCAAAAATATGAAATTTGCAGTTATTACTGTATGCAGAAGGTACACGTTACACACCTGAAAAAGCTGAAGCTAGTCAGAAGTTTGCACAAGAAAAAGGTCTACCTGTTTTAAAACACCACTTAACACCTCGCACAAGAGGATTTACTGCTAGTATTCCCCATATGAAGGGCAAAGTTAGTGGGATATATGATATTCAATTAGCATTCAAATCGACAGATATCAAGCCTACCATTACAAATCTTTTGCTTGGAAAAGCAGCTACAGCGCACATGTACATGAATAGAATACCCCTTGAAAGTGTACCAGAAGGTGATGAAGCAGCAGCCCAATGGTTACAAAATATTTACCAAGTTAAAGTAAATCACGAGAGTTTTTTTTCTGTGGAATTATGAAACTTTTTTAATTGATTTTTTAATATATAGGACAAAATGGCCGACAGTTTTGCCAAAACTGGAGACTTTTTTGCTACGAGTGGCGTGCCTAGAGTAGAACCGTTCAGATTGAAAAGAAGATATTGGTCTCTAATTAATAGTTTAGCTTGGGCAGTCATTGTCCTTGTACCAATGCTGTATTATCTTATTAGGCTTCTCTTATCAGGTTCAACTATGTACTTCTCGATAGGAGCTGGAATTATAATTTTATGTAAGTAATAATCTTAAAAACGATAACATAGTTTTATTATAAAACTAGACATTTATTTAAAAAATATTCGTTCTTACAGTTTTTATATTAATGAATAAAACCATCGAGATGTCGGAGATAAGCAAGAGCTCGTCGTATGGAGCAGCAGAAACAAAAAAAGCAAAATAAGAGCCTATTCATTTTATAGTGACGCGCAAATGAGAAGATGATTTTTTTCTTAATCTTTACGCTACGATTATGCGATTTAAAACTTATAATGGCGTTTGTTATGTTAATTGATATCATACACAAACACAAGCAACCAAAAGGCAGATTCTTTTTTACGTAGCTTAGAGAAAATACTCATTGTGATCATAAGATTTCCTATATTTTTGTTTTAACTTTCTACTATGACACCAGCATAAAAAAATATTGTTATTGTTATAGTAAATAACCCTTTAACTCCCATTGTATTGTATTTAGTCAATTTTGATTCTTTTCTTGCTCTTCTTCCTCTGATGAAACTTTGTTTGATTCGTGATGCTTTTCTGTGTATCCTATATCTGGTTGAGCTAAATATCTAACTGTTCTTAATTTTCCTCTCGCATCGTAGTAGCCATAGTGTCCTTTAACTGAACCATCTGGCAATCTCTCTTCTAATCTATATTGTCGATTTTCCCTGTAGATAAGTTAATATTAGCGTAGTACAAAAAAAGTAGTACAAAAGTGTTATTATTTTTTTATGTAAAAACTCACCCATCACCTGTATCATAGCCAAAGACGTAAGTTGCCGGACCTTCATGTCCTTGAATTTGAAATTCAACTCTATCGCCATCAGATGACAATTCTAACGCTTCTGCCGGCCTTTTATTCAACTTTTTCTTCCTGTTCATTTTGAATTCTTGAGATTTCTGTAATACAGATAATTATTAAAAAAAATTTGTCTGTAATTTATCAAAAAAACTACCTTACTGTTAAAATAAATTAACTTGTTCCCTCATTAGCGTTATTTTTATTTCGATAAATTTTAAAATGTTGGCTTTAAGATATGAAATTGAAATAAACAATTCTACGTACAATCACCAAAATTAATTTATTCTCCCAAAAATACGCATAGGAATTTATTCGGCAATTCGAATTGTAGTCAAGTTAAGCAATGTTCAGGCTTGATTTTTTGAAGTGATCTATAGTAGTAAATAATAATAATTTATAATAATAAATTACGAACGATTAGCGTCGTTTGTACGACAACTTCTAGATTCTTTTAAAAAAAGTGTGTCCTGTTTTCCTTATACTTTTTCAGAAAAAGTTGATCCGGTTAGAAGAAAATTCATCACTTTCAAATGATTTCATGCGAACACAGTAACAAAAATTAAGCAAACACGACGGATACACGGAATAGAAGCAAAAGTAGTCTAAAATCGAAACGCGAAAAACACAGGCATTCGTTTAGCGATTTTACAAAAGTTATTGCCCAATGCAAAACAGAGGTAACAGCCCGATCAAAGATAAGGATAAAAATGTAATAAAGGGATGGCATACGGTACCCCAGTTTCAGACTGTACAGAATGAGCAGTAAAAGGATCGTGTTCCCTGGTGTAGGTAGGTCTTTCGTCACGCATGTCCTTCGGATTCTGGTTGACGGTCGCAGGATAAGGTCTGTGATTATAGGGCACTCCGTCGTCCATCTCGGCAACAGGGAGTCCATAATAATCAGCATAATTGGACACCGCATTCGGATTGGGCGGCATCATGCGTAGCGCCGGCCTACGTCCCGTCCGGAATCTCTTTGGCTGCTCGTTGGCGATCGTTGGCACGTAGTAGTAAAAATTGAACAGACCATGGTCGCTCAGCCGATGATTCGGTGGCACGACGAAGTAATCCTCGGCGAAAGCTCGCAAAAAGCTCGAGCACGTGAGCAGAATCTTAATTCGAGAAGAAAAACAGACGCGCTCAGTCGCATTACAGCGCGTGAAAGTATAATAATTACGTGATGTCTATTGTTTCATTGTGTGCTTTTTTGCTTGGAAGTGTATACGTGCGCGACAGAGGTTTTTCCCTGCGCTCGTTGTATACAAGCTCGCGCAGCTCGGAGCAGGGGAGCCATTCAAGCGCGACGCTCGAGCCGCCCACGACGGTCGTTTTTTATCAATGTCAAGTGAAAGCCTTGGGAACGCGTGTCGAGGTTCGAACCGTGCACTTCCAAAGGATTTAATTAAGAATCTGATCCGATTTAACGACCACACATCAGACCGATACAATGCAGGTTCCACCTTCAATACAATGTCGCTCCGTGCGCCAATTGCTACATTAACAATTCGTAAACATACTGTCAATGAGGCATCGCGCCCATTCGGATTTCAGATAACGACACTTCAAAGTTGAAAATACATTAACTTGAACCTTGCCAGATAGATAGTAAGCAATGTTATAAACAGACTTACTACGAGTTTCCAAGGCATGGTCTCCGCAGTTGAGTAGCCAGATCAAAACTAAACTCTACTCCTTGATATGCATGCTCGAATGGTTCCTCAGACCGGCTCTTTCTCTCCCTCTCTCGCCCACGTACTATGGTTTCTTATTACTTTTACGATTAAAAAGAAAAAAAAAATCAGGGAAAAAAGTACATGGCGTTCAGCCGTTCACACGTTTCTTCATATTCGGAATAAAACGGCGTTGCTCAACGTTATACATGGAAAAAGCGCACGGGTAATTTATTGACGAATCAAATTGCAACTTGAATATTTGAGCAATAATGTCATCAGTCAAGCGGAATTGTCTTGAAAGCAGGAAAAAGTTTCGTAGCCACGACGTAATGAAACTTGACAGGAATAAGCTTCCATGACAGAATTCAGAATTCTGTCGAAAAGGAAGGCATATTTGCGGAAACGTCGGTTTCGAGAGAGTGACGCGTTAATGGCCCTTATGCCACTCGCGGATTCGCATAAAAACTCGACAGGGACAGTTTTGTCAACGCACTTTGATTCCAGCCTCTTTCATTTATTCCGTCGAGATCGACATTACTTTCGTGGTCATGAGATACTTCACGGCAATCGTTGCTTTTTGTCACGTCGTCGTATTTATCTCCTCCATCCAGCCTACAACGGTAAATTTTTTCATTATTTTCATTTCTTGTGCGAAATTAATGCACGCGCGTGTAATTAATCTCAGTCGAATCTACTGAAATATTTCACCTAACGCGCTCCGGCCTTCAAACGTATTTGTTTACTTTTGCAAATGCATCGCGTTAATTTTGTACCCGATAAATTACATAATTCGTGACCACACGGAAGTTTCAATACTCATGAAAAAACGTTTGAAAAACCATATCTGCAGAGCTTGAAATGCCGCACTGGCAACCAACAGAGCGACGATCAATTCCAGAAGATAATGCAAGTTTGTCGTCGTCGGCTGCTAGGTTACGACCGGGACGGTGGCCGCGAGTTCAATGGTCGGGACACCGATTCGCAAGAAAGCTCTGATTCTGACTCCGACGAGGACGTGTTCGACAATAAATTTCTGAATCTCGGCGGCAATCGTTACAACAACCGAGCACAAACTAACAGCAACAACAACGGCAACGGCAGGTATGACTATGCAGCTTCATCTTCCATGAACAGGAACACCAGCAGACGTAATTGGAATGACAGATCAGATTCTGAAAGGCCGAACTACGATACCAGCCAGTCCTCAAATAACAATAGGAGAAACTTAAGAAATAACGGATACGGATATAACAATAATAATGGCGGTGCAAGCGGATATGGTGACAACGCCAACTCCAATTCGAATTCTAATAGATACAACAATGGATACGGCAGTACGAATCGAAATAATAACAACAATGACATGTATGATAATGACGGAGAGCGCGAGCAGGCAGTAAGACACTTATTTTTCAAAGAAATTCGTCTGAAAATTGTTTCGCACTTGTCGCGGCATCGCAATGTTGATTAACATTTTTCCACAATTTCTTTGCAAAATACAGAGAGAAACGATCTATATTAGTGAGAGGAGATTTCACTATTTGTAATTCGCCGTTTTATGCATATCTTTTGCAGTGCGTCACCCAGTGCTTTTTCAATGAACTCAATCTGGTAAGTAGATTTAATACTCGAGATTTGACAATCGTTAGTAAGAATAACAAATTTCAATTTCTGGGTCGGCAGGTTGATCAAAGAGGCTATCCGGAAAGGTCATCAGTAACGAGCATAATGACAAAAAACATTATGGATCCAGAACTACGTGATTTCGTGGAGGAGTCCGTGATTGAGTGCTTCCACTACTTAGCTAATAACGGCCGACAGGAAAAGTGCCAATTCTCGCAGAATTTGCTATCGTGCTTGGCTGAAAAGGGTAGCGAGGTAAAAATCATGTTTTTGCGCGGGTTCGAAATACAAAAGAAGCGTTGAACAAAGATTATTTTTTTTAGAGATGCGAAGATTGGGACGATAATTAGGCTTTTCAATGATGATCAACTACTGCACAATTATATCTCGTTATAATCTTATGCGTATATATTGATATCGTAACATTTTATGTACAGAATAGTAAATCTTATTTTTAAAATAAAAAATTACACGATTTTTTCAAGAGAAAAAAAATAATTAAAAGCGTTATCTTACAGTTACTTTTTCTTTTGTACAAAGGCACACTCCTAACTACCTGATATCAAAGTGCGTAAGATTAACTATTAAAATACGTACAGCGTCAATAAAATTGCTTTAAAAAAATAATACTTTATGCCAGCACAAAAACGAGATATAATCACTGCCGTTTTTTCAAGTTCTCAAACCGCTTCATCAAGTCATCGAAGTCGATGTCGTCACCGTTTTCACCGCTGGCATTATTCGACGGCGGCGTATCAGTGTCTGTCGGGACGGTTGGTAAATCGGGCAGATTGAAATCGTTCATTGGCATTTTGGAGCGTGGTTGAGGCTTTGGTTTCTGATCAGACTAACAATAAAACAATAATAAATAAATATTTTTCCTATGAGAAAAATAAATGACAATTTAAAAAAATTTTTAATATTTACCTGTTTATTTAAGTCTGGTGGAAATGATCCATAAGGTGGTGGTTGATCATCATCCTATAAAAAATATATCTGTCAGTACCACAAAGAACAGTACTGAACTTTTTAAACATAAAATAGTCTTACAAGTTTTACACTGTTTAATGGAATATTATAAGACATAGCTACAGGATTAAAATTATTTTCGGTTTTCTCTGATGGACTGGATGTACTTGGCGGTGTAAATCCCATAGGTAATGAACTACCACCAGCCATGTTCATTGAATTTGGAGGAATAGGAAGCTGTGGAAATCCAATAAAGCCTACTGGTTGTGGTACACCACCACTAGCCTGATCCAAATTGTTTTGTGGCTGACCACCATTTCCCCCAATATCAATCAACATTGCATCTTGACCTTCTGCCATGATCTGAGGATCTGGCTCATACTCTACGTTATAATTTTTGGCAATTTCAATCAAGTACTTTTCTACTAATAATTTTGATGGAGACTGCACACTCATTTTGTGTTTGAGTTTTTCTGATATTGTTTGCAGAGCTTCCTCACGACAAGCATCTGTATATTGTCTACCGTACTTTGCGGTAAGGATATCTGCTATTACTTTCATCTCTTGAACATCAGTCTGTAAACGTGGGGCAGCCCAAATTATTGTTGATATGGCTTCTGACAACCCGTCGTCTAGTGTTCTAAAATAGATCACATTAAATATGATTATGATTTATAAACCAAAACCTTATTGAGAAGTGATGAATCTTACTTCATCTGTTGGATGAGACCAAAGCGAGCAAGTAATAAATCACAGTACATCTCCAGAAGTTCCATTGCTTCCACCATGTAATCCTCTCTAATAATATGTTCTACCCTAATTCTCGCTCTTTCCACTTTGCCAGCAGCAATGTAATCAGCGATTTCTTTCCTTGCCTTTTGTGCCAGCTCAGTTTTCTTCTTTTCTAAAAGCTTTAATCTGTTGATAGCTAACCTAAGGTGTGTTTTTAATTTGGTGTAATTTGGTCCACTGGAAAACATCTTGACTGTCTTGATTTATAATTATTATGTCTTTATTTGGAAGTTTGTTGCTACTTTTTTATGACTCTCGCTTGCCTGATGTCAAGTACTTAGAAGATTAACAATGATTCACAGATGAAAATACATTCAAACGCATTTACAGTTGTGCTTGTAACTGCATATCCATGCACACATAGAACCAGCATAGTACCTTATACACACGTAAACGAAATGGATCAGACGCAAAAAAGAGAACTATTTTTAGCGCGCTCATTCAAATAACTAATCAATTAATTAGAATAATTCAAACAACAATGAGCCAATCACAGTCTAGAAATTTAAGGAGGCATTGTTTTATGTTTAAGTATAACTTCAATAATGACTTAACAAATTTAGATTATTTTAATTGTTTACTTCATTATTTTTATAGTTGATTGTATTTATTTGAAAGTAAACTTAATAACATAAATGTCAATACATTGATATGCCTGAGAATACATGTAATTTAAGTGCATCATATTATTTTACCATATTATTTATTTTCAGGTTAGACCGTTGAGTGAACATGGATTTTATGCTTTTTTCTGATGTCTACAAATTGTTTCACTTATTTTTTATTTACTCAATCAATTGACAATAAACCGATGTAGAATAATAACAACCCACGTGACCATAGATCAGCCAAACTGATCACGAATAAACCGCGTCTTCATTTTTGAGATCTATCTCTTTTTTTAATTTTTCAATTTTAATAATAATTTTTATATTTTTATTATTATTATAGTAATTACTATGCGGACTACGCGCGCTAAATACTTGTCAATTAGTACATACTAAAAAAATCATGGCGGACACATTAAATAAGACTTGACTCCATAAAAATATATGAAAGTTCTTATATCTAGGTATTGTCCAGAATTTTTACAAAATCCTTTCTTTGTCGATAAAATCTACATACTGCAGGTGGATATGAAGAATGTAAGTTGAGGACACCCGATCATCAAATTTTTGCGTCATTTTTGCATCTATAATTGAAAAATTTTTTAAAAGATTTCACGACATTCAACCCTAGCTGAATGTATGTAAATATACAAAATTGAAAAAAAATTGATGAATTAATTTTGTTAAACTTATTAAGTAAATTAAAAAGAATTATTACGCATAAAAAAAATGAGAGCAAAGTAACTGTCCATGGATTACCAATATTTTTGTATTAATTAATTATCTATAAAATATTATAGTGTGGGTAGGTTCATATATTGTATCACAATTGATACAAGAAATAAATAAATAAAATATTTATTTATACTATTACATGATTCTCGAATATATATATATATTAACGATGAAAGCATAGCATTTATATTTTCAAAAGTAATTTCACTCAATGAATGTTCATTATACAATGACTTTAAAAAATAAAGTAGTGATATAAAAAATTGGATACTGGTTTTTGTAGCTTAAATTTTATTTATGTATATTTGTTAATAATTTATATTCATTAAAAATAGTAAATCTACAAGGATTTCATATTAAAGTATCATTCAATTACTCAAACAGATGAAAACCTTTTAAAAAATTATGTACCTTGAATAAAAATTCAACACAAGAATTTTAAAGTCTAAATTAGTAATAGAATCTATATTTATTTGTAACATCATGACATAGACCATTAAAATTCTTTTGTCAAATTATTTTTTTCTTTTGACTAAATTTAAAAACGCTAATGTGTATTTACGTAAGTTGTTCAGTGCACTCAATTACGCAACAAACTTTGCAAATGTTATTAAAAATATAAAATGTACATAAAATTATAATACATTTGATGTGAACAAACTTTCGCAATTTATATTTATTCTCTGAGTCTAGCCAATCGTTGAGTCAATTCATCTTGTTCTTGACTCACAGCAGTTGAAGTTCCTATACTGCCTGTCTGACCAGATGGAAGCTCCATATTTAACTCCAAACTAAGAAAGATTACAAAGTAGACATAATATAATTTTGTTTTTCTTTAGATGATCTAAACATATTAGTACATACCCAGCTTCATCAGCTACTTGCTGCATAAGCAAATCTACCTCATTTTGAGGAATGTTTGTAGTAGTAGTTTGAGACATAGCATTCTCCATATAAGAACTTTGTACATCCAAGTCTTCAAATTGACTTTCAAATTTATCCATGAGACCAGAAATCTTCTCCAAATTCATAGATTTCATAGCTGCATCCATAGCCTTGACAACACCAGCCATGGATTGCGTGACTTTCCTTGTGGTCAATGCTGTTTGTACTCTGCTTGCCACAGCATCTACTCTTGCACTCATGCGTAAGTAATTGAGAGCTTGATTCTTTTGTCTAATAGCATTTTCAGCATGAATTTTTGCTCCTTCCATATTTCCTTTCTGTATAGCCTTTTTGACTTTGGCCTTTTCTATTTTCTCTTCCTTCTCGCATTTTTTTGAATTTCGCTCAAGCTCTTTCACAGCAAATTTGAGATTAAAAAGATTTTCTAAGTAGCGTAAATGTTAAGGAAAATACGAGTATACACGTAAAATAATGAAAATACTTTATAAAACCCGTGTTAAATTAGTTATAAACAGTATATTTATCAAACCATTTAAAAGGATACTTTCCATCTGAGAGACAGACATGGCTGATTGTTCGGCCCCCGTTGTGATAGCTGTCAAGAAATTACAAAAAAACTACTTTGCGTCTGCGTCGCCGACGTAGTTGTAGGTATTATCAACTTATAGTTGATTGATTGAAACTTCCAGTCAATCTTTTTAACTATATATATGTAGCGTCTTCCAGAGGTTCTTTGTCAAGGTTCCTTTGTCATTAGTTCAAATTCAAAAATGAATCTTTGGTATCGACCTGTTACGATAACACCGATGAATCACTTGAAAATTTAACAAAATTAATTCAAAATTTGATTATATTATTAGATTTCAAAAAATGACGTAAGACGTAATAAATATGAGATTTTTCACAATTGCCGTTGGTTAAAGTGCTATCTGAATCTGACACATTAGTCATCTGGCCCTTCCACATCCCTCTAATCTATAACAGCTGATTTTTGATAATTTTTCGCAAATCCTGTTAGATGGCAACAGCTGTAACTTCTGAGCAGGTAAACATTTTATTCATTCACAACGGTTCGAGCATGGAGACTATATAGTCTCCATGGGTTCGAGTGACGAATCTTGACCAACTTGGTTTTCCGCCAACTTTGGAAGACGTAAGCCATGTAAGGTTAGAAGTCGCGGTATATATGCCTCAACGGCTCGAGCGCTGCAACGGCACAGCTCGATCAGTTCCTTCGTAATAACAGACAACTAGTGACAAGTGACAACACGATGAAACAATGATTTATTATTTATATAATTAACAAATCCACAAAACGATAAGTCTTCAGTGAATTTGATTGATCTCATACGTGAAATGTGAATAAAAGTAAGATCAGACCACATTAAGACGAAAAAAATCATTTTGAATTAATTTTGTCGTCTGAATTTCCATTGGCGTTGTTATTGTCGACTAATTCAAAAAATCACTGCTCACATGGCATTTTAGATAAATTATTCATGTAAGTTTTTTCGTATAAACTAGCGTGACGTTAGCGACGGTTCAGTTGGCTATACACGTAACAGAACTGTAGCAGCGATAAAATCGACAATTTTCATAAATTAAAATATATTACTGTCGTATTTATTTAATTTTATCAAAAATTGTTGTAAAGTTCAAAATCAAAGTGGTAAATATAATTTTTTAATAACAGATTCTTTTGAAAATCATTGAATATTGCTTGTAAACTTTCTTTTGAGTAATTCAGCTTAGTATTATTGCTTAATATTTGTTTTATGCTTTAACAGCTCAAGTATGTGTACTGCTGCAAGAGAACAGGTATGTAGTATGTATTTTAACATCAATTATTTTATTTTTCAAATTTAATGAATAATATGATAACTCGCATGACATTTTCTCTTCCAAAATTTCCAATTATACACCAAAGTATCTTTATCAATCTCATAAATATTGTCAATAGATAATTCAATAGATAATTTGAAAGATAATTAATATTGACAGTATTGTGATAAAATAAAATTCCAAGTTATACACATATATACTTTTATTCTAAATAGACAAATATATGAGATATTATCAGGCAATGAAACTTTCACTATCTCATGTTTAAGACGTATCTAATCATTAGATTTCTCTACTTTCAGTTGAGTCATACGAACAATAAAAAAATGGGTACTTTCAAAAAATTACTTCTTGAAATTGTAAAATGTATTTTCATTCAAGTCCATTGGCTGATAGATTATATTATAGATTTTCTTTTTGGTTTGTATTATGATACAAAAGCTCAAAAAGTACCACCAGTTAAAAACAAATTATTGTTAGAAAGTACAATCTCAATAGCAAAGAAGATAAGGTAATTAAGACATAAATAATTGGTTTTATAATACAGTTATATTGATATGATTGAGCTTATTATTATGATTATCATAATTTATAAACAGTTACATTAATTTTTTAATAATTAGGGAGAAAAAAATAACTGCAGAAGAAGTTGTTAGAAACTTCATTGAAAGATGTAGAGAAGTAAATGGATTACTGAATGCTATAGTTGAAGAAAGATATGAAGATGCATTAAAAGAAGCTAAGGAAGTTGATAAAATGTTGAGCGAAGAAAACTTGACTGTGGAACACTTAGAAAAATATATGCCTTTACTTGGAGTACCATTTACAACAAAGGAGAGCAATGAAGCAAAAGGTACATTTATTTAAAAAATGAATATAAAGTGTATTGTCTTGTATTTAAAAAAAAATTAATGTTTATCCATTGACAGGGCTACTCCATTCAATGGGCACCTTAAGTCGCAAAGGTCATAGATCAGATCAGGATGCTGATGTAATTGGATATGTAAAAAAAGCTGGTGCCATAATAATAGGCAAAACAAATATTCCTGAGTTAAATCAGTGGATTGAATCTAGAAATAAAGTTTATGGCCAAACGAACAATCCATATAATACAACTCGTGGTGTTGGTGGAAGTAGTGGAGGAGATGGAGCAATTGTAACATCCTGTGGTGTTCCTTTTGCTATTGGCAGTGATATTGGTGGGTCTATCAGGATACCTGCTGCATGTAATGGAGTTTTTGGACTTAAACCCAGTGAAGGTAAAAGTTGTACCTTAAAAACTCTTTAAAACTCTTAAACTTTATAACTTTGAACTTAAATTTTAAAACCTTTTAAACTTTTTTAATTAAATTAAATGTCCCTTGTATTTATAAATAAATCTTTATATAAATTTCATTTTAGGATACACGTCTTTGGTAGGAATAGGTTTGCGAAGAGAAGCGTGTTTAGATTCTATGGCAGAAGCTGGCCCTCTTTGCAAGAAAGCTGAAGATTTGGAGTTATTATTAAAAGTTATATCTGGTTCATACTTGAAGGCTCCACTTGATGTCAACTCTGTCAATTTGAAAAATATTAACATATTCTATCAAGAAAATTCAGACGACATTCGCGCAAGTAAATTAAGTTGTGCAGCTCGCAATGCTTTATCTAGAGCAATACAACACATGGAACAAATAACTGGATGTGCCACCAAGGTATATTTTCTATAAATTGAATTATTGCAGTAATTACTATATATATTATTAAAATAACAAGTGCATTTTTCAAGATAAAATTACCTGGAACAGAGTATAGTTATCGTTTGTGGCGTTATTGGATGACTCAAGAAAATTGTGATTTTCCAACTGATCTCACTAATAACAATGTAATTAAAGAGAACAAATGTTACTTCTATAAACAATTATATGGATATTCTATACAAATTAGGTATTATTTTATTTTTGCTCTAATAGGGTAAAACTACTGCTGCAGCAGAAATTTGTAAACTATTAAAAGGCAATGGTGAAGTCACTTTAGCAGCAATAATAAAATTAATTGATCTCGACTATTTTCCCAAAGAAAACCCTGAGTGGGCAAAGAATATTACTGATATAATGAAATCTTACATAGTGGTGTGTACATATATAAATTTAATTTAATTTTCTAGTATGCAATCAAAATTTGTTGATTTTTATTTAGGAAAAATTGAAGGATAATGGAGTTTTGTTATATCCTACATTCAACTCTGCAAGATATCACTGTGCACCATTTTCAAGTCCATTTAGTTTTGGATATTGGGCTATATTCAATGTTTTAAAAGTACCAGTTTGTCAGGTGCCTATGGGTTTAGATGACAAAGGATTACCAGTGGGAATTCAGGTAGAATTAATCTAATCTTTTTTAATATTCTATTTACATATTTAATGCCCAGTATACTATTTCGTTTAATCCAGGTAGTTGCTGCTCCAAATAGTGACAAATTATGTATTGCTGTTGCAAAAGAATTAGAGAATGGTTGTGGAGGATGGGTACCACCATCATAAGTCAATTTTTTTACTTCGAATTCTTTGAATTTTGAATATAATTTATTTTGCATAGATAAATTAATTTTATACACGGAAAGGATGTTTTAGTTCAGGGAAATAATGGAATTAGATAGCTACAACGTCTAACATAAATTTGAATAACAGTGATACTGAATTTATGAGATTCTAAATAGTATATAGGTGACTTAGTAAAAAACGTTTGAAGTCAGTCACAAAATTAATGGTTGAGTAAATGTTGAAACAATGAATTTTTCCAATTTATGTAGGTATGTATGTAAAGGAGTATTGGTTATAATTATGAGTTACACTATCATTATCGATAAAATCGATTTACATAATATTGATAAAATGTGTAAAGTTTTATAAATCAATATTTATATTTATTAATTATTAATAAAATTAAATAAAAAGAAATAATAATGTTCAAATTTTTTTCATTCAATACCAATCAATCATAAATTGTTTCCAATAATTATATTTTATTGATTTTGAAATATATTACTATACACAATAAGCTTATTTGCATGTAATTCAAGTAACACTTTATTCATGTCTACTACAATCTATAATTTTAATAACAAAATCGATGACTTAAAAAATTGAAGTACGCAACTGACCATCTTGTGGACTAATACATGATGTTTAGCTTGTATGTTGTGTTTCTTGAAGCTACAAGTATCTTCTTATTTCAATAATTGATGACGTACTGCTATAAATGGAATAGCCATACCAGTAGCAATAAATACGGTCATGAGCAGTGTCAACTTGTATCTGTTGTGAATGTCAAAAGGAAGATTCTTTCCTGGTTCACCACCCTCATCGTGACCATGCCGACGAATCGCACTCCTCATAAAGTTCCTCTTGGCCATAAAAATACTTTTGGCTACTTGACGTGAAGCAAACATTTTCAACTATTTTGCTTTCAACAAGTTCAAGAAAAACTGGAAAAATAAGTAAAATGTTAGTTGAAGCTCAGAAAGAAATTATATAATTGGCATAACGTGCAAAATTTTAGATTTTTATTGAAACATAATTTCACTTCGTTATGTTGTAACGAAAAAGAATATTTAATTTTTCATTATAAGAAACAACCAAAGATAAAATATTTTTTATTATCGATTTAAATGTAATTATTACGAAAAGATACGATTAACCTTAAAGAGATCTAACGTTTTGTGCGGCTGTCTCATATATATTTGTCATACACTTTAGCGGTTTATTGATATCTTTTCGAATGTATAATAATATAATATTATTTCATTATTAGCTATTAAAATCTTTAATTCCTACAAATTCAAAAACGACAAAACATTTATTTTACGTACTTATGAACCTTGCAGTTGTAACTTGGTCGATCGGTTAACTAGCAGTAGAGAAATATATATATGACATAACAAAGATCAAAGATGTCGGTAAATAAAAGCGAAGTGCAATGACGACGTGGATCTCGAATTGGAATAACTTATTATTTCTTCAAAATGCGGTGATCAAATTGTAGTATTTTCAATTTTTTTTGACAAATTATCGATTTTATTAATTAATAATGGAAAAGATCACAAAAAATAAAAAAGAGAAACGACCTAACATGAAGCCAGATTTAGAAAATAACCTTCAAGGTAAACATTACTTGATATTCTTATCGCGGGAACTTGAAAATTAAATGCAGTAAATTCGTTTGTTTATTGTATTTACAGATGTAAAGGCAAATGAACAGTCCACATGCATTGAAAAGGAAGAGTTAAATGTAAGTTAATTTGTCTATGTGGTATATTTGTACGAGGAACATAAAGAAAATAAATATATTTTGTTTTAATTCAGATACAGCCATCAAGTGTGTTATCAAAAGAAAGCAACAGTAATGAAGATTCAGTTGAAGTGTTGAAAAATCAACTTGAAACTTTAATGAATTCCTTAGCAGTATTATCAGCTGAAAAATCAAGAATGGAAGCCAGTTTTCAAAATGAGAAAAAGCAAATTAGAAGTGAAAGAGATGAAGTATTGTTTTCATTGAAACTACCTACAAAATAGGAAGTATCAGTATTTAAGTAAATTTTTTTATTGTAGTGCGAGAGAGTAATCAAAACTATGAAAGAAAAAATGAAACGTATTCAAGGTCATGCAATGTCTGAAGTTGAACATTTAAAATATAAGTTGATTATGGAGCGACATGAGAGAGAAAAAGAGCAGACTGAACATTCTACACAGACTAAGTAATTGCTTAGTATTTGTTTATTGATATAAACCTATGTAAATCTTATTGTACAAAATATTTACAGAGAGTTGCAAAAAATGGTGCATAATGAGCAAAAATCCAGAGAGCATTTAGAATCACAATTAAAAGAATTAAAAAATATAGTGCCAAGTAAATCTCAAAGAGCCTTAGAGGCAGAACTTGATTTTTTGAAAAACAAGTTAAAGCAAGCACAAGTAGCTGCAAATGAAACTCCAACAGTGTTGATGAACCTCCAGACAGAAATGACTTTCATGAAGAAAAAATATAAAAATGCTATTCATGAAGTAAGTAATACCAGGATGATTTTGTATTTTATTTTAAAAAACAACTCTGTCAAATTATATTGGGTTATTTTAGGAACAAAAAAGAGCAGCAGCCGCAGAGCAAGAAGCAAAAACTTTAGCTGCAAGTCATGAATCTAGAGTTGTTGGGTTAGAGGCACGACTAGCAGAATTATCAGACATTGTTGGTGGCTACGATAGACTGCGTCAACAAGATCAGAAAGCTATTCTAAAGTTGAAAGATCAACTCATCAACTTGCAAAATAATAAAATGTCTGAAAATAATGGATCCCCTCAGCAGCTAGCTGAGACGATTAAAAGTCTTTATTTACAGTTAGTGGAATCAGATAAAAGTAGTTCGGGAGCTAATGTTAAAGGTACATTTTATTTGACTAATATGATCTAATTAAAAATAAAAAAATAAAAATTTTTTTCTTTGATATATTCAATTTTCAGAGTTACTAAATAATTTAAAACTTTATGATAAAAATCAAGATTGTATGTATAAAGAAAAGTACGAAGCCGTTATTAGCGAGTTAGAAGAACTGAAAAAGCGATCCACTGTCATTGAAACAGTAACCCAAAGTAAAGAAAAGAATTCCTCGAGCGACGACACACAATTACACCGAGCGAGATTTCACAACAAAAATCTCGAGGAAAAGTTAAAAATGCTGGCCACCGAAATTTCGGACAAAGAGAAGACCTTCAAAGCGAAACTCGAGCAACAGCAGCAACAAATCCAAGATCAATATTTGAAAACTGAGCATCTATTAGCTCAGAAAGACAGCGAGTATTTGAATAAAATCGCGGCGCTCGAGCAGCAACTACTCCGACAGCGTGAGCGTTCGTTGTCGGTGATTCAAGAGAAAGACAAGGAGATTCAAATGCTCAAGTCGTCTTTCGATGCGCTCTTAACAAAACGAAACTTCGTTGGCGTGCCGATAAAGCAAGCAGTTGGCGTTAGCGACTTAGTTTCTGGTCTGCTCACCATCGAGAACAATCCACCAATGATCTATTACACGCAAGAGCTTGCACGCAAAGAAGTCGACTTGTCCGCACTTCGCAAGCAAAATGTTCATCTGGAGACAAAGCTGCGCGAACTCGAAAGAAATTCTTTTCGCACTGCGGAGAAGCACGAAGAGGAAGTGAAGAAATACGAAAATCTCGTCAGACGGTATGATTCATGGTGTAGCTTTAAAAATGCTCTTAGTCGCAATAAATATTCGATTCGTCTTGCAGACTGGAGGCATCGAAATCGCGCGAAAACGCGAACCTCGAATACCTGAAGAACGTCTTCATAAATTATCTGACGAGCTACGATCCCGCGAGCAAGCGTCACATGTTGAACGCAATATCCACGGTACTTCAGTTCACGGCCGAGGAGAACGAAAAAGTTGCCAAGTTTAAATGATCCAGGAGTATATTTTTCTAACGTTTCGCCTGAAGCAGCTGGTGCTCGCAGCAATACTATCATGTAACATATCCGAGTTGTCTACGGAATCAGCCTTTAAAAGAACTCCCCAACGAATGTGCAAATCGATCGAGTTCCGTTCCTGCAGACGTGTGAGGAGTCTCGTAAAATAGGGAGAAACAAAGGGATGAAATGCGGAGAGCGCTAAAAGGTGAGCTTGTCATTGCACGCGTTGGCGAGTGAGCGCGCGCAAGATCCGTGTCAATAAACTTGAATCTAGCACGGCAGGCCGAGAGCGACAGCGAGAACGCAGCTTGTGTTTTCTCCTCGCGCGCCGCGCGATCCTCCCGTATTTTTCTCTTTCCATTTCGCCGAGCGCAGGTAGACGACTCGCGACAGCTACTTACGTAATCGCAGGTGGCATATCGTTCTTACTGCCGTGGAAAAGGAGATCGGCCGTCTGGATTTAGCGGAATTATGTAATGTCTTTTTTCTTTCAAAGACGCCGAAACCGCACTCTATGAGTCATTTGATAATCACGACCTTGCGCGTGCTTTTGTCGCGAAAAATGCCGATAAACTAAAAACAAGTTCTTGTATATTTCGTCGATTATTGAATCGTGTGTTTATTTATAATCTGGAAAGAGCGAAAGTTCTGCCTATTATGTCAATGTTTGATGGTATACGAAACCTGATTGAATGAACACAATGGTTTTTTCTTCGTGTAATTATTTGTGTAGTCACGAAAATGAGCTTGTTAAAAATGATTTTGCAAGTAAGGATGTTTCATTCTTGACTAATAAAATAATTTATTGAAAAAAGTGGGTATGGCGTATTTTAATGGAATTCTTAGGGTATATCCCGTTGAAAATCCAAGTGAATATATGTTTGTCGAAGATTTCGTTTGTCTACCGAGTCACGTAAAGGTCAACAAAACTTCTCGCTATTCCGCAGCGCCGCCGCGGCTTACTCTCGGCGTGTAATCCGCGAAATTGGCTGTGTAATCGCTTCGCGCACGGTGCCCGTCAGCTGCAAGCTCGCAAAAAACGAGAAGCCACATCTGCGCGTTTCGCTCGCGCATACGGCTTTTCACTTTTCCCGAGTGGCGCGCAGGTCTCGCCGCTCACTCTCTCGCCCGCGCGTCCGGTTGCGTTCGGGTCGTATCGCCGGCTGTTTTCTCGCGCGACCGCACCTTGCTCTCTCTCTCTCTCTCTCTCTCCTCGATGCACGCAGCCAGCTCGCCTGGCATTGATAAAGCCGCGGCGGTACTCGGCAAATTAGCCGCGACCTCGTTTTTCTGTATGTCGACGTCTCGCGCGACCGGCGCGGCACGACGGAGCCTCGGGATGGCTCGCGGGCTCGATGTGCTGTGCACGCGGACGCGTCGCGCGCCTGTTTATGGCGATGAAAACACCTTTCCCACACGATCAGCTCTGTCACTTGCGTTTGGTGAAAACTGGCGAAATCGGAGAACCGAACAGAACAGATGGAATTCAGTTTTGGTAGCTCGATCCAACTGGTTACCGTATTATTTTTGGCTGAGATATGAAAGAGTTCATTAAAAATCATAAAGTTGCTGTAGATCGACGAAACTTTGGAGTTGCGTATTCGGATTGCATGTAACTATTGGGAAGTGTATTACTAGCAACAAATCTCATCGTAACGATTTGTGTCATTTGTCGGCAATATGGGTTTCCATCGCTATATCTTATTCAAATTTGCTTAATCGCAAGAGATTAGTTTCGTTGTCAGACAATGAAACGATGAAACGTTCGTTATTACATCTAGTGATGCGGCAGTGTAGACGTCGACGTTGCAAACGCTGTGATTTCCAAAAAAAGCGCCAATGAAAGTGCATTAATTAAAGGCGTAATCGGCAGGATGTCAAAATTAGAGCCGACGTGAAAAAATCATGAAAAAAGAGATATTTATAAAGCCTCGCATCCGATCTATCTGAACGTAGCTTCGACGGCGAATCCTGCTTTCTTGCTCTCGTCGCATAACTCATCTCAATCTCTCTCTCTCTCTCTCTCTCTCTCTCTCTCGCGGACCATTTCTAATCAAACACACGCGGAAGTATGCCGCGTCGTATGTTGAATGAGCGAGCGCTGTCTTTCACCAGACGAGCCTCGAAAACGTGAAAAGCATGAGGTGAAGAAGAATCGAGCCGATCAGCTTGATTCGTCCGCTTGACGATCTTCTGTGCCGGCGCGCAAGGATAAGCGAGCCGTGGGCGTAGCTCTCTCCTTTTGCGAACTGCGCGCTCGCCCGATCACCATTCCCGATTCGGGCTTGCCCCCTCGCTCTGTCTTCGTAGGACACGATACACGCGCGAAAGGCATTGCACCGAACGATGCGCGAAGCCGAGAAAGTGAATCGCGAATAAAGCGCGACGGGCGGGGCGCTGGCGCCGATGTTTGTAAACAGCGCTCGCCCGTGCCGGAAGCGAGAGCGGCAGGCCATAGCTCGAGTCGACGAGGCCGCCGTCGGGCATCGAGTCCCAATCGCGGCAGCGGCGGAAGTGCCTTGCGCAAGAGCGCCCCTCGTTCGCCGCTCGCTCGGCCGACTCGCCGACGGAAAGCCCGTGCCGCGTTCCGTCCGCGGGCACGTGCCCGCTGCATACCGATTGCCGGGCAGACGCGTGGGCGGCGGCGCGGCTCGCGCGCCCAACTGGACGCGTCCGAGGGCGAAGAGCGCCACGGCCGAGTCGGAAGGGCTGCTTTGCGTTTACGCTTCCGCGCGCGGGATGCTCATCTCGCGGGCGCCGCTTTCACTGGCGCCGCGCGGTCGCTCTGGCCTCGATTTCTCCGCCGAGAGAGATCCCGGATTCTCCTGGCGCACTTTTCCCCGGCGCGCGACTTCTTTCTTTTTTATCCGGCGCTCTTTTCCTTTTCCCCGCGCGAAACCGGAGAGCGCGCAATCGCGCGGGATGCATCCCGTCGCGCGCCACCGCCGGAAGTTGCCTCTCGCCTGTTGTTTTCGATTTCTTCGACGCCCACTCGTCTGCGCCGATTGGCTGCCTCTCTTTCGTCGCGACTCGCGAACCGCTCCGGTTTTCCCTGCGATGGCGAGAGTTGTGCGCTTGGAAACTGTGGATCGGCCGGTTGTCGTTGTCGACTTTCATCGCTTGTCTTATTTCGGAGTCTTTGAACGATCGTGTTGCATCTTGGCGCGTCAAATTCCTAATTCCGATTGCCTGACGTTTACGCGTCTGATATTTTTCTGCAAAATTCATTTGCGAATGATCAATTGTAACCTCTCGGCCTTTCATAACGTTACCTGTTTATTATTTGTATTGCGTTTCGAGAGAAAATATCTAAAATTTTCATACTATAAATAAAGCCCTTGAAATCCAATGAACTACCATTGTTAAATGAAACTCCATTGTTCGGAAACAACTCAGCAACTATACGTGTAAGGAAATGACAGCTTTCAACTGCTCCAAAAAAGAGCAAAGAAACCAAAGCCACACAATCGAAAAAATCAGTAAAAATATTCCATCAGCAGGGTAACTCTTTGTTTTGCTCCCCAACAGCAACTACCTCCTACGTCCACTATACATCATTATCGTAATGATGCACAGGCAAGCGGCATACTCTAGTCTGTGAGATATCCGTCCGTGCCCCTCTCGAGCCTCCACTATATACATACGTCACGGATAGCGGCAGTGGCGGACAGCAGCAGGAGCAGCACAACTCTCGTTGGTCGCGCGATGCCGTTTAGTGTTCCCTCTCTCGTCGCAGCGAGAAGAACCTCCTCGGCTCGGTGTCCATTTTGTACGCTCGCTTCTGTTCACATTCGAGAAGGAGGTACTCTCGAGCACGCGATATACATACACGTCCTGCGTGTATAATGCCATGATGTCGTGCTCGACAAGTACGTCCACGACGACTGCAGGTGCACGCTATGCATCGATGGCAACGGCAACGGTAGCGCTATGACTATCACAGGCAAAGTAAGATAAGTTTATTATAATACGTCCGCGTTCGGTTGGGGAAGCGCAGAGAAAAAATCGAGTGCGTGGCTCTCGCGGCAGCGAGCAGATAATAAAGCTTATCGCGGGCTCTCTGCTCCTCGCTTTTCTTGTTCAGCGCGCGCGCGCGCACGCGTGTGTGTGTGACGCAAACGCCGAGCGTGACGAAATCGTCGGGCGCGAGAGTCGAGAGCTCTTTTAGTTGTGTGCTGAGCCGCCGACGTCGTGCGCGCGCGCGCGCACACACACACACACACACACGTTTGCGCGGAGAAAGCATCGCTGTGCTTTGCACACGCACCTGCCGTATACACTGCTACTTTCACCCGTCCTGCGCATAGAAAAAAGCCAACGCACATCCCCGAGAAATGAAAAGTACGAGACTACTTTGACTTCGATGCGGATGCTCATCTTCGCATGGAGAACGATAACGTTCGTGTTTTTTTTTTTGTTTTCTTTGCGTCTATTTTGTGACAAAACTGTGCGCGCGTGAGTGTGTTTCGTATAAGGATCGGTAAGCGCAGGTTGAATCACTGTAAAACCCAAATAGATACAAAAAAATTCATAATCGGGCATCGGCAGTAGCGGTATACAGCAGGCGAGCATTACATCGGGATCCACAGCGAAATTATCACGTGGTGATCACTATCATACGCGAGAAATTCCCTGATAAATGTCTAATTCTCTTTTCTGCGTAAAAATTATTCGCTTTACTAGAGCATAACCAAGCCTACGGACCCAATCATTTTTTATCGATCCTCCGAATAAGAAGTAGCTGCATTTGTTCAATTAAATCGTCATCCCCTTCTACATTAACCATTTTAGAGAAAAAAAATTATACAAAAGGTTTTAAAAAACAAGCCAGCCCCCCCCCCCTTTCCTCCACTAAATACGTCATCAGTTGCCATCGGAGCGAGGAAAAAAAGTGAAAGCACTACAGTAAAAGTGTAATATAAATATTGTACTTGTACAGAAGTACGTAGATTGCGCGCTGCTGCAAGGTGGTGGCGGTAGTGCAGAGGCAGCCGAGGATTCGTCCTACGACAGCGATTACGAAGCCGAGGACAACAATGTCAATCAACAGGTGAAGCAGCACTCGAAAGTGTCGCGCACGGCTTCCGACACTTTGGCTGCTGAATTTGCCGAATACGTTTCCGTTCATACTAATGCAAACCTTTCGCAAACTCCTGGTGATGATGTAGTTTCTTTTGTCCAAAAAATTAAGTGACAAAATATTTTTCTAATTCGAAATTGTTGTCCTGCAGGGTACACAGCACGAGTAGAATTCGCACTAAAACTCGGTTACACTGAGCGGCTAGTCCAAGCAGCATTGCAAAAATTAGGTCCAGATCCAGGTCAAAACGAATTATTAGCCGAACTTATCAAACTTGGAGCGAATACAGCACCGAAACTAGCCGACACAGCTGAGGATGGTGAAGTAGTTTTGCCAGACTGCGATAGCTCGACGAGCTCTTCGTCGTGTCAAGATGAAACGGCAACGGAAATTGGTCTAAGACCGGTTGTCATCGATGGTAGTAATGTTGCTATGAGCCATGGCAACAAGGAAGTATTCTCGTGTCGTGGCATAAAAATCTGTGTAGATTGGTTTCGCGCGAGAGGTCATCGTGAAATCACTGTGTTCGTACCCAAATGGCGAAAGGAATCTTCGAGACTTGATAATCCCATTGCCGATCAGGAGATACTTGGCGAGCTAGAGCGAGATCGTCTTCTCGTTTTCACACCGTCGAGGTACGTCTTCTTTTTTATCCCATCTAGGATTTTTAGATTTAACTATGTTCTTACTTTTCTCAAAGATTGGTCGGTGGTAAGCGGATGGTATGCTACGACGATCGTTACATTCTCAGACTTGCAGCAGAACTCGACGGCATTGTCGTCAGCAACGATAATTATCGAGATTTGGCGCAAGAGAGCCCGGAATTTCGCAAAGTCGTGGAGGAACGTATTCTCATGTACAGCTTTGTCAACGATCGATTTATGCCGCCTGATGATCCACTTGGACGCAGTGGGCCTATTCTCGATCATTTTTTGAGAATTGGGCCAAAACGAACGGAACCTGCGCCACCATGTCCTTATGCTAAAGTGCGGTTATATCACGACACACATTAGTTGCGTTAAACAATAAGTGTATGATATTTTATTTACAGAAATGTACGTACGGCAACAAGTGTAAATTTCGCCACCCAGAGCGTGGCCCCCACCCGCACAAATCAGTGACCGAGCGATTAGTCGAGCATGCTCAGCGACACTTGCAAGCTCGTGGACCAAGTCTAAGTGTACCATTATCAGTGAACACTCAACATTCATCTCTCGTGAAAACTAAATCTTGCGACGTGACCAAATCCAACTCTGCTGAGAATTACGCACAGACAAGTACGTAAAATCCCTTAGGGTACACATTATATTTCATTTTATAATTTATGATTTACAATCGATGTTAAACATGATATCGTAAAATCATAGCTTATAATGCATCGTCACTGGGATGGACAGCACCACGAGTACAAAACGCCGAACCGGAACCAGCAAACATGCACCGTAAACTTCAACGTCAGTTGACACTGAATCCAAGTTGCGATCTACGTCTTAATCAATTACGAAGGTACCAACAACAATCCAATCCGAGTAGATTACCCGCGACGGTGACTAGAACTCAGCCACATTCTGCCTCGATGCAGAATCAATCGTTGACCAGGAATTCCAACTATGATTCTTTGGCTTATTCTAATTTGATGAGGTGAATATCTTTCGTCTCTTTTAAACAAATCATATCTGGGGTGGGATTCCGACAGGATGCTTCAGCATATCTGGGAACTGAAAATGCGTGTTATTATTACTGGCATCAATATTTGGATGAAAAATTATAGTTTATATTTCAATTAACGTACTTTTGATAATGCTATGCATTTGATAAAAATAGTAAAATATAAATTGATGACAAACTCGAATTGCTTAGAATTATTAAATTACTAAGCGTTTGAGGAACTATTTTTTTTCCATTTATTACAAACTATTTAAAATTTTAGTTGGGAGCAGCCACATCATCATCAGCATCACCGTCAACAGCATCATACATCCCAACCACAACCACACCCACAACATCAACACGTCACTCGTATAGCTTCAGCGCCTGATTCTTACCGACCTTGGCCTATCAACACCAACCAACAACAGCATCCATCAGCCTCGTCATCCTCAAGTCATCAACGACTCGGTGCATCCGACTCGCAGCTGAATCTTCAATGGGACGCTCGTCGTCACTTGCACTATCACTTGTCAAGTATCTTTCCTGAGGAACAAGTTCAAGCTGCAATGGCCCTGAATCCACGTGAAACTGATCCTCAGAAAATTTGCGCGGCTATTCTCGCTATGTTTCCCAATGCTTGAATTGATCACCTTACACTCTCCATGAGAATGTTAGCCAAAGTACCCAATGTATAGAACTCAACAAGCTCACACACGTAGGGCATTAACGAAACATTCTTTTTTCGGCGATACGAGATCTGTTTTCTCTCCCTTTTTATGTATATTATAATCTCTGTTGCATTTAGTTTGTTCATATTGCAGGATTTTAAAGAGATTTAATTCCTTTTCTTTGATATACTGACTCACATTGAGTTATACCAGTATCTATATATGTCATATATTGTAGAATTTTTATCTTTTGTATCGGCATTGTAACATGGCATTTATGTATTCATTCAGAACATTTATTTTTATTTTCTTTGTTTTTTTTTATTATGAAGCGTCTGTAGCTAAGTGATTTTTTTGTAAACTTTCGTTTTGTTTCCAAAGATATATTAATTTATATTTTTTATTAAAGCCAACGCTTTTCCTGATTGCTTATCGTATAAGTCTTTCCAGTGAAGATTTATTTAGTGTTTCACTGGCGGTTAGTTTTTTTTGTTTACTGAAAATTAAGCGATTTCTTAGTAATCAGCTTATGCTACAAATTCGAAAATTTTGCTGTTATAAGCATATTAGAATTTGCAATTATTTTTGCAGTAGAGAATGAATAATAAAACAATTTTTACGCCAGCTATAATATTTAGTGGCTGTGAATTGAAAAATAAAACCCAGTGAGTTATATGTTGTATACAAAATGGCACAGATGTATTATTAATTAGAATTGATAATTGTAAAAAATAACGCAACTTTTTTCATCGAAGAGAAAATATAAGATTTAAAGAATTATTAAAAATAATCTATAATGTAGAATGTATCAACGTAAACGATTGGTTCCTTTACAGATGTAACAGATAGAAAATGCTTAAAATTCAGGTAGACTAGTTTTAGCAAACAATGATTCCTACAAGAAATCACTTTTAACTAATAACAATAAGGGATTAAAATGCAGTTATTGCATTTATTTTATTATAGCATATCAAGCTACTTAAACAGTTATGTACATTTGTATGAAAAAAAATGTTTTTGTTATTTTTATCAATAAATTATAGTATAAAGATAATTGTAATTTTTTAACAGACTTTTATTTTGTTTTGACATAATATTACAAATTGATAATTTCCATTTTGCAAATGCATCAAAATGCAAGATGAGTAATTGGATCGCATATCTTTGCAAGATTTACGGCAGCAGTATTATTTTTTAAGCGTAGAGTTTTCTCGTATTTTTATTTTTGGAAATTTGTGTAATTGTGTAACACACATAGTCAAAAATTTACATAAAATGAAAACATCTTTTACATGCCTGCTGAAAAGAACTATTTAGTACGTCATCTAATTTAATTATGCATATCTTCAACCCCCTGAATAAACAACGTCTACATGAATCAATACGACTAAATTACAGACTATGCATCCTTAATTATAATTTCAATAGTTTTTTTCTTCGTGATCCATCAGACGTCTTTCAGCGATATTGACTTGTATACAGCTCTATATAATATGCCTTCGATAGGGTGCGCAGAAGTGATAATATCTTTAATTATTTTTTATTGAAGGAAAAAAGGAGATTAAAAAAAAGCATATGTAACAACTTGTTCTGGACAATACGAAGTCTTAAAATAGTTTTTTTACGGTCTTGCATGATCAATTTTTTATCTTTTAGGCGATTGATGGACATGCGAAAATTCGTATTTAAACTAACCTCTCATAGAATAGCACGTAAGCCTCGCTACTCAAAACGGTTTTCTCGTCTACTTCCTGAACTCTAAAACATAAGTAAAAAAGTTATTAGGATCCATATAATTAATTACAAATAATTATAAATGAATTGGTTCCTTACTTAGAATCGGATACGTAATACCAACGTCCAGGTGGTGGTTCGATTTGTGAGCTCTTAGCACCATCAACTTCAACAATATTCAATTCAGAGTTAGAATCATTAGGCGAATTATTGGGCGAATTATTTTCAAATCCATCTTTGGATGGTAGAAATGACCAACGTGGATCATCTTTTTTCAAATGATGCCTTGACTATGGTATAAAAATAAATGTTGCATCAATGTAGACAACGTCGGATTATTTTGTTATGAAACTTACCTTTACATAAGCAACATAATGTCCCCCATACAAGGTGCCACTATGCTCGACGACACCGTACAAGGCATATATCCTGGGTTTGGCATAGTCTTTGGTGACCGGAGCCAAATCCAAGATCATAGGAAAACTCACGTGCTTGTTTAACTTACGGAAGTTGTACCTTTGTGCTTGGAATCTTTTTAGGTGCAAAATTAGAACAACTGGCACTTTTGATATAAGATATTGTTTAGTACTTTCTGTACAAACCATTTTTGCTCCTTTCTTACCCTATTAGAAAAAAGAAAAATAATTTTTAGTTTTAGTGAAACTTAGGAGACAACAGTAATGTAACGTTACCCGCGTACCTTATGCATGCGTTCTGTACAAGCGGCACATCCAACTTTGTTGTTTCCGTCCATCAATTCAAGAGCTGTAAATTGATTCAAACATAATTGCACGGAGCATTCTCCTTCTTTCACAGGATACCCATGAGGTGACTTGATTGAACTTGACAATTCAAACTTCGATATATTCGATGTTAGATCACCAATGCCATTTGTAAAACTACTTCCGACGTTATTTTCTGCGTTAAGCAAATGTCCGCTTACTGCCCCACTGGCGACTTTCGTAGAAAGTGAATACTTAGATAATTCTTCTTTGTCACTCTCATTTTTGTCAGCATTCTCAGCTTTCGGCACTAATTTGTTTACTTTTTCGTCCTCACCGTCGACAGCACTGGATATAGGACTAGTAGGACTGTCCTTTGATGTAAGTGGACTACTTAGAGGACTGATAGTGGGTCCTTCAGGACTTGTAAAGTCAGAATTGACGGCTAAAGATGTTGACAAAGTCAAACTTCCATCCACTACAGAGTTTCTATTATCTGCGTCACCTTTATCGTCATCTGCTGGACTAACATCAAGAGTGAAATTAGTATAACTCGCATTTCTATTTGTAATATCACTTGTTATTTTGCTATCAGTTAATGGTAGTTTATAAGCATCGTCTTTATCATCGTTGGTCGAACTGTCGCCATCAAGATTCAAGTTGGTAAAACCATAAGGCTTGTTATCACTTGATCTTAATTCTGATAAAGAAACAGGGCTTGTAACTGCTGATGGTTTTTCAGAACTGTAACCAGATTCAATGACTTCTGGAGCAGAAATGTCATCGTTTTCGGCATTATCTTCTACATCGGCGTCACTTTCATCTACGAATTAACGAATATTTTTTTATCGTCTATATTATAATATAATTATTTCATTTCATTTTAAATTGCACATACCAGATCCTGCTACTGATTCTTTTTTTTCTTCTGAAGTATGGGTTACATTCGATGTAGATGCATTATTATTCCAATTTTTGTTAGCTCTCCTATTTTTTACAGCTGCTTTCTGAGCTTTTTTTATTTGATGCTTAGACAAGGGAACATTATTATTATTATTATTATTGTTATTGTTATTATTATTTCCCATTAAATCTGTTGTATTTTCAAAATTAGTAATTTTCCTCCTGTAAAATAAAAACCGTCATTATTACGAAAAATCATATTGTAGTTAACGCTGAAAATAAATAATATATTACTTTATTAATGTAGGCAGCGATTTATCAATCAATACAGGTAAACTAAGATCTAAAAATGGCTCTTCACGACACGAAGTATGACCGCATTCCAAACACTCCAATGTTGAGACCAGTTCGCCACGAAAAACCCGCTCTATAGCCAAAAACTTTGAACTAGTTTGATTTCCACACAATTTTGCTTGAGCTTTTGAATTGTCGTCGACGTTTTTGCGATTAGATTTATCGTCAGATTTTTCTAAAACCTCGGTTTGGCATCTCTGAAATTATTAAATCTTATTAAAAGTGAAGTGGTCGAGAAATAAAAAATAATGGTAGAACAAGTAAAAAATTTATCCGAACATCCTCACTACGAGCGCAATCTAATAAGTGTCTCAAAAGTTCATGAGAATCATGTTGACCTCCATCAGTGTAATAATTATTTTTCTTTCTCAAGGAATTAAATAAGTCAGTTGGTCTATAAATTTGGCTTTGAGAATTTTGCATGTCTGAAAGAGTTTTCTGTAAAACTCGGGAAAAAGAGATAGATGTTTCTGAAACTCGTTCCACAGACGGCTACAAATTTCAAACAAAATTTCATTCAATACTATAATTAATTGTATATGTTGAACCACTAGAAACTTACTGAAGTCATCTCTTCATCATTATTTACTTTAAGCTTACCACCTTGCAGTACAAATTTTTGATCAGGCACTTGCAAGTCATCCAATACTTGGACTAAATAAGGAGTTTGAGCAAGGCATTGCAATACTGAGTTAAAAAAGCAAGTATTACCTAAATTTACTAAACCCTAAAATGGAATCATAATTCTAATTTACACAATAACTTTTTAATTTCTATAAACAATGTTTTATAGTACATACCCCAACTTTTGGTAAACCAATTAGTTTGTTTTTATTTTCATTTTCCGAGAGACTAAGGGTTTCACTTTGGTACATTGGTATGGGAGATTTGAGTTGAACCAATGGCTTTGTTTTTATGCACTTTTTAAGCAAATCAATAACTTCTTGCAGCCTTTTTTTATGTGCATGATTCCTGAAAAAATTATATGTTACAATCATGTTTAACATATAAATAAAATAAACTACATACTGGTTATTAACGTTGTCATCACATTTATAACACCACACCCTCCAAATTTGAGTATTTATTACCAAACAATGTTCATCACTATGTGGTTTTTCATAATGAGTTAATGCATGACCCTGTTCACCTCTTCCACATGCAACATTTCCACAAAATAAGCAAATCCACAGTTGAGGATCATCACAGAACTATAAAATACAATGTTATGTATTTACTACTGCTGGGAATAATAAGATTTAAGGAAAAATTTTAATTGCCACCTCATCATCATTATTATTAGACTTAATTGCCAGTTTATTGCAATCATAACATTTGTTATTCACTTTTCTATCTTTCACTGCCCGCCTTAATTTCTGAATATTTATTGCTTTATTGAAATGACTACAGTTTGCTCCTTCTATATCTACAAAAAAAACCATTTCATGGACTTGCTATATATTATAATTCAAACAACAGAATAATTATTTAATTAACAATAATATTTATCAAAAAAGAAGAAAATTCTTACTGTTAGCTCCATCTCCAGATTCTGTAGACTCTTCACTTCCATCATTATGAATTCCTTGTTGTCTACGTTTCTGGATAATTTATTTATCGATTAGTATTACATTATAATTATTTTATAAGAAAGACTACCAAATGAATCATAACCTTAATTATATGTTATGCCTTTTTAAAAAATTTTTCAATGCAAATGGTACTAGTTTCAAATTGTGATAAGCATACAAGAGTTGTGATTAAAACATTGTTAATTAAAAATTTTTCAGTATTTAAATTAATTATAAATGTATTAAAAGTAAAATGTGATCAACATTTTTCTATATTTAAAATTTACAAATTTCATTTATACCTTTTTAGGAGATGTATCTTGTTTTTGTGGTGATACCCTACATAATGGAGTTGACTGCTGTTGGGAAGATGGTTTTGGAGAAAGGTCGTATTCTGTTTGCTTGAGTATATTCATTACCTCAAAATGTTTGCTGTCATTAATTTGATTTGTGTTTGCATTCTCGTTAGTTACATCAGTACTAGAGTCTTCTATAAATATAATTAATGGTTGAGAAACAAATTAAAATTGAGAAATAAAAACGAATACATTAAATTTTTCAGGTATAAATAATTTCATATGAAATACTCTTACGGTTGATTTTCTTTTCATCTTTACTTTCATCTTTGCAAATCAATTCGTTATCAATTTCTTCGCTTCCTTCCATTTTAATGCCGCATATCTGATTCTGGTTATCATTATTATTGCTTGGAAGAGCAAGATTTTCTATAGTAAAATAAATGAATAAAAAAAATTAAGCCATTAAAAATGTTTAAAACACTTGAATAACCTTATCACAAACCTTGTACTTCAAGAGCAGATACATGTACTCCAGACTCAAGTGAACTGGATTCGCTGAATGGGGATTGAATCCCACTAGGAGATGCTGAACTCTCTTGAGTTGATTCCATCTGCTGTTAAGCACTTGTACCTTTTTCTAACTATTATTTCTTTCCACTTTTACATGGATCTGCACAGTTTAATGATTATATTTTAACATTTTACTCAAAATGATTTTTTACTTTTAAACATAAGAATTCCGTGAATTTGACATTAATGAAAACAAGTCATCAAAGATTAGTCACACTTTTATATATACTTCTGCAAAAATCAATTAGCGAAGTCTTTCGCAACAGAATGTTTTGACATTCAAAAAATAATAGGACACAAGCTAAAATTTTTTTCCGCCCAACAAAAGTTAAAAGTAAAAAAGCTAATTATACGTACGGGAGTAATCCAAACTGCGAGCCAAAGTAGGTATCGTACACTCGAGAGGTTTCCGACAAAATTATATTAAAACAAATGGACAGTAAGTCAGTCATCAATTATCGAGCAACCTCATGGCTTAGATGTGATCACCTAGCGTTCTAATCTAGAGCTGCTCTGAAATTCGTTTCTTAATACGATGCAGTGTAATTCCGAAGTATCGTGCAACATGAGTCTTACAGGGTCAAGTTAACCATTGCCTTCTCTTCACATACACACAAATACAACGGCATAACAGTTTCCGTTGAATTCGCGCGTGGCGCGGAAGTCGCACGTTCTTAGTTCTGATTTTAAGAGAGGTTATTCTACTTCTGCAAGTGTTTCAACAATTTTGCGTTATATGCTTTCATGTGTGATTAAGCATGATTTTGAGATTCATTTAAAATTTCATTAAAAAATGAACTATTAAGTGCTAATTTTTTCATTTGTTTAATATATATCTACTTACGAACATGTATTCAATTGTCTTTGTTTATTTATATACATATTTATAGACATTTTAATTCGTGATAATCATATTTAGTGAAAATTATTATTCTTGTGTGATTATTTTCGAAAAATTCGTAATTATGTAATTTTCTGTTGAAATTTAATTTTATAAGTCGAAAACGGCAAAAAATCATATATATATCTTGACAATACATATGTACGCGCGTGCGTGCGTGTAATTCAAATTTCGATATGCTCTATGTAGATAAATCATATACTTTTTTTAACAATGCAAAGATGGATAACAAACCTATACTCATTGTTATATCAATTTTTATGAAAACTTAATTCACTTTAACGAGGCATCCAAACGGACTGTTTCGCAACATAGAATTCCATAGCATTGTATATTTAACCGTAATAATTAATTATAATTAATGCAACTCATAATTACACAGATAATTTATTATTTTTATATAATATGCTGTTCTCACCTTTAATATTTTTATGTAAGAGGGCTAATATTCTACTTTAAGTTAGCGGCCAACCTCCTTAGAAACTTTATTTTACGAGTATAAAATATCATTTTTCCTGCTTTAATTTCTTTTTTTCTTATTTTCATATACGATACAATATCGCGTTTATATCGATTAGATTTGAAAAGTTTCATGATTCAATATTTTTTCCAATACATCCTATAATGTTAATAAATTTGAGCAACAAAGCCTTGTAACTTTCATAATTGAAAATCTGATTTAATGCTTTTGGTAGTAGACTTCTGCAATGAACATACAAAGATTACGCGATGTTTTGTCGTGTAAGATAAAAAATTGGAGCTGTGCCGATGAAAAAAATACCATTTTAAAAAATATTTAGGCGGGTATATCTTCGAATACTTTGCCTTCTAGCTTCATGGTTTTTGATGGCACGTAACTTTTGAAGGCACAGTTTTTTTGTTTTTTGGAAAGCTACAACGCCATGAAATTGAAATTATAAATTTTAAAGGAATCAAAAAGTTATGGATGAAATAGCAAAAAAAAATTAATTATCCTAAACAGAGAAACGCTTATTGAAGTCTGGATCACGGTAAGACGTTGAATAGCACACTAATACAAATGTGATTACTTGAAAAGCCTTAATAAGAGGAATATTTTCTGAAATTTTCAAATCGACTCATGATGGCATTAAAAAGTTATACACAAAAGTCTAAAAAAAAATTAATAGTGACGCTTGAAAAGGATGCGAATTTTCCATAATTTTATTTTCTAAAGTCTTTTAGACACGGCAAATAATTTTTTTACCGTGAATTATCATTGAATCGACTAGAATAACTTCAAAACTAAAGGGCTACATACTTTATATTCACTTGAAAATATTTTTTCCGAGATAAAAAGTCGAGTGACAGAAAAATTAACGATTCCATGAATTCCCCTATATATATTCTCTTTTTATGCCTAAACTATTGCTTACATTAAGTTTTACACATGTGTAAAACGTATCAGATATAAGTATACGTAGTACGCACACCATTTGAAAACTAAACAGATATCTAGATATTTACCTTAGTAGCCTCTATAAATATTCATATACATATGTGTAAAACGCGTTTTGCATCATAAAATATTTGTAATAATTGTAAACAATGTAAGCATGAAAAAGTCAGTAGATATGGAACTTGGGTCATTATTTTTTATATACTTAAAAATTACAGTTTGTTATGTAGTGTTTAATTTATTTATTAATAAATTACATAATATTTTTATTTTAATTCGCATAAAAAATTTATGTTAAAGAAAGTCGACCAGATTGGAATATTCGGAACGGAATTCACTAGAATTGAAACCAAATGTTACTAAAATTTAAACGGATACGTCTATATTAATAGGACCTCAGCGCGCAATCGCAAAAGTCAGTGATGGCCGTATGGGAAGTTGTCTTAGCGCACACTTCAGTGAGTCCAAGCCAGAGTCAACTAACACACAAGAATAAGAAGATATTTATCCAGTTCGCTCGTCATATTATTGCATATTTCTGAAAAATTTTACAACGCTAATGCTAATTTATCAATTCAATTAATATATTAAAATTGTTGATGTTTTTGGTGATTTGCTATTGAAATATTACGATTGCGTTAGTCCTATATATGTATATACGTTTCCAAGCAATGGGATACGTGTAAACTGTAACTATATAGTATAAATAACGCTAGTCCGTATAATCCAGGGGCTTCACATAACGCCATTTTGATATTGACTTGCAACACAAAGGCGACGTTTTTACTTAAGAGTTTTTACGTTTGAATTATTAAACTAAAATGGGGAAAAAAGGTAAGAAATATAAACAATAATATTTAATCGTTATCTAGTCCTTAATAATTCAAAAATACTTTGTGTATCATTTTCAAAATGCAGAATATGAAATTATTGCATCAGATTTTTGGCATTTACAAATTTTAACAATTATAATTGAATATTTCCAGCTGATAAATAACATTCCACTTTTCACTATTGTAAAATTATGCACTGTTAATTTCTGCCGTTTGCAAAAATGTTTGCCATTACCTTTGATAACAAATAATTAGACTAAAATTATGTATTGGAAAAAAATATTATGTTCCATGAATAGGAAAGAAGCGTACAAATGAACAAAGTTCAAAAGGACCATCAGAAAAATCACAAACTTCACAGGACAACTCTGTACCTCAAAGTAGAGCAGAGACTCAAGCTAGTTCCCAATCTTCTCCTGGTCAATCTACTCAGAGTGCTGGGGGTTCTGAAATAGGAAGAGGAACATCACATCAAGTACAACCTAGACAACAACAGTTTTCTCCGAGGCATCATGACCAAGATCAAAGTTATCAAAGTCCTAGGCGAGATGAACATGTGCAATATCAGCAAGCTGATGATCAGGAAAGAGGTAGAGGACGTGGTAGAGGACGTGGTAGAGGGCAAGGTAGAGGGCAAGGTAGAGGACAGACTAGAGAAGATGATAATAGAGGGCAGAATAGAGGTCAGAGTAGAGAAGATAATAATAGAGGGCAGGGCAGAGGACAGGCTAGAGGACGTGGTTATAGAGGACAAGGTACAGAAGGTGGTATAAGACCTGGAAGTGATGGAAGTCCATTATCAAACTACCCACAGGTGTCACAGCAAATTCCACTATTACAAGATCACCAGCAACAACTATCAGCTCAGCAATCTCCACAATCCAAAATTGCTTCACCAAAACAAATACCAGTAGGAGAGGATAATACTTCACAAGTAACTGAATTGAAATTTAGAATGATTTTTATAATTACCTAGAAAAATTGAATTACATTTTTATTTGCAGAAAAGTACCGTGGAACAACTTACCCAACAAATCAGTACAGTTTCATTGGAGGTACATTATATACATTAAATACATTAAATACATTAAATACATTGATTTATTCTTTTTATTTGCTTAATTCCTAATTAGAGATAAGATTTAACTGATAATAATTTACACTTGTCTTTCAGGGTCAGAAAAAAGATACTAAACAGATAGAATCTCCAACAAAACAAATTGCAAACAGACCTATTGAACAGTTGGGTATTCCAAAGCGTCGAGATCCTTTGAAAGCTGGAACTAGTGGAAGACCCATAAAAGTTTACTCTAACATGATGGAAATTAAATTCTCACCAAATTTCAAGTCTACTGTCATCCATTATGATGTCAGTATTGATCCTGATAAACCCAAATATCTAATGAGATCGGTATTCAATGCAGCTAAGGCCAAGTTGTTTGCAAACAGATGGCCAGCATTTGATGGCAAAAAGAATGCATTTAGTGCTGGCCGTTTACCAATTGACAACCCAGTAAATAAATATAATTCTCATTAAGATAATTTAAAGATTAATAACTAGTCTGTCATATAAATTACCAATATTTTTAGGCAACAACAGAAGTTACTGTTCACAATGAAGATGGCAAAGAGAAGCAGTTCAAAATTACATTTAAAATTGCAAGTGAGCTTGATTTGTCGTGGCTCAAAAAAGTAAAACCAGGTTTACTTGAAACTGAAAGAAACCAAATCAGTCTGCAAGCTCTTGATATAATATTGCGCAACGCTCCAGCTATGCAAAAACATGTCACAACAGTCAGCATGCCATTATATGCTAATAAGATATATTACAAAACCAAGTTTGAACAGCTATGCATATAAATTTTGGTTATTAACAGGTTGGACGCTCATTTTTCACACCACCATCAGGACGTGTCATGACCTTAGGAGGAGGTATGGATGTCTGGGTTGGTCTTTTTCAATCGGCAGTGTTAGGGTGGAAGCCATTATTGAATGTCGATGGTCTGAAAAAATCTGTATTTATAATGTTATTTCATTGTCAATGGTGATTTTAATTTGTATATTTTATTACTTAATTTAAGTGGCCCATAAGGGTTTTCCATCACCTCAAACAGTGTTAGATTTACTCAAAACAATATGTGGCTGTAACAGTCAAGAAGGTGGCGCTTATCGTGGACCACCTAGAGGACAATATGGAAGAGGAGGGTACGACCAAAGTGACCCACCTAAATTAACATATGACCTCATACAACGACACAACGAGGAAATAACTAAATTTTTGAGAGGTTTGAAAGTTGTCTATGAAATTCCTGGTCAAGCAACATCACGAAGAACACAACGCGTGAATGGTCTTGTTAATCCTCCAAATAAAAACAATTTTGAGCATAATGGTCATAAAGTGACTATTGAACAATACTACCGACTTGAAAAAGGATATACCATTAAATATCCAGATTTACCATGTCTTTGGGTTGGTAGCAAAGATAAAAACATTCATGTCCCTGTCGAAGTAAGTTATAGAAAATGTAGAACTATAACAAATTTAACCAAACTATTAACCGCACTATTTCATCTTTTAGTTGTGTAAAATCGTTGCCGGACAGGCTACACAAAAGAAATTGGACGAGAAACAAACTGCTAACATGATAAAATTTGCAGCTACGGGAACTGAAGAGCGCGAGGAAAAAATAATGAATGCTGTAAGAACAAATTGAAATTACCGTTTATTCCATAACTTATTTTAGTCTAAGTTACGCATAATTTCAGTTTCGTCATATGAACCATAATAATGATCCCTGTATGAAAGAATTTGGTATTTCGGTGAGTGGTGAATTTGAGAAAGTGAATGCCCGGGTTCTCGATCCTCCTAGTTTGGCTTATGCACAAGGAAAATGTGCTCGTGTTAATAAGGGTGTATGGCGTGCCGAAAGATTTTTTCAACCTGCTGACGTTATTTCACGAGAAAATTCTTGGACAATCTTGAATCTCAATAGATTCACAAAAGACCGTGATCTCTTCGATCTCTATGAACAATTACGAAAAACCGGTACGCTTATATTGAAATTATCTATTTATTCAAAGAAATTTAATAATACATAAATAAGAAAAAATACATAACAATATTTATGTGTAGGTCAGCAGCTTGGTATGAACATTGGTAAGCCTGTGATTCCATTCGAGCATATAGAACTAAGAGGAAATGATATAAGAAAGCTCAGAGAATTTTTCGAACTTCAAAAAAAGAAAGATTTAAGTCTGGTAGTGTGTATTGTACCTGAAATGAAAGGCCCTTATAGTGAGTAATTTATTGAGACATTCACAATTTAATCTTTTTCTGTATTGTTCTCATTGTAAATTTTGTTTTTGTAGGTAAGGTAAAACAAATTTCAGAACTTTATATCGGTATTCTTACGCAATGCATAAGGGGTAAAACTTTACAAAGATTAAGTCCAGCTACCACATCAAATATTCTTTTGAAAATCAATGCTAAACTAAATGGCATCAATCATAAAATTGCACCGACACAAAAGTAAATAAAATGTTAATAATCATTTAGGACCTTTAAATTGATTTACTATAACTCAATGAATTATTCTAGTTTACCTGCATGCCTTAATGAACCGTGTATGATTGTGGGTGCTGATGTGACACATCCATCGCCCGATGCACAGGATATTCCTTCCATTGCAGCTGTAAATATCAATTTCAATATACTACTTGTAGTTGCACTTTTATAATAAGTGATCAATAAAATTTATAATTTAATTTTCAGGTAGCTGCTAGTCATGATCCTTGTGCTTTCAAGTATAATATTGAAATACGTCTACAACCTCCAAGAATGGAAATAATTCAGGAATTGTCAGAGATCATGAGGACTCAGTTGTTATACTTTTATCAACAAACAAAATATAAACCACTCCGAATCATTTTCTACAGGTTTTTAAAATTTTTATCCTATTATTTACATAATTAATTTCCAAACGTTTTCCTTTCTTACATAATATACCGCAGAAGTAAATCGAGTATTGAAAAAATCAATCCAAAGATTAAATTAGTTGTTTTTATAATTTGTATTATTAATAAATGAGTATTCACAAGAAAATAATAATTCAATTTCATATGTTTGACAGCATCAATTTTAAAATACACTTGAATGAATACAAATAATTTTGAACAGGGATGGCGTTAGTGAAGGTCAATTTGGCCAAGTTATCGATGCAGAGCTCGTTGCTATCAGAAAAGCTTGTGCAAGCCTTTCGAATACTTATAGACCAAAAATTTCATTCATGGTTGTTCAGAAAAGACATCATACCCGATTTTTTCCTGCTGATCCTCGAGAGACTGATGATCGAAACTGCAACGTACGGGCCGGTACTATAGTGGACACGGATATTACCCATCCATCAGATATTGATTTTTATTTGGTTTCTCATGCAAGTATACAGGTATATCAATTTTTTTGATGAATTTATATTTGAGTCGATATTGTTTTCTAAAATTAATATTTATTATTGCATTTCTTAGGGTACTGCAAGACCGACCAAGTACAGATGCTTACACGATGATTCTAACATGTCTGAAGATCAAATTGAACAATTGACATACTTCTTGTGTCATATGTTCTCTCGATGCACGCGATCGGTATCTTATCCAACACCAACGTATTATGCACATTTGGCTGCATTCAGAGCAAGAGCGTTGACTGACAAGTGAGTTTAAGCAATAGTAGATCACAAATTTCATTGTGTATATAAATTTACTATATTTAATTTTTTTGTCCATTTGCAGTGTCGTCATCAACTTAAATAACTTGGCTCAAGAGCAACGTAACAAGTTAAATCTCAGAGAAGATGTTTCCAAATCGTCACCGATGTTTTTCGTATAATTATATTGGGTTTGTTTTCGAAGTCGCTTAAAAATACATGTATTTTTAAACGACTTCGAATTACTGATAAGTGTTAAATTTTTAATATACAACAACATCGTCGGATAAAAATTTTTCTTTTCATAAAAATGCTCTAATTTGTATCTTTATAAGTAGTCATGTGATTGTATAATGAAATATTTTAATATTTTTCAATACAAATAATAATTTTTTATAATATTTAAAAAAGCTTATGTTGCATTTATGTAGTTGAAAGAGGCTTATAATAATTTGTTTAGTATCAACCTGCCTAAAAAATATATTTACATGTATGCAGATTGTATTTGTTTTGGAAATAAAATAATTTTCCAATACCTAAAAACTGTATCGTCATCTTACAACCCAAAAAAGACATAAATAGTACGTATGTGCGAAGTAGAGTATAAAAATTGGTTTTCACGCAGCAGCCTAACTTCGAAAACATATGTCAGTTAATGAAACTTTCGTTCAGCAAAAAAGAACATTGTGTTGGTTAATATATCACATTTGTCATTACAACGATAAGATAAATAACATCTACTGAGATTCAATTGAGGACAGTTTTATTGTTGAGAAAAGGTTCGTTGATGAAAGGCCGCAAAAAATTATCAACTGATTATTGTGTCGAGTACTTAGTTTCTCAGGAAGTTTCAATAGTGAACGCATATGTGTTATCAAGCGATTCCGTTTTAGAATCAGCGCCGATGAATGTTACTTTTTACGATGCCGCTTTTTTCGAGGAAATCACAAGAACTTTCATAATAAATATGATAAGTCGCTTATAAAAGACTGCGATAGGCAAAACTCTTGATTAAAACGTTGCTTCTTGTTGAATCAGAGTGTTGTGTGTGCGAACTCCGAACCAAAGTAAGTTATACTTGTTTTAATAAAAATCTGACAGATGTTGAATTCTCAGTAGATACAAAATTCATGCTACCCTTTCAAGTTAAGAAAAAAACGAATTAAACGTTTGTGAAAATTCAATCGTCAGTTCTTTTGATAAAACTATAATTCACTTCGACTTGTTACTTCACCTCGCGATTATGTCTTTCTCTTTATAAAATAACGGCCGGAAAGTCTGCGAGATAATTCCAACAGACGAATAGTTACGCGCGATAAAATTCTTGCGCAAACGCCTAACCGTAGAAAATGTATTATTCAGCAAAATGCGCTGCAGCCTGATTAGCTTGTTGGCCCTGGTAGCGGCGGCGAGCGCTTATCATGACTTGATGCAAGGCCAGAGAGAGCCTGGTGACACTCTCATCGCTCAGATGCAGATCGACAAGGAATACAAGACGTTGCGAGTGATCGAGCACGTGGAGTCGATTTTGGGCGACGGCAATCACAGAATCACTCGTATCGAGGCCATCGACTATAAGCAGAAGAAGACAAGCGCTACGCCACATATTATGTCCGGTGGCGTCGGACAATCTCACGTCACCATCAAGTTCATAAGCGAGCGCGGACACGGCATCCATTACATTATCAAGGTTTACGGCAAGCATTACTGAGCCCATCCATTTATACAATTGTGTAACAAACTGCTCGACTATACTTTTCTAAATAAAATAATGTCCTGTTCGATCGCATTTCAACTTCGGGTTATCATTTCACCGATCGACGCTAGGATATTCTGCGCCTAGTTCCGATATCCAATTCGATCCGCTACTAAGAGGTCGTCAACGAAAACATTCCTGTTGCAACTTCATTACGTCCGCAACGTAACTTTGCGCAATGAATTTGCATTCGCACAGCTGTTCGTGTGCCCACTCTGCTTCTACGCTGTTTCGCTATTACTTTACAAGCTCTTCATGAATTAGTCGAACAATTGCCAATAAGTAAGTCGATTGTGTTTACCTAGCTTGCCCAGCAAAATGACATTTCGATAAATGCCAATCGGAGCATAAGGACGTGGTTTTTCACGCGCGTGCAAACGAAGAAAACTCGTTAAACGTTTGCGATTCTTAATAAGCCTTATCAGGCCACAATTGGCAAATAAAGCTCTTTGCGTGTATCGTTTGCAAGACCGCGCAGATTATGTGGACTGCTCAGTCACGAGTCTGGACAAAAACGAAACACGCGTGGCTGCAGATTCTTGCGGCGTTCTAGCGAGTTTTCAGTTTCAATGATCGCACTCGCAGTCGAATTGAGCAGAACGTTATGTCGGTGGCGATAAAGGTCGCTGACCGAACCAAATTATTTATCTATGGCGCATTTGTCGCGTGCGGGTCTCCGTTATCGAAGAAATTAACGAGGCGCACTGTCGCGTGAAACAAACCTGTTTGCTCTATCACTCCTGATCGCGCAATTTATTTACATAATCGGATAATTGGCCGACATTCGATTGGCATTACGAGTGATGTCACTATTTTCAAGGGAATTACGCGAGCTCTTAAAAATAAATATGATAAATAGTCTATAAAAGTCTGCGATATAGGCGAGCACTGGATTACTTAAAGCGTGCTTCCAGTGGAGTCGAGTCGTCGGTACAGAGAATTCGGTATAAGAGTAAGTTATGTTGACCAGCTGCGTCAGCTGTGTTTATAACGAGTTTTACAATATTGCGATCGAACTGACTTTCGGCTCAGCGATAACGGCAAACTTGAATGAGGCTCGAGCAGCTATACACAGCTTCACAAAAGACGAGCTCTGAAAGCATCTTCAGGCGTGTTCTTTATTTATCAGGCGTGCAGACGTTGCACACGAGCATTCGATAGCTTATCGCGTACAAGTTGCCCAAATCGCAAAATTACTGCGCGCAATTCAAGACGAATTGATATGTTTGTCATGGCGGCAGGATGCAGCACTGCGCCCTCGTAATCTTGTTGGCCCTGCTGGCGACGACTGCAGCCTATCACGACGTGTACCTAGGAGAAAGGCAACCCGACGACTTCTTGCTCGAACAAAAGCAAATCGACAGGCACGCCGACAGCGATCCCAAGTATTCGAGGGTCCTTGAATTCACGGACCCGATCGTCCTTGAGCCTGATACCACGATCACGCGCGTCGAGATCGTCGATTACAAGGAGACGAAGACGAGCGCCGAGCCTCGCGTCATCCTTGGCGGACCTGGATACTCTTTGGTCACCATCAACTTTGTCAGCCAGCGAGGGCACGGCATTCACTTCATCGTCAAAATTTATGGCAAGCGTAACGTTTGAGTCGCCGTTACGTTTGCAAATGGAAAGCATTTTCGAATGGCCTTTCGAATTCGCATACGCAACGCGATGATACACGACGAAAGTATTTGATACGATTTGGTCGTCACTGATTTTCATTACAGCGACATAGTTTCCGTCTGCAATATTTATTTATTAATAGCAGGATATGACAAACCGATGAGCAAATCGAGCGTTTGTTCAATAGCTTGTCAGCTAAATTGTAATGCAAATGTGCTTGACATCTCGAAAGAATTTGTTACACTCGTGATATTTTCTAATAAAAAAGGCACTTTGTTGCACTGATTCTACAACATTTTCAATATATTTCATTTTGGCCTCTTATCGTTCGTTAATTATAATCGTCTAATTAGTTAATATAACCGTCTAATTAGCAAATAAACTAATCAAAATATTAACTAGTAGGTGTTACAATGTCTAATCAATTTTCCAAAGATGCAACGTTCAATTTTTAAATTCCAATTGAGCATTTCGTTTTGTTCTACATCGGGAACCAATGGAAAATATAACGCGAACTTTCCATAATTTTCCAATCGGCAGATCCCAAAAGGTAATGTTGCGTCTCACGTTGTTCGCTCTGTTGGCTCTGCTGGCCAGCAGATGCGAGTCGACAAAAATTATCGAACTCTGCGGATTAACGAGCACACGGAAACCGTTGCGCCCAACGGCAACTACAAGATCACGCAGCTGGAAGTCATCGACGTCATGCAGAAGACCACCAGCGCTATGCCTCACGTTCTCTCAGGCGGACCCGGTCGAAGCTACGTTACCCTTAAGTTCAAGAGCAAACGCGGTCACGGCGTTCACTTCCTCGTTAAGATGTTCGCGAAGCCGGCCTATTAAATCCGACTATTTTTTTTTTTGTGCGACGCGTACATGTCCATTTTAAATCAAATTGACAATATCGCGACGATTCATTCTCACACGGCGTTCATTTTATTTAAAAAATGAAATTCGAAACACTGTTGGATTTTCTGATAAATAAATAACTAAATGCTAATTGATCGATGATTCGATTTATCATAAAAATAAAATCTGAAAGAACTGATCAATCAAGTGAAATAATTCTAATGCGATATCAATATGCGCGTGGAGTTGGAAAATAATGAAAAGTGTTATCAACATATTGTAAGCAGACGGTTTTCATGGAATTTGAACTTTTTTCAAAAACGAATCGAGAGTACGTTCGCGAGAAATATTAACGTCAAAAATACTTGAGTTTAGAAGCGCTATCTACTGATTTAATGCCTCGAATACGTGATTTATCGCCCTAGCTTCAGTACTAATGCAGCTGATGTATTTATTTCGGTCAGCCAATCTAGAGGTAACGAACGTCAAAATTACTGTACGCCCGTTGACGAGATCGTTAAATTAGCAATAAATTAGCATCGAGAGAAATTGCCACTAGTGGAATCGGAACAAGCGCTTTGTTTGTCGCAAACCCAAGAGTACATCGTCTCGTCAAAATCGCAGTTGCTGCTCCACAAAATCCATCAATTTGCAAAATGCTGACGGTTCTTCTCTCGACGCGCTTTCGCAATAAATTCTCTTGTGAAAATGAATTATTTTCAAAAACACTAATAGTCCTCTAGAAATCTTATGGTTATTACGTCTACGAAGAAGCGTGTGTTTACTAAAAAGAGATGTTTTGTTGTCGATGTCAAGCAATCAGTTTCATCCGCATCCTTATCGAGTTCTTGATTGACTAATCTAACCAGCCAACGCGCATATCATTGCTTCATTCTCGCAGTGCTACTGAAAGTGTTGTCATTGCAACTAGAGCATTTAGTAAGTTATTGCAAGTTTTTCTCTGTCAACGTTCATACGCCATATATGTATTTATTTAACGTTCGCTCATATTATAGAATATCAGGTTATCATATTAACGAGTGTATTGCGTGAAATTATTATTATTGCATTGGCTTTACGCAGTTTACTTCAACAGCGACTGCATAGTGCGTAACCAAGTGGCTTGCAGTGACTCTTTGTAAAATTCAAATTTACCATAAATTTTAGTTGTATTTTGAAGAATATATATTTCTGATTCTGTAACTCGAGCATAATGCCATCTGTACATCGTTTGGTTAAATTAAAAGCAGATGCCTGTCGGTACTTCAACTACATAGAAAACTTACGTACTAATTTCTCGTTTACAATGTTTTCTTCATTACGACTCACGTGCCTTAATCTTTCTCGGAATCATTTGAGATTTGTTCTCTTTTTATGGAATATCGGAACAAGAAAATAATTGGTAAAAATCACATTTTAATCAACAGTCAACTGGAGAAAAAAAATAAAGATGCAGTGCTTCGGCCTTGCCATCCTAATCGCTCTAGCTGCTTTGGCCAGCTGCGCAAAGCATAATTTGTCGATGGGCCGCAGAGAGCCTGGCGACAAACTGTTCGAGGAGAAAGAGTTCAGAAAGGGCGGACGGCCTTGGTCGATCGACGAGCAAGCCACCATTTCGGGCAAATACTGGATAACATTCGTCGACATCGTCGATCTCAAGGATGACGAGGAAAACAGTGGCACGCCCCTTGTCCTGTCCGGTGGACCGGGTCATACTTACGTCGCGCTCAAGTTTGAGAACAAGCGCTTTCACGGAATCGACTTTCTCGTCAGAGTCTACGGGAAGCCCGTTTCGTAGGAGGAAATCTCCTCCTCTGAGGAATTATGCCGTTGCGGTGTCGACTGATTTCTGCAAATAACATTTTTTCACGTTCATCGTGCAAGCGCTGGCCTTATTTTTTTATAAAAATCATTTTTTCTCTCACCGGATACGAAAATCAATTACCATTTTTACAAATCTTTGACAAAAAAAAAAGGAGAATATTTTATTACTTGTTCGAATAATTTTATGCTTCAACATCGCCGTATGAGAATACATTCGTACATTCGACGTGAATCCTGTATGAAAACGTCATTATGCCTCGGTGTCTTTTATTCGCGTTTCGCCACCGGAACGTTGTATAATCGTGACAATGCCAAATTAAAGCAACCATTGACGAGTTGACCATTACATGAATTCGCCTACATTTAATTATACGAGGAGTAAACAAAGAATGCTATGATTAAATTTTGATAATGAGCTTGTGTTTTCGCTTCGAAGAAGAGCTCAGTGCTTTTTGCGCCTCTTTACTGGTAAAATCGTACGCTTGAGCAGCAGTTATTTCCGATTCGAAATTTGAAACTAATACAGGAAATTACCTTTTTGAAGAATAATAATTATTTGGCAGTACATCAGAGTATAGCCGTATACAGTCAAAGGTCATCAAACAATAGTATAGTTCAGCGATTCTTTTTTAACACATATTGACTTTTCACACAATTTTTAGACCATTAAATTTCTTTTTCATTATTTTCACTTTTCTGATTTGTCATCGTAGCACACCTTATTTATGAAACATAGACACTTAAAAAATAAATATTTACAAAAAATAAATATGTATTGAAATTCACTAAATGCAACAGTCACTATTTACTATTATCATTATCAGTAGTCGAGTAAAGGTAGGTGTCGATGTGAATACTTTATCCGTTTTTAAACAATGGAATTGTAACTTCGTTCATTAGTATTTTATCGTACAATATTCTATTGTGTTTCTTAAGCGTGAATATGTATACAAACTTCATAAATAAGATAATTGTGAATGAAATAAAAACTTTCTAATTAATTGATTCTTTGTAAATTAAATGCTCGCTCAAAACCGAGATGCGAATACTTTTTCTTTTAATTATTGATAAATTTAATTTTTTTTTAATGAACTAATACTGCGGAGAAGATTAATTTTCACGGCCGATTATAAGCTTAGCGCGTAATGTAATTGGCAACTATGAAAGTTTGAGTTGCGCGGGAACTCAAAGAACTCGAACGATTTTGGAAGCTCAGCTTAGTTTGATCAAATAAATCCAATTGTTAGTAAAGTCTCTGCTGGTCTTGTAAAAATGTTATGAAACATGCCGGTGCTGACCGGATTCATCGCAAGCTCCTCGCAAACTTAAAGCATCAACAAGGCAAATGAATTTTGCGAGCTACTTCTTATAAGCTAACTTTAATTGAAACGATGTAATGGTTCGCTTAAAGTTCATAAAATGATTTTCTTGAAATCCAGAATGATGCATCGCTTCGTCCTCTCCGTCCTCGTCGTCATCGTGACGTTCTGCAATGCCGATCGTGATTTGACTGTCGGCGAAAGACAGTCCGGCGATTATCTGATAGAGCAGAGACAAGTAGAGAGAGACGCGTGGCCTCTTAGGGTCGTGGAAAAAACGGAAACTATAATGGGCGACGGCAACTCGGTGATCACGTTCGTCGAGATCATCGACACCAAGAAAAAGGATAGCAGCGCCAAACCGGAGATACTCTCGGGTGGACCTGGCATGTCTTACGTCACGGTCAAGTTTGAGAGCGAACGCGGCCATGGCATCCACTTCATCATTAAGGTTTATGGAAAGCGCGGCTACTGATTCTATACGTTTGATTTCTGATTGTCGCTTGTGACTTTTGAATAAATTATTTTTTACATCAACTGTGAGCTTGTTTTGACATACTTTTGCCTGGCAACCTTAACGCATCGTTATAGACTTTTATTGTTCTATTGAAAAACGGTGGACTCGAGCAATGATATGAGCTTCATCGACATCATTTCGGCGAATGTTTTCCTTTGTGAAGGTTTATGCAGATATCCGAGCCTTTTGACTAAATCAAATATTAATAAATCATAGTATAACCCGTGAGCGTTCTTTTAAATTTTTCGAAATGCAGCTTCGTATTTGCACAATTCACGATTTCAAGGTAAAGTTCAAAAAAACGTCTAGCAAAATTAAATTATCGAGCTCTACAAAATAATAACGATATTTTAAATAGCACAATGAATTGCGGACTAGGGTAAGAATAATGCAATCTATTTTCGAGTCAAAAGTGAGTTTCGAAAATGAAACCAAAAGCACTGGTAAAGCACAAACTTAAAATACAGCAGCGATCAATGTATAACTCATTATTTTCACCCAACGTAAGTAGACGTAGAACATAAAGACAAGCGCAGCAATGACCTGGCTGACAACACACTCAACAACAAGAACGAAGTTGTAAGCTTCAAGGCAGTGCAAGCAATAAAGCCAGCTTACTGCTGGAGGATAAGGGAGCATTTCTGAAGGTGATAGTACAGACGATCCTAATGTAGAGGCCCCAGCCCAAGATCTGTAGCACTAGCAATTGGTGCACTTTATTTTCCCGAGCTCGTAAGCTTTCTACGTAAGAAAGGGGGAGGGGCGTATCGAGATTATCGAGATGAAAAAACTAATCGATCGTTCAACGTCTGCATGTTCCTTAATTGCGCAGGATGTAATTTCAATTGAAGCTTTTGTCGATCTCTCCGAGTCAAAGTTTATAGTAAATAAAAGTAAGAGTCTTTATTTACATCGCAAACAGTATAACCGTGATGCCCTCTCCAGCTGTATTTTATTTGGGAAAAACAATAACGCACTATTTGTTTTGATTTTCAAAGGTTTGTCATTGAGTGGTTTATATATGTGAAGAGTTTTATGAGTTCGTCTCTATGTATATAAAGATTGTCATGATCGAGAAACACTTCATTTGAAAAAGAACGAGACCACATTTAGTTGTTTGAAAATTCAGTTTTAGCACTGGATCAATTAGAAATTGATTTCCTTCCGCATATTGTTGTAATACAAACATAAGGTACGTATAACACTTCCCCACCGAAACATTGTGATGTAAGTGAAGATATCCCGTTATTTACTACACCTTAACTCGAGCCAAAGATCGACAAGAGACTAATAATCTTCCTATGTTGATAGAAAGACCCTAACAATAATATCCAAGTGCTCAATCGTGAGAGTTTTATCATTTGCACGTACGCTGGTAACCCTAACGTGAAATATCAAAAATATGTACAGTGAATCATTCACTTGCCTTCCCCCCCGCGTCATTTTTCTAAGTTTGCACTACTTCTGTTTACAGCTTGAACTTGCAGCAAACGAAAAGTAAACGAAGTATATGGTCAATTCTCGCTCAGTATTGTTGAAAAGAATTGTCGAAAAATGTCGAGAAAAGGTGAGTGAATAAAATACTGTATTTTGCCGTGACAATCTGTGTAATAATCAATTTACTATTGCATTTGTACGTCAAAATAATATTGTATCAGATTTTGCATTCATACATTGAACGCAAAGAGTTTTATTTCCATTTCTCAATTATTTTGGATTATATAATACTTAAATAATATATGAAACTTATTTGCTCATGGAATATAATTTAACAGTATTCACACTGTACGTAAACTAATTATTTTTTAACTGTAAAAAAGGTAAATTCTATAAATATATTATCTTTATAATTTTGCAATTTCTATGAAGGTGGAAAGAAGAAGAAGGAAATTCAGGGTACCCTGAGCAGAGAACTTGATGAAGTACAAGCAGGACAAAGCTGTTCAAGAGCTGGTAATGAGACTGGATCTCAAGTTCAACCTTCATCAAGTCAACCTCCTCAAGCACGAGGGGGCAGAGGCAGAGGCAGAGGTCGTCCACTAGAGCTATTACAGCAACAGCAGCAGCCTGGTCAACAGCAACCTCAGCAACAAGAACAAAGTTTTCAAGCTTCAAGTTCAGGGCAACAAAGACAGAGTTCTGATAGAGAACGAGGAAGAAGTTATCACGGTCGAGGTAGAGGATTCTCAGGTGTAAGGCATGAGAGATTGGCTCCTGGATCTGGACATGGACAAAGTTCAAGATCTGCCCTACCATTGCAGCAAGGTCTGCAGCAAAGATCAGTTCAGAGTCTTGAGCCACAACAACTCCAACAATCTCATACATCTGTATGGAGGCCAATGCCTCAAGCACCTCAAGAGAAAGAAATTGAACAAGCTCAACATTTGCGTCAACCTGCATGGATGCAACCTCAACAATCAACATCATCTCTTCAACAAACTCCCCCAAAATCACCGCAGTCCAAAGACTTTCCTGCACCTATGTGGGAGTCAGTGCTGCAATTACCTCAGGAGAAAGAACCTCAAACTCCACAATCACGCCAACCTGCATGGATGCAGTCAACTAGATCTCTTCAACGAACACCTCCAAAACCACAGCATTCTACGAAACAAGTACTTAAAAATCTTTCAATAATTATTATTATGATACAAACATTCATTTAATAATTCATTTAATCATATTTTTTATTAACAGATACCTGTTAGTAGATTACCTGCTGCTGAGAGTGTCACTGAAGCATTATCTGATTTATCATTAGAGGTATTAAATAAAATTAGAATTCTTTAAAATATTTTTTATGTTTAGTTTATTAATAAAATATTGTAATGTAATTTAAAAAAGCAACAGTCCTCTAGTTTGCAATCATCATCTTCAACAGATGTTAAAAAAAAAGTTTCTGTGGGAACTTTGAAGATTCCACAACGCAAAGACTTTAATAAAGCTGGAACTTTAGGACAAAAAATATCAGTTCTTACCAACATGATTCAAATTAGTTTTGGAAGACAGTTCAAATCAAAGGTGATTCATTATGATGTTGATATTGTACCAGATAAACCCAAACATCTTATGAGATGTGTATTTGAAACAGCCCAAAAGGAATTATTTCCAAAAAGATTTCCAGCATATGATGGGATGAAGAATATATACAGCGCAGGACTTTTACCTATTGAAGTTCCAGTGAGTATTACAATTTATTACTGTAGATATGAAAACATACAAAAACATAATTGTAATCACATGCATATTTTAATAATTTTATAGAAAACTATTAATGTTACTGTAATCACTGAAAATGGCAATGAAAAGATGTTCAAAATTACATTCAACAAAGCTGCTGACCTTGATTTAGCTTGGCTTAACAATTTTGGACCTGGTCAAGAAATTGAAAGAAATCAAAGCTGCATACAGGCCCTTGATATAATACTACGTACGGCTCCAGTATTGAAATCTACACCTGTTAGTTAATACAAAAGTATAAAATTGATTTTCAATGCCATTGTACAATAACTTCAACTCGTTCTATAGGTTGGAAGGTCATTTTTTACACCACCAGCAGAAAGTGATCTAAAGTCCTTGGGAGGAGGTATGGATCTCTGGGTCGGACACTTTCAATCAGCAATTTTGGGCTGGAAACCATTTTTAAATGTTGATGGTAAGTTATTTTTTGATTGAATTTCTTTATTATTTCATGACTTAAACTTTATTGTGTTGACTGAAGTGGCTCACAAAGGATTTCCGACACCTAAACCAGTTATAGAAGTAATAAAAGAGATAATTCTTAGTCATTACCCCAAACCGCCTGATGGAAAACAAGAACCAATGGTATTAACAGCCAACCTTATCAATCAGCACAAGGAGGATATAAGCCAATTTTTAACTGGTGTGAAAGTTATTTATGAAATTCCTAATGAATCAAGCTCAAAAAGAATCCAACCAATCATTGGATTTGTCACATGCCCAAAAGAAAATAGTTTTGAGCTTAATGACGGTCGAGTAGTTACCATTGAGCGATATTTTCAAATAAAAAAAAACTATATTATAAAGCATCCAGATTATCCTTGTTTATGGATCGGCAGGAGGGATAGGAATGTTCATGTTCCATTAGAAGTGCGTAAATTTAAACAAATTTCCAACAATCATGTGTAATATCGATTTTTTCTTTGGGTTTTTAATTTCCAACAATATTTCAGCTATGTAAAGTCTTTGAAGGGCAAGCAACTTTAAAGAAATTGAATGATAATCAAACTGCTGAAATGATACGCCATTCTGCTACTAATACGGAAGAACGTAAAAATAAAATAATGGATGCAGTAAGTTAATTATCATCAGTAATTAGAATTTATATTTGTAGATTCACACAAATTGTTCATTTCTTACAGTTCAGGAGGATGGGTTACAACGCAAATCCGTGTATGAAGGAATTTGGTATTTCCGTAAATGGAGAATTTACGACAGTTCCTGCTCGAGTTTTAAATCCACCAACATTGAAATACAAAAATAATACTGTTACTCCGTTAAAAGGACAGTGGCGTATAGATGGATCAGAGTTTCTACAGACAACTTCATCAATTTTCAAGGACAATTCTTGGACAATTTTAAATCTCAATTTTCGAACTCAAGATCGTGAGCTTTATGATTTTGCTAACGAAATGAAGAAAATAGGTATTTACATATTGATTACTACCTTTCCAAATTTGAGAGAAAAAAAATGCTAACGAATGATATAATATTAATACCTTTTTGCAGCTGCAACCTTCGGTCTCACTATTGGGAAATTTGCTACGCCATTTCAAAAGATAGATGTAAGACGTATGGTGAACTGCATGGGAAAGCTTAGAGATTATTTCCAATATCAGAAGAAGATTGGAATAAAGCTAATAATCGTTATAATTCCAGATGTGAAAGGCCCATACTGTGAGTAGTTTGTTTGCACATTTATGATAAAATTTAATAACATAATCTTTAATTTATTAATTTTAGGTTGGGTTAAACAAGTTTCGGAATTGAATGTTGGAATATTAACACAATGTTTAAAAAGCAAAACTTTGTTTAAAGTTCAAAAGGATAGAAACCCTTTTACATTGACGAATATATTATTAAAAATAAATGCTAAATTAAATGGTATCAATCATATGATAGCAGAAGAAAGTAAACAGCTATATGAGTAATTAAATATCGCAGTATAGTACATTACCTAACTAGTGCAGGAGAGTAGAATCTTGTCTCGTATGAAGTTGACGCCCAAGCGAATGAAGCGAGGGTGGAAAGGCACATGAGACGAGAATCTCTTTCCCGAACATGTTAAGTACAATTTTTTCAAAACAACGCGTGGAAAACATGAATTACAGCGCACGTTTTTCACCTAGCTGAAAAAAAATCACGCGATGAATCACATAAGAAATAAGGTGATCTTTTTGGATGATGAATCGCATGATTTCGTGACAAAATGTGACAAATCACCTCGGAAAAATAATATCCAAAACTACGCGTTGTCACGAAAATTTAGAACCTAAATATAGCGATTTACACTAGTTCTACACTCAATGAAAATTGTCAATAAATAAAAGAATAACAATTTTATAATTCGTTTAATTGGATTCGAATTATAAAATTGAATTCGAATTATAGAATTGTTATTCTTTTATTTATTGACAACCTTCATTGAATGTAGAACTAGTGTAAATCGCTATCTTGGGATTTTTAATTTTTGTGACATGTAGTTTCGAGTATTATTTTTCCGAGTTGATTTGTCACATGGCATCAGGTTTTTCCACGAAATTTTTTTCAGTTGGGGATTGACCGTGCGGGAGTCCTACTTTCCACACGGCGTATTGAAAAAAATAAAACGTGATCGTCTTTAAGTACTTGACTAATAATTTGTTGTCGCTTTAGGTTGCCATTCTGTCTTAAAAAACCATGCATGATAGTTGGTGCAGATGTTACGCATCCATCGCCAGATTCAAAGAGCGTTCCATCAATAGCAGCTGTAAGATCGAATAAAAATTCAGTTTCCAAATAAATTACTATATAATTTGAAAATAAATAAAGTGGTTTGCATACTGCAGGTGGTTGCTAGTCATGATCCACGAGCCTTTCAATATAATATTGAAATGAGATTACAACCTCCAAGGCAGGAAATTATTGGAGAGCTAACTGAAATTATGATAAAACAATTGGAATTCTTTTTTGAAAAAACTGGGCACTGGCCTCTTAGAATTATTTTCTATAGGTATTTTGTTTTTGACAAATTAAAAAATTGTTTTAATCTGTAATGGATATTACATATATTTATGCAAATTTATATTTCTTAAAACTTAAAGATTTTCAAAATTTTTGAACTTATTTTTACAGAGATGGGGTTAGTGAGGGTCAGTTCATGCAAGTATTAAAAGAGGAACTCACAGCTATCAGAAAAGCTTGCAAAGCAGTCAAGGTAAAAGTAGAGAACCACATAAAACAGAGCTATGAGCCACCGATTACTTTTTTGGTTGTCCAAAAAAGACATCATACAAGATTTTTTCCAGTAGATCCTAAAGACTGTGATGATAAAAATTTGAATGTTAAGGCTGGAACTATTGTTGATACGGTAATTACTCATCCAACCGATATTGATTTTTACCTGGTATCTCACGCAAGTATACAGGTAAATTAACGTTTTTAAATCTTATTATAGTTTCCCTTTCAGTTATCAATCTTGTTTATATAATTTTACATATACCTAATGCTTTTAAATGTGTTATTCTTGTTAATTTTTGAATCTTATATTAATTGTTGAATTATTTGCAGGGTGCTGCAAGACCAACTAAGTACAGATGCCTGTGGGATGACGCTGACATGAAAGAAAACGAAATCGAACAATTGACATATTACTTATGCCATATGTTTTCTCGTTGTGCTAGATCAGTTTCATATCCAACACCAACATACTATGCTCATTTAGCAGCTTTTAGAGCAAGGGCATTAACACAGGAGTATGATTATGCTTTTTGCTTATTCATTAACTACTAAATTTATTAATACTGTAATATATTGAGCAATTAATTTTTTCAGTGTGATCATTGATTTGAACAATTTACCTCGAGAGCAAAAGAATAAATTGACTGTGACACCAGATTTTCTGAGGAGCTCACCAATGTTTTTTGTATAGTTGTACAAAAAAAGTTTCAAAATGATCATCGTCTAATGGTTTTAATCGTAGTATTTAACATTTTTCAATTAAAAAAACAATTTTACTTTAAAAAAATACATTTGAGAATATCAAGTGTTAGTCAAATTTACTGTTACTTGTATTAGTCAAGAATAAGTAATATTTGAAGAAATTGTGCTATAACATTTATATTCTTGATTATATCTTTTATAAATTTATTTTATTGATCGAAGATCAATCAAAGTACCTAAATAAATTCTAAAGCTAGCATAACATAAAAAAATCAAAGCAATCATTCTTTCTCCGATGCGATTATGCGAATGATGAAAGTCGATACTCGATCTCGCGCATATATATACAGTTGAGTGGGGATGGAGCGCGGAAATGGAAACGCACCAGAGTTGCATGTGTTCGATAGTTGCGCGCACACCACTGACGGCGAAACGTGCATTTACTCATGACGGAAAGATGGCTTCCTTCGATCCGGACGGTTTGGGTGCCGGTATTTGCATCAATCTCTAGCCAACGTCAATTTTCAAGTATCTACTAGAAAACTTGATCGCTCTGTGTGTATCATCTTGTAACTGATAGCGCAGCGTGATTAATAAGTTTTCGAAAGTCTTGGAGGCTTTCACCTTACTGCTGAAACGCAACCTCGTCTACTGCTGCTACGTGACAACTGCTAATTCAATCCCGAGAAAAGTGAGTACAAACGTGATGTAGTTGATGATTATACGATCGTCGATTTTGAGGTTATAAGAATAAAACGATACTAGAGCATTTCGAAAAAACACTCAAATCGAACTACTGCTCAACGGCTAGCGCAGCTGCGGAATGAATAGTTGTGTGAATATCTGGGAGGTCGTTGTCCGACGACGCGCGCGCGCTCGCGCTCATTCCCTGTACACGTCGACTCTGCGATGTTAAGGACCTGGATTGCGAGGTCACAAGAGGAAAGGATGAAATTTACCATTTGCGAACTTTTCTTTGTGTATCTTTAAGAGATTGACGTTAGTTGATTTTTCCGTGTTTTCCAAAATCAATTGAATATATTTTTTTTAAATGTTTACAATACGATATAATTTTTTAATTGCTAGAAGCTTCGAAGGATTATTCCGTCTTAATATTAAATTAGGTATGAAGCACATCGCATGAGTGGCTGACTGCACCTTTTCCAGAGAGATTCTCCGCTACGCTCGTGATATAGGTCAATTAAAGATTGGTATTCCCTAGTATTGGAAGCATTGGAGTAAGTCGAATAGACTCGTCGACTCTACTACTCTATGCGCCCTGTTTTACTTGCGAGTGTTCTCAAGTAAATAACGCAGTTCCAATGTGAATTGCACCAAATCATTTCGTTTAATAAAGCATACGCTAAGTAGTCCAGTAAATTTTTCGTTTATTTGTAATTGTTCGATGTCTCTTATGTTATAAAAGAATTTATTAATAGAAATAAGTTATCGTACGTTATTTTAAACATAACACCATCAATACAAGTCGAATTGGCAAGCTATTGATAAGATTCATAGTCGTTGATAAGAATAATGATAGCTACATTCGTTTAGTTATAGTTCATACTAGCACTGAATCTTTAATCGAAACTACAACTCCAATTAAAACTCTCATATGTTCATTCTCGTTCCGAAAGCATCGGATCAATGATCTTGCGTGCCGATAAGTGCGTTTCTACGGAGTTGAAAAACAATAAGTTTCTCTTAACTCGATGTCATCCCCATTGCTATAAAGTCCAGAAGTCGTTTACCATACCTCCAACGCGACTGCCAACTTCGGGCAAGAGAATGAGCGATCCTTGGATCACCAACGATCGAACTAAAGAGCGAAAAAAGCTCCCGGCGTACGCGCGTTGTAAACAAAAGCTCATAGCGGCTCGGACAAAGAGGTCGCGGTGGTGGTGCGGGCGGTTTATTGATTCGCCACGATACTAGCCACCTCGTGCGCGGCCACGCGCGAGGGTGCATGCGCAGCGGTGCTGTTGACGTCGTGACCTCCCGCGAGCTGGAAAAAAGCGCGCAGTTGAGAAAGAGCTGCTCTCATTGCTGCCTGCAGGCCGCGGGTGAGTCTCCTGCTTCTCGAATTTTCCATGCGCCCTTGCACCCACACATTTGTGAATCTGCGGACGGTACGGCTCTCGTCGAGGCGGAAAGATGAGAGAGTCGAGTTCGTTCGCACGACGCTGTTTACTGTCTCGTCTGGCTCTCGCAACAATTAGTGCGACTCGCGAGCTTGTGTTGCCCCTTTTTCGTGAACTCGCGCGCTTCTACTGCTACTCATCGACCACTGATTTGTCAAGCTATAGTGTTTGTCTCTTTTTATGACCCGTTTTCAAGGTTGCGTCATTGCTATTAGCGGCGTTAGTATGTTTTCGGAGTTGGATCTTCCGGGTTAAGAGAGATCAGAAAAAAAATTTAATCAGTGGTTAAGTGTCGCTCAATCAACCTTGACACATACTGCTTGTTTTCCTACCTCAATCATGGGTAATCTTCTCTTGTTTCTCTCGACTCTTGTCTTGACGGTTACGAACGTGAATGATGACACTCAAGTTATCGAATTATAATTTACGCCTTTTCGTAATTTTCGTCGCTTGGCAAACATTCATTGTTAGCATAAGCGGCAAGTGATGACAGTCAATATGTCAGTCTTGATTATTCAGTACTTACATATTTTCCAAAGTGCTGGCCTCAAATTGTTGAATTAGTGCTTTAAGATGTAGCTCCTGGAAATCCACGTCACTTAAAAATCAATTTTTGGAACATTCTGCATTTTTTTTTTGAATTATATAAAATTGTAACGCATCAAGCTCGACTTACGTAAAGTAGTTAACCGAATTAGATTTTTACTTTTTGTTAGATAATAGTCCTCTAGACAATCTCGACCTAATTTAGATAAGCCGTGTGCCCTAACAATGTCACCTTTTTATTTCTTACGCTTATTTAAGAGCGAATACTTTGTAAACCATCGAAACACTCATCGGTTGCAAATAATTTTTCATAGTGATTTAGAAAATATGTTAGAATTAGTTTTAAAATAGACACTTAAAATATATGTTACATACTTTTATCTATTTAGTCTGGTGTTTTTACCTTTGCGACTTAAGTCGCAGAATCTTTGTAAATAAACAAGAAAACCATCACGTTTCACAACCAAATCTGATAAAAATGCAAAAATAAATAAGCGATCAAAACTACGTGACTTTTCAGATCAGAGAAGCCCAGCCAGCGCGTCAGCAACCAGCAAAGCGCAACGATGCAATAAGAACGCAAAGCTTCGCCAGATCGCAGTGAGAGAGGAGTTCTGTCGCCGAGGCGCAGCGCGAATCGAGGCGTAAGGGCCCGTCGCGAGTGTAAGAGCGAGGAGGTGTTGGGTCGGGCTAGGCCCTCAATGCTTACACTACGGCTGGTGTCGACTCACTTCCTGAAGCAACCATAGGCTGTCTCGCCTGCAGCCATCGATCACGCAAGACTAAACATGTGCCGCGATCGGGACATGAACCCATCGTAGACCAACAAAAAACGCGCACCTACCTACACACGACGCACGTGCACGCGGATTCTCCGATATTTCTTTTTTTGCGTTTGTTTTTTGTACATACGTACACACACGCATACACTTACGAAACGAAACGCGTTGTCGCTGTTAAGTTTGAGAAGAAACGGATTCAATTTTTCTATCTTTACTGGCTTTGAGACTAGCTCGGCGTCAAGAACGCTCGAGTACACGGTGTCGACTTTATTCGGCAGTCGACCAGTCGCCACGGTTCAACCTGTGGAGAGTCGCGAAAGAGTGTATTGTGAGTATCGGCTCGATGGGCTCGCGAAAAATCGGCGCGTCTCTTACGAGTTCGTCTTTGGCTGTTTTAGTGCGGCAGTGGGTCGCGGTGCAGGCGGAGTGGGATGCGAGGTCCGGAGTCGTCACAACCAGCACAGCAGCAGCAGCAGCAGCAAGTTAACATCGAGACAAAGGATGAGTCGAGGCTGGCGAGAGTGAAGCGAGTGCTGTGGGGCCAGCGCAACGCCAGCAATGCTTCGACGAGCAACGACGGCAACAGCAATCGCGTGCTGGGCTTCGGCGTGGATCTCGAGGTGGCCGAGAGACACATCGAGACCGGGGTGCCCTACGTCGTCCATCGGCTCTGCCACTTCATCGAATCGCACGGCTTTCGCAATCCGACGCTCTTCCGACTCGCCGGTGGCAGCAGCAAGTTGGCCGACAAGCTGAGGCTGGCTTTCGAAAGGAGAGGTGATGCTGATTTGGAAGGAGCTGGCTGCCCTGCTACGGCCGCTCTCCTGCTCAGGCAGTACTTGAAGGAATTGCCCAGAGCCATTGTCGGGCCTACTTGCGTCTCCAAGCTGCTCCAACTCCACGCGCGTTAGTATTTTTTGGCGAGTCAGTTTTCGCGGGCCGTGCGCTGGTAGCGGCTTTCGGGGCTATTCATGTTAGGTGATGGTGTTTATCTTTGGACGGGCGCGTGGTTCGCGCGCGTGCTGTTTGCTTACGTATTTTGACATACGTTTTTTTTCCTTCTCATTTTATCTCGAATGTTTTGCCAATTGTATTATTTTTCATTCCAAGTTAAAATATAATGAATCAAGCTTTTTTGAACGTCATTTATCGTTCGCTAGTAGTAACTCTGTAAGCAACTGAATATGCGTAGTGAATAACAAATTATTGCGGGCTCGGAGTAATAAGTAGCTGCGTGTTCGTATATCCGTCGTAGTATATAATAAATGAGATGGAAACGACTTTCTTGTAGGAGAAAGCGTTACACTGAAAGCCAGCAACAAGGGTAGCAAAGGTTGGGTCCTCCGCATCTCTGGCGGAAGGAAAAGCGAAAGAGAGCGTGGTAGGGGGAGGCGAGTTGCAGCCAAAAATTGAGAGCAAATCTCTTTGCGTTCGGATTGCGATGATTCTCAGAACCTAACCCGCATTGCAGTGGGAATAGTTCTTTGTATTTCAATATATCGAATCGCGTTGGCAATCAATTGCGAGCCCAATTTTTTCCGGTTGCGCAAGAAATCGAACTTAGTTTCGGGCGCGTGCAATCGAGAAGAGAGCGAAATGTTGTTGTCATCGTGACTGTGATGTTCTTATTGATGTTCCAATTGAATGTACATTAATTATCACTCTATTTTTCCAAACCACCATTTTCTTGATTTACTGGCTTCAACCATATTCCATTCGCATCGTCATCAGATCGCACTACATACTAGGCTTAGAACATCTGCCCCTCTCGCAATCGTTATCGCAACTACAATCTCGAACGATAAAGTATGCAAGTGAACGAACTCATAATTGTTGTATCGCGTTATTATAGACGAGCGGATCAAGAATCGTGAGTGTTGGATCGTCAAGACTCGCGATCTGCTGGCAAACGAGTTAGGACCAAGACAGAGAAGATTGCTGGGCTACGTGGTGCACTTCCTCAGCAGATTCGAAGCGCAGCACGGATGCGCCGCTGGGGTGTGCGGCATTTTCGCGCCCATCCTCTTGCCCCACGTGCCACCCGCCACGGTGCTTCTTCGAGATTTGATGCTCGACGCTGCTCTCATTTTTCCCGATTATTCCAGGTGAGCTTTTGTCTGTAATTGGATGTGAGTGTTAGTCGATGAGTCGACGTATGTCATTGCCAGAAAACGTTAATTTCATTCGACCGTCAGAATCACTGTCAGACCAAACTCTTCTAAAAATACGCGCAGGGGGAAAAAAGTTGGTTACGAGCTTTCTTGGTGTGCGGTCTCTTTTTCCGTCGACTTTAAAATCTTCCCAGGCGAACATCAAAGTCAAAGAAACAATCGAAATTCCAATGATAACAGCCACTGTAAAATAATACGCATCCGCGTGCAAACCGCCGCTATAGGCGACCAATTTATTAATGCCGCGCGAAATATAATACCTGGCGAGTCAGTGGAACAACATTTGTATTGCGATTGTCAGCGGAAAACCGAGTCTTTCCTCACCGACACTCGATCTGTGCGAAGCAAAACAACAGTCGCTCGATCAGTTGCGATTTCTCTCTTCGTCAACCATCCCGCGGCAACGACACTGACCTGTCGCGCAACGTCGTCCGTGCGTATTTTTTGCCTACGATTGTCCGTTCGTTCGAGTGATAATGGAAAAGTCCAGTCGCGCGTATCAAGACTTTGCGTGTCGGGCAAGGCACTGAAATACGCGACGTAAGGACTCGCCACGCTCTCCGCTATATCGTTTCCCCGCGAAAAGCTGTAAGAAGATTATGTAGGGTCAGGACCGTTCGCCGCCTGACAATGCGCACCGCGCGAATTATGGAGCTTGCAGCGCGTATGACGGGCTTCCCTATCTATATACTGCGCGATGCAGTCGCGCATCGGATTACGTGATTTTCCAATAGACTTACTCTTGCATCTACTTTCGTTTCTTCGACGTTCTTATAAATTGCTTTCCAATCAAAATTGTTTTTTTTTTTTTCTATATTTGCGTGACGACTTTCAAGGTTTCCATGTGCATTCGAGCTCAAGTCGCAGTCACGCTCATTTTTCGTTAATGTAAATTCGTGCAACATTGGTATGGTAAATCGAAAACGTGACAACCAAGAGTTCTTCCGGTAAACCGACGAAAATCCAGTTTATAAGGCCAATGAGAGTCACGCAAACGTCTTTTTGCAGTAAGCGACGCGGAACGCACGACAAAAAAAAATAACGGCGGCCTTTACGTAAGATCGACTTTACGATGTCTAACCACTCGGCACACATTGAGAATCTATACGCATTACCGGAGCGCAAACGCCAAGCCTTGTTCGAAATGAAAAATCGACAGGTCGAGAGAGCTTCAACAAACTTGTCCCCGAGACAGACAGATTCGCCACGAGCAACTTCTTTGAAGGCGTCCGCAACCTTAACGCACGAGTTACATAAATCAGCCGGCCACCCTCGCGCTTTTTGGGAAAGCGATCAAACGCGCTCATCGAACCCCCCTCCCCCCGTGTCTCGACGTTGACCGACAGTTTTTGCCGGCATGTCGCGTGAGTCACACTTGAAAAATGAAACGCCCACTCCTCTCCCCCCCTTCTCTCTCTTTTGTTAAACTCTAATTATGGAAGTGTAATAGGCGCCTATTTATTTTTAACATCGCGCTGGCGGCTGACACGACGGACTGGATGTTCCGTAAATATTTTTCGCGAGCTATTCTCGGATCGACATCGATATTTTAAATACACGAGGTGCTCTTTCTGCCTTTAGGCGCAAAGTGCGTAAATGGCGAGCTACCTGCGCGCTCTTGCCGTCGGGACGTTCCCATTGCGTTGCCAGCACGTTTGTCGAGCGACGAACAAGCGCAGCGGGCTTTCCCGAAGCCGTACGGCCAAATCGCGACGACGATCTTGCGCAACGAGCTCACGCGCTCGACGGAATGCCCACTACGCGCGCGCACGATCTGCCGAGAGAGCCGAGAGAAAGAGCCGAGAGAGCCGTGAGAGAGAGACAGGGGGGGGGGGGAGAAGAGAGAGAGAGAGAGAGAGAGAGAGAGAGAGAGAGAGAGAGAGAGAAACTCGTTTGACCGGTTCTGCACTTTTTCTCGCCAAGAAAGGCAGATAGAGTCGCCTATATATAGGTATAGAGGAGTGAGAGAAAGAGAAGCACGTGGCGACCGGCGGAATTGTACCGGCACGCGCGCGACGCTTCGATCCTCTCTTTTCTCCCTTTGTTTACGACGCCCGGCCGGCCTCTATGGGGATTTTCCACGTTAAAAATATATGCGTTGCAGCGACGATTGCTGTCGTCTCCTCTCTTGTCGTGACCTTTTTTTTCCTTTCTTACGCGACCTCGTATAGCTGTCGAGCGATATAAGACGGAATATTTTTTGCAATTTTACACGCGAAATTGACCTCAAATGCGTGTTCAACGCAAACATTCACGGTTCAAATACTCGCAATTCCACGCGGCTTAGTTTCCCGACGACGATTTTCGTTTACTTTTTCTTTATCGCGGTAATAAAATTGTCGACAATAACGTCGCGTTAACGACATTCGCTCCATGAGTCGCCGGCCAAGCGAAGCAATTCGTTCGCTAAAAGCCGCAAAGCTCAAGACAATCGTCTAGTTTTTCGTTTTCGCGAAAGCTGGCTGTCATCCACGGTACACCGAGATTCGCGCTCGAAGCCGATGCAATTCCATGTTGCCGCCGTGCAAGCGAAACCGCGTACTAACTCGCCAGAAGGGAAATCCGAAGCGCGGCAAGTCCGGTCATGTGAAAATCGGACGATCTCGCGACCGCACCACTTTCCGAATTGAGTAACACGCGGCGCAATTACGCGATTGCAAGGCTTGCCGTTGTCAACAATGTCGCGATTTTGTAACCGATAAATCAAAACGACGATGAGTCGAGCAGCCTAATTAATCGACAAAGCCCTCGTGGGGAGTAAAGTGGAAGGGGGGCAATGAAGCCGAGACGAAAACAGCTCCGAAAACAAGCAAGCAGGATCGTGCGTGTCAACTCCGAGACAAGCGCGGGGACGAAGGCAGCGCGCGCGCGCCCTCGTTCGTAACGTCGCGGCAGCCGGCTTCCATATAGTCAGTTCTGCTTTGACTCTCGCCGCGCGCGCACGCCTCGACTCCGTGCTCTGTGCTTCCTTCCCACTCTCTTAAGAATTATAAATGTTCCATCGCATTATCGAAAGGATAGCGTGCAATCTAGCCGCGGACTGCTGGAAGCGAAAGCTTCTGCTTGTCATCACATGAGCAGCTTTTTCGACTATAAGTGCTGCCGGATGCGGTGAGTCACCCACTCAGGCTGTTCCTCGCTGATCCGACTTGTTGCGCGCGTTTGCATTGCCAGGCTGAATAGACTGCGACGTGACCGTGTTATTTTTTATTTGTGGCCGCGTCAAATGTTGAGTCGTTGCGTGCTTGGAAATTGCAAGCAGGCTGGCAAAGTAATGGGCAGCACGCGTTAACTTTGGAATTGGCTTGATGAATGTTTAATGAAGGTTGTGACGAGTTTAAAGCGATTTATCATCGGTCGCGCGAAATACTCGTAATGCAGTTGGCCCAACGGAAAATAACGTGGTTAATCCAGGATGAATGCTTTTGTAATGAATTTGTTGCTTGAAAATTTCGTGAAATGCGCATGATCGACTGCAACAAAAATTTAGAGCTCTTAGTATTTCTTCTAAAGAACTGCGGCGGTCGTTACGTTACTGAATCCTGCAAATCGATAGCGCATTACAAGCAGCTCACAGTATACCTTTCGATGATAAAAATTGTGCAATCATCGAATTTAAGCGCTCATTGGAAGACGATCAATTCGACGTAACGCGAAAATTGCTGCTAATCGGGTCCGTTCCGCTAAACTAGAGCACGCAACTTACCAAAAACTGCTCACGCCATGTATACTTGGCCCGAGCCCGTCATCGTCAATCGAGACAGTTTTGTTAAAACTTGCGCGCGTATCGTGGTACCGCGCACGTAACCGAGTCGATGTTATGCATCAAACGTTTCGGTTACGACGGTAGCTGGCGCGATGGACTTTGACACCTCGAAGCGCGCCGCTCAATACGTGGCCGCAGAAAACGCGCCGGATTCCTTATGCGCTCCGCCGGAGGCGAGGCTTTCTCGCGCTCTCGCCCGCTCGGAAAAATTACGAAAGAAGTCGTCGGCTGCTTTCGTTGCGCGAGTACTCGCGCTGATTCGCGCACGCGAATATAGATCTGCCTGTGGTCACATCCGCGCTCGATCTCGCTGGCAAAGCTTTTCCCCCGATCAGCAATTTCACGTTGCGCGACTTTTTTCTGCTTCCGCAGTGGCAAAGAGTCGATACACGGTGTGATACCAAGCTCCGACTGCAAGTTGTTCGACGAGGAAAACAAAGACGAGCTGGCACCGCCGAGTAAACGGAAGGATCGACGCGACTCCTGCGGTCAAGAGCGCAAATTGATAAGGTAAGGAAATAAGCTGACCAACAAATATGATGATGATAAAACGAAAACGCATTCCTGTATTTTTTTTCCACTGGCGTGCGCTAAAATCCGCACGTGTAACGTTATCGCCATCTACCCAGATTGTTAATAAATCAATATGTAAACGGGCTGAAATGTGTCAACAGAATGTGTTATGCGTTGTTTACCAGGTGCACAATCTCTTATCGGCCTGTGAGGCGAATGCGCGTGAGGATCTTTCGAAGGTACCCTTTTGCAGTAGAAACGAAAATCGAAGGGCTTTCTCCTTCGTTACGTTCCATTAGGGGGCTTTTGTAAAGCGTAGTGAACGAAATATAATTTTTTTTTCTATCTCGCTTTTTAGTATGTACTATACTTATATATGTATACAGCAGAATGGAATGCCGCAGCGAATTCTTTCTCTACTCGACACTTTTCCCGTAGTAATGTTCGAGAGATTTACCGCACGTTTTCTTTTCTTTTTCTTTTACCCTACGAACAGGAGTAACAGCGTGGAGAAGATTTGGGAAGGTGGTCAGGGAGATACTGGGGAGAATAACAACGAAAAGTCAGCGGACGCTATCAGGAGGGTCAGCAGCCACGAGGATTTCAACAGCGCTAAGCATTTGCATATTTTGTCCAAGTTGCAGAAAGACATCATGGGACACGGCCCGGTAAGACACTTAACGTGTCAGGAACGCGAGTACTCGGCTATTAACGTTTCATTAATAACGGTATAATATTAAATTCTTTGGATATGGGAAAAGACCATATCAATTTCATTTTCAATAATCAAATTCTGCAACCGAAAAGAAATAACTTGTAATTACGGCATATCCGAAAATGAAACGTCCAGTCGATAAAGCTTAGTCACGTTATCCCACTACCTCGAAAAAGGTCAAACCTTAATAATAAATGCATAACTGCTTATGCGCGTGCCTCACACATCGATCGAATGAATCGTAGCGCCACGGTGGTTTACCTCTGCACGAGAGGACTAATGCGTCACCGGTGTCGTCCAAAACCTCGCTGGTGCACTCGAGCGACGTGGTGTTGGCTGAGAAGTACAACCTCGACGCCGAGAGAATGAGAAGCAGCGAGAGATTCAGTCGAAGTATCAATCCGAGAGGTCGAAGGCAGCAGGGTAGAAGGAGAAAGCTTTCGCTTGGCTCGATTTTGCATCAAAGCTCCAGCAAGGTACGTACTTTTCTATTTGAAGACGAGGACGCATAAGTTCGGTGGAAACATGCGCGAGGTTGACTTTTTTTATCTCGCAGGAGAACGAGAGAGACGAGTCCGAGCCAATTTTCACTCTAACAGCCGACTCTAATAAGACCAACTCTCAAAGTCAGAGCTTTTTAGAGATGTTCACCACCGGACCAAGCAGATCTCCATCACCAGTCAGACCTACCGCGGATGATGCCAACAATCCAACATTGGCCAAGTTTAGCTTTCAGATACAGCAAGGAAATGTGCGTATATCTCTCCGTATATTTGAATTGATTTCATTGATTTCATTGTTTTTAATTCTGTTTTCCTTTTTTCTTTTTTCTTTTTTCTTTTTTTTACTTTCAGAATGATGAAATGGGTGGGCAGATGATTTCTCCGCGCAACTCATTGCTGATGCCACGTCGCTTTTACGGCGAGGATGAGCCTGAAGATCATGAAAATATCATCAGCATTCGAGAGTACGGCTTGAGAAATTTAATGAAACAAATAAATAACTTGAAAAAAAGGATCAAGAAGTACGAAGGTGAATTTGAAGATAACTTTGGCTATCGACCGAGTCACTCGGATAAGATGGGCAATCGTGACATCAAAAAAATCGTCTCCGAGTTGAGTAAAGTCAGGAAAGAGCATAAGATTTTGAAAGAAGGTTTCACAGGTAGCTTATTGAGTCCAAAGTTGAGCCGCGATGATATAATGAGTGCTAATAACAATAACAACGGAGAAGAGATGCTGAGAGCTTCAACTATGGCAGAGATGGTAAAAGAAGTTGACAGGAAACTTTCGGAGAAGAGGTTGAAGTATAAAAATCGACCGGAGAATTTAGAAGATCTGACGTTCGAACAATTGTTAGATGAAAAGACTGCTGTGCAGAAGGCATTATTGCAGATTGAGAGTACCTTTGGAAGACCAGTTTCCAAAGAGGATCGTTCTATCGTTCGACCTCTGTACGACAAGTACAGAACTCTAAAGAGGCTTTTGATGAAAGCTGGAGCTGTAAGTAAATCGTTTGATGATTTAATTCCAAAATAATGTTTACATATCTTTCTTTTTTATTTATATACTTTTTGTCTCCAGAACAATGATAGTATAGGTGAGCTTGCTACAATCTTAGAACACGAAGCCATGGATTTTTCATCGGCATCAGGAAATCCTGTAGATTGCGAGCGAAGAGCTAGCGAGCCAGATATGTCACACCGAGGCATTGCCGATTGTATTGACTCGATGGATCAGGTGCCAACCGACAGCGACAGTCAGCATAGTAGCAGTGAAAGCAGCCGCGGAGTCGTAGAAAGTCTTCATTCTCTTTCAAAGTAAGTCTAGTACACTCTTCGAATCTATGGCGTCCCTTTTTATAGACTTTAGAAATGAGTAATTAAAACTTTCCATCTTCTTTACAGAGACGAGTTAATAGAGCAACAACGAATAACTAGGGAAGAGAAAAAACGTTTGCGTAGGTCACTGAAGGAGTTGGAAATGCAATTTGAAGCACGAGCGGGTCGACGAATGCAGCGAAAAGATCGCGGATCGCAGGTGAATGTAATCTACGATTCGTACAAGCAAACAAAAGCCAAGCTTCGATTGATCAGCGCTTTGCTTGCTAAGAGCCCTTGACAGAGTATCTAAGCTCTTTTTAATATGGATTGTTTTTCTTTTCAAGAACCTTCACTTCTTTGTAGACTGTTTAACATAATGTAACATCGTCGTCATTAATTATTATGATTTTTTATCTTTTGTGCTAGCAATTTCCGAATGTCATAACTTCTTTTTTGCACCGACATCCAAGCGACTCTAGAAGAGTTTAATAGTAGAGAGATATATTATAATATATAAAAATTACCAACTATTATAATTGTGTAACACCCATGTTGTTCAAAAAAAAAAAAAAAGAATTAGCCTCAGAATTGTACTTTTACTACTGATATATTAACGGAGTTATATAATGTTGTATCTTATGGTGAATCAAAAAATGCAAAGGCTCGACGTTTTTAAATTTTGAATTTTTTAACATTGCATGTCTATCGTATTTAAAAAAAAAACTTTTGGACGGATGTTTTTTATTTTTGTCACTATTATTTTCGTATTTTGTGAAACATTTAATTTACAAACTGTATTTTGTATGAATCTTTACATACTATCGTTTATCGTATTGATTTTTAAAATAAATACTACAGTATTTATAAAAATACTTGCGCATCTGATATAATAAAAATTAAAGCCAAAAACAATAATATCACGCGTTGAAAAAGATATCTAAAAATGGTATCGGCTGTTGCAAAATTTTTAAAAACTTTGATGAACAGCAACACCATTTTATGTGTACGATGATTTGACGTTCTACAACACATCATTTTATATCGAGTCATATGATGAATTTTGCTTATATATATAAGCTACCGTCTATGAGCCGTTGCAAATAATAATACAAAAATAGAACTTGTCAGTTAATATGTTCGTCTGTGTGATTGCGCCGAGTGAGTTTCGATGTTTTGTACAGAGCTTACACCAACATGCTTAAAATGGATAATTTGTTTTCAAGTATATTTTCTCCGAATCAATCAATCTCCAACACTTTTTAACGTAAAAAAAGGATAATTTTTTTAAGAACGACAGATATAACATTTTTCAAATTTTTGCACGCCGAATATGTTTAGCAATAACGGTTCATTATAAAAAAACGCTTCTCCGTGCGATTTAACTTTTATCATATATCATATATCATATATATAAATATATTAAAATGCTAAAAATTGCATTATAAAATGATTTTTCGTAGACCAAAGCATTTTTTATTCTGTGATAATAAAAAAAGAGAATTATACTGAATTTAAAAACAAAAGAGCAAAAAAAGGAGAGAAAGAATGTTTGTCTATGAATGGCTGATAATTTATCCAAGAACAAAAAGATATAGCTTTAAACCAATAGGAATAAAAGTAGGAATTGCATTCCTCGCAGAGATATTTAGTTCTTATATTTTCGTTAATTAGTTGTTTTTACTCATTTTAAAGTTTTATTGTTATATGTTTTTGTACAAAAGATAAGAAAAAAATAGAAATGGAATGCTTGAGTACTCAAAAACGTAAAAAAGATAAAAGAAAAATCATTTCTTGACGGAAAACAGAAATAAATATCCTAGTTTTTAAGATTACATATTTTATATCAATAAACAAGAAAAAAAAGACGAAATTCCGCTTTAGATGTTTTTATAGGTATTATGCCAATATAAAGCAGAGATAATCGTAAAACAAAGAAATAAAAGAAAAAAGGGAAAGACAAACGTGTTTTTTCTTTCTTTTTTTTACCCGAGAGATAAAGCAGCAGAGCATTTGATACAATATTATAAAAACGAAAGATCATAAACACAACCACGGTATCGTTACAACGACATATCTAGGCATTATGTGTACCTAATACACAACAAAAATAGACTTTCTCGCATCAAATGGTGTCTTTTTTCGACTGGCAGGCATGTAATTATCAATGTGCCACAATGTATCGGAGAAAAAAATTTTAGTCAGTGTGAAGCTTCATTTTTGAAATATATGTAGCCGGCAAACAGCAATGTACTCGCGTTTAAAAAGAAAAACAAGTAAGCATGTTTGAGTCGACTTATATTATATATACATAGTAGAAGATAATATCTTGACGTTTTATTGGCTCTTTTACTAGCCACGATGATGTACATTCATAATTTACGTGTACATGTATAAGAGTGAAATGTATTTGCAAAAAAGAAAAAAAAAACAGAAGAAAAAACAAGAGCCATTATTAAAGCGGAAAACATAGAGTTGCATCCATTATCCTATAGTAGCCACGTCAAAAAAGTAAAATATGTGAATATATATAAAAAGTGAAAAATAAAGTTATCAAAGAGACGAACAAGTAAAATGAATTGTTTTTCATTTGCAAACAATTTACCACACGAACGACGCGAGCAGAAAGGACGTTCAAGCGAGCGCAAGTTGTCTTTGGAAAGCTTGCATCTGTCGCAGAAGACCAACGAGCTTCAGCGCATTCGGCATCTCGCGTCGACTTGGCTTCGCGTTGAGATAGGGTCCAGGAGCCGTTCTCGCGCGAACGTTGACGGGCGTCGATTGAAACGACGGATCCGGCGTCGCTATGCAAACGAAGCTGTTGCGCTCGTGCAGTAGCTTCATCTGTTTCTTCAGCGAAATCACCTGCGAGGTACGAGACGGTTCATTGCGGTTCCGCGCCGAAAATGCGCAACACGTGCGCGCACGTGCCTCGTTGTAGAGATTAATGACCGCGTTGATCTCGCGCTCCTTAGAGCTCATCGCCGTTTCCAGCTCGGACACCTCCTTCAGCAATGCCTTGTCTCTACGCTTCTCCAGCTGCTCTTTCAGCCGCTCGTGTTGCCTTCGAAAATAATGCGCGTTCGAGTGTGGGCACGACAAAGCGAGCCTCCACTTCAGTGATTTCAAAAATGCACATACGAAACCATCTTGTCGAACTGATCGTAGAGTTTGGTGAAAACCTCGGTGATCTCCTTGTTGTTGGAAGACCGCGCGCCGAAGATGCTGCCGCTCTCGACTGAGTGCTGATGATGGCAGTGCTGCTGCTGCTGCTGCTGCTGCTGCTGGTGCAAGAACATACCGAAAAGATACATTGCGAATTCCTAGCTCCGCGCCGCGCAACCAACTTTTCTCGCCCGATTGCAATCGTCCTGTTGCTGTCCATTCCGGGCGTGCGAATCCGAGCCCGAGGATTGAACGTCCTGCGCAATACGTTGTTCTCGTTTGCTCGTTGCGTAACGGTAATCGCTTAGGGGGAGGGGGGGCAAAGGAGGCCCGTTGGAACATAAATAACGAGCATCGTAAACGCTAACCTCGTCCACCTCGTAAAGTGGCTCGCACGTGACGTTCGGCTGCTTGAAAGATAGCTGACGGCCACCGAGCGAGCTGCTCGCGCGCACCAGTTGCTCACAAGAGAAGGAGCCGATCTGCTGGTGGCTACCGCTGCGTCGACGGCCGAGATCGCGGTAAGCCCTGGCGTATTGGCTATTGATGTGCTCGAAGAGGCTGGACACCGGACGCACGCCGCGGCTCACCTTGCGAACGAGTAGCGGGCTAATGCCCGGCACCGCCGGTCGCTTCACCTTGATGATGCTCAGCACCTGTGGACCCGAGCGACGATCCCGGTTTCTTCGAGCGGCCGATCGGCGAACGTGCGTACCTGCTGGATGTTGAGGCCGAGGTTGTGACTGGGACTGAGCGACGTGCCAACCACGAATGGGATGCTCTTGATTTTGAAGTGGTGGTAATAGGGCTTGTGGACGCGCTTCATCCGCGACGCCATTGTGGGCAACTCGTAGTTGCGAGGGCAGAACGGGTCGTACACTTCCGGATCGCAGTCCTTGGTTTGCTGCGCGTGCACCTGGTAGCGCTCGGCCTCGCCGCTCTCCTCGGCTTCTCGCCCCGGCGGATCCCTGCAAGTCGCCGAAGAGCCCTGCCAACATCCTGACAATCGAGCCCGGCTGGCAAAGCCTTTACCGCGAGTGCGCGCGCGGCTCGGCGTCGGCGCTGCTGCTCTTCTCGACTGCCGGTCGGACCTTTCGTTTCCGCGCTTCGACCACCGTTCGCGCGACGTCCTTGGACAGTCGACCGGAGAGCGCACCACTTCTCGCGGCCTTGCCATGGAATATCTCGACCAAGTCGGCTTTCGAGCCGAGCTGCTTCGACTCCCGCGCCCTCAGCGCGTTCGCGCGCTTGCGGGCCCGAGGCAGCTGCAAGGCTGACATACTGTCGAGACCTGCGCGCAGAGCAGCGGTGAGTGTCGATCGGTCGCGTCGGCCAGCTTCGCCTCGCTTACTCTTCTGTCGCTTGAGTTTCTTGCGCTCGAGCTTCTTGTCCGAAAAGTCGGTGTCCCTGGTGGCTATCGTGCTCTTCGAGTTGGAGTTCCTCAAACGGCCGTGCAGCTTCTTGCGCTTGGCCTTGGCCGAGTAGATCAGCGAGGCCCTCAGCTGCTCGTCGCTCATCCTCACCACCTGCGACTTCTTTCTCGACTTCATCTTTCTCGGCTTCTTCGACGTGGTCTTTACACTCGACAAGCTGTTCTTGGCGCGCACCGCAGCCACCTCTGCTGGCGGATCCGTCTCTTCCTGCTCCTGCTCGCGCTGCTGCTCTTCTTTGGGCGTTCGTGGCGTCAACACCACGTGCAGCCGTGAATCGTCCCTCGTCTTCTCCTTTACCTTGGCAGGCTCGTCGCATTCCTCGTCTTCTCCGTCATCGTCGTCGTCGTTATCGTCGTCGTCGTTATCGTCGTCGTCGCCATCGCCATCGCCATCGCCGTCGTCGTCGCCGTCGTCGTCGTCGTCGTTTACTTTTCGCGCAAAGTTCTCCGACGACATGTTCTTCGCGCTGTTGTATGACGACGTCGATCGCGACAAGCCATTCTCGCTCTTGTTACAGGTCTCCATTTGCGAGCGCGATCTCAACTCACGCCACTGCTTCATGGTCATGTTGTATCTTTTCTCGGCTGCTTCGGCACCTTCCTCGAGCACTGACGACAAGAACGGCAAAGATAAAGCGTCGCCGATAAAAAAGTCCCGCAAAATATCGAGTGATAGTGCACGCATATTACCGCGAGCAAAAACCTTTGAATTGCTGTTGGTCGCGAAAATTTCGTCGTACAACAAACGATCCTCTACAATCCTCTCCGCCGATTGATCGGACGCTGCGATAATAATGTTATTGTTGAACTTCCTTTAATGACATTCGCGCTTATGGCTTCCGCTACCTGACGAGGGCTTAGGCCAACTTGCGACGATGTTTGATTTCATCGCAACGAAATGTTCATTGGTGTTATCGATTTTACTCTGACTTCGGAATTTCAATTCATATCGCGAATCTTTGAAAAACTTTATGAACGCGCATTGACAATCGATATGAAATTTAAAAAGAAAAATCAATTATTGAACTTAACCGTAAAGATTTAAAATCTAAGGGATGTACATATGAGAAGTTACGCGCGGACAACGGTTTTGATTAATTGTTGTTTTGTTTTGACGACAGCGCATATATTGTTTGTCGTGCGTTTAAATAATTTACTAAGCAGAGTAACGTTCAAATATATACAAGTTGTAACTTATTTCTATCGTTACGATTTAGTCGATCATAGTACGTTCCTTGAAAAAGCTTCTTACCTGTGAGCAGTGCTGCGCGAAGATATTTAATTTCTATTGAGATCGCTTAAATTTCCATTCTAATAAATGGATTCAATGATATGTTTAGGTTAAGCCATAGTGCAATGAACAATTATTTTGTATACACGATATTTGATTTGAAAAATTGGAAATTATTAAACAAATTCAACGGTTTGCATATAATAATAATAATTACACATTGAATCATCGCAGAGCTTCCTTTTTGCATTTAAAAACTTTTAATTTGCTTTTAAATTTGCTTTTATTTATATTCTTGTTTGTAAATACAGGACATCATCAAATAAGACTTATCAAGGGCCTCAGTTGCGACTTGACGGTAAGTATGTTGAAAGCGCAATAATACCCTATATATACAACGCATATTCGGCTTGTATATATTTTTTTCAAATTTGTTTTTATCTGTTTTACCAACTGTCTTTGCATTTAAACTGTTCGAACCTCGACATGTGACACTTAGGTGTCGCTAGTTGTAATTCCCGCCGCTATCGCCGTCACCACTGCGCACTGTCACCCGGTCCGGTCTCCGTCGCCGCCGCGCGGAGTCGTCACCTGCGTGCTGCAAATGGTGGATGGCCTGTCGTCGTCGCTTCGGTAACATCAGCAGGTACGTTCTCATCCTATCTCTGTATCCTTGTTAATTTCACGCATGATCCTTGCTCTTTAGCCAAACTCTACGTATCCCAACAAATTGCCTTTCTCTCCCCGAGCGCGCGACAGTTACGTAAAGAAAATCAAAAAAGCGTCTGCCGAACTATGCACGTGCACGATCTTGAGTGAGTCTGGAAACAGTCTGATATCTACGTTAGGTTTGCATGCAGAACGACGTAGGCAATCGCGATTAACCTATTTTTGTTTTTTCACTTATTGCGCGCTCTCCTCTCTCTTTTCTTTCTAGCATCTATATAAAGCTCGCCGTTGTGTAATTCGCTCGCTGCTCGATATAGCATATTTCGGTCGTCGTAGCAGGCGTCTGCGCGCTACTTGTTCGCACTAAGAATGAAAAATATATCGGTCTTGCACACACCCTCGACCTACACCACCCTGCATGTAAACAAGCGTGGGCGCACATCCACCGAAGAAGAACCTTTTTCGTCACCAGTGCGGAGAGGCCGTGTTGTTTTATTTCAGTTTGCGAAAAGGCTCATTGCTCTTTTCTCTCTCTCTTCGTCACATGACATTGACATTTGAGCTCAAACGTAAGTGTGTCAAAGCAGCTGCTCTTTTTCGTGCGTCTGCACGCGAACCGCTTATGGCTGATTTAATTTATTGAACGGGTTTTTCCTTTTCTCGCGTCGCAACGACACGTCATATTTCCGTTCTGCTCGACCAAATCGGATTTCGTATCGCTGCGTTATAGAGATTGCAGATCAGTTGACTAAGCCATGCGCTGTACTTTCCTGCTCGATTGCTTATGCCTCTCAATTTCAACATATGCTTATTTTGACAATTAGCAGGTTACACAACTTTGTATAATATTACGCGAAAGCTCGAATAATTTCGTAACGGAGAATTTTTTCATTTAACATTTCGTCGTCTATGCTTGTTTACGCTCTCCCGCGTGTCGAGATGCATATGTCACCCCCAATTTTTTTCAAGACTATCTATATATCTATATTAATACTTAAACTACTACTTGCAAAGTACTGTATATTGGTATACTGTGGAAATATTCGAACTAAATGATGATTGATCGTTTTATTGGCGTCGGTGTATGCAAAACATTGGTATTTTTTTTAAAGGATATCATCAAAGTCATTAAAGCAAAGTCTGCAACACCTTGTTTGAATAGGGACATATATGATAACATAATGTCTGCTGAAGATAAAGCTCTATCATTAAAGAAAGACTTTATTACTTGAAACACATCTTGACACACCGTCAGCAAACATGTAACACTTCAATGACTAATTCCTCCCTGGCAAATCATTCCTAAACTACTTAATTTTCTAAGACTTATTCGAACATTTATGGAATTATTTTATGATATAAATTTTATGGTGTTGCAGTTTAAAATGTATAAGGCTCGAGTAGTGTTTAATTCTTTGACCCCATTGGCTCCAAAAGTCCTTGGGGCCAAACAATTTGCATCATGGTTGGTGCGAAACGATCCAATGGTCAAATTCAGTCAAGCTATGGTTTTGGGATCTCAACGCCGACACAACAATCGTGCTGCTACAGAACCTTTCCTCAATGGCAGTACCAGCTCCTATGTAGAAGAAATGTACAATGCATGGCTTCAAGATCCACACAGTGTTCATATTGTACGTAGTTTGTTGTGAAATACAAGTTTTGAGTGTATGAGTGTTTGTTTAGTTTTGTAATGCTAAATAAGAAATATTGTGTTCCATCAGTCGTGGGATTCCTTTTTCCGTAACAGTACAGCTGGAGCTGCACCAGGTCTTGCCTACCAACAACCACCATCTCTAGCTCCTAGTTACAATCAAGTTCCACTTAATTCTCTGTTGCCTCTGGGTGGTGGAGCTGCTATTGGTGCACCAGTGAATGAAAAAATTATTGATGATCATCTAGCTGTGCAAGCTATTATCCGTTCATACCAGGTACGTGAATAAACATTTCGGGCAGGAAAAAAAGATTGGCATACTAAGAACTATTTTTAATGACTCCAGCAGAAACTTAAGGAAAAACTAAAAATTAAATACTACAAAAGTTAATTATACAGTTGCTACCTGTTACTAAATCTGAAACCTCATTCATTTACCTTCAGACAACAATAATCACTTAGCAATTGTAATTTAACAATTCCCTGAATTTTAATTCAAGAAAAACAATGTTAACATATATATCAGCCACACTAAGCACCTCCCATTAATTTGACTTGCTATTAATTTTTCAGTACTTTTTTTTCCTCCTTGCAATTTTTTTATCTACACATTTTTTCAATGGTATACATCTTAGCAAAACTACTCATTAAGCATTTGATCTATTACACATATATCTATATAGAATTGAGGTGACAGATTTTTCAATTATATTTTGTGAGTTTATTCATTTGAGGGCACGTTCAAAACAAAATATATATGCTTTATTTAACATTGGCTTTACAAGCTCATTGACATAAACCTTCTGCCATAAAAGCAGCATGAGCTAATAAATAATGCCAAACATTCCTGTATTTTACTGTCTAAGGCATTTCTATAATCGGATGTTTTGCATGATATTATGATTTTAGACATGTATATGTATCACTCATTGCTCAAGGGTATTGTCATTGAAACTGAGTATTTCAAAGGAATGTCATTTTTAGGATATCAAGTAACCAGAGATATTAATGTTATACAGCCTTCTCATCTCAAGTGTGACATGCCTTTTTATATAAAAAATTTTTTTTTAAATATTAAATTCCATTATATTTCATGAACAAAACATTGGTGTTCATTATTCACTATCTAGAATGTTATTTCTAAGAGCATAATGGATAATGATAAAATCCATATGATTGTACAGTCATTGTTGAAATTTCATCATTGGTCAAACGTGGAAATTTTGGAAAAAAAATTTGTAACTTCTTGTGGGTAATTAATGATTGACATATAGGCACGAGGTCACTTAGTAGCCGATTTGGATCCATTGGGTATCATGCGAACTGACTTGATCCACACGCATTACGCCGCTCGCAAAGGGTCTCCAGAGCAAGTTCTACGACAGTATATGCTTGGTAAGGCTTCGATCGAGATCATTCTCTCTCCCATTACAATCATTTATCAAAATATTATCTTGAAAAAAGGCAGTGAAGGTGCTGAAGTTACTCTTGTTGTTCATCATCTCTCATTATCATTTTCATTGTCATCAACTCATAGATCGGCGCAATTATATATATGGTATTCACTTGACCCCTTTCTACGTGCTAAACCTTTTTGAAATTTCTTTCACACCTTCACTTGCATTTTAATTGAAACACGACTTCTCGAAAGAATATAATATGAATAAAATTATAATTTGTTGTATTCGATGTTTCATCGCTTTTACTCAAATCAATCATTAGTTTGTAAGATCAATACTTACAGCTGATACTGAAAATTATTCAGAAATTTTTTTAGCAAACTTATTTGTATTTTCCCGGTGTATTATTGAAGTGACAAAAATAATTGATCCCCCAACGCTTGATTTTAATTCAAAAATGCTATTTCGCTTCTCAATTTACGGGCTTTGAAGCCTATTGATCTTCCACTTCAATAATACAAAGATTTGTTTTATGATACCCTGAGAACCGAACATATAAAACGCATGAAGGTAAGAAGCACATCATGTTTTTTTTTTATAATGCTTTTGGCTCTTTGTTTATTCTCTCTGCTAATTCTGCATGATGATTTTGTTTTCCTATCGCATGAAATAGCTGAAAAAAATTTTTTCTAGAGTTTGTATTTGCTTTTTTTATCATTTCTCATTAGGTTATTGCAGTGCTTATTTATTATGATTATTACTTGGGAGGTGTTAGGTGGTTAATTATAATCGAGGTAAATGACATCAAGTGTAAGCGACGAGTGGCGATTACATGACAAAAACAACTATTACGAAAGATACATGAGAACTAATACGTTTATTCGGCAACTCTCAAGTGGACGATACATCTTTATACACGTTCCACTTACAGTCGTTAAAGAATCTCGCTTCCCTTTTTTTTTATTAATGCTTAGACTTTTGTTGGAAGATTTCGATGCGATGATCCGTCACATTTCTACTACTCGATTTACAACTCATTATTGATGTGCAGACAATGCGTAAGAGTCATCGTATTGCAATCTTCCATCGCAAAGAAAAAAAACTTAATTTTTTATTACGAGAGCTGTTAAGCAATATTTTTTTTGTGTGGTCGTGAAAAACGCGGCCAAAATTCCAATTTTGACAGATTCGTGGTCATCATATCGCAAAGTTGGACCCGCTGGGCATCAACGCCGCTGATCTCGATGACCGGCATCCGCAAGAGTTGCTCTATAATTATTACTCATTTGGTAAGCCCTCAACAAACAGAGGATCACTGTTTTATCTCTATTTCTCTTTTACTCTTGTAAAATGTCTCCTCAACGACAGGTGTGAACAAATGGTCAACGATAAAAATTTGTGTTTTTGGCTTGTTCACAAAGGAAGTAGATAATGTAAATATTTGGAAAGCTTCGTCATCGTTTTAACTATCTTTTGATGACTTTGCACTAATCTAAGAACATATACGATAAACGCCAACAATGTGTTTCTTAGAAAATTGATAAAAAGATAATCATTTCGATGGCGAAGTTTTTAATATTTTTTTATCAACAAATCCATGTACTTATACTTCATCATAATTCTTATTATTTATTTTTCTATCAGCACTTCTTATAATTTGCCATTTGTACATTCTTTTCTTTTGCAACTAAAACGCATTGGGGTCTTTAAAAGTCATGATAATGAAAGCTCAAACTGTTACACCGAACAATCAAGTTGCTTAAAAATACGAATAACTACAGTTAAATGAAAAGAAATCTGGAGAGAACATAAGTTATTTGTCGGTGTAAGAGTTTAACCAAGGCTATATATGACTTGTGCACCTCATTAATTTTTGACTTTACTTTTTTCTCTAATTAGATGCTATCAGCCTCTCAGAGATAAAAAGCACTAAATACGATGTATATGAAAAACAATAAGTTTCTTTTGAGACCCAATAATAATGAATTAAGATAATCGTAGATAGCGAAAGTCAAAACACACACGAACAAGTCGGAAGTTTGGTTTTTATTTAGCTCGAGTGCTTCTGGTCAATGTCCACAGGAAAGAATCCCCGTACGACTTATGCTCAAGACCTACGCAATCGGGTTGCTGCACTTACACAAAGTATGTAGATGATCTGAAAGAGCCGCATTGAGCTCTTCTCTATTTTTCACATTAGTAGAAAAAGAAAAAAAAAGTAATGTATTTCGGGAAATTCGTTATAAGCAATTGGACTTTGTCCTATTTTTTCTCTTATTTCAGCTCTTGGTGCTTGGGCAATCTTTTATTTACTTTGTAATTTTTCTCTCTCGATAAGAGGAAACTCGTAAAGTTTTCGTAAGATATTTACCATCTCTATTTCTCTCTCCTTTTTTTGTTAACCACGAGTTGTGCAAAAAATTATAAAGTGAGAGGGGAGCTTATCTCATTGCTTTCTTTTACGTAACAATATATATCTCTCGTTTTGAAAATGTTTAACCAAACTTTTGCGATTGTAATTTGAGCTAACGAACCTACGCTTGAGGTGTTTTTTATGTGCGACAACGAAACGTTTCTTATTAATGTATATCACACTTATTCAAAAAAACAGATTCTCCTATGTTTTATTTTTACTTTTGTTGTCAACAATGTCATTTCGCTTATTTTTTTCCTCAATGTTATATAATTTTCATTCCAATCGCGTCATTCCTTTTTCTTTTTCCATTCACGTAAATGGTTTGCTATTTTAGGACCTCCCCACCTACAAACATCTTCAAAAACTTTAACTGCATGCGTACGATATATTTCATCGGATGAGGGACATACTGGATAGCTATCTCAATAAATGATTTGCATACTTTACATTTTGCGAATACTAAACGAAATTCTTTGATCAAAATTAAAAATTCAAATGTCACTTTCATTTTCAATATTTTTTTTCATTTTACAATTTGGGAAAATGTCACTTTCAGTATCAGTTCGAAGTGATTGACAAAAAAATCGGGTGAAATAATGCGATCGCTTTAAAAATGCGTAATTTTTCACAATAACCCCAACAGAGGAATCGGACATGGACCGTGTGTTCAAGTTACCGTCGACGACCTTCATTGGTGGCAAAGAGAAATCGTTGCCACTGCGCGAGATACTCAAGAGGCTCGAGCAGACGTACTGTCAGCACATTGGCGTGGAATTTATGTTCATCAACTCACTGGAGCAATGCAATTGGATTCGTCAGAAAATGGAAACACCGGGCGTGATGGATGTAACCAACGACGAGAAACGCTTGATTCTCGCTCGTCTATCTCGTGCTACCATGTAATTATCTTCGACGTGCAGACAATTGTGCATGATATTATTATACACGCAAATTGTTATGCACAGTAACATAGCGTCAGAATTGATTCACGCCATATTACTGTGCACAATATTTATGTGTATAATAAAACCATGTACAATTGTCGGTACGTCTTAATTTTTATCTTTTTTTCCTTTGTGTTTATTTTTAGAAGGTCGTTGAGCAAATGTCTTGCAAAATTTTTCGACTATTGAGTAACGCATAGACATAGTACTCTGCGGCTTAGAGATAGGAACAATCTATTTTAGATATAATTAAAGCTTTATGGCAAAATATTTGAGCTTAACTATTTATCGGATTATATATATAACTAAACTTTAAGTCGAGTATAATGGCTATTCCCAGCTCGGCTTTAAAATTACAAATTTTTAAAATTGGATGACGTTTCGACGATTTGCAAGCTACGTTCTTTAAATACATAACATTTTTCGCGTTTTATTTCATTTTTCATTTATAATCAATTTTTAAATGGAATGCCATTTATAAAATTTCAATAATAACTTGCAGGTTCGAGGCTTTCCTGGCGCGGAAATGGTCATCCGAGAAGCGATTCGGTCTCGAAGGTTGTGAAATCTTGATCCCTGCGATGAAGCAAATTATCGACAAATCCACCGAACTCGGCGTCGAATCCATTGTCATGGGTATGCCGCATCGTGGCCGTCTTAATGTCTTGGCTAATGTCTGCCGTAAACCACTCAACCAGATATTCACTCAGTTCGCTGCTCTCGAAGCTGCCGATGACGTAAGTCACTTTAGTAGTGGTTTAATAGTGGCTTTCATTTCAGAACGATGCATCAAAAATTCACATCGTTGTTTTTCAGGGATCCGGTGACGTGAAGTACCATTTGGGTACGTACATTGAACGTCTGAACCGCGTGACGAACAAAAATATCCGATTAGCTGTTGTTGCTAATCCATCGCATCTGGAAGCCGTGGATCCTATAGTCCAAGGCAAGACCCGCGCAGAACAATTTTACCGTGGAGACGGAGAAGGCAAAAAAGTAAATTATCTTTAGAAGGAAAATTATCACTTTATTTTTGTCGATATTTGCGTTAATTATTATCACATATATATGCTCTAGGTCATGTCTATTCTTCTGCACGGTGACGCAGCTTTTTGTGGTCAAGGCGTCGTCTTCGAAACGATGCACTTGTCCGACCTGCCGGACTACACGACTCATGGTACCATCCACATTGTTGTCAACAATCAGATTGGATTTACGACAGATCCACGACACTCACGCTCGTCACCTTATTGTACAGGTAATTATCAATACGCATTCCACGAATACGCGGATATTTAAAGGATTATTTATAGTAATTACGATAATGTGTCGCAGATGTTGCACGTGTTGTCAACGCTCCCATTTTCCACGTGAACTCTGACGATCCTGAGGCTGTGATGCACGTTTGTAAAGTGGCAGCCGAATGGCGTGCGACGTTCCACAAGGATGTGGTTATTGATCTGGTATCTTACAGGAGAAACGGCCACAATGAAATCGATGAACCGATGTTTACTCAACCACTAATGTACCGTAAGATCAAAAAGACACCACCTGCGCTCGAACTCTACTCTAAGAAACTCATCGACGAGGGCACTGTTACAACTGATGAAGTCAAGGTTTGTTAGACACAATACATAGCATGCAATCTTGAATATCGTTAAAGAATGATAACTTGACGTTATTCGATTTATAGCAAGTGAATGAGAAATACGAAAAAATCTGCGAAGAGGCCTACAGCAACGCCAAGCAAGAGACGCACATCAAGTACAAGGACTGGTTAGATTCACCTTGGTCAGGTTTCTTTGAAGGTAAAGACCCACTGAAATCATCGCCGACTGGCATCAAAGAGGACACACTCGTGCACATCGGCAAGAGATTTTCGTCGCCACCACCTAACGCAGCCGAGTTCGTTATTCACAAGGGTATCGAACGTATTCTGAAATCGAGAATGGAAATGGTTGACGCGCGACAAATCGATTGGGCACTCGGTGAAGCAATGGCTTTCGGTTCGCTACTCAAGGAGGGTATTCACGTCAGATTGTCCGGTCAAGACGTTGAAAGAGGTACCTTCTCTCACAGACATCATGTCCTTCATCATCAGACCGTTGACAAGGCCACCTACAGACCTCTTAGCTATCTATATCCAGATCAAGCTCCATATACAGTGTGCAACAGTTCCTTATCTGAGTATGGTGTGCTTGGTAAGTCTGCACTTTTTTTTTAAATTTACACGAAGACTGTTTTTAATGTTTCGTATTTTTGCATATCTGTAGGATTTGAATTAGGATACTCGATGACGAATCCTAATGCTTTAGTGATTTGGGAGGCACAATTCGGTGATTTCAACAACACCGCTCAATGCATTATCGATCAATTTATCAGTAGCGGACAGGCTAAGTGGGTGAGACAATCTGGCCTTGTTATGCTCCAGCCTCATGGTCTTGAAGGAATGGTAAGATTGTCAAAATCAATAGGCAAATATTTTTAAAAGGATAATTTTATAAATAATAACGTTTTTTTAGGGTCCCGAGCACTCCAGTGCTCGTCTCGAAAGATTCCTACAGATGTCCGCTGATGATCCAGACTACTTCCCACCTGAGAGTGAAGAGTTCGCAGTGCGACAGCTACACGACATCAACTGGATTGTTGCTAACTGTAGTACCCCAGCCAATCTTTTCCACATCTTACGTCGCCAAATTGCACTGCCCTTCCGCAAACCTCTTATCATCATGACACCAAAGTCGTTACTTCGTCATCCTGAAGCTCGTTCCAGTTTCGACCTCATGACTGAGGGCACTGAATTCCTCAGAATTATCCCGGAGGAAGGTATTGCGGCTCAAAATCCGAATGAAGTCAAGAGAATTCTCTTCTGCTCGGGCAAAGTTTACTACGATCTTAAAAAATCGCGATCAGAGAGGAAAATGGATAACAACGTTGCCATTGTTAGGGTAGAACAGGTAAGAAATTTTCGATTGATTGAAATACAACCGTGCATTGTAAGACATTTATGGTTGCTTTGCTTTTACAGATATCTCCATTCCCTTACGACCTCATCAAAAAGGAAGTAGCCAAGTACCCTAACGCTGAACTGGTGTGGGCTCAAGAAGAGCATAAGAACCAGGGAGCATGGGCGTACGTGCAACCCAGATTCCAGACATGTCTTAATGGAACTAAGTCTGTCTCGTAAGTTCTTAGATATAACTTTTTCGAGTAAAGAAATGTGCATGTTCATTAATTATCGATCATTATTGGTTGTGTTGTGAAATTAGTAACCCAACAAAGTATGTATTTTGCATTATTTTATTTATATTACGTTAATAAGAAATTATCTGCTTGCACTCGTGTCGATAAAGTCAATCTTTAGTTTCATCTTTGATTTATCTTGTGTACCTTGTTGATTAAAACTTCCGACTGTATACTATTTCTGGGCCCTATTTTTTACTTAGAAAATCAGAAATTGAAGAATGAGTCTGATCTACTAAGAAAAAATATAGTTTCAATATGCTTGGGCATATCACATTAATGAAGCACAAACTTGTTATGTTTTTCTTCATTCATGTTAAATAATATTAGAGCACTAGCTAAAATTTGGGCCGTGTTACAGTATCGCGAGTGCAAGCGATAATAGCGGCGGCTGGTTGAGTAGCTGGTTCTCGTCATCAAAAACGGCCGAAATTCCGGCAGCACCAGACACAAAAGAACCATCGAAACCAAAGCCACGAGACATTAGGTAATCACACACACGATAATGACTCGATTTTTTTCAAAGAGGAGCACGACCATCGCTTTTTCAAGCAGTAGCGTTAAGATATTGCAACGTATTAAATTGATGCCAATAGACAGTCACTAAAAATAACACTGATACATATGCGTGTGTTTGCAGGTACGTCGGCCGACCTACTGCGGCGTCACCAGCAACTGGCAGCAAAATGCAGCATTTGAAAGAGCTTAAGCAGCTGTTGGATGACTCCTTTAATATTTAACTCTCGTAGATTTGTATAAATCAGAATTTATTTATTTTAATTCTTTATCCCAATGTTGATACGGCAATCGCACGCGCTACGTTTATTTAAAGATAATCATTTGCTCCTTCTCCTTTACTTGTTTAAATGATTAGCAGCTAGCCAGTGCGAGTGATGTTCAAATCAGCGCGAGATTTGGATCTTTATTCACTCTGTTGCACGAAAATTGAGAGCAAGAGTTTTATTTTTACTATTCGCAATGTACATTAGTCGAATCTAGTGTTATTGTCAGTGATATTTATGAAAATTACTGCTATACATACTAGAGGTGAATTTCGCGCTGGTTTAAATAAGAACTCTCTCCTCTCTTCCCCCTCCCTCCATCTAAAGGTTGATGTATTCTTTTTCTGTGTCCTTTTTGAAAAAAATGAAACAAGCAATTTCGTGACATGTAATAAAAATATACTAAAGTATTATTTTAAACTTAAATGCTGAGCTTGTAAGATGAAAGCGCTTGAGCGATTCCGTTGAACTAGGATTGATTCTCCGCATGACGTTGAACGCAATGTTGAAGAGATAGTTTTCTATAAAATAGAAAAACAAATCAAAGACCACCAATCGTTGGTTAATCGTTCATAGTATCTGCGTTTCTTTGCGTAAAAGATCGAGACGATTGGCTATTTAATCGTTGAGTGCTAGAGCGGCGCTGCTTGAAGTAAAGCGCGCCCTCAAACGGTGGCTCGTTTGTTTAATGTATAATGATAACGGTGACGATAGCGGAGATGGCGATGATATTTGCAATGTAACTTTTAATAAGTTATTTACTTAGAAGAAAAAGCAATTTACTGAAACTTATATTGGACACTGAATATAGTCTGCATAGACAGTATTTCACTCGCAAGTTCCTTATGTCCTTAAGGTATTTTTCGTTGTTGAGTTACACACATTCGTCGATCAAAAATTGCACTCAGCGAATATATATCGGTGAAAATAAAAAAAAATCCTTGACAAAAAATAATTAAAGTAAATGAAGAAAAAGTACCAATGGCGTTACAATGATGTCGTTTGTCATTTCTGGCAGGAACTAGATGTGATCTAACGAATAAAAGTCGCACTTATTTTAACAAGACAGAACTTTTCTCGGTGATACTTAAATAGAGATTTTATTGTCCATTATATTTATTTTGCTGACGAAATGATATGTTATGCATAGTTTTCCCTGTCGACAATAGTCGTTCGAAAGACGTGTGCAGTGCATACTTAACAAAAATTGATTGCGGTATCAAGTGATACAATGTAGCTGAAAAATGAATATTCGGTAGTGAAACGTTGAATTTAGTTTTAAAAAAAAAATTACGTTTTATTGATTTACGAGAGATTAACGGGAAAATAACACAAATTTACATTGCACTTCATTGTAGAATATTTCAGTATGGCAATCAAATTAAAATCTTACACCAAAAAACAAGTCTTGTTAATGTCAACAATCCTTATACTCACCTGCAATGGTCATAATATAATAAAAAGAGACCCATTCATGTTAACCATCTTTATTTTCATATAATCTTTCTTCTTACAATATTTGCATTTTAAGTTACAACTTGTAACATATATGTACATAAGCACGCGTGCGCACGAGTACTGTATCACCGACTCGCATGTTTTTTTCTTCTTTTTGGTCGAAAGCGTAACACAATAAAATATCGTCTCGTAAAGTATACCAGTTTTGATTAGGTAAAAGCTAGCGCAAAGGCGATGATTGCGTCTGTGATAGACAAATAATAATGGAAGAAACTAAAAATGTCTCGGGGCTCGTTTTTGTCGTGTATCTGTGCATTATAATGCCGTTGGAAATAAAAAAATAAGCTCGCGCGTGTAAAAATAAAATCTCTGATCCGCTTAAAAACGACGTGATACTGAAGGTTTTTCTTTGCACTTGTTTCATTCTCGATCGAGATGCCTCTGGAAATGGCTTGTATAATCGGCCACTTTGAATTGGAAATCTTTCGCTATTCGTTGTTTCTTTTATTCATTATCGTTAGAATTAATTGTCGTCTTAATGTAGAATTCCGGATTCGCCTCTGCGTCTAGTAATCTGTCTGCCCGAGGACAGTGTACATGATTCTCTTGAAGCTATTGCTCTGGTGAATTTGCTCGCCGTCATTGTCGTATATGTTGATCTGTTTGAGAAAACAGTACAGTGGTACGTTATTCGAGAAAGAAACTTGATTCAATCAATTAATCTTTTCGGTCACTGTCGGGCAGTAAAGAAATGCCTACGTTTGCCGCACTGCCAAACGGAAACGTCTTAATTAATTTAAGAAGCGATTGACCCAACATTAGGTTGAATTGCAGAGGAGGCATTCGAAAGTGAGCGAAAAGACGATATTCAGCTGGCGTGAGGTACTTACGGCAGGACTCTTGGGCCGCCACGGGTTGGTATTAGGCTAGAAAGAGGGCACACGAGAGAATCGGAGAGTGAAAATCTGCAAGGGCGCAAAGTGGTGAAAGGCGACAAGAGAGTCTTACCCCGGATTGCCTGGGCCTCTGGGGCGAGAAAACGCCTTGGCGCGTGGGCTGGCTGACGCGGCTGACGCTGTGGTCGCCCTCCTCTTGGAGCGCCTTGTAGGCCTCGCTCTGGTTCGGATCCCACTTGGCCCCCGGCTTCGTGCTGCGGTGATCGTTCGTTCGCAAAACATGCCACATACGTTAAAACTCCGTCGCGCTTTCGGCGACATTATATTTCGTCGCTGCGAACGTCTCGACGAGCTCGTTATATATTGCAGTCGTCAAGCGATAGAATAGAGGCAGGCAGTCGCAGAGAGCGTTCGGCTTGCGTATTATTCACAAGAGAAACAGACCAGTTAGTAACCACTATGTTGGAGATCTACAGTGCGCTGCGTCACGCATGCAAACGTATACGTTTCGTTGTTCGCGTTCGTGTGTTTCGATTGTGTCCTCTCGGCGCGGGGAAGGGGGACGGGGTGGCTCGCGTGCGGAAGAGGGACGGAACGCCATTAAGCGACGCGCGAGACGGCAAAGCGCGAGGTGGAGCCGTGCGTTCGGTTTAGTGATTGATCGGCTTATTGAACTGCGGCCACACGTTCTTCGCAGCGGCCGCTCTGGCCTGCTCTTTCATGCGTCTCGCTTGCTCCTCTATTTCCCGTTTCTGTTTCAGGAAGGAAAAGTCTATGAATATGCTGCAAACAAACAGAACTCAGGTCATTTTTCTCCCTTTCGCCAGGGCGTTCTTGTTCGTTCAGCTGTGCCGTCCAACTTGAACTGCGCCACTCTCTCTCTCTCTCTCGCTCTCTCTCTCTCTCTCTCCCTCTCTCTCTCTCTCTCATTCTCTCTGTGTGTACGTGTGCATATGTCGCGTTTACCGTTTGCGATCTTGGGACTCATCACCGGTTCGAAAACGAGTTCCTCGTCATACTCCGAACAGAGTTTGTTTTTCGTTCAGCCGTGACTGCCGCAAGTCAAATGGACGCGCGTTCGCGTACGAAGCACGATTTATATAATCGGCGGGCCGTTTACGATTATAGAACTGATTTTCGAAAGAAAGGAAGCGAGAAGCTACGATGTGAGTTACTGGTTTTTCTCTCTAATTGAAAATTGAAAGTTCTAGTACAAGCGGGTTAATTGTTCCAAGCGTCCCGCCCACAGCGTTAATTCAAATCACAGAAAGCAACCAGATAAGTTAAAAGTCGATGAAAAATGTTTCTTTTGAGAAGCGATGCCATATGATCGGTACGGTGCGATGAATGATAAATTATACGGTTACGTGAAGTATGTACATGACGCGCTACACGACAAATGAATGTGAAAATGAGGACGTGATTATACCCGAAATCATCGGTGTCTTATGCTTTACTTACGGTATAGCCGAGGCCTGGCACTTTATAGTGTCGGCGATATTTTGTTCGGAGTAGAGGCCAATCGGCGTATTGAATTGCTGGCTGACGACCTGCCGAATAAATGATACAGAAACATAATGTCGAGGGATATTACTTTGTTGGAAAAACATGCGAAGAAAATAGAAAAAAAAGCTCGTAAACAAAAAAACAAAAACATCAGTCGTTGGTTGACAGTTTGATAGTTTTATTTGGCTCACGCAGTTAAACAAATTTTTGTTCGTGTTGCTTTTCACTCGGCGCTGTTTTTCAAAATGATAATGAGTGAATGATATATCCATTAAAATTGAAACTGATGACGGTGGCAGGTGATTTTTTATGCTCTGAAATAACAATCGGATGACTTGTTTTTAAAGCGCTATAGATATAAGTTAGATTAATTTTGGAGTGATCCTCGGTGTGAAGCGCATGGCGATGATTTTGATACGTGATGCGCCAGGGAAACGAAGCTGTTCTTTTCTTTCGCTGGCTATGGATGTAAAAATTATTAGCGGTTTCTTATCTGCGCGAGTCGACTGTTGGATCTGACGGAGACATTGAAATAATGAAAATAAACGGAACAAACGAGTCTGCGACAGATCCAACGCGTCCATCGCTTACACGCCAACTTATTTTGTACAGCAATACTGGTACTTGAAAATGGGATGTCGATAGGCGCAAAGCAATAGCCTCGATTGCGCGCGAAATGATCCGATTTTCAAAAGTGATAAATGACCATAGGCTAAAGAAAGCACAAGGGGTACGTCTGACAGCTTTGAAGAAGCGCGAAGGACAGAAGCAACGTAAAAGCGAGAGACAAGAGCCGCAGCTGTCGGAGAGAAATGCGGGAAATCATGAATGCGCACCTTGGGTAGATCGTGCGGGCTCAAGACTCGCTGGAGCACGGTGTCGGCCACCTGGAGCGCGTGTTGTCGCAGAAGTAGATAAAAAACAAACAATGCATACATCGATGAGCTTCTCGAAGAAGGCGCCGCGCGCTTACATAACCGTCGCAGTCTTAAAATAAAGCCGAGAGGGCCGAAGCGAATCGAGAGCACTGCTGACGGCTGTCTCTGCTTCTCTCTCTCTCTCTCTCTATCTCTCGATTCGCTTCTGTACCCAAGCTCGCTTGCATTGTATACTTACGATCGCTCGCTTATTTTTATTCATTCGTTTATTTACTCGTTGTTTTTCAAAGAGAATTGCATTAATTTTGGGTTTTAATCAAGCTCGTGGATAGGAAGCTCGTCGATACGAAGCTCCTGGACGACCGGCGTGATCTGATATTTGAATGTACGTACTTTCTGCTTCATCGCGACTTCGGGATTGGCGACCTCGTAGTGATGGGGCGGCGCTCGGACCATTGGGTTGGGATGGTGGCGCAGGTAGCACTCGCCCAGCGGGGCATCTTTCTTGATCTTCGCCCCGGGAAGCACCAAGGGCGTTGTGCGGTACGGCTGCAAACCAAGTCATTGGCACGGATCATTCGTCTCCGCTGGAGTTGTAGCTTCGATCGCGATCGACTCTCGTCCGATCTCCGATGCGAACGGTCAAGGATCTTAGGATCTTTCATCCGCGTTTGGGAAAAGCCAATTGAAAACGTCCGACTGGCCGTCACGAGTACATTCTTTTTAACCAAACTAATTCGACTTTCAGTTCCAGATTTTCCCCTTGGAAGATTGCAAAATCATGTGTTTTTTTCCAATTTTAGATTGAGCTATTTGGTTTGTATTGCCAAAGCTTGACAATGTGCTAATATTTGACAAACGCATCGCGTCAAATCAATGCTTCGGGACAGTTCCACTTTTGATTTTGCAAACGAGCCCAGAGCCGCCGTCGAAATAATTTACACACAGAGAATACATTTTAGAAAATTGACAACGCGGCTATTTCGGCCATTGGCCCACAACTCCGTTTTCGCAAGCATAAACAAATTTGTTTAATCTCGGCCCGAGTCAAAGCTCTGGGTACCGGCGTTAAAGCACTCGAGCATCCGCTACGGAGAAAAAGCTCGTAAACTAGTCCAACTTTTATATCTGAGCGTTAACGGGCTCGTCGTTAACGGATTCGATTTCGCCGGTGGACTGGCGGACGCGCGCTTTGAACACCGGCCAAGAAAAGTCAACGACGCGTTCGTCAACGCAACAGGCCTTCCGGCTTCGTTAGCGTCGCGTAAGCTGCTTCGACCAATTACGCCAATTACGACCCCCACGCCTCCCTCGCGATAAATCCTCGCCGGGGGCAGCTCCTCTGGATTTGGTGGCTTTGTCCGTTCGATCGGTTGCTCGCGCTTCCGAGGTCGGAGTTATCGGATCGAAAGCTCGCCGCCGCCCGTCGGTCTCGCGGTCTCGCGCGTTCAAGGTCGCGGGCGAAGTGCAGGGCCGAGGATTCTAAATCCGTCGTTCGCCGATGCGTCCACGGATGTTCGCTCGGCGATGAGAAAACGGGTCAGCCGCGCCGCCGCGGAATATTCGCGGCTCGAAATAGAGATCAAGGCCCAGAACGCGCGTCGAACGAAAATAACGCAAGCGCGCGCGTCGTCCGAGAGGCTCTGCGCTGGATGCCCGTCGGCCGATCATCGCGTCCAGGCTGTTCCGCGCGAGGAGACTCGGCCGGTCGTCGCGTCCGCGGAGAGAATCGAGGACTCGACGTACCCAATAGACGGCGCCTTCCTTTTCGTCGATCGGCCGGTCGTAGTAGGTGGTGTACGAGCGCCTGTACGAAGGCATCCTTGTCGCGGTTCCGTGTGTGTGGGGCTTTCTCGCACTTGTCGCGCTCGGGCTGCGCGCACGGAGCTCCGACCGACTCGGTTGATGCGCGGGCGGACACTGAGGAAACTCGCCTTCTCCAAAGTTATAGCTCGCGCGAGCGACGCGGTTTCTGCGCGCCTTTCGAGAATACGGTGACGCGTGGAGCTGCCGCGCGCCTGTGTGTGCGTACGTGTGATTTATTCCGGTTTTTACAATGCGCGGGTAGTAGGGAGGTTTTTCATTTTTGGACTGTCTTACAGCTGGTTTTCGCGTGCGAATTAAATACGGTTGACGCGGCACGTGTCTTGATCGATCGATGAAAATTCGTTTAGCGGAATGACCTTTATATGCCTGGTCACGTACGAAGTCAGATGTCTTTTGGGGTTCGTTATAAGGACCACTTGCTCGTTCTTTATTTGCTCGGCTAATTCGGATAAGGATAAAACAGGCGAAACGTGCGTTTTACTTCGAATCGACCTCTGAAAGAACTCGCTGCCAAGACAAATATACACTAATTAACCAATGAAAATACCTGAGCTTCGTTGTCGATTAGCGCGCCGTTCGAACGAAGCCTCAAATTACCAGGCAAACAAAAGAGAGAAGAAAAGAAAGCAGCCCGCGAGGTCGGCCGCTCGTCATTCAATAGCCAGCCGCTAGCTTCGCCCGAGCGAGCTTGCCGCCGAAAAGTCCAATCGATTGGCCGCAAGCTCAAGAGCGGCGAGGAAAGTCGTGCGTTGCGAAAAGACGCGCCGACGGTGGGCGCGTATTTATAGCCCGAAGTCGCAGTCCCGTTTTCGCGCGCGCGCGCGCGCGCTTTCCAGCATCGACGCGGCCGGGGCGAAAATACGCGCAAGCTCGGCCCCGCCGTGCCGAGCTTTCTCCTCGCGCGAGCACGCGATCGCCGTCGCAAATTGGCGTCTCGCGCGATCATCGAGCACCGCGTTCAGTTCACTGTCAAGAATGACGGTTGGAACGCGTTCGGAAGCCGCGATTTCCGCGAGAGGAGCGCGCCGCGTCATTCCGAGCTCCGAAGGGAAAGCAACGCAAAGGGGCACCGCGCTCGCGTACGTACCTGGGACAGGTAGTATCTCTCCTCGCGAACCTCGTCGAGGTGGTCGTGCGCCGGGTTGAAGTGGACCGGCGAGAAGATCCTTTGGGGCTCCGGCACCTCCACCGGCAGAGGAGGCGGCACCGGACTCTTCGGCAGTATCGGCGGTATCTGTTGACTTTTCTGCCTACGTTTTGCGAAATACACAAGTTTTCCATTATCACCTGCGAGCCTTGTCGCTTTGCGTCTTATTCGAGAGGAGAATGTAAGATGTTAATGGGCTTTGATGCAGCTGAGCGCGAGGCGCGAGGTAAGGCAGCCGCGACGCTTGTTTGCTTATTTTGTTTTCTGTTTCTGGACAGTCGATAGTCCGAGCGAGGTAAGCGACGGAGCTGTCGTTTTTCTCGAGACGTGTGTTTTCTCCACGCGAGGCGGACTCGCCGTCGTGCGTTCGCCGCGGCAGATGCTTAATCGCGAGACAGTAATTGGAAAGCGATCTGTTCGGCGAGCTTGGCGAGCGCGCGCGCGATGATCTGGCGGATTACGAACTTGCTGTTGAATGAGCAACGGTCGGAGGATGCGACGGCGCTGTCTGAGTCTGACTGATCGTGCGATGATGCGCAGGATGTGGCGTGGGGCAACCCGGACCTTTCGATGGCGAGCTTTACGGACTCGGAATTTTTCAGGAGATTCTGCGCGTCTACGTGCCTCAGGTCGCGCACGTCGTACTCGTCGATCTTCTTGATCACGTCGCCCCTCTGAAGATCATCGTTCTCAGACTGCAACAACAACAACACAACATGTACGTTCATGGGTGAGCTTTATCTCGCATGTGCGTGCAATTCGCAGACGGACTGAGATCGAGAGCCAAGTGATGCAGCCGTGCTCGAGGTCATTTCAAAACGGCTCTTGTTTAGCGCGAACGCACGCCAGAATTTTTTCAATTCGAGCTATAAATATACTCTTGTGTTCCACGCCGGTGCCATTTATCCCTGTTGGAGTCGAACGACATCGTCCGTCCGTCCGTCCGACCGTCCGTCCGTCTATTAATATCCTCGTTAGGATTATCAACCGAATTTTTAGCGCGCGATCGATGGGAACCCAAGCTCTACTTGCTTTCACTGCATTCAACCGTGATTCCAGCGCCCGTGCGACAAAATATCCAACTCACGCGGGTGACGACCAAGGGAGTGCCCAAATCGGAGCCACCGGCAATGCTGATGCCCCAAGACACAGATTTGCACGGCCTCCTGATCCTCACGATCAGCGTCTGGCGCTTCGTCATCGTGTCGCTCGCCCACTGCACTCGAATCTCCGTTACTTGTCCCCTCGACTGGATCTACCCCCCGCGCGCACAAATACTCGTCGGACCGCAAAGAGAAGATGAAATAAAAAGGAAAAAAATCGACAACGAAAAAAGGAAAGAAACGTCGAAAGAAAAAGACAACAACGACTGTCGTGGAGCGCGTGCGAGCAACGCGGCGGTTGAGGTTGTACTAGCTCGGTACAGGGCTTTTTAGCTGTGACTTTGACGGGCCTTAGTCGGCAGCCAACTCGCTCCCTCGGCTTGACTCTGGTCGATGCTGCTGTTGCCATACTGCCGCTGGCCTCGTTCGCTATATTGGCAGCCGCCAGAACTCGCGTTAGCATTGTTCTTGCGCCGTGCACCGAGCGCGAGACGCTTTCGTCGAGAACGATCGTTTGCCCCATCGCATCGGGCGTCCTCCGGGCCGGACTTATCAGCGCCCGGAGCGCCAGCTCGAGGGCTCGCGCGGCCAAGATAACTGCACGAGCAGCGATCGCGGATCCAATGACGGAAGCATCGATGCGCGCTCGGACGAAAATACCACTGCGAGGAAATCAGTTGAACGAACTTGGAGACGCGCGCTCATCGATTTCTGTCGATGGCAGCGGCGCGGAGCCCCTCGGCCGAGCGAAAAGCACGCGACGCTCGATTCCGCCGAAAGCAGCGAAGGGGGCACGATAACTCACGCGCGTCTCGTAGTAGCTGCTGATGTAGAAGCGCAGTCTCGACGGCATCTCCTCTTCCGGGCGGCAAGGCAGGCGGCTGGACGAAGGCTCTCGGGCGAGAAGAGAGAGAGAGAGGCTTTCTCGATCCGATCGATGCGAAGGCTTTCCCTCGTCTCCCGTCGGCGCGTGCCATTATCGAGCTTAGAGACTCGTGGCATCCCAAATGCTCCTATCCAGTCCGTGCGCGCAGTCAGGGTTGACAGACGCGCCGCAGCGGCGCAAATTTAGACGCCGACCTCTCGCTTCTCTTTCTTTCTAGCTCTCTAGTCGGGAGAAAGAATCGAGCGCGATCTCGATGCGAGCAACGCCAACGAGCCGTAAGATCGGTTCGTCATCCCTCCGACTCGTCATCGTCGCGATAGATCGACAGCGGCGAGGCTACGTGCAATGTTAGCGGGTGCGGTGAAATAAACGCCAGGCGATCTGCTCAAAAGTAAGCCCTGGGCCATAATATTTTTTTTATTTCTTTTCTTTTCTTTTTTTTTCTCTTTCTGCAGTTTCTGGAGGAGAAACGAACGATACAAGCAGGAAGACGGGAACGCGCACAGTCCGAGCGCGCTCAGGCGTACTCCTCGCTGATCGCGCGGCCGATGACCATTCTGCGGATCTCGCTGGTTCCGGCGCCGATCTCGTAGAGCTTGGCGTCCCTCAGCAAGCGACCGGTCGGGTAGTCGTTGATGTAACCGTTGCCGCCTGAAAGACAAAGCCACGCGATAGGTGCAGGGTTCGCGCGGGGTTCGCGCGGGGGACGCGCCTGCGCGGCTCGCTCACCGAGAATCTGGATGGCGTCGAGGGCGCACCGCGTGGCATTCTCGGCGGTGTACAGTATCACGGCCGCGCAGTCCTTGCGATTGACCCGGCCGCCGTCGCAAGCGCGCGCCACCGAGTACAGGTAGCTTCTGCCGGCGCACAGCTTCGCGTACATGTCGGCCATTTTGCCCTGAAACGAGAAGAGGAGACAGGTGCTGCTGACAGGTGCGCAACCGAACGCGCCGCCTCGCAACCTCGTCGTACCTGTACCAGCTGGAACTCGCCGATGTGCCTGCCGAACTGCTTCCTCGTGTGCGCGTACTCGAAGGCCACGTCACAGCAGGCCTGCGTGATCCTGAAAAGCAAGAACCGCTGCGAGTTGGCACGGCCTTATCGGGCGTCGGCGACGTTACCCCAGTGGACCGCCTGCCAGCACCAGCCTCTCCAGATCCAGACCGCTGAGGAGGACGTACACGCCTCTGTTCTCTTGGCCCAGCACGTTGCTCACTGCGACACCGAGAAAGCTCAAGGTCTAAGTTTTCGCTTCGGCAAAACAAGGCTCGCCGAAGGGAGGCTATACACTCACCGGGAACCTTGCAGTCTTCGAAGATGAGCTCGCAGGTGTTGGAGCCTCTCATGCCCAGCTTGTCGAGCTTCTGGGCCGTGGTGAAGCCTTCGAAGCCCTTCTCCACGATGAAAGCGGTGATACCGTGCTGCTTCTTGGCCGCGGACGGGTCCGTCCTCGCGTACACGACCAGCACGTCGGCGTCGGACCCGTTCGTGATCCAGAACTTATTGCCGTTCAGCAGGTAGTGGTCGGCCCTCTTCTCGGCCCTCAGCTTCATGGAAACGACGTCCGAGCCAGCGCCTGGCTCCGACATCGCCAGCGCGCCGACGTGTTCTCCGCTGCACAGCTTCCAAAGGAATTCAAAGGAATTAACTGGATGACGGCCACGCCGTATTACGCTCGTCGTCGCGGCCGAGCTACCTTCGGCAGGTACTTGCGCTTCTGCTCCTCGGTGCCGTTGCGATGAATCTGATTGACGCAGAGGTTCGAGTGAGCGCCGTAGCTGAGAGCCACCGCGGCGCAAGCTCGACTCAGCTCCTCCAGAATGACCACGTGCTCGAGGTAGCCGCCACCCGTGCCGCCGTACTCCTCCTTCGCGGTGATGCCCAGCAGACCGAGCTTGCCGAGTTGTCTCCAGAATGGCTGAAAGTCGTTTTGCGAACGATCAAAATAATTCCATTGACATTTCAGGCGCCGATCAGCGAACCAATGGGCAAGCCAAGCGCCACTACGCTAATGGTCTTCCACTGGCTTCGAACGTCATCCCCGTATCGTGCTGGCGCTTGGCTCTAGTCGGCCCAGTTGGCCCAACCGAACGAACGTCGTTCGACTCCTCTCGGCACGATCTCGGTTTACGCAGCTGCAGACGTCGGAATAACCCGAATGATTACGTCGAGTCTAATCTTTTCACCGGCGACTCTCCCGCCTCTCGTTGATTCGTCATTTGCCGGCGTGCTCGAAGCGGAGCGCCGCGAGAAGCGCGCAGTCATTGTGTACTCACTCGCAGCCCGTCGAAGTGGTTCTTCTTATCGATCTCGGCGGCCTTGGGCGCGAGCTCGCTCTGCGCCAAGTTGAACACCAGGCTCCTCAGCTGGAACGTGACGGCTGACGATTACGACCCGCGGACGCGGACACGGCCGAGCGCGACTCGGCAATGACCGGCTGCTGACCTCTTTCTGCTGCTCGGACAGGCCGAACACGCCCTCGTCGATCGCGTAATACCGCGAGGCGGCTCGGCAGCCGCGGTCCGGCCCAGGCGACGAGCGCCACGCCAGCAGCAGTCGGCCCGCGCCGCTCCGCAGCGCGCTCATCTCCGCCACGCGTGCCGTGGGACTTGCGCGCAAGACGACTCGAGGCAGCTCCCGGGCGGCCGGCGCTCCACTGGAGTCGCGCTCGCTTCGCCGGCGGCTTTCCGGTGGCTTCCCGGGCGCTGGTGGGGATCCGCCGATACCGGGCGCCGCTCTGTTCCGCGCGGCGCTCGCGGCCGTGGCACAGCCGCTGGCCTTCTCGCTGCAAACAGTCTGGCCAACGTTCCAGCTGACCGAGGCACGTCAATCCCGCGTCCGATAAGCGCGCGAGCGACTTTGGGAGGACGCGATTCGAACGCTCGTTTAGCGTGAACGCAACTCGCGGTTGGCGTTGCGTCACGACCACTCGAGCAACATGGACTTACGAGCAGCAGCGCTGAATAGCGCCAACATATTTATCGGCTGCTCTTCGGGGTGAGTGCGTTCGCAGCATATTTTTCGACTTTTGCCTTCGTTTCAGATAAGTTATCGTATCGGACGACGACAAGCGAAAGACGCGGCGTACTTCGAAATCGATTTTGTCCCGCTGAACAGCGCCGAGACACCGCGACGTACGCCGGTGCTTCGCGCGATGCTCGCAACTCTGAGAATGCACCACTCGTATCATTTTAGACAATGACTCATCGCTGCTCACGGCCACTGTCCACTTGTCCACGCACCAATGAAAGAGACAAGGAAGAGAACTTGAGCGAGTCGCGCGTTCGGTCTAATTTCTTGAATTGTGGCATACTAACGGAAATACCCCATACCCGATAATGCATCGGCCTTGAATTTATTGATAAATGTCAATCGTTTCTCGACTTTCAAAATCAGGATGGCAGCATCATGCCTGGTTTATCCTCTGGACCTAATCAAAATTCGTATGCAGCTGAACGAATCCGAGACGGCGAGCAACGCCGACGTTTCATCAATTTTAAAAAATGAGGGAGTTACGGCCTTGTACTCGGGATTGTCCGCTAGTCTACTGAGGCACGCAGCCCACACCACCACAAGACTGGCAATTTACACGTGGCTGTTCGACTTAGCCTCGTGAGTTGTGCAATCCATCCGCTACGACGACTTTTGCTTGACGAGCAAAATATTTCGATAAATCAAACGCAGACGTAAATAATGGTGCACTTTCAGGAGTGACAGCTACCCGGATCTTTGGCTACAAATCGGCCTGGGAACGCTGGCTGGATGCGTCAGTTCGTTCGTTTGGACACCGGCTGAGCTCGCGTTTATTCGGCTGGCAGCTAATAGCCGCTTACCTGTCGGTAAATCGAATTTTCAATTCCGTCGAGCCTTAATAAAAATTCATCGACCAAGAGTCAATTAAAGAACGTATTGCATAATAATCGCGCGGGCCAAAATTAATCGCGCCTCCCATTGCTTTTCTTTCAAGATCAAAGACGCAATTACAAAAACGTCTTCGACACCGTGATGCGGGTAGCGAGGGAAGAAGGATTTTTTACATTATGGCGAGGAGCCGTCCTCACTGCAAACTGTACCATGATCGTTAGTGGATTACAAATCGAAACGTTCATACACACCCTCATAATTCTCGCTAGAAGCGGTATGCCATTTTTCACGCCTTGCCGAACATTCAGATTTTTACATATTAAAAACGACATCTTTTTTTAAGAATATTTTGACAGTACGTTGAGTATATGGCTGTCCAGCTTTGCGATTTCTGGCCTAGTCACAGCAGCAATAGTTACACCGATCGATGTGGTCAAAACAAGGTACATACCTTCTTTCCACGAAAAGAAAAAAAAACACATTTGTACGTATGCCAATTTCATTTTCTTTTCGCATACATTTTTTTTAGAGTTCAGAATATGACGGCTACCAGAGGAAGATGGACACATTCGGACACGATAGATGTTTTGATACAAATTATACGCTACGAAGGAGTTTACGCTCTCTGGAAAGGTTTTCTGCCACATTTTGCTCGATTAGCACTGCACACTGTTTTTACGTCGATTTTTATAGAAAAAATGACATTCCAGCAGCTTCCCGATTTCCCTTTTTTCAACGCCTTTTCATAACACAGATTTCATTTAGCTTCGAGTTCAAACTGACAACATCTTATTCGATAAGTAAATTTTATTTGAACAGACCTCGCTATGTTAATTTTATTTTTATCAAAATTTTTTTACCGTGTATGTTTTTAGATTAAAACGTATATTTATACCATAAAATATATACTTCTTTTATTCGGATAAAAAATCGGAGCCGATTCGTCCGTTCACTTTCAGAACCTTCCATTATCCCTGCAAAATTAAACTTGTTGTTGACTCATAAGTTGACCAATTTCTAGCCAGCTGAGTAATTTCCAATTTTTTCAAATAAAGTCATTTACATGTTTATATATGCAAAATTGAAGGCTATATCTATGTATAATTTTAGAACTACGCTAACACCATAAAAATCCCTAACTACTGAAATTCGGGCCAAGTAGAAAGTCATCCGATCTTAATAAATTCACTCGTCAATATCATTGGGATATTTACGTGATTTGCTACGTGAATTCGAATATTGAAAAAGGCAGTATATTCAAGTATATCTTTAATATATTTATTACCTTAAACTATACTTAATAAATGATACACCTTTAAGTGTTGTGTCTTTCGGCCGATAAAATTTTTTCGTTTTGACGTTTAAATTCAAAAATAAATTAATTTTTAGTTAAATGTCAAAAAGAACATTTTTTTTTAATCTTCCACTTTTACATAATTGGCAGAGGTGTACGCAAGGAATAGCTCATAAATTTGGCTCAAGACTTTGTTGAAGAGTAAAGAATGATATTTTACAATTGACATCATCTATATTGATGTCCGGGCCGAGAGCCAAAAGAACTTGAGCCGCATATAAATTCTGAAATTTCGTAGCATAATGCAGAGCTTAGCGTGGTCTGAAAATAAGAATTCACAACACTGACTTGTGTGACCGCATCGAAAAGAATGGAAATGGAAATGGAAAAAAACGCAGTGTCGCCATTGACGTCTTTGTGATCCAGATTGAAATGTAGTTCAATGAATTGTCTGATCACCTTCATGCGAATATCTCGGCACACGAAGTTATTGCTTTCATTGTGAACGAAGCTTAAATAATATAATTTTTTATCAGAAGCGTCAGCCACTGCGGCATTACCCGTGAAACTGGTGCCCCTTTTTCGTGATTTTCCGTTCTAAATAAATTCATTTTATTCGATGGCGTGACATTCAGGTAAAATAAATTTTCGACACGTTGCGCGTGCCAAAAAGTAATGTTAGAACACGAGCGGGAAAGAGCCATTTCACCCTCGCGTGGCGAAAGTCCACAGGAGACTGAAATTATTTTTTTGCACTAATATCAAGATGTACTGAGTTACGTTTAACAATATTAATGTACATAATCAAATGAATAAAGATTATGAATGCGTAATGATTAAGGAGACATAATAATGTCAATCAAATAATTTACCATTCTGGCTAAAAAATGAAGGTGAAGGACGCAACTTAATATGTATAATGCATTATACATGCAATATTGAAATTTGACTCATTAAATTATTGGTTGATAAGGATAAACGAGAATGATATTACGAGTAAAGCAGACTTTGATCCGAATTTCCATAAACACTTTCAACGGAAGTTTCGTATAAAATAGTCGTAGCTCATCACGAAGGTTGAGCCTGTCAACGCGTTGCATCACATCTCCTTCGCGGTCTCTTTTACAGGGTCTTTAAAACACCTTGATGCTCCAGCTCCAAAAGACATAAAAGGCATAATGCCCGGAGGAAATTTGCCGGGACGAATTTCAATATTCAGTCTGAAATTCGTCCTGGCAAATGTCAGTGCTGCGCGTCGTCAATCGGAAGAAAGCCCCACCAGGCGAACGCAACAATTTCTCAGCGGTCGGGCGTGCACCTCCACTGTGCGTTATCCTTCGATTTAATTAATCGACGCATCGTCCAACAAATTAACTTTTGAACGCTCGTAATCACCGCGAAGTTGAGCAAGCCGCCGACGAAGAGCCAGCTCGAACAAGAAAATCAATTCGAATCCGCTCTGACCTCCTGAAATTTGGACTTTTTCACGTGCATAAATCTGCGCGGGTCCGACTGATTTGCCTTCGCGTCGGCCGCCATCCCGCGACGTGGATTTACGTTTGAATCGCTTGGGAGACGCGAGGTCGAGCGCACCTCCTCCTCGCTGGATCGGACGGTGCTCGATCGGGCCGACAACCTCCTAAAATAGACGGCGGCGGGGCTCAGCGGCAGAGCGCGCTCGTCGCTCCGGTCGGTCGCAGACGATGCTCCGCTGGCTATGGCTGCTCGCCGGCGCGGCGTGGCTGGCGGGCGAGGCGGGGGCGAGCCACCGCAGCCCCCGCGGCCACGAGGAGACGGGAACGGGGACGGAGGAGGCGCGGCGGCAGGGGCCGGCAGCGCGGCTGAAGGCCCTGCCGGAGCTGGTGCGCGGCCTGCGCGGCTTCCTGCGCGAGAGCGAGCAGCTGCTGGCCGAGGAACCCCGCGACGCGACGCCGCGCCAGGACCAGGAGTACGACTTCGTGGTGGTGGGCGCCGGCAGCGCGGGCGCCGTGGTGGCCGCGCGGCTCAGCGAGGCGGCCGGCACCACGGTGCTGCTGATCGAGGCGGGCGACAGCGAGCACCTGCTGATGGACGTGCCGGGCGTGGTGAGCATGCTGCAGTACAGCGGCGCGATCAACTGGAAGTACCGCACCGAGCCGTCGGCGGGCCACTGCCGCGGCATGGCGGGCCGGCGCTGCAAGTGGCCGCGCGGCCGCGTGATGGGCGGCAGCAGCGTGCTCAACTTCATGATCGCGTCGCGCGGCAACCGGCGCGACTACGAGCAGTGGGCCCGGGAGCTCGGCAACGCGGGCTGGTCCTACGCCGAGGTGCTGCCCTACTTCCGCAAGCTCGAGCGCATGGGCGTGCCCGAGTTGCGGGCCGACGGGGCGCTGCACGGCGCCGACGGCCCGGTCAACGTCGAGTACGCGCCCTTCCGCACGCGCCTGGCCGAGGCCTTCCTCGAGGCGGGCCTGGGCGCCGGCTTCCCCGCCATCGACTACAACGGCGACCGCGACGTCGGCTTCTCCTACGTGCAGGCCACCATCAGCAACGGCAGCCGCGTGAGCAGCAACCGCGCCTACCTGCGCCCGGCCAGGCGGCGCCGCAACCTGTCCGTCGCGCGCCGCAGCCGCGTCGACCGCGTGCTCGTCGAGCCGACCACGCGGCGGGCCTACGGCGTGCTCCTGACCAAGGCCGGCCGCGGCATCCGCGTGCGCGCCGCCAGGGAGGTGATCCTGTGCGCCGGGGCCGTCGGCTCCGCGCAGCTGCTCATGCTGTCGGGCGTGGGCCCGGCGGGCCACCTGGCCCGGATGAACATCGACCTGGTCCAGGACGCGCCGGTCGGCGAGAACCTCATGGACCACGTGCAGTACCCGGGCCTGGCGTTCGCCGTCGACGAGCCGCTCGGTCTCAGGGCCCAGGACCTGGCCGACCCGCTCGGGCCCCACCTCGGCGACTACGTGCTGCACAGGCGCGGGCCCATCGCTGTGCCCGGCGGCTGCGAGGTCGTCGCCTTCCTCGACGTCGACGATCCGGCTGCGCTGAGCGCCTGGCCCAACCTCGAGCTGCTGTTCGTGTCCGCGTCGCTCGCCAGCGACTTCTCCTTCCGCTACGTCCACGGCGTCGCGGACGACTACTGGAACAGCTACTTCGCCGGCCAGTCGCGCAACCACACCTGGACGGCTCTACCGATACTGCTGCGCCCCAAGAGCAGAGGCCGGATTTTGCTGAGGAGCAAGAACCCAGCCGCTCATCCCAGGATCTACGCCAACTACTTGGACGATCCCGAGGACGTGAGGATCCTGGTGAAAGGCATAAGGATGGTAATCGCCTTGAGCAAGACCAAGTCCATGCAGAGGTATAACTCCAAGTTGACGAACTCGCTGATAAAGGGCTGCGAAAGTCATCCCTACGACTCGGACCAATACTGGGAGTGCGCTCTCAGGACGTTCGGCTCGACGCTCTTCCATCCCTCGGGCACTTGCAAGATGGCACCGGATGATGATCCCACGGGTGTTGTCAATCCAAGGCTACAGGTCAGGACGTCTCCAAGGCTACAGGTCGTTTATCCAAATTAACCAGCTGCTCGTCTTTAAACCTTCTGCCAATCGTTGCAGGTGAAAGGTATACGGGGATTAAGAGTAGCGGACGCTTCGATCATGCCGACGATTCCTGCTGGACATACGAATCTGCCGACGATAATGATAGCAGAAAAGCTATCTGATATGGTTAAAGAAGACTGGGGATTGATTACCGGCAATCATCAATGATGACCTGTCCATAGGCGAATAGTTATTGCGAATAATACCTCAATACTACTCAATGGCATTTGTTTGTAGTGCTAGTTTCATTTTTCTTAATTTAATAAATTCATGCAGTTTTATCGTCGGAGACAATTATTCTAAATACATCTGTCAAAATGCTTTTTTTTACTCTTGCGCGTGTTATTTGTACAGCTCAAATATAACAAGATCAACAGTTAAGTGGACAAAAGTTTCTTTCGCGATGTTTTTTCCAGTATAGTCACATAAGTTGTAAAACCCAACCAAATTTCAAATAACTTAAGCGACCACTCAAAACATTCCTTGCTTAACTCACTATTATCCAAGCAAAATTAAGGCCAGATAGCACCAAACTAACCATTGGATCACTGTTAAACTGGAAAAAAATTTATCCGTGTTTTATCTTTTTGCTATTCCTATTGTTTATGCGAAATTATTTTAAAATATTTAAAAAAATTTGCGCTTTCAGAAAACTGTTCGTGCCAATCAAATCTGCAAGAAAAAACAAATCGAAAACCTTAATACCAATCTCAAATTCTATTTTGTTCGTGTATTATCATAATAAACAATGACACCCCGATAGGAAATGCTGTACTTTGTATTACCTGAAGCCGAATATACGCTAGATAGCACCAAACTAACTATTGGACCTCTCTCCACGCGAAAAAAAAAATAACCCGTGTTTTTCTTTTTACGATTCTAATTATTTATGCGATATTATTTAAATAAATTAAAAATAACTTTGTAATTTCAAAAAACTGATCATAGCGATCGAACCTACGCGGAAAAACAAGTAATCTGTTATCTAAACCCAACCCTAAATGATTGGTTAAAAAAAATCACGTCACGATGTCTTGTGCAATTGGTTAGATCAAAATCTTAATTTCCGAATAAAGCTGAATATTTTATTTTCTAACGATAATTACACTAACAAAATAGAATTTGACAGAAAAATGGTAGAGGTTTTCGATGCGTTTTTTCTTGTAGAATCGATTGGCATCATCAGTTTTTTGAAATTGAAAAATTTTTATGAATTCGTTTAACAATTTCGCATAATTTCCTTTGTGTTTTTTTTAATCGGACACCAAATCGTATGACGTATAGTAACTAGAACAAATAATAGACGCGCATTTCAATTTTAAATGCGATAGTACTTATTGTTCCGAAAACGCCCGAGATGGCTCATATCAAATGTTATCATTACAAAAGGTATCTTATTAATAAGTTCGCCAACAACGTCAATTTTATTAATAAAAAGAATGTCAAGGGTCAACTACATGCCAAGCTGCAATTATCCACGCTCAAGTTGCGAATCGCAAAGACTAAGAAACGCAAAATGTATGCATCAAGTTCGCAATATACGCATGATTCATGCAAGCTAAATTTATTTAAAAGTAAAGCTTACGTTATACAAATCTGCAGCAATATTAAGAAGTACAGAGGAACAACAACAAAATCTTTATCTTTGACGGTAACCATTTTTTAATCAAAGAAGTATAATTTATCAAGATGTGAAGTGTAATTTTATATTCGTCGATACTACTGTTTATTTTGAGTGAATTTTATGAGATTGTAACATCTCATTGTATGTTAAGAGAACGAAACCATAATTGGTTGTAGAGCAATATAAAATGTAATATTACTTAATTGTGCAAATAAACAATGAAAAGAATTTCGTTTCAGCTCACGTGAGTGGAATTCGCTAATTAATTCTGCTTCCTGCTCATAAGACAGAATAAACAAGAAGGTATAAATTATGCATAATAAAATATATCAAAATTTTATTAAACTATTGTATTTGTAAATGTCAACTAGTTATATTCTGGCTTGTCAATGGGTCCCACTTTGTATCTTCTATTGTTTTGTTTACGGATGATTTATATTGAAATTGGGCGTATTTTTAAATCGATAGCCAATCCAATAAAATTTGAGGTCGAAGCTATGACGCCTGCGACAGGTGTTTTCGAGCTGTATTTCAGCTCTAGCGGTTGGTAAACTTTGGAACTTGTTTTGCCGGTTTCGCGCTTATTTTACTCGAGTCACGCATACACGTGCAAATTTCCGAGGCTATAGTAATCAGCTGGCTCTCGTAACTGTGTAAGTGTGCACGAGTCTGTCAACCGCCAAAAAATGTCTCCGAAATTTCTGAATCGCTTTTAGGCAGCTGCAAACCGTCTCGCAAGTATGCCATTGAAGTATTATTTGCCTCGTTTTTTATGGTTTACGCGTGATACTTAACGCACGATAAATAGTAGTGCTTTGAGTAATAGTTTAGATAACCAACTACGAGTGATAACGTGGACATTTTTTTTTTTATTGACATTGCTGCGAACGGCGTGATTAGTTGCGAGAAACTTTGTTTCGTGTATCAGAAAGTGATTGTAGGTTAACATCAAAAATGTCGAAAGCAGCGACAAAAAAAGCACCTCGCAAGAAAGCTGCTAACGGGTACAAACTGCCAGAACCAATTCCAAAAGGTGAAATACTGACTGATTTGAAAAAGCAGCGATGGATCATCGGTTCCTCGATTGGCGTTGGTGGCTTTGGAGAGATTTATGCAGGTAAGAGGTGTATATTTTTTGATCTGCAGCTTTTGTCAGGTTTATTTTATGTCTGATATTTATTTTCTCCTTAGCGGCCTCTTACAAAGACAAAATACCCACAGATTATCCAGCAGTTATAAAAATTGTAAGCAAGTTAAAATTTCATGTCAATCATATTTTTTATTTATCAGTTTTATTATATATTTTATTTAGGAGCCACATGGAAATGGGCCTCTGTTTGTTGAGATGCATTTTTATATGCGCAATGCTAATCCTACAGATAGTAAGTTCAATTTTGTGAGATAACAAAATGTACATGCATTTACTTTCAATTTTCAGAAACTGATATATAATTTTTTTTCATAGTCAATAATTGGAAAAAAGACAAGGTACTTCCAAATTTGGGTATGCCACCTTTCTTAGGATCTGGAAGTCATGAGTGTAATGGTCAGAAATACAGATTTGTTGTAATGGAGCGCTATGGTATAGACTTGTGGAAATTATTTTTGGCAAATGGCCGGCAGTTTCCTGAACCTACAGTGTATAAAGTAGCATGGCAAATTGTAGGTTTTATAAGAAATTAATTCAGCACTGCTGTTAATTTATTTTGAGACATAAGTTTTGAAAATTGATTACAGATAAATGTATTGGAGTATATTCACAATAAAACATATGTGCATGCAGACATCAAAGGAGCAAATTTATTATTAGATCTGAAAAGTCAAAATCATGTTTACCTAGTAGACTTTGGCTTAGCATCACATTATACAACCAAGGACTATAAATTGGATCCCAAAAAGGCTCATAATGGTACTATAGAATATACGAGTAGAGATGCTCATATGGGAGGTAATGGAATAAAGTAATTAAAACATAATTTGTTAGAATAATTGCTATAAATAAATTCTTATTATTTTAGTGCCAACTATGAGAGGGGACTTAGAAATATTATTATACAACATACTTCAGTGGCTGTGTGGTACATTACCTTGGGAAAAGAGTTTAAACGATCCTTCCTGGGTACAGCAACAGAAAGAAAATGCATTTAAAAATGTAAAACAATTTTTAAAAGATTGTTTTAAAACGTCAGATGTTCCAACAGTTGTTATTGAATTCATGACATTACTGTCCACTATGACATACAATGATACACCAAATTATGACAAATTTAGAGACATCCTTGTTAAAGGACTGAACAAGCTCAATCATGCGCCAACTGGTGGAAAATTAGAATTCACAGTAAAGAAAGCTGAAAAGACATCATTTACACCTAGAAAGATTGCAAAAGCAGCTGCTCAATCTACTGGATCTGCTAAAAAAACTAAATCTACTGCTGCTGCTGCTCCTGCTAAGAGTCCTAAAGGAAGACGAATTGTTGTACCTGATAACGATTCTTTAAACGATAGTATTGATTCTGTGATATTGGATGAAAAATGTATGAGTGGAAAAGATATGAGAAGAAAACTGCTAGAGAATATTGATGGAGATGCTGAATATGATGTCCAAATTAAAAAACGAAAAACTAAGGCAAGTGCAAGTAATGGAAATACTCCAATAAAGCCACCAGCAAAAAGGGGACGGAAAAAAATTGAAATAACACTAGATTCATCTATCACTGATTCTGAGCCTGAGGTAAGAATTATTTGAAGTAAATATCGACATAAATATTTAACTTATTTATCTAATTTATTATTATTTTTTACATTAACAGGTAGTATCTAAAGGAACAAAATCTCGTCCTGGGACAAAAGCAACACCAACGAAAAGTAAACCAATGGCTAGGGTTGTTAAAAGATTATCAGAAAATGATAGTGAAAAAGATATGTTTGATGACAGTAACGACTAAGTAAAATCATAGTAGTAGATTTGAAATTAAAAATAAAATCTAATCATATTTGATAGTATTAGACTTTCTGCGAAACTAGATATCGCAACATTGCGAGAAATCGTAAACAAATTAAATTTGGGAAGATTAAAAATGACTGTTGAACAATATTGAATCAACTTATGCAATTAATTAGATTCTATTCTTCATGGATTCTTTTTATACATAATCAATCAAATATATTTTTCTTGAAAAGAAAACTTTAATTTCAAATTCACTTCGCAAACGTATACTTTATATTATCTGTATCCGTGAAGCAGATACCTTGTAAGATATTATTTTTAAACATTTCAATCTTGCGACTTTTTTTTTATCCTTTCCAAATAAGGCAAACAAAAATGAAGTATTGTAATTACACTTCTGTAAGAGAACACCAAAGTATTTTTTTTTTTTCATTTGGAGATTTTATAAATTTTTTTTACTAAATTAGCAAAAATTTAATATAATAGATTCTTCAGCAAAAAAATATTTGTTTTGTTATAATTAACACCATCAATCTGTCAGTGCATTAATAAGATTAACTAAAATAATACTTTAAATGCATAAACAATATACAGATAACCTTTATTCACGAATAAAATTTTATTTACAAAATTTTATCCGCTCTTTAATATAGAATATTATTTTCTGGTACTTAATAGCTAATATACTGTATCTAAAAATCTAAGGAGTCATATCTCATATTCATCTTTTCATATCAATCTTATTGTGAAAGTTAATTATTAACTTAAGATTATATATAAAAACAGTCTCCTATACTTACGTTTTAAAAGAAAATCTCGCTTTTTTCACTTTGTTAAAATTGTAAAAAGAATATGAAAAGGAATTTGCTAATCGTATTCATTGCGAAATGCATTTAGGTGTAAGTTTACCAAATAAATGTATGCATTAATTGAATGTTAACCTTGAAAAATTTATTGAGTCGTATTTTTGCGATTTCGAGAAAAGAACGCCGCGTGCTATATTTTTATAACTTTTTATGATTTCAATAAAAGAAACTTTTTTAAAAGAAAATAAGCTTTATTTATTATACTTATACTTTTATAAATAAATATTTTACATCATTTGCTTTCTTATAAAGCTTAGAGTCACAATCCTATAAGAATAATTATAACGTGTTTACAATAACTTTGAGCAATGCGCACACTCAATTAAATGTTACAATCTGATCATCTATAAAATTATTTTTTCAACTTTTGTATTTGAGGAGCGCTGATTTTCACTTTTCCAGGTATATTTCGCGCAATCGTTTCATCCTTGACTGCTTTTAAAAGTTCTTTCTCTCTGGATGTGATGGTTTTATCTTTAAGAAAAACTGTTACGGCTGTTTTTGCAGCCTTGCCCCGCTTTCCCGTACCAGGTGTCAATTTCACTTTGAATCTTAAATACAATCACAAATAGGCTGTTAAATTTCTATTGACAAAAATTTTCATAACTTTCTAATTACTTACTTGTAACTTTGTAGCGTACTGTACGGAGCTACAACTGGAACTGCAAACAACAATTCATCTTCGGCAACAGGCTTACCAGTTAGCTGATCCAACATATCAACTTCAGGTCCCGGACCTTGATCTTCGTCATCAGCATCAGCCCCTGGGTTATTTTGTTGTGGTTGATTTACCTTTGGTGGAGGACCTTTCTTTTTACCTTGCTGGCGTGGCCCTGATGGATCTTTATTTTTACTTTTTCGTTTGTCTTCTTTTGCCGAACCTGCTGACTAAAGACTAATGTATTAATATCGCGATTCATTGGAAAAATATTCAATTCAATTTAGTTAATTGTTACCTGTAAAACGGCCATCAATATCTTTCGGTCTTCTTCATCCTGATCTTTGTATTTCTCTTTAATTTTTTTTAATTTTCCTCGTTGTCCTCGCTTCAAGCCAGATTGATTTTGCTTTGCTTGTATTTCAGTTTCGTTAGAATCATCCGATCTTATCGATACTTTTCTACTAGAATGTCTTGGAACACTTTTATTTTGTGCATTTTTTAAAGTTACCGGTTTGTCATCGCCTAAGTATACAACGTTGTCCAAATCATTCCGCAGTTTCGTAATTGTTTTTGTATCATCAACTTGGATTTTCACTCTGAAATACACCAGCAATAAAATAGTAGTCATTAAGTCGTTAAAGATTACTATCAAATGCTCTTACCTAGGACCTGTAAGATCCAACTTTATTTGTGTGTCAGGGAAAAGAGATTGATCTTCACCTTCATTACTATTATCTGAATTTTTCAAAGATACTTCTTTTAAACTTTCTGATTCATCTTCGTTAATGGTGTCTAAATTTTTTTCGCTTTGTTTTTCATCTAAAACTAAAAAAAACATTAATACTATCTTTTCAATTAGATCTCATTTAAGTGTATCGTAAAAGAATATTACCATCATCTTCTAATTCAATTTCATTATATAATTCGACGTGATCAACCTCTTCCCCTTCCTCTAAAGTGCGAACCCTTCTTTCGTTTTTATGCCTTTCAATTGAACTGTCTTCCAAACGAAACAAAAATCCTAGTCCCATAATCAATTGACACGGAGGTAAATAATTCTTTTTACCGCGAATCATAAATGAACCAGTGGTAAGGTATTCTCCTGTGGGTGCAGTCTTTGATACTTGATCACTACGTACCCACCATGCACCAGCTACAACTTTTGCTTCCCATGCAATACTGCATTAAAAACAAAGTTTTACTTATTGGTATCTTTATCACTACAACAGAAATGTAATACATTTTGTAAATAATTCAAACCTATAAGCAACAGCCATGGTTCCAGCTTCAGCCAGAGATTTTGGTGGCACAGGATTTCCATCAGGATTTTTTATGACAACTGAACTGGCACCAGTCAAGTCAGCATGCACATAAATATCACCAGTCTTGAGATATCTTTTGACAATTAACTCGTTCTGCTGTTGATCTCTTCCACTAATAACTAAAAAAGTTTGTCAATCAAATAATGCTTGTAAGTTACTTCATGCTTAATGTTACATATTTTAAAAATGTTTACCTAAATAATTTTCAGATGTGATGAACCAATAGAACTTTTCAAACCAATACACTTTCCTAGCTTTACTAATGATATGAATAGCTTGAACCTCTTTCAGAGTTTGTTTTGTTTTTCTTTCGGCAGATTTCAATGCTTTTCCTTGAGATTCTAACGTTTTCTGTTGTTTTTTTGCTGCTGAACGTTTCTGATCATAATATTTCCGCGCATTTGCAAATGCTGAATGGGCCAGATCTATATCTACAATTTGTGATTTTAGTTCTGGCTCTTCTTCATCACTATCTGTGTAAGGATCTTCAAGTAACAGTGAAATATGATTAGTTTCTAATTTTAACTGTTTTATAGCAGATGCTACTGGATCACTTCTTGCTTGAGCTTCTTTCACAAGAAGTTGTATATCTTGCCAAGACATTTGATTTGCTACAGCACTTTGAACTGCAAAAATAGCATTGTCTACTAACTCTTGATTACGAGTTATCAATTCTGCTTTTTGTTTATCCACCTCTTGCGTTTTTCCTAGAGAAACTAATCTTTGGTCATGATCCTTTTTAACGTTTTCTAACTTTTTTAAAGCCTCACGTTCCTGTTGCAAAAATTTTAAATCTATCTTTTGACTTTCCATCTGGGAAAAATATTCATCAACTGCTCTATCAAATGTTTCATATTCTTTGAATGGTTTGTCTTTATTCTGTGCAAATAAGAAAGGATGGAATTCAAGATTAGTATACAAAAACTCATCTTCATTATCTTTAACAGCCTTGAGTTCTTTCTTTTGTACAATATACCCTTTGGACACTTCCTTTTTTGCATTATCCATCATTTTATGTGCATTTTTAAGGGCAGTAAATAATCTATCTGCATCCTTGGCAATATCAAAATCTTTTCCAATTTTACAGCCTAAAGTGAATCCAACTTCTAGAAGAACATGATCAATTACAGCAGCACCTAATTCTAAATGAGGATTCAAAATTTTCTTCAAACTTTCTCCATGTTTTGCTTCTTTAATAATATTTTGAAGTTCTTCAAATGTAGGAATAACTTTATTGCGAGCTCTAAATGTTGAATATTTCTCTTTCACAGCAAGTCTAGATTTAAAATAGTTTCAATAAATAACAAACATTTTTTCCATAATTATAAAAGATGAATACCTTATTTTATCTCCTTCTGTGTGTGGCCTTAAAAGATTGAGTATTGTCCATTCATGATCTGTCAATACAATATTACCACGATCATATAGCTCTAAAAAAATATGATAAGCAGCTTCTCCGCTTCCAAATTGTAAATCAATTATTCTATCAACTCCAAGTTGTTTCAAACTTTCAAGACGCTTATTTTTTAGATGCTTTCTCATCTTAAATAAGATTTAAAAACAAATTAACTTCAGAAATCAACTCATTTATTAATTGAGAAAAGTTTAGTTTTTACACACTTTCATTGAAAAACCTGATGGAGCAACATTTTTTGGCCATTCAAAAGCTGTTGTATGTATTCGGTTAGCTGATTCTAGTAATAAAACACATTTTTCTTCACTACGTTGGAAACGAATCAAATAAGTTTTGTTATCTATGTCATAAATTTGATTAACTCTCATCCCAATAAGCCTGTAAAAGTAATTTTAAATTGGAAAATCCAAACAATAATACAATTATAACCTATAAGATTATTTTCAAGAAGTTATGCAATTATTTTTAAATTACTCACTTTTGAAGCTCAGTAACAGAGCACACGATATCGTACGTATTGAATCGATTCTTCATTTTGACTTTTATGTATTTCTATATATTTACAAGTATTTTTTTCTTCTCAACTTTTCAATGTTTACGTCCACGTCCAACGGCCATGAGTTTTATGGCAGGTGATCTCCTTTACCTACTGATTTTATTTGATCGAATGTCAGCTGTTTTATACCTTTTTTTCACTTAAAATATAATTATAACTTTCTCTCACGATAACAAACTTTTTATACATCAAAAATACATCAAAAATAGAAACTGTAATTACTGTAATGATAAAAACTAACTTTCACTTCATAATTATTTTTATAATTAAATAAATGTCTTTTAATTAATGCATAATTCGAAATCTTAAACTACTATTTAACAATTATCGTAAAGAAATAAATAAAGTATTTTGAATTTTGAAATTTTTTTTATTCAATAAAATTAAAAATAGAGTAGATATATTATGTTTTCAACGATAGGATTTTTGGTAGCGAGCACGGGCGCCGGGACCACCAAACTTCTTGGGCTCACACCTTCTAGGATCAGCTACCAGAAGTGTCCTATCATACTGAATAAGAATGTCTTTTATTTCCTTCTTACTTGCTTCGTCAACATCTAAAAATAGATAATTTTAATATTATTACTTGAGAATTTGTGTGTTTATTGTTACTTTTAAATCAATTGGTACTACACTATATTATTATGATAAACATACTACTTACATTTCTGGTAATAGGCTACTAAAGCTTTAGAAATCGCTTGTCTGATGGCATAGATCTGTGCAACGCGTCCACCGCCATTTACTCTAACTCTGATGTCAACTTCTGAGAATTTTTCCTGCAAATAAAATAATTAAATTAAATTTACATTCTTTAATAGATATCAGAGGAAATAGTTTATCATAAATTGTTCAGTAAAAGATTTTGTAATCATGAATAATATTATTCGGAATAAGGATATCACAATATTTGTAGTAGTACAAAATCTAGTGACATGAATATTTGTACTAATAACATACCTTGCCAAGCAGAAGGATTGGTTCTTGCAGTTTGTACTGCAAGATTCTGGGTTCGACCAGCTCGAGAGGACGGCCATTCACTCTCATACATCCACGGCCACGTTTGCAATAAGCGACCGCTGTGGCGCTTTTCTGACTCAAAAAGAAATTTATATTATTTCTGTTGAAAAGTGTTTCCAACGTTCTTAACGATTTTAAAATTCTAATTGACTAGTTGAAGTGAAATATGTAAACACAAAAGTAAAGAATACTAAGACGCAAACTTAACCTCTGAAACACATGATTTTGCAACTTACTTTGCGTCCGAAGACCTGCACGGACTGGATCTGTTGCTTTGGTTTCTGTAATAAACAATAATTATATTGATTAAAAAAATGTCGACTTTCAATAAATATTATAAACTTTTATAAAAATTGCCGCAAAATAAAAATACACCTTCTGCATCTTGGTAGAGCACGTTGTGAAAAGATCGTAGTAGTGTCAACGGAAACTTGTGGTGAACCGGAAAGACTACGGTAGTAGTAACTCAGATGGCGCGGAATTATTCAATTTTACTGGTCGCGTTCAATTATACGGACTGAGGTATAGGATTATTGTAATTATTGTAGCAGTCCAACGATAGATGATACATCTAAACTATTGTATTTGTAAATGTCAACTAGTTATATTCTGGCTTGTCAATGGGTCCCACTTTGTATCTTCTATTGTTTTGTTTACGGATGATTCATATTGAAATTGGGCGTATTTTTAAATCGATAGCCAATCCAATAAAATTTGAGGTCGAAGCTATTGTGGCGGTCGAGCCCCGATTGGTGCCGCCTAATTTGAATTGTGGCGCATCGGAGTCCTCAGGGTCTGTCTCCATAGGGCCTGCCTGAGTCCGTCCGAGCCGGCCGAGATTTTTTATGGGCACGCCATCTCTATAATTTCGTATCCAATGGCGAGTTTCATAGTGAATGGCTGCGTTTACATAAACGAGCCCGATCGGACGCAGCCAATACGAGAAACGCATGAACACGAAATTATAGAGATGGCGTGCCCATAAAAAATCTCGGCCGGCTCGGACGGACTCAGGCAGGCCCTATGGAGACAGACCCTCAGGTACCCACAGCCATTAAAACGAAACGAAACGAACCGATTGGTGCCGCCACCTGCGGGTCTGGGTCAGCGGCAGGAGAGGCGTCTCCGGTTTGAATTAGCCGGATTAGGAGGCGAAGCTTAGGGGGTTGATGGCCATATAATCCAGTTAGTCGGGTCATCCCTAAGCGGCTCATACGATCACACTCCGGCCTGGCGGCCTATATAAGGTCGCCCATCGCAATACGTAAAGTCAGTGTCAATCGAACTGCTGTCCGTTGTCAACCCGAACGCCTTCATGAGTGCAATGGTCAGAAAAACAGATTTGTTGTAATGGAGCGCTATGGTATAGACTTGTGGAAATTATTTTTGGCAAATGGCCGGCAGTTTCCTGAATCTACAGTGTATAAAGTAGCATGGCAAATTATAGGTTTTATAAGATATTAATTAAGCACTGCTGTTAATTTATTTTGAGACATAAGTTTTGAAAATTGACTACAGATAAATGTATTGGAGTATATTCACAATAAAACATATGTGCATGCAGACATCAAAGGAGCAAATTTATTATTAGATCTGAAAAGTTAAAATCATGTTTACCTAGTAGACTTTGGCTTAGCATCACATTATACAACCAGGGATTATAAATTGGATCCCAAAAAGGCTCATAATGGTACTATAGAATATACGAGTAGAGATGCTTATATGGGAGGTAATGGAATAAGGTAATTAAAACATAAATTGTTAGAATAATTGCTATAAATAAATTCTTATTATTTTAGTGCTAACTAAGAGAGGGGACTTTCTATATATTTACAAGTATTTTTTTCTTCTCAACTTTTCAATGTTTACGTCCACGTCCAACGGCCATGAGTTTTATTGCAGGTGATCTCCTTTACCTACTGATTTTATTTAATCGAATGTCAGCTGTTTTATACCTTTTTTTCATTTAAAATATAATTATAACTTTCTCTCACGATAATAAACTTTTTATACATCACAAATACATCAAAAATAGAAACTGTAATTACTGTAATGATAAAAACTAACTTTCACTTGATAATTATTTTTATAATTAAATAAATGTCTTTTAATTAATGCAGAATTCGAAATCTTAAATTACTATTTAACAATTATCGTAAAGAAATAAATAAAGTATTTTGAATTTTGAAATTTTTTTTATTCAATAAAATTAAAAATAGAGTAGATATATTGTTTTCAACGATAGGATTTTTGGTAGCGAGCACGGGCGCCGGGACCACCAAACTTCTTGGGCTCACACCTTCTAGGATCAGCTACCAGAAGTGTCCTATCATACTGAATAAGAATGTCTTTTATTTCCTTCTTACTTGCTTCGTCAACATCTAAAAATAGATAATTTTAATATTATTACTTGAGAATTTGTGTGCTTATTGTTACTTTTAAATCAATTGGTACTACACTATATTATTATGATAAACATACTACTTACATTTCTGGTAATAGGCTACTAAAGCTTTAGAAATCGCTTGTCTGATGGCATAGATCTGTGCAACGCGTCCACCGCCATTTACTCTAACTCTGATGTCAACTTCTGAGAATTTTTCCTGCAAATAAAATAATTAAATTAAATTTACATTCTTTAATAGATATCAGAGGAAATAGTTTATCATAAATTGTTCAGTAAAAGATTTTGTAATCATGAATAATATTATTCGGAATAAGGACATCACAATATTCGTAGTAGTACAAAATCTAGTGACCTGATTATTTGTACTAATAACATACCTTGCCAAGCAGCAGGATTGGTTCTTGCAGTTTGTACTGCAAGATTCTGGGTTCGACCAGCTCGAGAGGACGGCCATTCACTCTCATACATCCACGGCCACGTTTGCAATAAGCGACCGCTGTGGCGCTTTTCTGACACAAAAAGAAATTTATATTATTTCTGTTGAAAAGTGTTTCCAACGTTCTTAACGATTTTAAAATTCTAATTAACTAGTTGAAGTGAAATATGTAAACACAAAAGTAAAGAATACTAAGACGCAAACTTAACCTCTGAAACACATGATTTTGCAACTTACTTTTCGTCCGAAGACCTGCACGGACTGGATTTGTTGCTTTGGTTTCTGTAATAAACAATAATTATATTGATTAAAAAAATGTCGACTTTCAATAAATATTATAAACTTCTATAAAAATTGCCGCAAAATAAAAATACACCTTCTGCATCTTGATAGAGCACGTTATGAAAAGATCGTAGTAGTGTCAACTTGTGGTGAACCGGAAAGACTACGGTAGTAGTAACTCAGATGGCGCGCAATTATTCAATTTTACTGGTCGCGTTCAATTATACGGACTGAGGTATAGGACGGTTCTAAACATCGGTCCTTATGCATTGGGTTATATGGGAAACCAACAATATATATGTAGTTACAATGTGAGAATTGTGGTTGAATTGTAAAAATCATACGTTGTACTCGTTTTATTACCCATTGAAACAAAAAACATTTAATTAGCATTGTTATAACAGAAACTTATTTTTTCCAGTTCTATCATGGATATAGACGTTGTTTGTTAACAATAGACTTTGTTTTCATTAGTCTTATCGTTCAGATAATATAGCCAGCGTTCAATACGAGACATCATATGCAACACTATGGGGCGCACTTACGACTAAACTAGTCGGTAAACAGTGTACTGTAAGTACTATAGATAGGTTATTCTACTCGCTGTATATATATATAGATGTCCAGATAACATTGTCGCATTGTCGGACAAAAGTCTTTCTGCTACACAAGTAATACCATATATATGTGTATATATATATATCTAAAGTCAATCGATTATTGACATATAATCGTTGCAGAAACTTGCACAATGATATTTATTTTGTTGTTTAAAATTAATCAAAAAGAGTATGTTATTCAACATACCTATTATCAATTTTCATACAAAAATGCTGTGTAATATTTGTGTTAATTCTCATGGCTCCACCAAAAGATAGATGGGTTAGGCGATTTGTCATATCGGAAACAAATCGCCACAAAAAAGGTTTTACAATATACAAGGTCACTTCGATTGTAAGTCATTTACAAAATAAATTAAGCATTTTTCTTTAATTTTTTTATCTTCAGTTAATTACAAGTGATTTATTTTCAAGTACATTTTCCCTTAATTTTTCTCAGTTGTTTTTGAAATCATCACCCGATGTTGTGTCAAAAGTTTCGATTTGGAAACGGTACAGTGATTTCAGAAAACTTTACAAAATATTGCAATCGCTACATGCAAAGCATCACATAAAAGAACCTTTCCCTTCTTTTCCAAAACCCAAATTTTTTGGAAGATTTGAAACTGAAGTTATAGAAGAAAGGAAAGAATGTGCTTTAAAGTTTTTAGAGTTTATCGGACATCATAATGTTCTATATAGTTGTGATGCTTTTGTAAAATTTTTTGAGTGCAACGATGCAGATAAACAATTTTTAGAGTGTTCTCAATCTTTGAGTTCTGACACTTCTGAGGATGATCGAAGTGTCAATTGGGGTCATGAAGTCGAAGCCATAACTAGTACAACAGATCTTTCAAAATTTGTATACACCCAAAAGGTGACACCTGTTATTGTAAAAAATCAGAGAAAATCTTCTAAACTAACGAATATTGATGACTTAGAGCAAAATAGAGGCACAAATTCACATGATGTACAACCAACAAATAGTAACAATAATAGTTACAAAAATAGTTACAACAATATTGTTGAAGGCTTAGAAAATCTAAATTTGAAAAAAAGTATAACAGAAATTAATTCTTCACATAAATCAATTGCAGTAATACACGATGGTTCAGATTTACCTCATTCTTTTGAGAAATCAGCACAATATGTTTTGATTGCAGCAGCTCATATGAGTGCTGCTTTTCGCCATGAAGCTATTGCTGAATATGAAGAAGCTTTCACTCAGTACAAACTTGGAGTATCTCATTTAATAAATGGTGTTCAAACAGAGACAGATCAATTTAGAAGGGAAATAATACAAGAAAAAATGACTAAGTATTTACAAAGAGCAGAAAGACTGTATAACAGACATCTTAATTGCAATGTTTCAGTATTATATAAACCAGTTACTGAATTGCGTAGCTATAAAGTAATTGAGCTTATGGAATCAGTTATGGTTGTCATAGATGTACTCCAAGGATTCAAAAGAATTATTAAGGTTGTATTGTTTTTATTTTGGGTATCAAACAAAGTTTAGCTAATAAAAATTTATATGTATATATTTTTAAGACTGTAGCAAAAATTGATGACAATGGAGAAGATATTAGTAATTACATTTTACGAGGAAAAGTTCCATATATGGTTCAGTTGTATTCGTGTATGCAAACTGATTCTACAGTATTTTTGATCCTTCAATACATGAGGTAAGATTTTCCATATAACTGGATGAAACATTTTGGAAAATTTTATATAACTTAATTTATAAAAATTTAATCTACAGCAAAGGTAAACTATGGGATTTCATAAGAAACAAATATAAAATAATTAGCACAAAAGTTGAATTTTATAATAATGGACATAAAAGGTCTCTAAGTTGTGATGCTGCTATTCAAATTGATTTGAATGAAAAACCACTTATAAAAAAAAATGCATTGTTGAGCAACTGTGCAAAAGAAGAAATCAATTATAGCTCTTTCGATAATTATTGTAGCACTCCAACGATAGATGATACATCTAAATTATTAAGAAATGCACAAAAGTTATTGCAATCAGTTAATGCTACACTAAAACGTAGCAGTTCTATTGCAATCAGATTGAACGAATCAGAACATCTTTTGTATAAACATACTGTTAAAAAAGCTGTAGACGATACCATTTATAATCACGATAGTGCTTTGAAGAACGATTCCATACGCTCAGATAATGATGACACTGGAACTAGTAAAGATATTAGCGATTTATCTAGAAGTTGCAGCTGTGTCGAATTGAGTAATAAATATAAGCACAAAGAACTACAAGTTAAATGTAATATGAAATTAAAAGAAAATATTGAACAATTTAAAAAGTTAAGTAATATAAAGCTCAATTCTATGTATAACGGAGAAGACAATTGTAAATTTGAATCTCTTGGCTTTAATGAAGATCAATCTCAATTAAATAAATTAGATTTTCTTGAAGGAGAACAAATGTGGTCAATTCCAGAGTTCATTATAAAAAAGTGGGCTGCTGAGATACTTTTAGCTATCGAGGCGCTTCATCAACAAGATGTTATTATATCAGATCTCAGACCAGAAAATATTTTGATAGATGATTATGGGCATGTTAGTATGACATATATTGTACCTCGTAAAGAGACTGAATTATTGCGTTTGAAAAAACCTTATTCGTCGCCAGAATTGTGTATGTTTTTACCGCCTATTTCTATAACTACGTCGGCGGACGTCTGGAGTTTTGGAGTTCTGTTATACGAGATGTTGACTGGTTTTGTAAGTACTGCAATATATAGAAATTTATGTATTATTTTAAGAATGTGTAAAATAAAACATAATCGTTTAGGATTTCGAAGCTAAGCATCCCGGAAGGTTTCATTCTCATTCCTTAATAAACATTCCAAAGAATTTGTCAGAGAATGCAAGATCTTTATTACTTAATGTAAGAAATCTACAAATATTTTATAACTAATCGAACATCAATCTTTAATTACATAAGTTATGTCATATTTTTTTATATTTTAGATACTACAATATCAAGCGAGCGATCGCTTAACGATTCCCGAAATAAAACAACATCCTTTTTTTGCTAAAATAAATTGGTTGGAGCTTCTCAATGCTCAAATGTAAAATAAATTTTTTTATATAAAAATATTATTTATTATATAAACACTATGTAAAATATGCTACTTAAATGTCAATGTCAATGTACAAAATTGAGTCTTAAATTTAATTAAAATATATAATATACAAGAGAGGTATTCCGCTTAAAGTTTTGTTACTTTGTCTTAATCCTTTCAGTTCTCGTGACAGTCGACATACCGTCGACAAAGCGCGTCTTGAAAAGTACATTAGCGTTATTAAACATACCATTTTTTAATGAAACAATAATGAACTGTGAACTTTTGAAATGACGTTTCAACATAACACCGATATTCTCGGTGTGCGACAAATCTAAGGCTGCGTCAACTTCGTCCAAAATATAAAGAGGAGCCGGCTTAAACAATAACATGGCTAAAATCAACGAAAGTGCTACCAAAGATCTTTGACCTCCTGACAGCTCACCCAATGAATCTTTCCACACACCACAAAGTGATATTTTTACTTCTAAACCTTCAAGACACGTCTGATTTTCTGGAGGTTCTAGTTTAGCATCAGCTCCAGGAAGTAAACTACTGAATATAGAGCCAAAATCTTTGTTGACTTTCTCCCATGCTTCAAACAAAGTCATTTTCTTTTTTTCGTCTAACTTTTTAATAGAGTCTAATATTTTTCTCTTGTCACCCTCTAAAATTTTCTTTTTCTTTAACAAATCCATATGCTGCTCTTCTTCTTGATTAAGGTGATGCATGGCTCGTGTGTTAACAGTTCTGCTCAATTTAGCAAGTAAACTTTCTAAATCACGAGTTTTTTGACCCATCTCTTCAGGGTTATTAATTTCAAAATCATACATGCCTCCTAAAGTTGATGAAAAAAAACACTTATTAGTATAAAACTTATTTTTCAACAGTGAAAATAACATATAAGTAAGTTCGATACCTTTTTCACCAAAATACTTTTCGTCTTGTTCAATCCAATCGTTTTTGCGTAAACAATCCGCAATTTTATTATTGCAATCGTTAGCAGTATTTTTAATGGCAGTTACTTCGTGATTTAACTTTTTTATTTCCAGCTCGGTTTCTTCGACTTGTTTCAAAATATTTTCTTTTTTGTGTTGTAATTTTTGAATTTCAATGTTATGCTGATTTATTGCATCTTTTCGAGCTTTTACTTTCGTCTGAATCTCTTTTACGGTATTACTTGCCTCTTCAAGTTTTTCTTTTAAGTTGCTTTCTTTTTCTTTCAAATCGCTTAATTTTTTTTCTTCTTTTCTAAATTGCTCTTTCCCAGAGTCTATGGTCTTTGTGAGTTCAGAAATTTCTAAATTTAACGTTTCTGATTCCTGTTCTCTCTTTTGCCATTCTCTTTTACTTGCCTCAGCTCTTTTTTTCAAAGTGTTTAACTTATTTTCGGCTTCTTTCAATTGTCGTTCTCTTATATTATCAGCATCTTTTAGCTGTCCTTCAATTTCTTTAGCACGTTTTGTACTTGCTTTTTCCAATTCTTTTGCTGCTGTCATTTTTTCTGATAATTCTTTGATTAAAGCTTCTAATGTTTCAACCTATAAATTATACATCAGAGTTGATAATGAAACAATATTATTTTTATTAAATTACCTAATGCAATAACTGTTATTATTTTAATAATAATCATACCTCCTGTTTTAATTGATGATGAGTAGTTTTTTGCAATCTTTGTGTTACCATTTCTAACTCGTGTTGTTTAATATTAAATTGCCTCTTTACTATGTTAAACCTTTCAGCAGTTTTGTGGATATTGGTAATACGCTGAATAATCTCGTTTAAACACTGCTCTTTTTCATTTAAAGCAGTTTGAGCTTCTTTAATTTCATCTAACTTTAATAAAATAGATCCACTCTTTGCTGCTGCACCACCAGAAAGAGTACCAGCAGGATCAACTACATCACCTTGAAGTGTTATACATTTCCTTTGTACGTTTGAATGGAATGCAACTCTTTTTGCAACATCCATATCTTTGCAAATAAGGACATTTCCAAAAATATACTGCATTGCTGGTCTTGTCACTTCAGGATAATCTATCAGTGATAATGCAGGCTGAACATTTTCTTCTCCTGCTAGTTTTTGAGCAGTATCTACAATTCGCTGATCCATTGGACGTCCAGATATTTTGTTAAGTGGAATGATAGTAACACGCGTTTGTAATTGTCCATTCTTCAAAAGCTTTTTACCTATTTCTTCATTATCAACCATGACATTGTAGAGCTGATAAATATATGATGTATAAATAAAATTTATATGGCAATAATTATAATCTAATGTATTTTCATATACAAACCTTTCCTCCAGCAGCTATTTCCAATGCATAAGCAGCTCTTTTATCCTTAACCGTTATTGATTTACATACAAGTCCTTTTATAGATTGCCTTCTGAAATTTGGTTCAGGATCTTTGTAATAAAATCTGAGTTGAGGATATCTTGATTCATAGCTATCTACATCATCTTTTAATCCCCTGATTTCTCGTTCTAAACCACTTTTTTGTTCCTGTAATGATTCCAAGGATCCTTCTTGATAATTCAATTTATTCATTTCATTTTCAAAATTTTTCAAATCTTTTTGCATATCATCAACTTTTTTATTATCATTTTTATAATCATTCACAGTGCTGTGCATATCAGTTTTTTTCTTAACAAGTTGTTGTCTATTATGAGTCAATGCCATCTCACACTGTTTTATTTCTGTCTGAGCTTGACTAAGATTTTGCTTGGCATTTATAAGCTGTTGTTCTAATGTTGCGTTAGTACCATCATCACACTGGAGTAGACCAGAGCTAATCTTCTGGTAAGCTTCTTGGGCAGCCACTACTGCTTCTGCATCCAAACGATCTTGTTTTTTCAAGCTCTCAAACAATCCACCTACTGTTTCTATTTCTTTCATTTTTGTCTGCAATAATTTCTCATCGTCATTAATATTTGTTTTTAATTGTTTGATGCTTATTTCTGCTGCTTTAATATTTTCTTTATTGCTGTTTATTTCAGCAGTGAGTTTATGTTCTCTTTTTTCTGCTTCATGAAGGTTTTGCTCTAGTTCACCCATTGAATTATCTTGTTCCTAAAAATAAAAATAATAAGTCGCTATCATCAAAAATATTTTGAATACAATGTACTCACAGCTTGTCTTTTATTTGTAACTTCAACTATTGTTTCTTCAATATTCTTTATTTCTAATTCTCCTTTTTTAATATTATTTTGTTTCTCGTCTACTTTTTGTTTGATTGCTGCAACATCCTCATTAGCTTTCTCACTACTACGCAGTGCACAAATATACTTCCAAGCAATATAAATTTTCTTGCAATGCTCCAATTCTCTTGTAACTCTTTGATATTCCATGTACTGTTGCCGTTCTTCCTTCAATTTGGCAATTTTGGGACCCAATTCATCTCTTAAAATCTGCCATAATTCAAATAATAAGCTGAGTGCTTCATAAAAAATTAAAATTTATAATATTAATTTGGATAAAGAATAGAAATGATTATACCTCGTTAATTTCACGCAATTTACTATCTTTCTTTTCAATGAGCTTAAGTGACTGAGCCTTTTTAGTTTCATACATTTTAGTGCCAGCAGCTTCTTCGATCATAGATAGAATTTCTGGTGGCTTCATGTTCAATACTTTAGTGATTCTACCTTGCATGATTAAGAAATGAGGATTATTTACATTGAGCTGAACAGAACAGAACATATCTTGAACCCTTTTATTAGGCACATTTGATCCATTGATCATGTATTTATTCTTGCCATCAATAACAACTTGTCTCGTTACTGTTATTTCCTCATAATCTTCGTATCCCATAGGTGACACTTCTTTTTTGCGATTGTCAAACACAATGGTTACACTAGCTTTTTTTACCCCGGCTTGACCTGATTTGTACACAAGCTCTTGCAGGGAGCTTGCTCTTACCTATTGATAAAATTCTATATTTAAGATATTTTATGAACAAAACAAGTAATTGTTAGTTATTGGACTTATCATCATAGACATGTAGCATAGAGAATAAAAGTAAGGCTATGTTTGTAAGAATAGCTTGAAAAAAAAACAAAAAGCAAATGTAATAATTACCTGACCAAGATTCGTAATTCCCAACACAAAACATATCGCATCCAATATATTGGATTTACCACTGCCATTCAAACCAGTAATAGCGTTGAATTCTCGGTCGAATCCATTAATTTCTATCCTTTTCCCATAGGACTTGAAGCCCTCAAGTACCATTGACTTTATGTACATTTTTACGATGTTTTTTTCTGAATGTTAATCATCAAATAAAATCATAAACCACCATTCAAAAAAGGCACCTTCCCGGCAAAATAATCGTCACTGAACCGCTCGGCAATCTAACACACGCCATGCCATTTGCTTGTTTTGTTCCACGCCACAAGTCATAACACAACGGTCGTCTATCTACTATTACAAAAAGGAACAAATCTATAAAATAGATTACTCCATAAGAATTTGTTGCAGCATAGAGTTGATAAAATAGCTTTATAAAATTTCAAATAATTTTATTTTTAATAAAAATATATTATGCTAGAAACATTTTGAAATGTAATGTAATTTCAAAAATTCAAATAATACAAAGATATCATTGGTTCATTCAGACAGTAGTAGGATGTGGCTAGTCCAATCAGAGCATCAACACGTCTAAAAAGTTAAGCCAATCACATTCGTGTCACAATTGCTTTTCCCGCCGTTTCTCCATGTTCTTCACGCGCGCGCTTACTACTTGATACTAACAGTGGGACATCTTAATTTTGTTCAGTGGGACCGTTTTATTGTGAAATATTGTAAACAAATTGAAAGTTAATTGTCAACACGAACATGGAGGGATTCGACCATGGTGAAATTTATCAATCGGTCAATTTCTTTAGTCAAGATGATAATCAAGACGAGAATAATCAAGCCACCAATTTAAAACATTACAAAAAAAAGTTCAAGGAGTTTCTGAGACAGTTTCACGAGGGAAATTTTAACTACAAATACCGGTAATATTCTATTTTACCTGATACCTTCCATAAATTTGGTAATCAAATAATTTTTATCATCACTTCTTATTCAATTTCAGTGACAACCTGAAACGAAATTATAATTTAAAGCAATATTGGATTGAGATTAATCTTGCAGATCTTGTTGCTTATAATGATTCTCTCGCAGAAATATTATATAAACAACCAACAGAATATTTACCAATATTTGAAGAAGCAGCCAAAGAAGTTGCAGATGAAATTACCACTCCTAGACCTATTGGTGAAGAAGAAATGGAAGATATTCAAGTTTTGTTATCTTCAGAAGCCAATTGTACATCTTTACGAGGAATGAAAGTAATGTGTTTGATTAACTACTTATAATTTTGTATTGCTTCTAACTGTAAATTCATATTTTAGCCAGACAAAGTTTCTAAGTTAATTAAAATCTCTGGTATTATCATTTCTGCAACTGGTATTAGATCAAAAGCCAAAGCAATTTCTATACAATGTAGATCTTGTCGAAACGTAATACCTAACATTAACATAAGACCTGGTTTAGAAGGCTACCCAATGCCAAGGCAGTGTGGAGTGTAAGTATTTTTTTTATTGTCACTTTGGTATATATGCCAATATACATTGTAATTGATAGCGCCACATACTTTTACAGTGAACAGGCAGGTCGACCAAAATGTCCATTAGATCCTTACTTCATTATGCCAGATAAATGTAAATGTGTTGATTTCCAAACATTAAAATTACAAGAACTTCATGAACAAGTGCCTCAAGGAGAGATGCCAAGACATGTGCAGTTATATGTTGATAGATATTTATGTGATCGTGCTGTACCTGGTAATAAAGTCATGATTCTTGGTATACTGTCAATCAGAAAAGTAGCTAAAACTGGAGCAAGACCAGGCAATAAAGATAAAGCTCTCGTTGGTATTCGTTCTTCGTACATTCGTGTTGTTGGGATACAAGTAGATGGAGAAAATACTGGAAGTGGTATGTATTCCATGTATAATAATTTTGTTGCAACAATATTTTTTATTCATTCAAAATTTTAATGACTTACTGTAATTCAGGTAGCTTCAAAGTATTTTCACCAGAAGAAGAAGAAGTATTTAGACATTTAGCAGCAGATCCCGACATTTATGACAGAATATCAAAAAGTATTGCACCTAGTATTTATGGTGCTACTGATATGAAAAAAGCTATTGCTTGTTTGCTTTTTGGTGGTTCTAGAAAAAGGATGCCCGATGGCTTATGTAGAAGGGGTGACATTAACGTTTTGATGATTGGTGATCCTGGCACTGCTAAATCTCAATTATTAAAGTTTGTGGAAAATGTTGCACCAGTCGGAGTTTATACTTCAGGAAAAGGTAGCTCTGCTGCAGGTCTCACCGCTTCAGTATCAAGAGACCCATCAACAGTATGTATTTTTAGTCCATTTGTGAAATTTGATTAATTGTATCTATAACTCGTCTGATTTTCTAGCGTAACTTTGTGATGGAAGGGGGAGCAATGGTGTTAGCCGACGGAGGTGTAGTCTGTATAGACGAGTTTGATAAAATGAGAGAAGACGATCGAGTCGCTATTCATGAAGCTATGGAGCAGCAAACCATCTCCATTGCAAAAGCGGGTATCACAACGACGCTGAATACGCGCTGCTCAGTTCTTGCCGCTGCCAATTCCATTTATGGTAGATGGGACGATACCAAAGGAGAGGAGAATCTCAACTTTATGCCGACAATTTTATCGCGTTTCGATATGATTTTCATCGTCAAAGATGAACATCAGGAGAATAGAGATATTACTCTGGCAAAACACGTTCTAAATATTCACGCTAACGCCGATCATATCGATAACAATGTGTCAGAAGGTGAATTGTCCTTAAACTTACTCAAGAAGTACATCCATTACTGCAGATTGTAAATCTTCAATTTTCACTAAGAAAATAGTTTATTGTTATTTATTTCTGTATTAAAAAAATTCGAATTGCAGGAACTGTGGACCACGTCTAACTATAGAAGCCGGGGAGAAGTTGAAAAATCGTTATGTAATGATGCGCACCAGTACGGATCGGCATGAAAAAGGTAGCGATAAGAAGCATTCTATTCCAATAACTGTTCGGCAGCTAGAAGCCGTTATTCGCATTTCCGAATCGTTAGCAAAAATGAGACTGCTTCCTTTCGCGAATGAAATTCATGTCGACGAAGCTCTTCGACTTTTCCAAGTGTCAACAATGAGCGCTGCTATGTCTGGTTCTCTTGCTGGTAATTACATGCAAAATACTTTTTCTGAAGAAATTCGTTTTAAATTATTATATTAATTACTGTACGTATTTTACAGGCGCGGAAGGTTTCACGACGAACGAAGATTACGAAATGCTAACTCGCATAGAGAAACGGTTGAAAAAACGTCTCGCAATTGGAACGCAAATTTCGGAGCAGCGAATCATTCAAAGTTTTGTAGAACAAAAATATGCTGAAAGTGATGTTAGAAAGGTAATCTACACGATGATTCGCAGAGGAGAATTGCAACATCGCGTGCAACGAAAGATGTTGTACAGATACTTGTAAAAGTCGCCTAAGAGGTTTTACTAAGGGAACTTTTGTTTGTGTAAATTATTATTTAAGCAGAACAATTAAGTTAAATTCAATTTCATTGAAAAATATTTTTAAGTAAGTGAATCGTTAATCTAATCTTTTTATCGTATTTTTGTTTCTTTCTTTCGAACACTGATGTTATAAAATAAACGCAATTTTTGTAGAAGCTTTCTTCTATCTATTTATAAACGACTAACTAATCAGTTTAAGTTAAACAATTATTTATTACCGTCAGAAATTATTAAAAATTTAAGAGACAGCATAAAAGATGTAACATTATTGCTGGATGTCGTGAAATTATAGTGTTTAAATTTTACCAAATGGGTATTGCTTATTCTTGTCGAGACTGAAACAAGTAAAGAACAATTCGAATTGTTTAAAAAAAATAGTGAAGCTTACGAAAACCAGGAAAAATGCGTAGCAAACTCACTCTTTGTACCAGGCGAGAAAATCGTAAACACGACCCTGCTCTCCCTTATCGAGGGAATCTAATTGTTTCATCTCATCATCGGTAAGCTTGAAATCAAACAAGCTTATATTATCCTTTTGCCTCGTGGGGTTTATGCTCTTGGGTATAACCACAAGTCCGTTTTGAACGGAATGTCGTAGTAGAATCTGGCTTGTAGACTTATTGTATTTTTTGGCTAGTCGCTTGACGATTGGTAACTCAGCCGCAGGTGGCAATTCTTTGGCTGTACCCTTGTGCAAGTAATTTCTAGTGTTTTGGGAGCCCAGAGGCGCATAAGCAGTCATCACGATATTCTTGTCCTTGCAGAATTTCTGAAGTGCCGGCTGCTGCAGGTACACGTGCGATTCCACCTATGAGGGCAACCTAATTATTATTTATGAATAAGCTGAGCGTCACGATCGATATTCAACAAAGCATTACAACTAATGTAAAATATCAGTATTTTTTTGTAAGAAATGACACGTGAATTTTCCTTGTTCAAAGTGACTTGTCGTTAATACCTGTAAATTACTAGGCTTGATTTGGGCGCTGTCGTAGATCTTGGAGATTTGCGCCTCATTGAAATTGCTCACACCAATGGACTTGGCCCGACCGCTTTTCACCTGCTTCTCCATTTCCTGCACGGAATCGCGAATAATTAGTTTATGGATGGAACCGTACTGTGCGGCGAAAGACAAGAATCAGACCTTCCAAATGGCAACATGGTCAACGTCATCCTCCAATATCTCGCGTCCATCCTGCTGCATAGGTGTCATGTCCTTGCCCTCCTTCACACCGAAAGGCAAATGTATGAGGTACATATCGACGTAATCCATGCCCAAGTCCGCGAGCGACTTGTTCAAATATCTTTCAACGCTGTCTGGCCTGTTGGCTTGATTCGGCAGCTATAAGAGAATAGTCGGAAGGCCATTAGAGTGCGTCGAGTGCACCGATTTGTCGCGCAGACAACCAGCCGCGTACTTTGGAAGTGAGGAAGAGATCTTGTCGCTTGCCGCCCTGGGCGAGCCACCGTTTGACGGCTTGGCCGATGGCAGCCTCGTTGCCGTAAGAGAAGGCCGTGTCGATGTGTCTGTAGCCGATGCCCAGGGCACTGGTTATGGCTCGGTCCACCTCGTCGGCTCGGTTGATCTACGGAAGAAGGAGGATGAGATCGCGAAGCGCAATGGCTCGCGCTCGGACGATCCTTACCGCTCCCGTGCCCAAGCCGACCACGGGCATCTCGTGGCCCGAGGACAAGCTGAGCTTCTCCATCTCCACGGCGTCGCTCGGCGCCGAGAGCAGCAGGCACAGCAGTGCGGCAAACGTCCTCATGGCGCTGGATTCTCTCTCGCTGGCGGATCCGTCGAGTCTGAGACGAGGCCGAGCGCCCGGCGCTGCTTATAATCAACAAGGCTCGCTCGCGCGCCACCGACGGAACGGGTTTTTCATGCGGCTCTCTCCTTCGCGGCCTCTGCGACCAAGTTTACGGGCTTGCTGCTCTTCTGCCGTCTCTTGCGCGCGTGCAGCTTTCGTTCTCGAGTCGAGTTCAACGCACGATGACCATGCGACGGCGCACAGCGTTGCATATAGTCGGCTGTTGTCGATCGCGTACGAGTGGAAAGGTGTCGTGACGATCGCGCCCCTCCTTCCCCCAGCCTCCGTCAACCTTGGGCTACTCGTCAAAAGCCAAACCTGCTTGGTGCTTTGCTCGCTCGTTCTACGCGCCGGCGCGATTTCTTTTTCACGCGCGCTTTCGTAAGCCTTCCGTTGGACAATCCTTCGGAAAACTGCAATTTGTCCTGCAATTTCGTTTGCTGTTCTCGAGCGGTTTGAAGTTTCAGTAACCAATCAGACGGAGCTGCGCAATTCAGCATTTCGATCGCTTCGTCAAATTGAATGGCAGTAGCGATAAGCTCACGAGGACTAAAGAAACAAGAAATTTGTTATCCTCAATCTGACCATCGCGGCCAGTCGTTCATTATTCAGACCATTACTCGGAACGTTATCGTGAAAAACATGGATTGTTTTCGAGTACTATTTGAATGAGTCAGCGATTATAGGTTGCAGTTGAATCGATATATTTATCGTGGAGAAAACGGATAGCAAATTAATGTTATTGACGGATAACTTAATCTAAGCATTTCCATTGAGTTGACTAGGCCATGGATACTGTGGATGTTTTTCGATTCTGAAAGAAAGAGAAAAGAAATTGGTCGAAAGTTGACAAGCCGAAAGGAGGTTTGAGTGTTGTTCAGACCGACCCTTGGAAAACTAAAAAGTTGAATATTCGGCCGTGCTCTTCCTTATCGAGGTCGCTGAGCTCTTTCATCTCGTGCTCGTTCAGCTCAAAATCAAAGATGTCGTGGTTAGCCTTGATCCTGTCGGGATTGGTGCTTTTGGGAATGACGGTAATGCCGCTTTGCACGGAGTGTCTGAGCAGCACCTGGGCCGCCGACTTGCCGTGTGCCTCGGCAATCTTGAGGATGCTGGGATGTTCCATAAGTTGGGGTAGCGCTCTGCCTGCGGTAAATGCGCTCGAGGCCGGCGAGCCCAAAGTACTGTAGCCGGTTATGGCGATGTTGCGTTTGGCGCAGAACTCGCGCAACGGCTTCTGCTGGTTGTATACATGCAACTCTATCTGTGGATAGAGGCAAGACTTGATTCGCAGCTCACCGTTCATTGAGCACGGCACGGATGACATATCCGCCATACCTGCAGATTGCTCGGCTTGATCTCTGCATTATCAAACACATTGAGCACTTGAGTCTCGTTGAAGTTGCTTATACCGATGGATTTGGCTCGTCCAGCTTTCACTTGAGCTTCCATTGCCTGTGGACCGGCAATAATCGGTATGGTGAAAAGCTTCGTTCAAAGGCTGGCTGATGCAATATCGACGACCCAGTACCTTCCAAATGGCAAGGTGATCGGTCGTGAAATCCATGACAGGGGGGTCGTCGCTGAGGTAGCCAGTTGGCGAGTGGATCAGGTACATGTCTACGTAATCGAGCGCCAGTCTTTCCAGTGACATTCTCAGCTGCTTTTCGACGTCAGCGGCACGAGCTCCGATCGGCGGCAGCTTTCCAAGAATGCGATAAAATTGGCATTGAACGACCGGCGCACGAGCGGACGGACTGCTTGGTTGAATGTGCGAGAATGATAATGCGCGTGATCAATTAGGGTGTGGTCGAGTCAAATCAAGTTAATCGGCGTGGCTCGGCGCACTCGCTCGATGCATTATCTGCCCTTTGCACATGAAATTGCGCATGAAAGTGCTTCGGTATACCTTAGTCGTGATAAAAAGATCCTCTCGTTTGTTGCCCTTGGCAAACCACTTTTTCAGGCTCTTCCCGATGGCCTCCTCGTTCTTGTAAACGGTCGCGGTGTCGATGTGCCTGTAGCCGTCTTCGAGAGCCGCGCTCACAGCCCTGTCGACGTCGTCCGGTTTGATCTGCTCGCAAATCGACCGCTAGCGTTTTTATCCTTAACTTGCAAGTGGCTTTTACTCAAATTTGCTTTTCGCAAGCTGGCTCACCTGCCAAGTGCCCAGCCCGATGACGGGCATGTTGTGGCCGGATGACAATTTTACCATCTGCTCCGCGCTGCTCAAGCTTACGGCCATCAAGCCGAGGCACGCGAGGAAAGGCAATCTGCGAACAAGCTATTCGTTCATTTTTCCTCCAACTGATGTCTAGGGTGCTTATCTTTTTTCTCTTTACTTCGCATTCATTTTAATTAATGCATGAATAAACGTTTATTGACCAAATTCAAAGTTCGATAATTCAATGTGCATTAAATATTTCCGCGATTTTACAGTGTTTTATAATCAATGTTTTTCACGATGTAAATGACAGAATTCTTTCATATTTTACGTCGCTTTACAAAGCCTTAATAAATAATCTATCGATTGATATATTTCACATTGCCTATCAATCAATCATTTCATATTAAATTTGTGCCAACTACACTGATAGACTTTTCAGAAAAATCTGCAGTCTTTCATAAGCGTACACAACACACACACACACACACACACACACATATTCACGTAACAGCTGACCACGTGACTATCTTTCGCATCCAATCAGATAGCGAATAAGCTGCCTTCGCTTTCCAGGCCATCGCTGTTAAGGAAAGGAGGAAAGGAGGATTCGTGCATTAAAATGAACGAGAAAATAAATGAAAAAGATGGGTTGAGCGCGCTAGGCGCGCTAGACGTCACTAGTATATATAGTACAAAGCGCGCTCATCTTTCATTTCTATTAATGTTTAATTTCATATAATTTACAAAGAAAAAATTTTAATTCTAGTTGTGAATTTAATTGTAATTAAAAATTTCATAACGTAGCAGACTTTTAGATGTTTAGCCATAGTTAATGGGAAGTGCACTAAGTTCATTTCTTCTTTTTCGCTTTCTATACATAAATTGAACCATTGCGGCTGCGCCTGACAAAATTTCCTTTTTTTCGATATCCTTATATCAATAAATTTATTCATTGTCGAAAAAAATATTGGAAATCAGTTTCAACATTTTCACTTAGTAATCACAGCGTTACTCGTTTATCTTTCATCTATTCATTCGTCACTCTTTTTGCTTTATATTTACATTTACAAATTTAATTTCAGGAAAATTTTTTAATAAATTATTGTTGATTATATTTATTCGAATTTAAACTTGATAACATAAATATTAAAAAAATCTATATATCCTGGAAATAAACGCAATTAAAGTGAATTTCATTCTTTTTCCGATGCGTACGAATTGCCTTATTTTTCATTCGTTCATCAGTCGTTAGTAACTCGAACCATTTATTGGCACCGATCTGTAACGGCATGTATGGCTCACAGATCGAAACACACGTGAGTAAAGTTCAGCCAATGAATTTTTTCTAAAGGAGAAAAGAGAAAAGGAAAAGAAAAAATAGCAAAGCGCTGCGCGCGATCGGCATTAATCTTCCAGATTAGCTATCGCCGAAACTATTGATTGTTGTTTTCCCGCTATTCCGATGTTGGCATATTTCAGAAAAATGGTGTACATTACTATATATATTACTAGACTTTTCGTTATTCAAATTTCCTAGCTCAAATCATGGATGTAAAACAGACTGCAAAAGTTAGTGATTCGGTGTGTTATTGAGAGTTTATTGCTGATCTTACGTACATTACGATCGAGAATTTATAGCGCAAATGTTAATGGAGAATGGACATATGCATTGCGGCAATTGGAATATAACCTTGAAAGCCGGATGCATACATACTAAGAAAAGACGCGTTGAAAAATCGAAAAATTGCTTGTTCTAGAATTGATATCCTTCAGGGAGTGCGAAGGAACCTTGACTGATGGAATAAAAGCTGAATTTAATCTAAGTAACATTATTCAAAGTCCAAGTATATCGAATCTTTTGAGAACTATCGATAAACCATTATGTGAATTTTGATTGCGACCAAACGGATGAATCGCAACGGTAGAAATATGTCACCGAGAAAGGAAAAAAATGACGAATAATGCGTGTGTATAGGAACAAACCTCGGATGCGACATGATTGCTCGATGACAAATCTGGATCGACTAAGCATCAGCTAGCGTGGCACGGCTACTTTATACTCAGCCAACTATATACAGAAAATTACCGATAATCAATTTTCTTTGTCGGAGATTCTGCTCGATTCCTCATAAAAAACACAACGTCTTGGCTAATTACAGTTGCAGTTGCTGCATGGACTCTCTCGCGCATCCAATCTGTCTGCTTCAGGCGTATGTTGGTTTTCCTCTCCATATCCCACATATCTCCTTATTTAGAACGACTTTCAGCCATTATCACTTGGCACGTTTTCCGAGACCGATCGATTCAAGCCAACTACGCGTCTCTGAATATAACTTTATCGCCTTCAAACGATTATGCAATTTTGCCGAGATACACCAATCCGTTTGAGTGCCGAATAAAACCTCGGAGAAATCAGCTTTTCTCACTTGCTTTCATGCTGCAATGAGTATTGATGCGTTTTGTAAAAATATCCAAATGGTTCGTTCTTGCAATGGCTCGTCGATCAAAACATATAGGATTAGCAAACAATAGTTGTGTAGTTATACGTACATTGATCATTAGACGTAGACAGATTACACGAATTTTGTAAAATTTAATCGTTACATATCCTGGACACTCCAGATTGAATAATTAGAGACGCGCCGCAAAAAGATATTGAGGATGCTTCTCAACGCTATACAATGGAAAAAGTCGTTGACGAATCGTTCAACATCGAAAATATCATTTCCCACGTACCCTTTAAGAAACTTGTAATAAAAAATATTTGTCCTCTATCCCCTTTGTTCAGCATATTCAACTTGTTCGTCTCGTTTTCGGTCAGCTCGAAACCGAAAATGTTCAAATTGTCCTTAACGTGCGGCAAATGCTTTTGCTATCTGGTATCATAACTGTTTGCCCTTGCACAGTGTGGCAGACTAGTACTTGTGCTGCTGTCTTATTGTAATTTTTAGCTATCTCGATTACCGCATGCTCATCAGGCACGTCAGGCTGGAAAGTCTTCCTGGTTCCCGGGGAATCGAGGGGAGCGAAGGCTGCTACGGCAACACCATTCATTTGGGCAAATCGCCTGAGTGGCTGTTGTTATTGCTAGACGTGAGTATCTAGCTGATTTTATATGCTAATAAATTTTCTTATCAATTATATCGAGTCGCTTGGTTTGATCTCCGCATTTCTCTCGAATATTTGCGATTTGCGTTTCATTAAAATTACTCAGTCCCATAGACTTGGCTCGGTCTTCTTTTACTTAACTCTCCATTTTCTGCAGTCAGTTAATCGCTTATGTATACGTAAGATACTGCTAGCATACTTTCCACATAGTAACGTGATCGGTTTCATAGTCTAAAAAGACATTTCAGCTTTATGCAATACGCAAATGGTGTGCGAATTAAATACAAGTAAACGTATTATAAGTCGAGCTTTTTCAAAGACAGTTTCAGGTACTTTTCGACTGCGGATAGTGGAAGATCGAAGAACGACAACTAGAAATTAAAAATGCAATATTAATAAATTATTTTGCTCCGTAACACGTTCACGCTCATTTTCATGATTTTCACGTTAGTATAGTATAATCAGTTTCGAAGTAATAAATACAGCGAATACAGCTTCTCGTTTTGCACCTTTGGCAAGCCATTCCTTTAAAGCTTTGCCGATGGCTTTTTAATTTGCATACGCAAATCCCGTATCAATGAAGCTTGAAGAGTATCCAGTAATAGATATTGAAGCTCTTGGCCGCTTTTCTGGAATCTACAATAATTCTCACATTATTTGATTTTAAAGCAACGCTAACTATTTTGCTCCAGACATGTGCAATTAATATTATTTACATCTTGAGTGCCTAAGCCAAAGATTGGAATGCTATAACCGGATGATAGTCGAAAAGCAGTTCCAACTTGAACAATTGGCAGGTACTCTGCTGACCGGATAAACCGCGTCAGCATGGTGTTTTAAGACTGCAAAAATCCAGCCAAAATTTCATAAAAATCAAATTCTAAATCAAAGCACTTTGGCTCACTTTCATTATTTGTATTCATTTGTATTGAGATATTATAAAAACAATAATTATAAATAGAAATCTTATCCTAAGTTTACCTAGGATAGAGCTATGTAGTCCTAGGGCTATGCATGTCGTTGCACTGCTTTGAGCGAAAAAAACAATGAAAATCACAATACTCATTAGATTTTACAAATGTAATTCTTTCTTTTTTCTTCTATCTTTTCTTAATAATATTTTTTTCTCTATCTTCTATTTAAAAAAAATGATACGTCGCCGACATCCAGCGTTGTGATTGATTGATGCTAAAAAAAAGTACGAAAATTTTTAACTTTCGTGTACTTTGAAATTTTTTTATTATATATATCTGAGAATGTGAGATTTACATTTCAGCAGTAAATTAAATTTATAAATAATTAACGTGAATAATAATCTATGAGAATGAAAATATGCCGTTAGAAAATCATTTTGAGAACATAAGACGTTGTTTTTAAAATTATCAGTACAAACCGTTAATTTTATAACCGCATATCTATGATACTGAAATTAATATTGTCGTGTTAAAATTGGATAGAAAGAGAAAATGAATAGAATAAAATAGTCGAAAATACATTTTTATTTATTGTACATTGTAAATTAAAAAGTATGCGAGCAATGGAAACTCATTATCAGAATATTAAGCCCGTTAAATTTAAGAAATATTCACGGGTGTTTTTATAGAGGCAACAAAAAGCACGCGATGTTAAATGTGTTATTCATACTAATATAAAATTGAAGCCACAATCACTACTGTTTAATATGCAAAGCTTAGTGTTGTATAATAACATAATTTATTGATCGTAGGTTGAATTAATCTTGTGATAATTTTTCCGATACGTCTTGAAATGAGTAAAAATTCATCGGTTTTTCTGAATAAATGAATGTAAATTCTATTTTTTATTCAGCAATAAATATTGATGTATGCATAGTACATTTTAAACAGCATGATTTATTCCTGTCCATTAAAATCTCCCATTAAAGTTGGCACTTTAAAGGTTCAAATAATGTAATAAATAACAGAAAAACATAAAAGAAAGAGCGCACAAAGCACGCTAAATAAAACTAGCTTAAATAACAGTAAAAAAGATTCTAAAAATTATCAGAAAAAATATAAATATTTTTAGTTCATACCTATTTATGCGTTTTTTCAATTACGTTTACCAAAGATGCTCTCAGCGTAGCACTCAAGAAGTGACTGTCGCTTTTAGCGAATGTTGACTGCAAGGGATTTAAAGTAGAAATCAAGGGTGAATAAGAGAAAGGCGTAAAAGTAACTTGGTTTTGGAAATTTTCTGAAGGATCACCGCGATCGTGAGCATCTATGAATAGCGCGAATTTGCGATGGTCGGCGAGGAAAGATCGCAAGTATCAGAGAAAAATTAGTTGCTTAGTCCCAAACATATCAGCGAATTATTTTTGAAAATTAAAAATAAATTAAAAAGCTGTCTCTAATAAAATTATTTCCGGTGATCTCTTACCTATTTGATGTGTAAGGTATCTTATTCAACTGTTGAATCAGGATTACAAGCTGCACTTTGCCAGTTCTATGTTCGACGGTCTTGGCGACAAACAGGTCTTTTTCATAACAAGTGATGCACCGAGAAAATGTCTTTTTTACTGCAGATTTAATGTGCTTTGAAAGCTTTCGACAAAATGACTTGGAAAAAGTGAAGTGTATAATAGAAATTGCAAGATAACAAATATCGTCAAAACTTTTAGGCATCATCATAACAATTAAAGGCGCCGAAAATGTTTCAGAAACATTCATCGCGTAAAAAATAAGCAAGAAATTAAACTTATTCATCAGATCTGAGCCGAAGACGACGTCGAGGGTTTGCACAACATGAACTTTACAAAATCCTCATACATATTTACTATTTTAAGCAGTATAATTAGTAAAACTATTGTTTTTTTTTCTAATTTGTACGCAGTTAATGAATAAGTTAGGCAGTTATTTATGAACAATTTTCTTCGAAGCATAGACAAGAGGAAAAAACATCGAATATGAAATGCAATATCTGTATTATACATTATTTTTATTTTACAAAATATGTATTTCAACGTCAATTACAATTCAATTATTTGAGTTCACTCCTGAAGGGATACTGTGGATGATTCTCGACTCTGAAAACAAGTTAATCACTTGTTAAATAATACAAAGAATAATTTTTATCAAGAAAAAAAGGTTCGCGCGTAACGTTCAAAAATCAACTACGTGACTGTTGAGTTGACTGCGTCTGCGCAAGATCAGGTGATGAAATGCCATCGCCAGCTAAGAAAACGAAATAAAAACGAAAACAAACGAAGTGATCAATGAGCGAAACAAAAGAAACAGTTATCCCCACACGAATTTGTAAGTTTTGTTTGCTGTAGTTTCGTATGTTCATAAGTATTACAAAAAATTTACTAGAGTTAACGCTCATGATACAAAATATTCAGCAAGCCTTAATTCCATGTATTGATTGCGACTTTATTTTTATAACGATGAATTGTCGATTTCTAAATCATGACTTACCCTTTGAAAAACAAAAAGTTAAATATTCGTCCGACTTCAGCTTGGTCTAAGGAGTTGAGTCGATGCATTTCTTCATCAGTTAATGAAAAATCAAAAATCTCAATGTTAGATTTAATCCTTCCTGGGTTGGAACTTTTTGGTATCACAATAACTCCTCCTTGTACAGCATGTCTTAATAAAACTTGAGCTGTGGTTTTGTTATGGGTTTCAGCAATTTCTTTCACCATAGGATGACCTAATAAGTCAGGAAATTTATCTGCACTGTAATTATATTTGGTTTGAAAATGTTGTTTGGCTCCTGGTGATGCAATAGGACTGTAGCCTGTTACTGAAATGTTATGTTGTCGACAAAATTCTCTAATTGGCCTTTGTTGCATGTACGCATGTAATTCAATCTGAAGCCAAGATATTTATTGGAATTTGATAATTGTGCCTACTTACTTTATTCTTTGTAGATTTATAAACATATTACCTGTATATTACTAGGTTTGATTTCTGAGTTATTTAGAATATTTTGTATTTGGGATATGTTGAAATTACTCAAACCAATTGATTTTGTCCTACCAGCTTTAACTTGTTTTTCCATTTCCTGAACATTAAATAGAACGATCAGGCATTAGTATTATAAGTAGCTTCAGATATAATCTTTTTTACCTTCCAGACTGCTACAGGATCTGATTCAAGGTCTAATGCGAAAGTTCCATTTGCATTGGTGGCTGGTGCAAAAGTATCTTTATCCTGAATGAAAGCAAATGGCATATGGACTAAATATAAGTCTACATAATCCAATCCCAATCTTTGTAATGACAATTTAATGAATTTCTCAACATCAGATGGACGATTGCCAAAATTAGGTAACTGCAATCATTACTCTTTAAAAGTTTGATCAGAATTAATTAGGTACTATAATTTACAGGACCATAGCTTACTTTTGTCGTTATAAAAACTTGATCTCGCTTTCCCCCTTGGTTAAACCATTGTTTCAAGCTTTTTCCTATTGCTTCTTCGTTATTATAATTGAATGCTGTGTCTATGTGCCTATAACCACTGCTAAAAGCATTTGTTATAAGATCTTCCATTTCCTCTGATTTTGCCTGAAATTTGAAATTTATATTTTCTTTTGATTTAATAAAAAGTTGAATGAATTGACGAAAGGAGCCTTTATCTGCTTCTATAAAAGCTCTAGTATATTTAAAATATTTTGATTTTATATTTTTCTTTTATTACTGAATCCTGGAAGTCTTGAGATCTCACCTGCCATGTGCCCAATCCAACCACAGGCATGTCATGTCCAGATGACAGCCGTACAGTTGGAGTTGCCATTCCTCTACGGCAGCTGTTCAACAGTGCAAAGAAGCTGCACAGCCTCAAGGCAGATGTGATGCTGCATGCACACCAATACAAATGCATTATTTTTAGAGCAACCCACCCCACTCTATCACTCTACTAAACTTTATTTTTGAACCTTTGTAGCTTACTTTACCTATAATTTGCTTTTCATATTTTATCTAACTATTCATTGATTATTTTATCGTTTTTCAAACCTGCATGTAAACAATAGTTTCTGTTTCTCATCCGACACTCATCTTTCAATGTTTCAAAGGCTTTGAGCAGTACTTATCGAAGGCATTTAAGATAGATATTCCAATGGTCTAAGCAATTTTCCTATTAGCAAAATGTGTCATACCAGTTGTCACATTAACACTTACTTGACAGTTTTGAGCAAGCTGTTTCGATCTTATGAAAACAAAGAATTATAGCGCGCGAAAATTTTAATCTTCGAAACGCAACTGCAGTTTCCTGTCAGCTTCACCAAAAATTTGTTTAGCTATAATCGATCGCGCTCGTCATTTAAAATACAGTTAATGTTTGAAAAAAACACTACACGTCACTCGGTGCTTTTCAATTGATAAATTTCGACATGAAAGTGAAAAAATCGAAAATTGTCATCAAATTAAAGCATTATGGCGGTGAGACAGGAAAGGCTCGCGCTTCTGGAAAAATACCAGTGCTTCGACTTTTTGACGTGCGAAAGAAACAGCGAAAGCGCGCCGCAGTGCGCCTGAGCAATGAAGCCTCGTGTGCCCTTGCACTTGCATATAGTTGTTATTTCACAATGACATGGGTGCCTTGCATAGAGGCCAGGGGAGGCAAATCGATACTATATCGATTCCCTATTCGGATGGACACTATCGAAAGCATCCAAGGATGAGTCGCGAATATGCGTTGCTCAAGTAAAAAGCTCCGCGGAATGGTCACGTTTCCTTTGAATTCGCACGAGTTTCGCGGCTCGGCGAAACTAACCTTGCTGCAGAGCTAGCGTGCAGCGCGTTCAAACTCTCCGCAAGCCGACCGAAATCTAGAAGACTTGGCCATTTGATCAAAGCTAATTGATGGTGTACTTTACCGATTTAGCGCCATGTCTGCCTTTGTGCAGATATTTGCCGGAATTTGTCGTCGCACACGCACACCACGCACAATAGACTCGACACTTGGGCTAGCCACAGCTGATCTGCCTCGTCTTATGCCTGTACCTTTCTCCGTGCTTTCGCGTTGCATGCTGATGTGATTTCACGTCCGTCCGTCAGATGAAGAACACAGGCGGAACATGCAAAGTTTGCGATCGAAAACGCGCAAACGAGAAAGTGATTGTTAACAAAGGAGGACGATGTTTGTCTAAAAAATTTTATTAACATAGCGATCGTGAGGTCGGGGACAATGTAAAAAAGCAAAACTGCAGATGAACAAGAAACAAGAGAGTTAGCGCAGCTCGCGAAACGAGAGAAGAAAGTCTACGGTGCAGCTGTAATAAAAGGCGACTGAAACTAGGCACGCAGCAGCCTAGTTCCTCTGGTTGCTGATCCTCTGCGTGGCGCTGCTCGCATAAGCGGCAGAAGTGGCAGAAGCGGCATAAGGGACGAGGCTCCGAGAGAAAGAGACGGGAATTGCCGAATTGTCGCAGGGCCAGCGCCCGAAGCGTGCGCCCTCGAAGGAGGCCTAGCTCCTGATGACGGGCAGGTGTTCGAAGCTCTGCCGATGCAGCGAGGAGCTCCGCGGGCGGCTGTCGCTGTGGCTGTTGGCGTGCGAGGCGCCGGTTTGCTTGGGCAGCTGCGGCAGCATCATCTGGCCGAACCCGTTGGAGTGCTAAACGGAAAGCGCGTGACTGTCGGAGCGTCGGTCGAGCGTCGAGCGCCGAGCGCCGAGCGCCGGAAGGCTTACCCTGGACCTGTCGCGCAGGCTGCGCAGCCTGTCGCAGTCGTCGCTCTCGAGCCGGGGCACCTTGAAGTGGAAGTTGTCGAAGTAGACGTGCCGCAGCAGCTGGTCGCACGTCCAGCGCTCGTCGGGGTCCCTATCCAGGCACTTCCTCAGAAAGTCCAGCTGCAACGCGACGGAGCGCCGTGGTCAGCCGCGTGGTCGCGCCCATCGCCTCGTCGCGCCCGGCACTGACCTGCAGCGTGCGGCCGGCGCCCTCGGGCAGCAGGCCCTCCAGCGGCGTGAGCGTCTGCGGCGTGGGCAGCGCCACGCCCGCGAAGAACTCGTTCTGCTGGAAGATGCTCACGTGGCGCGGCAGCAGCTCGCCGAGCGTGCGCCTGATCAGGTAGAGCTGGTCCACGTCGGACTTGCCGGGCCACAGCGCCTCGCCCCGGACGAGCTCGGCGAACACGCAGCCGATCGCCCACACGTCCACCGGCCGGCCGTACTGCGTGTCGCCCACCTGTGCCAGACGCGAGCGTCGTCGTCCGATTATCGCAGCACTGCTGACCAGGCCGTCGTACTCACGAGCAGCTCCGGCGCCCGGTACCACCTCGTGGCCACGTACTCCGTGTAGTTCTCGCCGGGACTGAGCATCCGCGCGAAGCCGAAATCGCAGAGCTTGACGATGCCGTCGGCCGTCAGCAGGATGTTCTCGGGTTTGACGTCGCGGTGCACGCAGCCCAACCGGTGGCAGTAGGCCACGCCCTGGAGTATCTGCCAGGTGAGCTGCTTGCTCATCAGCTCGGGGCAGCCGTGCGGGTACTTTTCCATCTCGTTGAGGAGCGTGTGCTCGCAGTACTCGAACACCAGGTGCAGCTTGCGCTTGCGCCTGAACACCTCCAGCAGGCTCACCAGATTCGGGTGCTTGAGGTTCTGCGGGCGGACGAGGAGCGTTCCTTAGCGCCGAGCTCGATCGCGACCGGACAGCCCGTGCTCGCGTCGCGAGGGGCACGCGAGTGCATTTGGGGACCGGGCGATCGATCTCGGGCGTGCCGCGTGCGTCATGCGCGGCCGGCGGATATTGACCACGAGCGCGGCCGAGCCGCGTGCCGACGCGAAGCGGCACGTCGGAGCCCTCGGCAACGCGCGGTCGCCGGGTCGTCGACCCCTCGCCGCGGAGCCGCGGATCTATACGGATATCTGACGACGAACGCTGACCAGTGCCCCCCCCCCCAGTCCGGCGCTCGCGGCCTGTCCGCTTGTCGGCGCAATTGAAATTGACTGGCGCCGAAGTGGCTGCTCGCCAAGATTCGGCCGCGCGACTATCGCTCGCGGCGCGGATCGATCGACGATTACCTTGAGCAGCCTGATCTCCCGCAGCGCGATTTTGCGTATGAGGGGGTCATCCTCGGTCTGCTGGAACTTCTTGACGGCGACGAGGCGGCCGGTCTGCCGATCTCTGCACTGGAAGACCACCCCGTAGCTGCCCTCGCCGAGACGACCGAGCCTCTCGTAGCGCTCCATCGCCTTGCTCGGCGCTCTCGACCTGCACCCACAACACACGCCAGACGTGCCGTTTATTTATCTGACGTGCAGCGATCGCTGGAATCCGATACTACGCGATTGTGAAAGCCGAAGGAAAGCGCAGACGCGCGTGGTCGAAGCGTACTTTCGATACTTGGCGAGGCACGGCAGGGCCAACTGCTGGGTGAAGAGCATGTTCGCTGGGCGCACTCGAGGAAGCGACGAGGCTTGCGCGCCCGGGCGCGACCAGTGTCCAACTGGCCGGCCCGGCCGATGCGCCGAGCCGCTTGGCCGCTGACCAAAGGTCGAGTTGCCCGACTGCCCGTGCGCGGTTCTGCTTGCCAGCCGAGCGTAGCGGACCAACGCGCACGCGCCCTCGGCTGCACCTGCATGATCGTTGGCGATCTCGGAGTCGCCGGGGTCGCCGGGGTCACCGGGGTCGCGCGCCTATCCTCGGCCCAGCCGCCGGCATCGGCGTCGTGTCGTTGCAGGCGCGGACTTGGAGCCGAGCAATCGATTACGCATGCTGTACTCACCAGACAGGCGTCAACTGGTGGTGATTGGCGAAGCGCGGATCGTTAACCATTTTTCGATTTGGCGCCACGGGGACAGCGTTGAAGGCGAACTGTCGTGGAATTTTGCGGATCCGCGAGCGGCGACGGGGAGACCGACAGCCGAGGGAACAGGTTAGACGCGCGTGCTTGAGATTTGGTCGGTCGATCGATCTCGTCCGACTTCAGAGCGCGTTGCCGCGAAGCTGCCCGCCCGTGGCCACCTGCCAGAAACAGACCGGTTCTCGCCAGGCTGCGTCGTCCGCGAACGCAAGCTGGAGACCGGCAGCCCACGACGAGCCATGGTCAGGCGGGCGCGCGAGCAATCCGTCGGTCGGCGTGCTGCTTTAAATACCTACAGTAACTGCAGAAGACCGTTCATCTCGCGGCCTCGGGCTCGCTGTAGCGGCTGCTCCAGGCGCAAGGGGAGGGCAGTGGCGCGCGAGTCCGTCGGACCGCATGCCGAGTGCCACTGCCTGCCGGCGAACGGCTCGAACGCGGATCGCGCACTGTACACGCGCCTCGCCAGTCGCCAGGCGAGCCGACCTATCCGGCTGGTCGCGCAGTTGCGCCGCTGGTGGATTACACCTATTGACAATCGATACTCTGGCTGGCTCCCAAGGCGCTCGTGAGCGCAACGCGACGCGCTCGCTAGGGGAGGGGCCAGCGAGGGGCCAGTCGCCTGCCGTTCTGGGCCTTGCCCGTTGCATTCGTCATTGATCTCGCAGCGATGTGTAAGCCTCTCTACAGCATGACCGGCTGATGACATTCGCCAACACAAGCTACTAATGTTTTATGCAGCGCGAGGTCGTCACGGTAATTACAATGCTCCTCGTACGTAGTACTCGTGTGCTTTCTGCAACCCGCACGCGCCGCTGTTCGGGCTGGCTACGTACGTCGATGAAAGAGCCCCGGACTACTCGACCATCGGACGAGCGAACGTGCTAGGTGCTACCACGACAATCGACCAGGCAGTAGCGGAGCAAAGCAAAAAATTTGAACAAAGCTGACTCGCTTAACGATGGCTATCAATCGATGCCTCCATGTCAAAGTCACACGCACGCGTTCGCTTGATAGTTAAGCTTTCATTATTTGACGATGGGAATTGCAGGCGGCAGCACTCTCACTGGATCTCGTTATCGGTTAGCGCGTTTTGCTTCTGCAGCAGTGGACAAAAGAGAAACGAACGAGATCAGAAGGCATTTACATATTAGTCATAAATTGGCGATGTAACGAAAGTTGAAGCTTTTTATCGATGACTGCAATCGACCGAGTTATTCAGCGCTCTCGGGTAACATGTGCATACTCATAAGTGCGAAAAGTATCGATAAAAATGTGAGTGTCCAACGTAAAAGCGATATATTATTTAGAAATGAAGGAATTACTGATAAGGAAACATAGAAACGTTATATACTTGAATATTAACAACAGCAATTTTTCGAATTTCATGTTTACTTACAATTTGAAATTACTTCCTCTTGGATACTCTCCGAGCAATGTAATAATATTAAAACGAATGCCGATCGTAAAGAAACGAGAACATCGACTATCAAGTATTTATTTCTATTTCAGTCACAGCCAGCATTCCACAAATATAATTGCCGGTTATTACACACGAAAGAAAATTAGTATAAAGTATTTGTAACGAGCAGCGCATTTTAATCAGTAGAACCGACTTTTCTCAGCAATAATCTCGCAGGGGCGATCGTTTGAATAATTCAAACGAGCGTATTTTAAGGCGCGCTGCCACGGAGCTTGCGCACCTGGAGAATTATCGGCGCAATATCCTGCGGCATCTCAGTCTCGCGTATCTGACTGGTGTTATCTGGGTTGCGTGACTGACGCGACGATGTTTTGCTCGCACGCGGTAGAGCCACCTCTCGTGAAACGCGAAGGTCGAACCGAGCGAGAGCTATAACGCGCGGCTTCGAGTTCTCGCGAGGCAGCTGACGTCGCAGCTTGCATATAAAAGCTCGGCCGCCGTTACTTTCCCTCGCTTGTTTGCGTCTTGTCGCTCGCGTGGCAACCGGCTACTCGCCATTGTTACTCGCATCTCGTGAATCGCTCGGCGAAGCGGCAACCGCGCCGACCGAATCCCATCGACCAGTCGCCGTGCGGCCATGAACACTGAACCGTTTACTGCTACGCGCGCACAAATCGATCGACGCACTATAAATTGCAAGGGATCGTTCTCGTGCTCGAGTCCCGTTCGAAGCCGGCCGACCGATCAACGGCCACCACGGAGGCGGGAAGAAGGAAACGAAAGAAACACGGGAGCCACGCGTTCCCGCGTCTACGTGTGAACAGGTGTACCTCCTGGGCAGCAGAGGTAGCGTGCTACCGAGCAGCCAGAGCCTCCTCTCGGGCAGCCAGTTGTCCATCGAGGCCCGAGCCTAGCAGCCGAGGATCGCGCGAGCCGTCCTCGTCTGCGTCATCGTCGTTGCCGTCGGCCGCGCGCTCGTCGCGTACACGCGTCACGTCCACTCGCTCGCTGCTCGGCGGCGGCAGCCCGGCTATGGCTCAGCCTAGCCGCCGCCCCGCCAACTCGCGACGGACTCGCCACTCGCCTATTCCATGGCTCCGTCTATCGTGTAGTCAGGCGAGGCGCGCAAGCCAAGCGGTTCGACGTGCCGGGATTGACTGAGTCGAGTGGCAAGCCGACTCTCGGCCGGCCCCGGCAATCGATATCCAGCGCGAGCTCCTTCGCTTATGTTCCCCTTGCGAGCTGCTCGAAGACCATGCTCGACGCAGCAGCAGCAGCAGCAGCAGCAGCAGCGGATGCTTGGACTGACGAGAATCAACGAAACCTCGTTTATGCTCGCTTTATTCGCTTTTCGCCACATGGCCATGCCCCACTTACAACGTTTGCCCCGTTCGCAACGTTCTCTCAAAATCGAAAAAGAAATCTTAAAATCCAGTCTTTACTTTTACGAACCTGCAAATCGCATGCTAACAAACTCCTACTCGGAGTTCGGAGGCTTAAGACGAGCAAGTGCGTGGTTTTTTCTTTTTTTTTCTTTTATTTTGGTCGATGTTTCTTTCGTTTTATACATGATTAACGTTGTCATGTTAAAGTCATGAGCCAGTTTTTCTCTTCCTTTGAGATGGAAAACTTGGTAGCAAAAAGAACATCAGGTCAATAGAAGCTGACAAACGCTCCTCGCTTTGGAACGTATCGTTTTGGTAATCCCAGAAAGATTTGCTTTCGATTTGGACTTTGGAGAAAAATGCAGACACAAATATGTTTGAGAGTAATAGGGTCAGAACCATTCAGACGCTCTTGGAGACGCGTTGAGCGTTCGAAGTGGTCGGAGTTTTGGGTTTGTTGCTGTCCGTCGTGTCGCCTCGCACAGTGAAGATGACGTAGTAGCGTTTAGCGCGATCAAGCTTCTCCGACGGCAGTGCAATCACTTGCTTGTCCGCGCCGTGGCTCACCTCCACCTTGAACAAACGAATTATCGGTCTATCTGAGAGATCGTCAGGTGTTGGCCTACGACGAGTAGAAAGAACAAGGTACGTCGAGTAGTGCTAGTAAGTGACAAGTCGGACGTGCCGATCGTTTACCGTCATCTGTCCCTTCCCCTGTCCCTCGATCTTCGGAAGAAGAGTCGGTCGTTCGAGGCCGCCTCCACCTACTGCAATTAGAGTCTAAAATCAAATATTGCAATCTGTTTCTATCTAGCGGCTACGTAGGTATTGCCAAGGTTCGTGACTGCGCGTGCGTACGTAGCTGTTATCTACGCGAGCGAGAACAAAGCGAAGCACCAACGGCAGAATATCAAACTATGGGCGATGCGTGTGTGGGTGGGCAGAGTAGGCGGGAGACACTGCCGAGACTCACGGTAAGTGTAAACCGGCACGGAAGTGTAGGCGCTTGTCGCGTGATGACAGCGATGCGTCTTTTGCGTGCACTGCTTGGCCTCGGTACACCAGTCGGGCGTCGATGGGCGCCTCTGCAATCTCCTCAACTGCTCGTACAAGAACGACTCGAAGTGCCTGCGAAAGGCGTAACGAACGATTGAGGCTCTCGTCGGTTTTCCGACGCCCCTCGCGCTCGTTCGCCCTAGGATCGATCGAACGATACCGACCTGAAAGTGTAGGGTTGGTCGTACCTGGCGACCCCAAGCGCCGGCCCGCTCATACCGGCTTTGTGGAACGACTCGACCTGCGATAAGCCAAACAGTTTCTACTTTATCGATGTCGCTGCAGCTCGCAAGAGCAACTTGTTGCTGTACGCTTATCTCCGAACGGATGCGAGCGCCTCTCCAAGCGGCGACTCACCTGTCGCTTGACGAGGACGCTCTCGTTGGCCCGTCCGTGCCGGATCTGCAGCCTCTTGAGCTCCATCAGCTGGAAGAAGATCTTGCGCTCGAGGTGGTATCGCCTGAGGCTGATCTGCACGTCGCGCGTGATCGTGTCCATGTGCAGCGCTCGCTGGCGCTCGCTGTTCGGGCAGCACTTGACGGCGCGCCTCGGTATGCGGGAGACGCGCGGGCTGGGCTCGATGCCGCTGTCTCTGCCGGCGCTGTCCCTGCGCTGGCGCAGTCTGGCCGCGTCTTGCCTCAGCGATATCTTAGCCTGGGCTTGCGTCTGCAACTGCGGACGAAAGGTTGGCCATGGCCCTCCGAGGTGCGGCTGCGAGCTTGGGAGAGTACCTGTGGAAGTACGCCGACGGCGGAAGCGCGCTTGGCGATCACGTCGTCCTCGCTGGTGCTGGGCAGCACGCGAACGATGCCGACCTCGTCGCTCGCGCCGCCCAGACCGTCGCTGCCCTCCTCGTCCTCGTCCTCGTCCTCGTCCTCGTCCCCGCCGCCGTCCCCGGCCCCGTCCTCGCGCTCCTCCTCGGCGTCGCCAACCACCTGGCGAATCTCCTTGTCCAACTGCTCCTCGTCCTCGTCGTCCCACTCGGGACTCTCTATGACTGCGACGATCGCACTGTGATCGGGCGATCGTTCCTCCGAGCTCTCGAACAAGGGGCTCTTCGTCGGGCCGCGGCGCTTGCCCGTCGGCGGCCGGCGACGCGACGGCTTGCCGCTCCTCGGCGAACTCGACGAGCTCTCGTCGGCGTAGCGGAAGCTCTCGCTGCCTGGAATCCGAAGCGGCGGCTGCGCTGGCTGCACTTCCGCGCTTTCCTCCTGCTGTTCTCGCCGCTTGGTTCCTCGCTCGGTCGCGACTGGCTGCTCCTCGTCCTTGGCGTCGGATCCTCTCTTGGTCTTTGCCTCGTGAGCAGCCGCGGACTCGCGTCTGGCTTGTGCTTCGCCGTCTTTAGCACCCGCATCCGCGCTGGCGTGAGTCTCTTCCGACGCGGCTTCTTCTCTCGGAGTCTCCTCCTGGAGGACGTCGGCCGCCGGTTCTTGTGCGCTGGCCCGTGGATCGATCGGCGTCCCCTCGTCCTCCGCGGAGACAGAGGCCGGTCGATCCGTCGGTGGTTCTGTTTCCTCGTTATCGTCCTCGACTTGTTTAGAACCCGCCCGAGCTTCTTGCCAGCCGGGGAGCTCCGACTTCCCAGCGCTCTCTGCGATCTCCGCTAGCAGCCCTTCCTCTTCTTCCGGCCGTCCAGTCTTTTCTTCCGAACTCTGCGACATTTGCTGCCGAATGTCTTCCATGTCTCTTCTCAGGTCAGCAGCTTTGTTCATCAGCTGACTCTGCAACTCGTCCGCCCTCTCCAGTATGTCGCCCATCTTACTTCGCGCCTTCTCCTTCTCGAGTTGCTCGCTCGCTGCAGTCGCGGCTTCGCCGTGGGCGTCCTCCTGGGCCGCGGCGCGCGTTCCGGTCTTGTGCACATCGGCCGTTACCGTGACCTGCTCCATCGCAGTGTCTTGGCTCGTGCTGTCGGCATCCCGACGCGAGGACTTGCCGTCGGCCGCTCGAGTCCAAGGCCCGTCGTGCTCGGCGTTGCTCAGCGACGAGCGGCTCGCCCGCCGGGCTCTCGCCGAATCCTTGGAGGCGTGGCCCCGGGCCGCTCCGGACTTGCTGCCGGAGACGACCTTGCGGGATGTCTTCTCGAGGGAGCGCCTGACCAGAACCACCTCGAGGCTGTCGTCGCTGGCAGTCCCGCTGTCCCGACCGCTCGCGGCCGGCTCGTCGCTCGACAGCTGCAGCCCGTCCAGCTCGGCCCCGTGCGGCCTCCCGCCACTGGCGCCTGTCCTGGCGCTGCCTTCGAGCAATCGGAGCGTTGAGCGCCGCCCGGCCGCCACTCGCTGCGCCGGCCTACCTGCTCGCCTCGCGTCCTCGCTGAGGGCGCGGCGCCGCCGGCCAACGGCCCTCGAGGACGTCTTGGAGAGCCGGAGCTCCTCCTCGCTGAAGCTGCGGCTGCCCCGGCGCGACGGGCCACGCCGACTGGCCCGGCGGCGCGTGCGCCGCTCGACCCAGCGCTCCTCGTAGCAGGCGTCCGCGCGCCGGCGTCGGCCGCGCTGCCGGCGGCGCGGCGCCGCGCCGCCCGGCTCCGGCCCGGAGTCGGAGCTGCTGTCGGCCGCCCGCGGCCGCGGCCGCGGCCCCGCGGCGGGCCCTGCAACAGGCGCGCGCGTCGGTGGCGAGTTCGGCGCCGGGCGGCCGCGCGGCCTACCTTCGGCCGGGGCGGCCCCGCGCGCGCCCAGGCGCCGCGCGGTCAGCCCGCCGTGCAGCTGCACGAGCTTGGCGCAGTCGCGGTGGCCGCGCTGCAGCGCCGCGTCCAGAGGCGTCGCGGGCGCGCCCCCGCCGGCGCGCATGAGCGCGTTCGCGCGCGCGCCGCCGTCCAGCAGCAGCTTGCAGACGCCCAGGTGGCCGCGCTGCGCGGCCACGTGCAGCGGCGTGCGGCCGTCGGGCGCGGCCGCGTCCAGCAGGGCCGGCCGCCTCCGCGCGATCCAGCCGAGCAGCTCCGGGCGGCCCGAGGCCGCCGCCTCGTGCGCCACGCCCGTGCCGCGCAGCGTGCGCGCGCGCAGCGAGCCGCCGTGCTGCACGAGCAGCTTGAGCGTCTCCAGCTGGCCCTTGGCCGCCGCGCAGAGGGCCGGCCTGAAAGAGGCGGGCGTGCCAGGGCTCTGTGCGTGCGCTCCGTCGGCCGCGGGCACTCACGTGCGTCCCTTGCGGTCCTGCCGGTTCGCGTCGGCGCCCAGCTCCAGCAGCAGCGCCGTCGCGTCCGCGTGGCCCAGCGTCGCCGCGTAGTGCAGCGCCGAGCAGCCGTTGTCGTCCACGTGGTCGGGCTGCGCATCGCAGAGCCGCACCAGCGCCTCTATGCAGCCGACGTGGCCGCGGGAGGCCGCGCAGTGGAGCGCCGTGAGGCCGTCCTTGTCCGAGGCCCCGGCCGCCGCCGAGCCGCCGGCCCTGCGCGCACCGTCGCCGATCAGCCGAGCTCGGCTCGGGGCTGGCGCGCGATGCGCGGCCGCGACCAGCTCACCTGGCCAGCGCCAGGATGGCGTCCACGCTGCCGGCGCTCGCCGCCCACAGGATCGGCTGCCTGCCGTCCTCGTCCCTCGCGTTCACGTCCGCGCCGAACTCCAGCAGCGTCTGCAGCACTTTCTGCCCGACCTTCTTCGGTACTGCCAGCTCGGCCGTGGCCGCTGCTCCGCAACATTGCGCCGCGTAGTGCAGCGGCGAGCCTCCGCGGTGATCGGCTGCCGATGGGTCCGCTCCTGCCGCCAGTACCAGTCGCACACACTCCACTTCGCCGCATACTGTGAACGTTCGCGTGTTCTTTTCGTTACTCGTCGAGCATCAGTCCGCAGTTCCGTCGCGTCGAACGCCGATGCTGCTTTTTCTTCCATCGTTCATCGGAAGCAAATCGGCCTTGCAAACGTTTGTTCGAGCACCGAGACACAGCGAGGCCTATGCCTTAAACTGGCAATTAGCATGCAAACTGACTGGGGTGCGACCTACTAAGAATGCCACTCGTCATCGCAGCACCGTAAAAAGCCCCGGCCGTATAATTATTCCGAGCTGGCTGTCCGTTGCGGGGCCCATACAGCGGACGATAAGGACACGTAACTGGGTCAGTTCTCGCATAATTTGCGTTTATGGAAAGGGCAAGGAGCCTGATAAAAAGCCACGGGCTCAATCAAGGAGGAAAGGGGGTCGCGAAGAAAATAAGATCTGATCTGCTATCGACAAAGGCGCTGTACAGATGAGCCGACCGTTCGATCGGTCGATTTCAAATCAATGGTTGAAAGTAGTCTCTGGTGCTTCGTCTTATTCGGGTTTTTCCACGTTTCTTCGTCAATGTCGTCGACGTAGAAGCCCCGAGAAAAGGAAAAAGTCGAGCGATTGATTTTCGTACGTGGAACAGGGAATATGGGATTAGTCACGGCAGTCTGCAAGCAGTAAACGAAGATGCGACAAAACCTTGTGCCAATGGATGCGGAATTGCATGAAAATTCCGAGTGAAAGCCGATCGTTGAAATGACTCGGTTGAGCAGATCAACTGAAACGAAAGAAAGAAAGAAATAAAGAGAAGAAGTGGAACATTGGCACTACTTGTGTACGCTTATTGCACTTGACGCGCACGCCCGCGGTGTCTTTCCCTGCGCTCGTTTGTCATGCGCAGCAATCCGCAGACGCGAATTTGACCGGAACAAATGCCAATAATCAGCAGCGAGGGCAATAAAGTCAAGTCCTAATCTGAAAGAAGGTAGGCGCTAGAGAAGCAAAGGAGGCCGAGGGGGACAGGCTCTCTGGCAGCCATCAATTTCAATTAGCAGCTCTAGCGTACAAGCGCGGCAGGCGAAGGCTCGCCGCGGAGAGCTTGCCGGGTGTTCTCGCGTGCTCGAGGGTGTCCGGTCGGCCGGAATCGCGTAATCACGTCAGTCCTGTGACCCAGTGACCCGCACGCGACTTATTGCCTGAGCGAGATCGCGGCGATCGAGCGCGCGGCCCGTCCGCGCCCCTGCCGTTTGCCGCCCCGCCGCGCGGATATCTGGGTAGTGAGCGCGCGACCACTGGCGACTCTCCAAATCTCGCCGACTTGCTGCGCTCGCGCTACCTTTCTCCGTCCGGGCTGGTTTTCGGCAAACCCGATAAGCTGCGCGCGATGCGAGATCATCCGGGGCGAAGCCTGCAGCGCGCACAGGCCGGCCCCGAGGCGTACCGCTTGGCCGATGATCGATCTGCCAGTCGACGGTGCTGCTCCGAACGCGACAGCTGGCTAGCGAAGCCCGCGAGACCGACCGTAGCGAGCTCACCCGTGGCCCAGTGCAGAACGCTGTGTCCCTCGAGGTCCTTGGCGTCGACGTCGGCGCCGTTGGCCAGAAGGACTGCGACGAGCTGGTGGTCGCCGGCGATGACGGCCAGGTGCAGCGGCGCGTGTCCCTCGGCGTCGGCGGCGTCGACGAGCTCCGGCGCGGCCTGCGCCACCGCGCCGCCCGTCGCCGCGTCCATGCAGTAGTGCAGCGCGCTGCGCAGCGCCCGGTCCCGGTAGCCGATCGTCTCCTCCTGCTCGCGCAGCAGCTTCAGCACGCGCCCGCGGTCCGCCTGCTGGCAGGCGTGCATCAGCGGCGTCGCGCCTATGCTCAGCACCCTGCGCATCGCCCTTGCAACCTTACTTTCTTTGCTCCTTTTCCCATTCGAGTGGCCTTTCTATTTTCTTTCGATCCGAGCCACTTCGTTCTACAGAATCGCTTGTGCTCTCGTTCAACGTCCCTTGCATAACGCGCCAAACACTAAGCAGCTGCCTTCGAGACGTCTTTACATCACATTAATCGTCGCGTTATCTCCGCGGTCAGCACGAACAGTTTGCAAAAACAAATGCGCGCCAATACGTTATGAATCGCCACTAGGATAATCGAAGCAAATAAGACGGTTACCAGTTTCAATTTTCAGTCACCGAATAAAATTAATTTTCTCGTTAAAGCCGCTCAATGTCGGTAAAATTAATTTTTACGTTAAGTGATAATTGGTGATTGGTAAGTGTAATCAGCAAGCGCGGAAGAACACGCGGAGAGAAAGCTACGACAGTCAGTAGAACAACTCACTTATAGGGCCGGCGCCTCGCTATCTCCTGTTGCCTCACAACGCTCGGCGTCGCGGCGTTATTGTTATACAGCCAAGTGGACGTGGATGTGGCGAACTTGGTCTTTTGTCTCTGCGAGTTGGCGGAATAATGCCCGAGCGGTGGTAGCGTCACCTGCTGCTGCTGCTGCTGCTGCTGCTGCTGCTGCTGCTGCTGCTGCTGCTTGATCTTGGACGACCTGTCTTGCGTTCTCGGGGCGATCGGCGGTGTCCGCGTGTCCATGCCCGAGCCGCGCGCAGGCACGGCCCCGTTACAATTTCCTCCGTGCCGCCGTCGTTCGACATTGCTTGATAGGCCAATTAATCGTTAACGACATCGACTCACGTTACCTCTCGCGAAGAGGCAGAGCAAATAAAAGCTGACGCAGCGTTTGGTCCAAAGTATCCACGCTTTGCTTTCCTTCAAGTTACCTTTAGGACTACTAACTGTAGCATATTTTGTATATTCCAAGTTGAAGACTTGTGCGAATCGCAGCTATTATGGTAAATCAATAGCGAAGAGTGCACTCGCCGGCTGCGACCGCGATGTGCAACGTTAGCCGCGTTGGTAGAAAAACTGCAAGAAAGAGACGAACCTTAGATGGGCGGTGCAATGCAGCAGCTGGCCGCTGCGTGTCGACGTGGCTGGCGGACTTCTCGCGCGTCATCCTCCGCTGCTACCAGCCCCAGCAGGCTCCTGATCGCTCGGCGTCCGGATCACGACTCGGCGGGCCGCCAGCTGCCACCGCGACGAGCCCGCGTGTCGCCTAAGCGCCACCCCTGACCTGTTTCGACGGCACCGGGCTAGAGCTCCCTTCTTAGCTTGCCGCTGTCGCGAGATGTGGGCCGCGATTTGCCGATAAGCGGCCCTTACCATCCACCCCCGGATATTCGACTCGAGCGCGGCGCACGCGATCCCGACCTTGAGTTCCCCGCGAGCGATCCCACTTTAGATACCTATCGCTTGCCGAATACGAGCGATGCGATCGCTCTTGGCGACAGCACCTCAAGGTCGCCGCTCTCTCTCTCTCTCCTCTCTCTCTCTCTCTCTCTCTCTCTCTCTCTCTCGGGATGACGGACAGCGCGCGCTCAGTCGCTACCCACTCCGAGAGGCTTTGCGAAAGTAACGAGCTACGGACCACGTGGTGTCGGCGATTGACCAGGTCACTTGCGACACGGTAACCACGGCTACCGAGCCTGCCACAACACACAGTCCAGGCTGCTGTCCACTGCCCACTCGACAAGCTCGGCAGACAAGGTCGCCATCTCAAACAGGAAGCTCGTTCTGTCTGAATAACTGCGTTGGCACTTTGTTACACTGACGACTCCTATGCACCCGCCGTACGTTAACATAGCAAAGAACGCCACTTCCTTTGAAAACTTTCTCTTGAAAATATCAAGCAACGTTATCGATTAGAAAAAAATTGTTATCGTTTAAGAAATTTGCGACTTAAGACAACAGCTACAGTGGTAAAGGCAGAAAAACAAAAGGTCGAACAAGCGCCGCTGTAAGTAATGTAGTGTCGTCCTTTAACGGGACAAGGATACGTAAGTGCGACTGACGTTTGATTGAAAAAGCGCTTTCGCCAGAAAAGTGGAATTTAGTGTGCAGCAATCGGCCGCCTCGAGAGTGTGCGAAACAAATTCAGAAGACAATCGATTCGCCCTTCTTGGCGCGCGTCATGTGCGTGCGTGCGCGCGTGTGCGTGCCTCCTCGTTGGACTGACAGTGGGAAAGAAAAGAAAAATCGGTCGGCCTACTTAACCGAGAAAGAAAAGGCAAAGGCGACTAGGCCGAAGCATTTCCTGAATAGCCCCCTTTTCACCTTAAATGGTCAATGAGCGAACGAGCGCGCTTTGGTGCAAGGAGCGGCGATTTTCTCCGACTGATCGATCGACGCGAGAAAAAGGAAAAAGAGGCGTTACTTTTTTCGTTGGTCTAGTTCCAGATCGCGCGCGCGCCACCGAGTTTGCCGTTCGTGCGCCACTCGGCCTGCTCAAACAGAGCTTCTGCCCCGTCAGAGCTGTCACGCGCACGTCAGACCGACCGACAGAATCGTCGCTTTTTTCGCGAAAGGAAGCAAAGTTTTAATCGAACGCGTATGCCGGCGTTGCAGCTTGGCTCAATGTTGAGCTTCGCGGGGGAGTCGCATAACCGTCCGTCAATGCTATCAATAGACACGCGGTAAGATGCCCAGGAGAAGGTTCGACACCGAATACAAGAGAGAAGAAGGAGGCTTGGACCGAGGCTCGGATCAAATCGAATGCTCACCTCAATGTTATTCGCTCCATTGGCAGTGCTCGCGCGTTCGTTTATCCAGGCGTCTCATCCAAACGATCGGCTTGGATTGTTTGGCGCAGTTTGAAAGTTTGAAGAGACGTAGCCAATCGATTGGTCGTATGACATTCGTTCAGCGTTTAAGTTCAAGACAAAGTTTGCATTGGCACTCGGGCGAGATACGCGTCAGCCTTTACACAGTTTGACCGCGGCGTTTATTCTATCCTCGCGAATGCGAATCGCGCTCTTGCTCGCCTCGACATCGGATGAGGCAGGCGGCGAGGCGAGTGCATCTTCGGCGTCGAGGGCGCGACGCTCGCGATGGAGCGCGAGGCTAGCCGTACGTGTGCAGGCGAGCACACTCGGCTCAACGAACTTGGCGCCGACTCGCCGACTCACGTGTCAGCGCCGATGACTGAAAATCGTTAGCACGCGCGCAGCGATCTTTGCCGCGCCGCTCAAATGCATCGGCCCGTACGTGAGTGTGTGTGTGTGTGTGTGTGTGCACGCGCGCGCGCGCGCGCGCGACTAGTCTGCCGTTATGTAGGACGCTGTACGCGCGGGCAGGGACGAGGAAAGCGCCTATCGCTCGCCGATGAGAAATTGCCTCGCGCATACATTATCGATCGCGCGGCTCCGACCGCGTTCGCGCGCTCGACATCGGCCGTCGCACGCGTGCCTCGACGCCGACCAGAGCGTTCCGCGAGCGCGCGCCCGTGGACGCCGGCCGCGCACCTGGCCGGCGCATCGAGCCGCCGGCCTCGCGAGAGGCAGCCTGCTGCACGTGGCCGGCTACGTCAGCCGCGAGTCCGCCGCGCGGATGGACCGCCGCCGTGGCTCCACTCTCAGGACCATTTCGGTCGTCCGGTGCGCAAAGCGACCGTGAGGCCTCTGCGTGTGCCCAAGTCACGCAGGCTCGCCCGAAGGAAGGCCCGCGGAGGCCGAGCAGGAGCACGCACGAGCGAACGAGGTAGGCGTCGAGCGAAATGAGAAATACTCACGCATGCACGCCCGTCGCGAGTCAGCGGCAGCGAAGGCGTCTCGGTCGGTGGCGGAGTCGTCGTCGCTGGCACGGCATGGTGTTGGCGACTGCACGCGCTCGCCCGAGCGTGCAGCCAAGAAGCGCCCGCTGGCGCAACAGCAGCCTAGCCAGTCGGGAGCGCCGCGCGTGTTGCTTAGGAACATCGCGAGGGCTACGAGTGGGGTGGGCCGTGAGTCGGCGGAGCCCTTACCGCGCGCTCGCAGCCCACGCGCTCGCTCCTGCCGGCGGTCAGCCGCAGGCCATCGCCATTGCCATCGCGTACAGGATCCGAGCCCGCGCTCCACTCGCGTTTTCTGCGACCTATTGCTCAAGGCGTTCTCTACGTTTTGTTCTACGCCGCGCGGCAGCTAACTTTTAACGAGTTTTCGGGGACCGCGAAAAAGGGGCTGATTATTAAATCGATAGGAGGACAGGGGCACGACAACTTGGCCAATCATTCCAGAGAGAATAGGCTTGGCGATGCGTGCGTTGCAGACTCATTATTTCGATTGGTTCGGTGTGCCCGATAGATTGATCGATGATTCAGGCTCTAATCAAATACCTCGCGATGAAAGCCAAGCCTTAGCTTCGTTAAATTTTCACGGTCGAAAAGAATCCGAAACTTCTTCATTGAGCTCCCCGACCCGAACCCGATTTCGCAAATTGCGCGGCTTCTTCAACAAGTAATCTCTCGAGTCTTCAAAATTCGTGGCAAAAACCAACTCATTTTCACGTGTGCATAATTTCATTAACTGCATATTTATCTTGAGTAAAAATTCAGTCTATCGAGAAAACATTGTTTTTGCAAAAGCGGAACAACGTACATCATTGCCAACTGCGATTAGTCCAAATTTACACGAGCAACTCAATAACGCAGATTGCATAGTTCCCATTTTAAATGCTACCTTCCGCGATCAATGGTTGATTTGAAAATACTATGAGAGGCAATGAGCCTTTAGAGCGATTTTTAATAAGTTTTTGTATTGATGTTAAATAGAATATAGCGTCGGATTATTAAAAGCCGAATGGCAGATATAGAGGTTAAGCAATGCACAAAAGAGCACAAAATGGGCTGGCAATTAGCGGCGGCCTTTACTCGAAAAGCACGCGGGAACGCAGGCAGACGACGATAATTGGCTTGAAATCTCGCGCCTGCAAATACGTTCGTATTGCTCGTTCGAGTGACGTAGTGCGTACAACTGTAGTACACCAAGCTGAGCTGATCCGAGAACTGGGGGTATAGCTCAGTGGTAGAGCATTCGACTGCAGATCGAGAGGTCCCCGGTTCAAACCCGGGTGCCCCCTCGTCTTTATTTTTTATTTTTCTTTCGATAGCTCTCACGCCCCAAAGACAATGTATGCTCTATTATTCTTGTGCAAACGTAATAATTATTACACAGCTCGTCGATCAAGTGAATTGTTACGCTTGCATGCCTGTTTATATAAGGCGAGTGTCTCTATTACCCAGCCCCTTCAATTTAATTTAATAAATTTAGGCAATGTATAAGTAGAATAATTAGTTTCATATTAATCTATACAACCTTTGTTTCGCTATATAAAAATATCAAACATATAATTTATTTGAAAAGAACATAACTTAAGACCAATTACCAGCGAGAAAATCGATTTTTTCATTTCATTCAGTTGTCTAAGTATTTTAAATTATGGTGCAGTACATGCGATAGGACCGGATATTACTTTTTGGCGACTTGCTTAATAATTATTTCATATGGACATTTTAATTTCTCAAGCGATAATTATAAAAACTTACTTTTTCTAGCAGTAATATACAATTATTTCCTGCATAAGCTTTTGATTGTAATCAAAAATGTCACTCGCTTTTTCATCTGAGAGCATAGATAACCAAACGCGAACACGCGACATATTGCATTTATAAGCAAATTCAAAACAGAAGGAATAATTCTTTCACTACGAGAAAACATATTGTACCAGTAGCGAGTGCCATTTTCTAAACAGCCAACAGCATCTAAATTGCAACGTAGTCCCAAAAGCTCTGAAATCTTAGCCTCGAACATGCCAATGTGCAAATTAATCTCTCGGCCTCTCGCCGCGCGTCCGGACTCGTACCGTCATATACATTGCGATCTATATGCAGCCTATAAATTATGACAAAGCACAGTCACACACATATATATACTAAACATTAAGCGTACGCACGTCACTTTCACTATCGTGAATATTCGCAACTAGAACATATGCATGGTGACTTTAATTGAAAACCAAATGAATAAACACAAGTACGGACATATAATGCCGTAATCATCAAGACTGACGCGCGACAGTCAGAGACATGGCCGCGATCGTTGCTTCTACGCGTGTCTTAATTTATTGTCCTGATATATCACTGAAAAAACTAAGCTCGGACGTTCCACGCTCGAGGACCATAGATTTGTAAATAGAAGAGAAAAACATATAATCGTAGTTGGCTAAACGGCTAGCCGACTTTTATTTCGATAATACAGTCGCGGAGATCGCATACAACTTAAAAAATGAACTACAATCATACTGGAGCACGGAGGGGTGAGTTGTTGCTTGTTTCTCTTCCAATTTAATTATCGACACTTGCTTCGTTAGCTCAATCTTTTTGTTCAATTGCATTTATTTACCAATGTTTTTCTATAAATTAGATGTGATGTACTCGTTAATATCATTACAGTAAGGTTATGTTCGTCTTACGAATGCTGACACTATTATACATATGTGATGAAACGTATGAATTGGCCTGACGTGGATTCATTAAGAGATGTATGCTAGCTTGCTTGTGTTTGATTACATATTTATGCTTTAGGTAAACCAAAGAGGGTCTTGGATCCATGGGCTGCTTTATCTGTTCCTTCTTCAACTTCACAAATGCCATCAAGTGCTTATAATATGTACAACCAGCAGGTAAAAGAATTGATAATAATCAAAACATTAAACTTTTATTTATATGTATTTTACAACATAGAAATTGTTTAATTAAGGTACCTATGAATAATGGCATGTCACCAGATTATGGTTTCAATATGCCAGATCAAGGTCCATCAACTACTAGCACTCCTCCTTATGGATTTGTTCAACAGTCTACAATGCCACCTGCATACTCACCTGGCCCATCAGGAACTGATGAATTCAACACAGGCCAATTTACAACGCAATTGTTGTCACAGCCTATTGTGGCAAACATGGCTATGGAATATGGAAGTGCTGTTGCCAATGTAGGAAAGCAACAGCTTGAAAAGTATGTGCCAGTTACTGCTCTTCGATACTACTTTGCTGTAGACACTGATTACGTTATGATGAAACTTATATTGCTATTTTTTCCATTTACACATAAAGTAAGTTATTTGTTTTAGAAATGTAGAAAAAAAGTCTTTATATTTTTTAATAATAAATACAATGAATGCATGTCAACAGGATTGGTCTATTAGATATGAACAAGATAGTCCTCTGCAGCCACGTTATGAAAAGAATGCACCAGATATGTACATTCCCATGATGGCTTTTCTTACTTATGTAGTAGTTGCTGGTCTTGCATTGGGTACCCAAGAAAAGTTCACTCCAGAACAATTAGGCATAATAGCTAGTTCTGCTCTTGCTTGGGGACTGATTGAACTATTTCTCCATATCATAACTTTGTACATTATGAATCTTGAGACAAGTTTGAAATACTTAGATTTACTGGCTTATTGCAGTTACAAGTATGTAGGAATGAATGCTGCACTGCTGGTATCTTTGCTATTCAAGAGGATGGGCTTTTATACAATTTTTACATACTATAGTATATCTTTGTCATTTTTCCTAATTCGATCTCTAAAGCTAAGAATGATACCCGAGGGACATTCTTCTTACTCAGCTAGCGGGAACAAAAGAAGACTATATTTCATCTTGTTCGTTGCTGGAATCCAACCGATTCTTATGTGGTGGCTCTTGTACCATCTTATATAAAATCCTTATTAGATCAGTATATTTTCTCAAGTGCTTTAAAGGGTCATTGGACGTCATGTTGAAGTTATAGCTACAATTGCATCGTGAATATTGGGATGTTTTTGTGCATTTTATGATATAAAAATTAATTCCCGCGAATGAATAACCAAGCAACTCTATTCTTTTGTGAAACAACTCTAAGCCACAGCGATGCTAGGAAGAAAGTGTGTGGAAGTTCAAACTCAAATAGAGTTTAAATTTGTTTGTCAAGCTGGACATATAAATGTAAATTTCTTCCTTGACTAGCTTTATGGTTAAATCGCGTTAAGTCTACTGTATATCATGTACGATCTAAATAACGAATCTAATCAATAAGACAGCCGAATATTCTACAATGTTTCTTTGATAGAAATATTTTTTTCGTGTAAAATAATATTTTCAGTAAATACGGTTAATTTTCAAGACGACTTATTTTACGGAATGCAAAATTTTAATCTATGTTTTGATACTTTCGGAAGCACGATTTTCAGACCGTTAGTGTAAATAACACGTAAGAAAATTGTCAAGTTGGATAAAATCGTGTATTTATGTTTTCGGTATCTTGTTTTTTCATCAGGATATGTTTATGAATGAAATGTATGTCCTATATTATTGTAAATTGTTATTTTATAAAAATAAAATGACTTTATAATAAAAATTATGAAATTTGATTTGAAATAGAAAGTTGAAGGTAAAGCAATTATCCACGATACCATCAGAGCAGCAAATACAGGGCTATATTTTACCAACGGCGCTGAAGTAGAACGAGTGTCGAGCACTACCGCCAAGTCATACTCTCGGCGAAAAAAGGTCAATTTGCACGAAGAAGCACATTATTGTTAGCTATATCGGTGTATGTACGTAGCTATAACAACGATAAAAGTACCTATCTACTCCCCCTCTCTGTCTCTGTCGCACCGTCAATCGGTGCTCGGGGCATAAAGAACACAGAGAACGGAGTCTACGCGAGTTTAGTGAAGCCGCTACCTAGCGAGGAGCAGTAGCAAAAGCCGATACGTCGCTGTTAATACTGCTACAAGCCAGTTGAGCGTGCGTGTGCGCGACTATATACACGGCAGTAGTCTAAGCGTCTCCTCACCTCTCTATTCTTTCTCTCTCTTTCTCTTCTTTCTCTCTCTCTCTCTCTTTTTCTATCTCTCTCTCTCCTCGGAGTTTTTCTACTAGTGAACGAGGCGCAACAACGAGACGGCGCGGCTTTATGCGAGGGTGCTCGTTGGCGAGTTGCGCGTGTGAAAGGACAAGAGGAGGGGCTGGCCGAGGAGTGGATAGGATCAAGAGTGGTATTTGGCGAGCGACGGGGGGCGGCTCGTCGTATCTCGACTCTTGGCGTGCTGCTGCTGCTGCTGCGTGCAGCAACTCTCGAGAATAATATGGCGGAGCGGGCGACCAAAACCTCGTCCTCGGGAGGCTCGACCAACCGACCAGTGCCCATGAGGTTATTCGCTACCTGGGAAGTCGATCGTACGCCCTCCAACTGCATTCCCAGGTAAGCTATCGAGCGAAGGTGGCGCGCTCGCCGGTATATGCTCTCTTTTCTCCTCCGCTTGGTTTTGTCTTGACGAGCTCGTTGTCCTCTCTGTTGGTCTGTCTGTCTTTCTGCCGCCGCCCACGTCAGGGCGTGACAGCTCTCTTTTTCTCGTCGATTGGTCTCGTACCGTAACGAGATGTCCCACAACCCTGTGTTATTGGAGCACGCGCCAACAGTCAACAATGAAAATCGCAAGGAGAATACCGCGGCTCTTTCTCTCGCAGTTATTCGATCTTCGCTCGAAAAGGCTTATTCAAAAGCCAGGTTAGATTGTCAGGACGTTTAAAGGTCTTAGCCAAGATCGTCAGCGTCGCGGAGCTCCTTCTAGCGCGTAAGCCTTTTTCTGATGCACGGCGACTTGTCTCTGCGAGGCTCTTGCGCTCTTGCAGTGCTTCGTTGTTGGCCTGTCGACGTCGGGGAGATCCGCACGAAGAGCGGCGCACGGGCAGGCGTTGTAAAAGTCGAGCAGCGAATCGAAGAAGACAGAGGAGAGCAGCTTATGAAACCTACCACCCGCGCTTTTGATTGTTTGGCCAGGGACACTGGGCCAGCTGGTTTGCATCTGGCTGCCACCTCTAAAAGCAGCCGACGGCTTGAATAATGTAGCACGCTTATCGTCGATAGGGCACGCGCGCGCGATTTGGCAAGGAAAGAAACGAAAAACGGAGACGGGAGAGCTCGCAGAGCGACGGCATTTGTCTTCGGGCGAATACACGTAGAGCGGCACAACGCCGCCGAGGCCTCTTATCAGGCTTGGATCGCGCGTGCAATCAGTTTTCGATTGCTCTGCGCGTGCCTGTGTGCGAGCATCCGAGGCGCGAAGGGGCAAGGCATAGTGAGCCAGGCCCGACCGAGCGCGACAACGTTCGTTAATGCATTGCCAAAAGAAAGCTCGCTTGCTCGGAATGCGGAATGTCGAAGGTCGTTAATCGGTTAATCGGCTAATCGGTTAATCGGGCGTGCGTCCTCTCTCGCCGCGTACTTTCGCTCGGAGAACGTCGTGGTCACGCGGCGCGGCGCATCACGAGTCGAGCCGGACTCGTGCAAATAGCTCGTCGAGAGAGACAGAGACAGCGACAGAGACTCGACGAGCGAAGCGATGCTTCTGGACGCGCTCGATCAGCCGACGAGGCCGCTGCGGCAATTGGCAGCAGCTCCCCGCCGTGCTCGCGAGGGCACTTCCAGGGGGATACGCGCGACAAGTCGGTGCTCGGAGAGAGCGCGTAGAGCCCGTTCGCTGCATTGCGCTGCCGAGCTGGACACAGGCGTGTCGTATTTCGAGTGCTAACGAAGCTGCGCTCGAATCGCTAATTCGCTAATTCGCTCGTTCGCTCGCTCGGAATCGAATGACGCCGCAGATTGGCGCGAAACCGCGTCCCTTTGCCGAAGCGCGCGAGGGCTGCTTTCGGCTCCAACCGAACGATCGCTTGCTCGAGCTGCTTCAAGATCAATATTTCAAGCAGATTTCGGAGAGCACTGCCGACATCGTCATCGTCGTCGTCGTCGTCGTCGTCGTCGTCGTCGTTTGAAAAGCGGCCGGTCGTGGGCGAGCTGTCTTTCCTCGGCGACTCTTGTTGGCGCTAAATCTCGGTGTCACGGCAACTCGCCACTTGCGCTCGACAACGGGATGTAGCCGGCTTGGTGCTACGCGGACTCTTCTCGTTCGAAGCGTTGTACAATGTCGAGTAACGCGCGTCTGCTGATTGTCAAAGGTAACACGCTCGATTATGCGCAGTTTCGTTGCTATCCTCTCCGACAAGATTCACGAGCACTCTCGATTTTCGTCGATCAAATAGATAATGCCATCCTCCAGGAATGGCACCCAGGTCGAACGAGCAACTGATGTGACCACCCACGCTGCTAGCCGACCGTCGAGAATTGGAGAGTCGGAGCTGATCGGCCTCTTGTTCGGTTTAGAAACGATGAGCTACGCTTCGTCCGATGTTAGTCTTTGCGCTTGATCAGCGGCAGTTGGCGCTCGCGCGCGCGTCAATGAACGCCGAGGTGCCCGGAATCCGGCGAAGGCGTAAGTATTATAAGGCCGCGACTTGCCTGCTTGCGGGGCCCAGGGGCCGAACAAAGCAGCGCGCAGGTCCGCTAACGAGGCGCGGCGACACCTGCCGATCAATCGCCGACCTTCGCCTCGGCGGGAGACAAAGCGGCGCGCGATTAGACGTTGGCTGCTCGCTGATCGGCCTTGGTCGACGAGCGAGGAGCGATCAGTCGAGTGTGTCGAGTCGCGGTAACGATCCGCCCCGTCGAAACTGGAGCAGCTTGGCGAGCCTGCGCAGATTTTACCTGCTCTCGTGCGCCACTGGCGCGCGAGACTAATCGACGCTCTTTTGCTCCGGAAAGAGGGCTTCGAGAATGCCGCGTGCCCTTTCCCGTGCTTTGGTGCTTTGTGCCGTCGGCAAGAGATTCGGTTGGAACCGATACACGGCGCTCGGCGGCCACCGTCGACGGCCAATGTGGGGTCTGCTTGGCTTGGCCACCGATTTGCACCTTCGAAGCAGCGCCAGTGGACGATATCCGAGTGATTACGCGTGCATCACTCGCCGAAAAAGAGAGCCGAGCTAATATTAGCGAGTGGTGGGACTCGTTGCACAAGTGGACGGACGGACGGACGGACGGACGGCGAGTGGCGGCGCAACGAAGATGCACCGTCGCTCGTCGACTACGGCCTTGAGCGCCAGCAGCTCGCTGCTCTCGGCTTCTAATTTTAACGCGCGGCCAGGTGAGCGCAGTTCGCCTTTCCCTCGGCGATCGGACGAGCCACAACGCCATCGGGTCTTCGGCCTGGCTGTGTTTGGCTGGCCTAGGGGCCGCGCACGGGCTCGCGTTCTTGCTCGGACGCTCGTAACGGGCCGCGCGGCGCGCCTATCGATTGCCAATTGGCCTGCTCCTGTCGCGCGCAGCCCATTCCATGGAAATGCACTCTCTTTGGCGAGCGACGTGAGATCCGCGCGTGCCTGTCGTCGGTCGCCTGCCGCCTGCTAATGGCAACGCTTATCGATTCAATGTCAGCGACCCAGCGAAACGAACATTATGCCTTTGCCCGTGCCCGTGGAGCTCGCGTTAAACGCCCAAGTTTTCTAGACGTACTTTCGAGACTGCTTAGCTGGACGAGGCAACTTTCAATTGATTATTAACAATTTAATTGTTAAGTCTTTTGGTAATTAAGTCACACACTCCGTGAGCATGAAAATTGATTGCCACTTATTCCGTTTTTTTAAGAAAATTGGTCCGAATAGAAGATACGAATAAATAAATTCATTAGAAGTTTGGCAAGAAAGTGTTAGCTGCATACATGTTACTTTTTAAATGTGTTTCGCTTAAGGTATTGCTTTGGCACTTTTAAAAATACTATGTTATTGGTTCATTTTCTAAAAACCTCAAAAGTTTTTGACACTGAAAATATCGATCACAGCTAAAAATAGTACGAATAGATAGAAAATAATGCAGCGACAAAGAACGGATTGATATATGCCGGAAAACCTTTTTCCCCATTAAAAATACCCAAGTCTTTAAAACAATTTCACCAAGAATATGTACATATCATTGAATTATAAACATATTATTTAGCCATCCGCTATCGCACTAATTTTACTATATCTTGTATTGAAGTTAGTATTTTCACATGAGCGAAGAAGCCATGGATTTCTGATAAGATTGCGAATCATTTGGTTAATTGATTATAAAAAAGTTGACAGCGGTTTAAACGGTTCAATCTTCCGCGGCGTTACACTATTTTCTTAGTTAAATTGCAATATTTCCGTTTTTAAAAAAAATAACAAACTGATTGATTGATCAAAGGTTTCCGTATTTCGGAACGGAGTTGCATGACAGGCCAAATTATAACGATTTAAAATAATGAAAAGTCCAACCTCAAGGGGTTTTCTTAGTTAAACTGTCATATCAAAGTGCTATTTATTCGATATGAAATTTTCAATCATTTCTAAAGCTCGTGGAGTGAGCAATTATCAAATTGTTAATAAACAATTGAAAGTCGCCTCGTCCAGTTAAACATCTTCGAAAGTCACATTAAGAAGGTCAAAATACGTTTAGAAAATTGAAGTGTTTTAACGCGACCTCCATCGACCACGGGAAGGTCCATGGCCTCTAGACTATATTGACACGGCACGCGAGTGCCTGACTTTTTGCATTTGTCGCGTGTCGCCCCGCTGGTGACGAAAGCCCGCGACAGCGGCATTCTTTGGATTTGTTGGCCCTGCCTCTAATGGCGCCTTGTCATGCGGCTCAATTCGTGTCCTAAGCGATTAGATCGCGCGCTCTTCAGCGGCTAATCCGATTCCAATTCCATCCAGCATATTTCACTCACGTCTGCTAGGAGACTTTAGTCGAGGCTGTGCTTCGAGTCTTCGAGTCAGAACAAATGTATTTGTCGGTTGTCGGTTAACGAAATGTCACGCGATGCTCGAGCACAGCTTCAACCAAGATAAAACTCTGGCAGGCGAGAACAGCGATCAACCTCATTTTTTCTCGCTGCCACACGCTCTTCACTTTCACGCGTAGTTATCGGCCCATTATCGCCGGCTGCTGCCAAATGGCCTACTTTGCCTGACTTGTCTCACTTGGACTTTTTCACAAGCACACGCGGAAGTCTGCGGCTGTCCGTACATCTTCGACAGGTTTGATTCGTCGATCGAGCCAAGCGTGATTACCAAATCCAACCTTACGTGTCGCAGACTGCGCTACTGCTAATCAACAGCCCGGCGATTCTAATGTTGGCGCGCAGAACGCTTTGCATAGAGAGCGCGAATAATTCCATTTTCGCCTGAGCAAAGTAGAGAGTTTATTTTTGCATCCTCGAAGCCAGATAAGCGATCGATCAATCTTGGCATTTCATTCTATTTCTGCGATAGACAACTATGAAAGCGGCAAGGTCAAGCGCGTATACGCAATAAGTATTCAAGACGCCAGAGAGAGAGAGAGAGAGA